GCTAGCCCATGTGTTTGGGCCCAAGAAATGGGCTTGAGTTTTGGTGCTCCCAAGCAGCCCAAAACTCCCATTCCTTGATCCCTCAATGAGCCTTGTGAATGCTTGTACCCATCCACACCACAACCTTCTTAGCAAGCCCCAGGCAATTTTGTAGCTTGGGGCCACTTAAGCTTGTGGCATAGCTTGGTATTAGAATAGTGGTTTTTTTGCATGGCATCTATGCTTGTGCTTGAGTTTTATTGCGCTATAATAGGCCATGATTGGTTCAAATAGCGTCGGATTAAGTGAGTGTGAATTCATAAAGCCGGTGTACTTTGGTCCTTTTGCACATGCTTGCTTAGCGTGACTCATGACCCGTGGCTTATGTAAGTGCATTCTTCAATTTCCCTTATGTCCCGATCGGCCTTTCTCGCGATTTATTTGAGTTGGGCTAAAGATAACCCTGGGCCTAGCCCTTGGATTTTTGGGCCTCAACAAATTTCATATATGGGTTTCGATTTTTGGTGCTTGATGTGAGTTCAAGTCCCTCCAAGTCAAATTTGAGTGAGATTGTGTAGAAATTTGTTGAAACATAATTGTGGGTTTAATTTAAATTTTTACTCTCTGGGTTTACAATTAATATTTTTAGCTTGTGTAGAGAATGTTATTTCAGTGGGATTATACAATAACTTTTTTTAGGAATATTATGCTTGAATCTTGTTTATAAAATTTTGGGATTGTGCAACAAATTTTTCTCAGTTTGTCTTGGGATTGTGCAACAAATTTTGGGTTTTTCGGTGAGGTCTGACTCTTAGCTCCTCTCCTCTTAGTTATCTCTTCCAACTCACAGCTAATTCCTTTTGGGTTCTTTGGTGAGGTCTGCAATAAACATGTGATATACACGCAATAAACAGGCAATACACATGCAATAAACAAGCAATACATATGCAATAAACACGCAATAAACATGCAATATACATGCAATAAACATGAAATATACACGTAATAAACAAGCAATACACACGCAATAAACAAGCAATATACACGAAGGGAGAGAGCTTGTATTAGAGTTATCTTGCTGAGCATGTTTATTGCAATAAACAAGCAATATACACGCAATAAATCTAAAATTTCTAAGTTTTTATATTGTCTTACTATTGTCATCATATTGGTCTTGTATTGCTATTTTATCATTGTCGTATCACTTTTTTTTTTCAAGTCTGTCTTGGAAAATTTTTGTTGGGTTTCAAACAAATAAATACTTCTGTTTCAAACAAAATTTAAAGTCAATGCCAATCCACCCATTTCAAGAACAAATATTACAAATTGGGTTTGCAAAATCGTTGGTGGTTGTTTCCCTCTTTTCGGCCGGGTAGGCCGATTGAAGGAGTTTTTGGTCCTTCTTTAATTGAGTGCAGGGCGTGCCACCACCAAGCCACGAATTAAGCTTGAATGGAATGTAAGTAGATGATGCGTCCGAAATCTAACTTTAATCAAACAATTGTTCGGCTGAGCAAGGAACCTCATCACGGCCTAGGTTCTTTCACTACCTCAGAGTCAAGGCTTTATGTGAGTAACCAAATGATGTGGAGTGGGTGGAGATGAAGATTGAAGGTGAAATGTAATGAAACGAAGAACACATGCGTAAAGTAAAAGGTACTTGAATTTAAATATAATTGAAAGACAAGTGTGGAAAGTAGAGTGTGTAAAATAAATAATTTGAAGACGAGTGCATAATTTAAAGTGTGCAAAATAAAGAATGTAAAGACAAGTGCGTAATTTAAAGTGCGTGAAATAAAGAATTTAAAGACTGGTGCATAATGTAAATTGCATAAATTAAATAATTGAAATGCGAGTGCATAAAGTAAAGGGCGGAAAATAAACTAGATTACGAAGAACAGTAAAGATAACGTGAATTGAAATTATTGTAATTAAAATAGAACTGAAAAACAAGAACAAGAATGTAAAGGCATAATTGAAATCTACGGAAACTAGAGCGGAAAAAATAAGAACTAGGCTATGGCTACATTATTCTACTCCTAGGATAGAAATGGAAGAGAATGTAAAATGACAAGTTGTGTGTTGTGTCGGGGGTCCTTTCTCTCTTCCATAAGCTTGGTATTTATAGGGGCTTCGGTGCATCTCAATTTGGTCAGTCGTCAATTGGCCTTCAAATCAATCATAATTGCTCCATAATATCTTCAATCCATTGTCCCATGCATGTGATTTAATGTGAATAATAATATTTGATTTGATTTTCCTTCCATCTTGAGCTCTCCCGACAATAACTTCAGTTGACCATCAAGCTGGCATAATTCCTTCCATATTTGAATCGTAACCTATGAGAAAATCCTCCTACAGATTATCTATCTCCTTATTTAAGCATTGACTGATTTCATGTATTCGGCCGCTTTTAGTCTTTTGACCGTATCTACACTTTCGGCCGCGTATAGGCTTTCGACCATATCTACATTTTCGGCCGCATATAGGCTTTCGACCACTTTTATACTCTCGCCCATATTGATGTGTTCAGCCAGATTGGTGTCCCACTGCATGTAGATATTCTGCTACATTTTTGATTTTGGGCTTCTATCCGACCTGATTGATTAGGCCCACCAAAATATAGCTTGGGCTCACTATTAGTTTAATTGTCGGATCTCGGGCTTGACCCGGTCAAATTTCAACCAGGCTCAAACAGTGGTGCTTGTGGCTAAAGATGTGGATGAGGAAGATGGGTCTTCGGACCTAGGAAAAGAAGAACATGGATAATTGGGAATTAGGGCTGGGAATTAATGAGAGAGAGAGAGAGAGAGAGAGAGAGAGAGAGAGAGAGAGGATATGCAAAATTGGGATTTCATCTCAGATAGAGCATATCAGAGAAGAGAAGAAGAAGAAGCAAAGAAGAAATCAATTTGGGGTGTCATCTCAGAGATAGCAGATCATGGAAGAAGAAGAACCCACAATTTTAAATTAAACCCACAAATATGTTTCAACAAATTTCTGTACAATCTCACTCAAATTTGACTTGAACGGACTTGAACTCACATCAAGTACCAAACAAAAGTGAGAGAGGGATAGAAGGAAGAAGAGGAAGAGGAGGAGAGACTAGAGAGATTGAGAGTAATTTCAGAAGAAGCAAAGAAAAAAAAAAAAAAAAAAAGTGAAGGATGGGCAATAGGCTGTCAATAGGGAGTTTTTATAAGGGGCATTTGTGATTGGGTTTCAAAATAAGGATATTAGTGAATAAATTAGGTGAATCATGGGTAAAGCAGCCAATTTTCCATTTTTAATTTGCCTCAAGCCATCAAGACTAATAAAGTACACTCTCTTCTGGAGTGTTTTAGGCCTACCTCACAATAATTCGAAAATTTGAGTGTTTTAGGCCTAGTTCATGATGGTAACTCCGATGGACTAGGCAACACAATTGTATCAATAATTATTATATTATTTACTTTTATATTTTACCTTTACTTTTATCTTTTATATTTACTTTTATTATAAAAGGTATGTGGAAGAGATGAGATGATATGTTATTACAAAACGTAGGTGAGACCCAATATTGCTTTATTGGAGGAAAATGTTTATGTGCAGGGCCGGCCCTAAGTTTTCAGTGGTCCGGGGCCATAAAATAAAATGAGCCCTTTTACTTTATATACAAATTAAAATTAAGGTTTAAAAACAAATTATACAAAGGTATTCAATAAAAATCAATATGCAGAGGCTCAGACGGGTAGAGAAATTCTCATGTAACGGGGATGACACTATTTTGCCACCTATCCCCGTTACATGTAAATTTTTTTGCCAAAGGAGAGCCAAAACCCAACATTAGAGCAGAGAAGCCAAATGGCAGAGCAACTAAATCAAACAGGGATACTATCCCAAAAAATAAAGAATATTGACAGATTTTGAAAAGGAACGGAGACCTCTAATCCCTTCATCACAATTAAAATGATATAAACAATCAGTACCCATATAAAAATAAAAATATAAAAAATAAAAAAGGAAATATAAATAAACAGACTTGACAGTTTGGATTTTCAGAGTTTACAGAGATAAAATTCAGGAAGAAAAAAAAACAATGTGTGAGTTTTTGAGTGAGAGGTCGAGGAACAAAGAGAAGTGGGTTCGTGTAATTGGAATTAATTCTTTAAGGTTAGAATATGGGAGGAGGGCTGAGAGGAACTGAGAAATAATAAAAAGGACAAATACTAATAATAAAAAATAACAATATAAATTTTGAAAAAGAGAAAGGGCTTAAACGTGCCCAAAAAGCTTTGTTGATTAAAGTGAAATCTATAATTGTGCAGTCGGAGATAGAATAACTTTCAACTAATGGTGGCTCGAGGATTTGAAATTCGGTTGGGCAAAACACATTAAAAGGCCTATTAACGACTTTATAAATAAAATTAATTTATAAATAAACTCAATCCTAGACATGTATTTATAAAAAAACTCAAGCATTATTTAAACATAGAAACACACCCAAAATCAACAATTGTATATTTTTTGGGTGTGTTTATAAATGGGTTTTGAGTGTGTGTAATGATGGGTTTTGGGTGTGTTTATAAAGTGTTTTGGATGTTGGGTTTTTTTATAATTTCAGCCCCTATTTTAAGAGTTTTAGTGAAACTCCCATAAAATTATTGACAACCCAACCCATTAACACAACAAACTCATATCCCGACCCATTAATAGGCATCAGACTTAATGATAGAGACAAAAGAGGAACAAGTAGAAGAGAATATATTGCCGACTAGCTGGCAGCTAAAGATAGGAACCTTTTTTTTTTTTTTTTTTTTTTTTTTTTTTTTGTTTGGGGGGGGAGGTGTACTTTTACCTTTTTTACTAAAAATTCTTGGTCTTGGTCGGCCGCCTAGCCAAAAAGGCCTAGATCCTCCCCTTACTCTATCTTAATGTTCTCTTGTCAAATCGTTTGCCATAATAATTGCTTGGTAACATAAAACATTGTAAGGTGAATACAGATGGTAAATGGTAAAGTGTTTAAGTGCTAGATAACATGGTTAAACTTGGACCGTGTCAAGCCTAAACAGGTCATTCCTCCCAACCAATCTTGCTGGGTTTCCAACTGCAGTAGTTCTTGGAAGTACATCTTTTAACACAACAGCACCAGCCCCAATCTTAGCACCTTCACCAATCCTTACATTCCCTAACACATTGGTCCCTGCCCCTATTAGTACCCCATCTCCAATCTTTGGGTGCCTATCCCCACACTCCTTGCTTGTTCCTCCCAAAGTCACATTATGCAGAATTGACACATTGTTTCCTATCACCACCGTCTCTCCTATCACTACCCCGGTGCCATGATCGAGCAATATGCCATATCCGATCTTGGCCCCGGGATGGATATCCACTGCAAGCACTTCAGACACCCTATTCTGAATCATTAGTGCCAAGGCCTCTCTGCCTCGCAACCATAGATTATGTGCCACCCTATGAGCTTCACATGCAAGGAAGCCTTTGTAGTTCAAGAAACAGTGCACATAACTTGTGCATGCTGGGTCTCTCTCTTTCACTCCCTTCAAATCTTCTTTTATGGCTTCCAAAATTTCCTGATCTTCACAAAGAACACCAGAAAATATATCGTAAAGGGTATGCACAAGCAGGGTAGAGTTGCTCAGTTTATTTGCAAGATGATTCGCCAGCGCGCTTTCTAAAGAATTATGAGCCAAAATTGAAGCAAAATAATAGCTAGACAAGATGGGCTCCCGTTCAACATCCATATAAGACTCCTCTCTCATTTTCATCCATATGTAATCTTTCTTCACTTCTTCTCCTTTGGTATCTTCAATGAAAGTTCTCCGAGGCTGAGGGAGTTGTTCGGGGTTCAGGTTAGTAGCTGTTTGTGAAACAAAATCTGTCAAACATGGTCTGTAAAACTTCAATAACTTGGAAACGGGATTGTCAAATCGGGGTTGATCTGAGACTGAGAGATGATGGCTTGGAGTGGGTTGGGACGTTCTTGAGTTGTCCACACAGGCGGCCATTGTTTTGTATGTTTTGTTGGGATACTCAGTGTTGACAGTTGCAAATAAAGATGATCCAACCAGAGTAGACATTGGTTGGGGTATGTTGTGTAAAATGAGATGTCCAGTGAAAATATATAAGGAGTGGAAGTGGGAATTGAAAATATTTGACAGGGAAATGGTTTCCTTGGAATTGGCTGTGAAATGCACTCTGTATGAGAGTCCAAATACAAATGAATCTCATATCTCAAGTTGTGAAAATGCCATGAGTCTTCTTCTTCACTCCAAATGGCATATTAGTATATTACCTCTCACTACTGACGAACAAGAGGGAGCAGGGTTCCAGTCACATTAAGAAAAGTAGGATACGAATTTGGCAGATAAGATCGCATTAGGAGGATAAAACTTGTAAAAAAATTGCCATAATCAACGGCACAATTTTATTGGAATGGATACCAAACTTTGTTCTCCTTTCATTTGCTTTCGGAGGGTTGTGATTCTCGAATTAAAAAAGCTTTATTATCCACAAACCCAAAAACTTTTACTTTTGCTCTTTTCCTTTTAGTTTTCTTCTCCAATTGACACATCACCAACAGAATTTCTCAACAGACCTAAGCAAATATACAATACGACAAAAATGACTGAATCAATCTGGTAATGACATTTCATGTTTAAGAAGTTTATAAAGTTCTAGCATGATTACATCGAAGAGAAGAGTAAAGAAACTACAAGCATATAACAAGCTGCCACTGGAGGAACACCATATCTCTATTCTTCAACTCCAATCCAAGGCGGGCTCAAAACTTACAGCATACGCAAAACAGAAGAATTTCAGGAAAGGGTCAAATGTATTCACGGAAACTTAATCTTACTGTCATTAACCCCTCCACAAAATGAACGTGAACCACCGTATTCTCTTTCACATTTTTTGTTCGAAGAAATCCAGAAACAGCCAGCACCTCAAACAAGCACGGGCAAAAGTCATGGCAAAGCAGCCAAAAAAAAAAAAAAAAAAAAAAAAAAAAAAAACAACAACCGCATAAGAATGGCACATATTTGACCCCCATATGATAAAAACAAACAATTGGTTAAGTTAGCCACAAGGATAGCAGGATGAGAAGCATTAAGGATACGAATCACAATGAATGTTGTCTTGAAGATTGTAAAAACAACAAACTTGAAATGAAAATAGTCAACAAGGATAATTGATGCAGAAATGAATAGTAAATGAAGCAGGAACTATTAATTGTAGCAACGCAAGAATTACTTTTAAAGGATCATTGAGCTTGGACCATAGTGAATTAATGGAGCAACACCATGAAGAGTGATTCTGACAGAATGGCATGTAAAACAGAGCTACAGCATTAAAGATACTTGTTCAAGCTTGACCTAAAACAGGTTATGCGAAAACAATTAAAACCCTCTACCAATAGTTGAAAAAAGTCAATGAGTATTGAGTAGACCAATTCCAGTATAATGCATGAGCAGAAAACAATACAGAATTGATAAAGGTGCAGATTCTTTTGGGATGGACATCAATTTAATTTTCTTCTATGAACCTACATTCCAAAATCAAGCACTTCATTTCTGTGAAAATTGTTTATTCAAACATGAAATGATAATAGTAATAAAAGGAAGCAAAACTTCAGAATCTGAGTAAAATTACCTAAGTTGCTGCCCCGTTTTTTCACAGCTTGACCTCCACATCAACTCCAGCAGGAAGGTCCAGTTGCATCAAGGAATCTATTGTTTGTGCAGTTGGGTATAGAATATCAATGAGGCGCTGGTGGGTACGAATCTCAAAATGGAACCTCGCATCCTTGTGGACATGGGGTGATTTTAGAACACAGTAGATTCGCTTCTTGGTTGGTAAGGGTACAGGGCCCATTGTTTTTGCGTTAGTGTTCCTTGCAGCATCCATTATCTGCTTGCAAGAATCCTCTATCAGAGGCACAAAGTAAGACCTAAGCTTAATCCTGATTTTCTGTTTGGGGGAGGCCTGAAAACAGAAACACCTTTAGATAATCAGAATACATGTGACGCTGTTAGAAAAATAGGGGGAACAATTACTTTATAAAAAGCATGCTCAAATAAGACCTTTCTTCTTTAATTTTGACAATCTACAGTACGATTAGACAAATCAAGAATTACACTCTCAACAGTCATCTAGCTGGTCCTCAACCACTTAGTTACTTTCTGCCATTCCAAACTATCCCAGATACATAAATCATTATAGCCAAATAGCCCCACGCCTACATGGAATCCATGTTCATAAAATCTGTAAGGAATCGACTATGAAGATCTGATTGCCACAAGCCAAAACACTTACCATGCTGGATGAAAATGTCCCTCAACAATCTTTCTGTATTTTAGTAAGATTGAACAGCAGAACCTACATACCCAATACACTACCCAAGTACTAATTACTTACAGAGGTCCATTCCCAGGTCAGGAGTATGACAAAAAGTTAAAAGAAATTGGACACTCTACTCTATGTAATGGCAAAGTTGACAAAGAACTTCGGAGAAGATCAAAGCACCAATTACTCAAAACTTCAATCCGGGACTAAGGCACAACTTAAGTCATACCAAACAGCAAGAAAGCCATAGATGACTCGAACAAAAGATCAACATAAAAGCAAACGATTGGGTGTTTCCCATCCATGTTAGACATATATTACCAGCTAACGATAAATTTTTACCTCCTCACCATGTTCTCAGCAGTAAGAACTCTATTTACTTGGAACATTAGCTCTCCATCATTCTATTATGGAAGCACACTTGGATCAATATCCCCCAAATTACTTACTAAAAGATTAAACACTAAGCTTCTTACTTGACAACAATATACAAATTCGGAAAGACTACTGACATATCTACACTCTGCATCACATATCCAATAGGAGCAGATTTGAACATGGTTTCATATATTACACCAAAACTCCACGACGGAAAAAATATATTCCCGCTCTATACAAATCCTTAACAGATGGTACTTCAATTACATTTCCAAATTAATATACAGATAAATTTAGAATGCGGACTAAGGAAGAAAATAAAACAGCTAAAATTATAAAAATATAAAAACTTCACAATTTAGATTTTCCTTTTCCCTTTTATCAAAAACTCGCGAGTAATATGTTACCTTATCTGCATCTCCCCCAACATTGAGTGATGAAGTACTAGGAGTCTCCGAACTTCCAACCTAAAACATAGATAATAAACACTAAAGAAAGGTAAAGAAATGCGCATAAATATAATGGTCTGGTACTTGAGCTTCATTTGATAGCTTAGAAGATGCACCATACAATATAAAGAAGAGTATGATAATCAAAACCCACTACTCCAACTGGTTTTACATCCTAAAATGAGAAAGAAAAAAAATTGAAAATAATTCTTCTCTTCCCACATTTTCTCAGCAGACAAACATAGCATTACCAAATTGCAGAATTAAAGAAAAGGAAATAAACCTCAAGGGTTTCTGGAGGTGGGACTAGGGTCTCTTGGGACTCTAAGACTTCAGGAGCAGCATAAACCCTAGTTGATGACTGTGAGGGTCTTAAAGCTCTAAGCTTTAAGGCATTGTTAGCAGAGGGAAGAGCGAAGGAAGAGACATTGAGTTTAGAGGAAGGAAATGGAGAAGAATTGGTGAGTGGAAGCGAAGGGATTAGGATTGCAGACATTGAAGAAACTGCCATTGAAGCTCAGCTCTCTTTCTCTTTCTCCCTCCGTGTTTAGAAGAAGGCCTTGTTTTGCTCACTCTGCGCCTGTAGAATTATCCAAAATATTTTTTATTTTCTTTTTATTTGACAAAAATAAAATGCCAACCCAATTGTAGTTTGGGCGGGTTATAGGTTGGAAGCCCAGGCCTAATTGTGATATAAGTGGGCTTGTACCCATGGGCCGAAGTTGTAGCAGGAGGCCCAATAGCATAAAGTCTTGCTTGGCAAGATGATTAGGCCCGCTCAATCTGGCCCTTTCTAAGGTTGGATAGGGCTTGGAGTTAGGATTTGAAAGCCCCGCTCCAGCCCGACTAGGCCCGCCCATTGTCTTATCTTGCCTTATTCCATCCCAAATATTTAAGTAAATGTCTTGTCTTTTTACTTTAATTTATTTTTATATTACTCTATTTATTTATGTTTACAATGTAAATAAGGAAATACCCCCATTTGGATTCAATTAAAAACACTAGAAAATCAATTCTCAACAAATCAAAATATGAAAAATTCAATTTTAATATAAGATAAAGTTTGTACCAATATTGATACCTCAATAAGTCAATGTATACGTAATACTAAAATCTCATAAAATACAATTTATGGCATAAGATATTGGTACTCCTTTTCATTGCAATGTATTTTATGCATAAGATATTGGTGCTCTTTTCATTGTAAATTGCAATGGTGAAAAAATAAAACACAATTCGTCCAATAAAAATGATTACGATGGTAATTAAATTATTAAACCATTTTTTATTTTTGACTGATCTACTTTTTATGAGAACAATTCTTGAAAGAAGTATGAAAACATGGATGATCTTAATGATTGGACCTCAAGCCAGAAAAGCACTTCTTTTTAAAATGCGGGGCATGCATTCTTGAATCTTCATGTTTGTTTGTTTGTTTATCTTCTAATATAAACGTAGATCTAATTTATGGAAAAGGGTCTTTGAGTTTAGATGCAAGGGGCTCATTACCTTCCCCAACTGGGCAACTTGGGTGCAAATTCTACAAACCTTCATGTTTGTAAGTCTTATCTAAGATCTTTATTTTTTATTTTTGTTATTTTTTAATAATTAACAAAAAGCAGATATGACAGTTAGTATAAGGGTAACTACTCTTTGCTACTAACCTTAAATGAAGGTCAATCAAAATACTAATAAACAAGCACATATGATCTTTAAGTATTGCAATATATGGCTTCTAAACCTAGCCTCCTCTCTCCCAAACAACCCTCTTAGAGCCGTTTTCATTTTGAGGGGGAAGGAAGCCACTATCCTTCCTCCCCTCTTCCTTCTTCCCTCTTCCCTCTTCCCTCTTCTCTTCCTCCCTCACTTCTCCTCTCATTTTCAGAGACAAAAGGTTTTCCCTATTTGTCTTTGTTTTGTTATGATTTTCCTCCAACCATCACAGGCAGCTGCGTCTTGGCGTCAGATCTCCACCTGCATTTTGGTGTCGGATTATCACCACCATCCTTTTAGCGGTTTCTTTATGTTCGGAATAAGTCACAAAGACTCCTTGGGTTCTCTGTGTAGTTTTCACCTCTCCTTTTGTGAGAGCTTTTCATATTTCCTTTGTAAGAGCTTTTCATTTCTCCTTTATGAGAGTTTTTCATCTCTCCTTGTGAGAGTTTTATTTGCATAGTTATGGCTTAGTTTTTCAAGCTTTAATTTTTTTAATTATTATTTTGAGTTTGCAATCTTAGTTGGAATGTATATGCCAGTTCTTTGATCCTGTGTGATCGTTAGTGGAGGCGCATCGGATTGTCTAAATTTTGATGTTAGACCGCTATGTTATTGTAATGGTCATTTGTGGCTAGTGACTTTTTTTGGCTGAATTATGAATGCAATCCTAGAATTTTTCAACAAAAACAAAATCTAATTGTATAGCACTACTAGAAAACCTCATTATAGGCTACTGATACACCTGTGGCTTATATTCTTGTTCATTACAGACAATTAGTAGCCAAAGGGTGTTTGCCACAAATTGGACATAAAAATAACGTGATTGTGTAGGTGTTGTCATTAACTTTCTACCACGCTAAAAGGTGTTCGTGGCCTATAAGTAGGTTAATTTAGAGATCTCATGGTACCTATATAGCTTTAAAATGGGTTTGAAATTTCAAATTGTATTACAGGATGGTGGTATACTTAGCTATATTTATCAATTTAGTGGTGCAAGTCATTGAAGTTGTACACATCATTATGATCATCAGCCCATGTGCATACTTGACCAAATTACCAACAAAGTCATCTGCTCTAATAAGTAACAAACAACAGCACTCCAAATTGACTCAAAATTAGCAAATTTACTCGTCATAGAGAGAGAGAGAGAGAGAGAGAGAGAGAGAGAGCTACTCAATCACAATGATGACTTTTGGAGTCCATTGCCATTTATCTTACACTGCTACAAGGCCTGCGGTCTCACCAGGGAACTGAACCGAGGCAAGTAAAAATGATTCAGCATGGGACTGAGAGCAAAACATGGAAGAACCATCTACTCCTACTTTTTACTTGCTACAGGGACAAAGTCGCAGTAAATGCTAGGTGAAGTACTCCCAATTTCCATATATGGCGTAAGCAATCCTTACTTCTCCACTATGGTCACGAAAAGTCTTCCCTAATTTACTTCTATTCACCTACAGTCGTGCATGAGATTTGAATTCATGTGCCGAACTACTTGAAGCGTGGAATGGACTCTAGTCATGTCCAAGTTGTTCATTAAAACTTTTCCTTTGTGTATTTACCTGTGTTAATCCCATCTTAGCGCAAACCTCCAGCCCAACAGGCCAACCCAAATTTCCAGCCTAGTCCCCTTTCAGAGAAACTGTAATGAAAGCTCATATTTTTGGTTCCACTATTGGACAAAATGAAGATTAAGTGCCATTAAACCAAATGATTAGTAGATAATTATTTTAGTGTATACAATACACTCATGACATAATGATGTGGTATATCGAATTCACCCAAATTATATCACATGTACTGATTGTAAGTCCACCATTTAGATATAAATTTTAAATAATAATATTTTTATAAAAAGAGTACACGTGTAATAATTTGTAGATGCATCTTCATGGACACATGGTGTATCGTATCAATACCCTAATTCATCCGTAAAATAATCACAATTCACATGCAACTTTCTCATATTTATCTTACTAGCAAGAAACAAAAGAAGGTTAGTGTGAAACCAAATATGAACATAAAGGAAAACTGCATCATCAATTGGAATTTAAAATGTCTAGATTTAGTAAGGGGCTTAAAGCTCAAGTGGTTAAAAGCATTTACCCTTGCATCCGATGTCTTAGATTCGATTCCTCCGTCTCCCAATATCGCTTGTATAACAAAAAATTGCCTTTTTCTACAACACTAGCACGCATGTGCCAATTGGTTTTCTTTTTTATTTTTTATTTTATTTTTAGAATTGAGAAAAGATAACATGGGTAGTTATGTTCCATAAAAGTATGACCTATTATCTGATTTTGGTTTTTATTTTTATTTTTTTTAATATGAAAAATTGTGAATTTACCATATTATCCTCATTTAATTAATAATTTTAATACTTAATGTTTGAATTAACCAATGACATTTTCTGGTATTTTGAATGTTTCACCATCCTCTGCCTTTTGCTTTATATATATAAATATACCAATTATTACCTCAAGTTAATTAACAAATAATGCGACACATAATATAACAATTGCTCTATTGATTACTAGCTTCTCTGCAAGCGCGGAATTTATTTTAGAATTAAAAAAGATAATTGGTAGTTGTGTTCCATAAAAATAGAATCCATTATCTGATTTGTCTTTTAATTTTATTTTATTTTATATGAAAAATGTGAAATTAATACTCATTTAATTAATAATTTCAATTCTTAATGTTTGCATTAACCAAAGGCATTTTTTGGTATTTTGAATGTTTTACCATAGCCTCTCCGCATGCGCTTCCGCTCCTGGGAGAGGTTTTATTTATTTATTTATTTATTAATAAATTTAAATTTATGTTAGAATTTTTTAAAAAATAATGGGTAGTTTTGTTCCATAAAAATAGGATCTATTATTTGATTTTTCTTTTAAATTTAATTTTAATTTTTCTTAATATGAAAAAGTGTGAATTTAAAATATTATCCTCATTTAATTAATAATTTCAATTCTTAATGTTTGCATTAACCAAGGGCATTTTCTAATATTTTGAATGTTTTACCATTCTTTGCCTTTTGCTTTATATATATAGATTAAATGAAATGTTATCACATCAAATGGAATTTTAAAAGTTAGAATAATTATCAGCGATTCTCAAATTATTCTCATTTGGATGTCTCTATCATTACTTAAATTTGTTTTTTCTTTTAGTACAAGCGATTAAGAAAGGAAGATTTACTACTATAGCTAGGTAAAACTTGAAACCTAGAACCTAGCTTTGAAAGGGCTTGGCTTTCAGATTTTGACATTGATTATGAAATATGAAGTAATTAACAAGACTGTAACTCCTTTTCAATAAAGAGACCCATCTTTCTTTTTTTGGTAAAGAAAGAGACCCATCTTTTTCGATTAAATGAGAAAGCAAAACATGAAATTATCTAGTTTTCTCTCAAGCGGAGACTCAACAATTTGACGTGGGTGCATAACGGGCGTGAACTGCCCTGTGCGTGTGACCATTTTCTGAAAATCCTTAACGATTTGTTCAAATGTTCAAACGTTCATGCAAAGAGGCTGCAGCTACCTCTTATGTATTTATAACCAAAATCCCATTTGAAAACTCCAAATGGGTTTTCTTCTTCTTCATTTTGTCAGTTACAAATTTTCAGTTCAGCTCAGAAAATTCATAACCGCTCTTTGGCTTTTCCACATCGTTTTAACTTCTAAGCTAATTATAAACCTACATTCCATGCTTCTCTCCTACTTGATCAATGAAAAATATTAACTCCCCCATTTAAGCATATAAGTTTTTTTTTGTCTTGCTTTTAGCACAAGTTTGATGACTGACCCAAATCTCAGTAAATTCCTTCAAGCTTAATTTCTCATATGTCCCATGTCTCTCTCTCTCCTCTCTCTATATATATATGTGTAGTGTGTGATCCTTAAATTCCATACTTGTACCTCATCTTCTTTTCTATGTACTATGATCTTCTTGTGCTACGCTCAACGTTTGAGAAGTCTCACAAGGAACACAAGAGGCAACACCCCACGCTCCCTCATTTATTATCTTCACCTCTTTCACTCCTCTTAACCTCCAAAACACCGAGAGTGCACAACAACATCTTAGGACTTTCTGGTTTTTCATGTACTTCTTAGTTTGAAAAGACTTTGAGACACATAGTTACTGACACCCAGAAAGAGAGGGTCATGGAATTGGGTGTCTTTAGTGTTTTTGTTGGTGCTTCAGTACTTGTTTTCTTGGGTGGTGTTGAAGTGGGCTTCTCACAAAGTGAAGCATATGCAAGGAATTATATTAGCTGGGCTGATTTGAAGGTGGATGAGCAGAAGGTGGGGCTGAACTTCAGAAATGAATTCGTTAACAGAAGCCGGGTCATTGTGGTGGACAAGAATGGAGGAGGAGATTCTCTTACAGTTCAAGGAGCAGTTGATATGGTTCCAGAACAGAATACAGAGAGAGTCAAAATTTACATTCTTCCTGGAATTTACAGGTATGTCTGAGTTACTATAATATATCAAGCTTTCATTCGGGCAATGAAAATTCTGAGTCAAAATGTTTCTTGAATAACTCCTAACAATGGCTTAGATTGTTTATGTGCCTCACGTCAACAGAACCTCAAAGAATTTTCCAGTCTTGCAGTTTTTGACAGTTTCTAGTGTTCTTGAGGGTTGAGTTTAAACCCAATTGAGCTACGTGGGGTAGTGGAAGTTACATGTGCTTTAAGTGGGGGCCTCTCCCTTAAAATGGGTTGCCCCAAAAAGAAAAAAAAGAAGAAAAAATTACCTGTATAATGTTAATGTGCTTTATCTGAGAACAAAAAATAATTTTTACTTCATTTTTTCTCTGTTGTAAATTGATGCAGAGAGAAGGTACTTGTACCGGTTTCCAAGCCATACATATCATTCATTGGGAACCAGAATCAAACTTCTGATACTGTAATTACTTGGAACAACAAGGCATCTGATAAGGACGATACCGGTTGTGAACTTGGAACATATAAAACTGCGTCTGTAGCTATAGAGGCTGATTACTTCTGTGCAACTGGGATCACTTTCGAGGTAACAGCTAATAACGAACTCGGATGTAACATAAGGAGAAAAGATTAAAATAGAAATTATGTAAATTACAACATTCAGTAACAGTAAGTAATTGGTATGCAATTTTAGAACTCAGTGGTTGCAGTACCTGGAGGATATGGAATGCAAGCAGTGGCTCTTAGAGTTGCAGGTGATAAAGCCATGTTCTACAAAGTAAAGGTGTTGGGGACACAAGATACACTCTTGGATGAGACTGGATCACACTACTTCTACCATAGTCACATTCAAGGAAGTGTAGACTTCATATTTGGTAGATCAAGATCACTCTACCAGGTACAGTGGCTAGCATTTTAATAGCTGCCTCTTCATGTTTCTTCATTATTCTGATGCTTGAATTTGGGACTTGCTACCAGGACTGTGTTCTTCAATCAACGGCAACGAATGCGGGAGCAATAGCAGCTCATCACAGGGACTCACCATATGAAGATACAGGGTTCTCTTTTATGAACTGCAAAATCATTGGAACTGGCAGTATCTTGTTGGGAAGAGCTTGGGGAGCTTATTCAAGAGCAGTGTATTCCTACTGTCATTTCGACGACATAATAACTCCCTCGGGTTGGAGTGACTGGAACCACCCAGAGAGACAGAAGTATATATAACCTCTCTTGCAGAAAACTTAACATCTTAGATATCTCTTTTTGTTTCTCAAAATATGGAAACTTTTGAACTTCTAACAGAGGAGAGAACTTTGCATTTACAGGACTGTGGAATTTGGAGAATACCACTGCAGGGGCAGAGGAGCAGCAGAGAGAAGAGGGAGGGTGCCATGGTTGAAGTCTTTCAGCTTTGAGGAGATAAGGCCTTTTCTGGATACCAAATTCATATATGGAGACCAATGGCTAAAACTATAGTTTTGTTCATTATTGTATTATAATTTCCTATCCTCATTTTTTCCTCCACCACTATGGAAATGCAAATAGGCTAAGTATATATATATATAGGGGACTAAGATCATGGGACATATATAAGTGATGCAAATTCTGAGTGTATATTTTTCTTTTTGTTTTCCAGTCTATACAATTCTGAGTGTAAATGGTCAGGGTGACCTAAGTTTGTTCAAATCAGTGCCTGTTAGCATCATAAGAAATACAAAATGGATAATTATTTGAAAACACAAATTTGGTCACTGTGTTTAGGCCCGAAAACACATTTGGTCACCGAGATTTGAATTTTACCAATTTGGTCACTATATTTCTGTCTGTTAGCAATTTAAGCCAAAGTTTTAACTTCTGTCACTTAAAATTAGAAAATAAGATTAAAATACAAAAAGAAGCTTGGAAAAAAAAATTGAAAACCCAGTCCGTGCCCTGTATACCAGCCATCGACCCTGCCACTCCAACCCACCAAGCCACCACCTCTCTCTCTCTCTCCAACCACCAGCCACCGCCCCTGTTATTATTTGATTAAAACCATAAAAACAAGAGCGAATTTCAAGTGGACATGCTTAAAACTGAGATGGGTACCGATCAAAATTGAAAGGGAAACAGAATTGCTGAATAAAATTTAAAATTTTCAAGCAGCTGATGATGGGTGGGGAGGGGGGTGTGTCCTCTGTTTGTGTGTTGCGCTCGCTGGAGGACAAGGCACCTACGGCCATGTCTATGTCAATGGCTGCCATTCTCTGTAGAAAATTCCACTGTGGAGGTTGGTGATGATGATGGGTGCTGTTGGGGTTTGGAGAAGTGGCCTCCTAGGTAATAATTGGCTGATTGTAAGGTTGTTTTAGGAAATGAAGAACTGAGGGAGATTGTAAAGCACAGTGTGCACGCAAGGTGTTTGTGTTTTTGCTTCAGATAAAGCTTTGCTCTCTCTGATTTGAATTTTGAAGAAGCAGAGAGAGAGAGAGAGAGAGAGAGAGAGAGAGAGAGGTCTCTAATGACGTGGGAAAGGGGCTTAGCCGCCGAGGGGCAAAGAGAGGTGTGGCTGTGGTGGTAGGCGCAGGGAGTAGGGATGGCGGGGCTGGGTACTATTGGGTAGGTGGGGAAGGCGGCTGACGGCGTAACAGGGGAACATGGGGTAGGTTCTTTTATTTTTTAATTTTTTTAATTAATGAAACTGATGGAAATGAAGCATGCGACCTGATTTGCTTTGTGCTGCAAATGCGTTGATCAAATTCGAAAAATCAAAATTGTGGTGACTAAAATCATTTTCGATCTTAACCGCAGTGATCAAAATATTTTAACCTTTTTTCTAATTTGGAAAAACGAGTTCTAAACTACATGGAGCCAAGAAAAATTAGTTTGACATACAAGAGACTGCTGAATGTTTGATACGAGTTACAAGCAGGAAGAACACGAGCAAGGTCACTAAACTGGAAGAACCGTGCTAATCTAAGGAATCAGAATTACAATCATTGAAAACCCCAGTAAAAATAGTAACAATTATCATAAAACTCTGATCTCATAACTGTACACCCACGAAGGCCAGCAACTCCAAACAAAGCAGTGAGCTTCTCCAGCACATCTGTGTAACTATTTACAGACATCCTAACTGACACCCTTTTTCAACACAAGGGTACAACACTTGCATCCTTAATTGCCACCCTTTCAACATAGGGGAACAACACTTGCATCCTTAATTGCCACAACTTAAGGCTATCCGACTCGAGTTAGACATCTTACGATGTCACTTCCATGATTTCTACTGCTTTGGGGCTTTGCCCTGGAGTTTCAAACACCTCCATGCCTTCTCGGCCCTCATCATCACCGTTGTTTTCACCTTTGTCATCCTCACAATTGTTGTCATCTTTGTTATCATCATCATCATTACCTTGGACATCCTGTGCATCACCACAACTGTCATTGACATCAACACCTTCAGTACCAATGTGTTTTAATGATGAGGACTTCTTATCATTGACCAAGTCCATATTTTCAGGAGCATCATAACTGGAAGATGCATCCAAGTTCAGTTTTTCCTCTTCAACATGTTTAGTACTAGAAGGAACTTCGATATACGACAAAGCTAAACCATCGGTGTTGATATCTTTGGCAACAGTGGACGATGTAAAGGGATGAGTGCATGAGCTAATTTTTGAAGATATGGCTGAAAGTACATCAAGCTTTGCCTCAACATCAACCCACTGGTCCCCCAACCAATCTCTTGATATTCTCAGATCCTTTTTGTGCACGTTCAAGAGTAAGCTTTCACCTGATACCACCACGGTAATTACATTATAACAAAGGAACGAAGGAAAATTTAGGGAAGAAACAGGGGAGAAAACTAGATACAATTTCTACCATGCATACCAGGAAAGAAAACTTCAAAGTTATCACCACAGCTGCCAACTCCAGTGATAATCCCTTCCCACCAACCATCACTCCACCATGCATCAATTGCAGTCCCAACCTCAAGAGCAAGGTCCATTTGTTCCTTAGGAGGGGCTGGCCGGATCATTGGGCGGCCTAGATGCCTTATGGAAAGCTTATCAGGCATAGCCAGTCTAAAAGCTGGGATCCATTCCTACAAGTTAGAGAGAGAGGGTCATGCCGCCAGAATACAGTTCAAAGCCCAAAGGAAATCAAGGAAACACAAAACAATCACTCAAGAGGACACAATAGTTTATGTGGTCCGATCTAACCAAATGCTTACAGATAATGATGAAGAAAATCACAATACAAAGGCTGCTCCATCTCTCTCATAAGTCATAACAAAAGCCTTTTACACCTAAACATAGGACCATCTTCTAAACGATAACCCTAAACTATGTACACAAGCTTAGATAAAAGTGACTGGGCCAAACAGGTAAATCCTATCAATCTGGAGGATGACAGTGCAACGAATAGTGTTCAAGACACCATCATAAAAGAGTGAAGGTTGACATGCTTTTCGGGGTAAGAGTTCAGAATTTTTTTATAAATAAAAAAATGAAAAAAACACAGATACTCAACATGCTAGATTACATCTCCTAATGAGGGAAAGTACCAAAGAAAGAAGAGAAAAACTGTATTTTGAATTGGAATTACAATGAAGGGATGATTAAAAGAGAATCTTGAATGGAAATTTTGTGTACTTAACTTAAACATGACGTCAGCATTTTTACACCACAACTTAGAGCTCAAAACAAATATTAAATAAAGAACATATACAAGTGGCTAAGCATACCTCAAGATTGCCACATCCTTCCTCATCTTGCAAATCATCATATTGGACTTTCACCTGTTTTCGTGATATCTGCAAGACAGTACACCTAAACCAGCAGCCTCGAATGCCACTATCTTGGCATAGCAATTCTATCTTTTCAGCAACCTTAAAGAGTGGTGTATACCAAGGCTGATAATCAACAAGCTTCATGGAAAACAGTTTCCTGTCTAGCGAACCATAATTTGATTTCTGAAGAGGTCTATATGCCATCATCTGGCTATCTCTTGTAGAACTTCTTGCTCTTGAATGATTAGCTGCAAACCTCTGGCATGGCCTTCCACTTCTAGTCCTCTTAGATCCTAGTTTTAAATACTCACTTGGACCCAATTCATCTTCTTCCCCAATCAGGCTATCACTTATAAACTCAGATTTTGCTGAAAAGTTGGGACCCAAACAAGAGAGAATTGGCTGATCAAAATAGCCATGCATTTTACTCAAATCAAATGGCTTCACCTTGTTACTTTTAAACTGCCTGCAACAAAGATGTACTCTGGCCAATAAAGCCCTAGGAAACACAGCTAAGCATTTTTCATAATGTTCACGAGTTAAGACTGTTGCAGGACCATCAACACATTCTGCACTAATGACCTGCACATATGGTGTGATGAAAACTTCCTTTGGGTGAGGATTTCTTAGAGGAGTTACCCCCTTGACTTCTTGGCTATGATGAAACCACCTCACTTTAACCTTTCTTTGACCTCTCTTGTCTTCGTACATATCTTCAATATAAGCAACATAGTGATTTTCTCCCTTTGCCATGACAAAGACAAAGGACTTAATCTGGATGCAAAGGGAAAGGAAACGCAATCAGAGGAAAAGAATTACGGTTGACAGTAAAAATTGGAGTAGCATGTCAATTCCATCATTCACAGAATACAAATGGTCATTAGCGTTAGACCAAGAAGTACACATTGAGGAAATCTTCAACAAAATGCCTTGATGCATAGTCCTTGAACTAAGTACCCAGAAGTTTATGCATCAATATATCAACTATAAGGCATATGAGACATGTAATACTACAAGGCATAGTGTTACTAGTACATAATTGTGACTCATGCTCATGTGTTTTCATTCAAAGCAACAATAGTGCAACGTACCAACATAAAGACAATATTTTCGTTATCTTCTATAGAATCTTTGAACTTGAGACAAATGCTTCATTTATTCAATGTAATGTCTTTGAAGTACCCATGCAGAGGATATACTTTATCTTAGCTCATACTAATGCCAGAGTAATCATTTTTTCTGATAAGAAATGTCAAAGCAATTATTTCTGGAGTACTTAATTTTCCCTGCACCATTTCTGGCATAATATCACTCTAAAAATTAATGTGGGATTAATGTTTGAGAGTTTAAGCAAGGAGAGCTATGCATTCCACAGTTCCACCTCATGCACTTCAAGCCCAATCACCTCACAAATGCATTCCTACTTTGACTGGTAAATCCTTACCGCTATTGTAATCCCATCCCTACAGAATGCAGGAAAATGCTTGAGCTGTTTCCCACATGTCCATGCAACACCTGACCAAACAATGTCTGGACTCTGTCCCTTGAAGTTCTTTGAAAGACGGCCCTGATACACGAGTTTTCGAGTCAGTATTTCAGGCAAAAATTGAAAGCATAATTAAGAACAAAATCAATAAAGAGTCATTGGTTACATGGGTCTGGGGGGCACTAACTCCATTCATTGGATATTCAGGAGTCCCCGAAGCTTGTGACGAATCATGTTGGGGTGATTCTGTCATAAAAAAAATAAAAATAAAAAGTATTAAAGTCATAAGATTCCAGTCATACAGACCCCCCCCTCATTTATTGCAATTTTAGTAAAAGGGAAGAAGCTATTAGGTATGACATTGAATCTCTTAATAACTAACTTTATACGCTATTAGGTATGACATTGAATCTCTTAATAACTAACTTTATATAGATATTTATATGTGGTAGAACTTATATAATATTTGTCTACCAGTCACTTAAACTAATAATTCAATCTGGGATGTAAGGGAAAGTCAAAATCTTTGCCTTACAATTCAATCTGGCACACATAAACCTAAATTTTATCGACAATATAAGGAACTAGAAATTACGAAGTGGCAACTCATACCGGATAGATCTGCATGTATATGCTGCTTTGACAGCATAGATGTAAGCCAATCCACAACCTCTCTTCTTGACCTCCATTTAAAGTTAGCATTAGTGGAGCTTTCCTTTCCGTGCACATACAAAAATTCCTCAGAAACAACATAGAACATGTGCCTAACACTCCTCTCAGTACCCACAACTGCAAGAATGGATTCTCCAGCAGAATCCTTCAAGAAATAGTGAACCACACGGTTGCCCCTCTCCTGTGAAACAAAGTGCTCTTTCCACTCCACAAAACAGTGACCATTTCCAGACATTTTGACAGAACGCACAAAGAGGGGTTGACAAAACACCAGAAACCCACTTGAAGTTCTAATCACATAGCTGAAGATGCGCAAAATGAAAGATAGCGAAAGGGTTCAAACCTCCATGACTTGGCTGCCTAAAAAGTAACAATGGAGTAATTTTCAGGTCAAAAGGTACAATCTTGAAATTATTTATTACCTTAACCCTCGGAATAAATATAATATATCTTGCTCAAGCTGGAACGACTCAAACAAACGAGAAATGGGTATATTATAAAACTGACCTGAATATAAGAGAGCTTAGGGCTTGGAAACCTAAGCAGATCAAAAGTCTTGACTTTACAGCTGAAAAGGCCCCCAAATACGTAGCAAAAGGTTCAAATAACAATCAAATTTGTTCAATAATCTTCAGGATCAGCAACCATACATAATCAGGAGGACTATACCCTTCAACGAATGCACAATTTGATCACTAGTAACTCAACCATGAAATTTTCCGCTGAGACTTGGAAGAACTACACCAAACAAGAACAGGGGATGTCGAAAACCTTCATGGAAGCCACAAAAACCTGCATTTTGATGGCCTAAAGGCAGATCAGAACACCCTATACTCAATAGAACTCGGTATCAGCGTGAAAGCCCAAAGAGCATCAAAGACATTGCTTTGACTGCTTTTTCCAAGAGAATTGGAACAAATTTGAAATGGGCATCTATAATTAGGACCAGAAAAGCAACTTAAGCTCACGAAAAAGGAACTGGAAAGACGTAAGCCTAGTTGGTAGAACAGACTAGGTGATGCTGGTGTTGGAGGGTTTTAAGAGAAGGGCGAGAAGAGGAAGCTTTGTGCTTGTCTTGGTGGGTACAAGGGAGAGTAGAGAAAGAGAGGGACAAGAGGAGGAGAAGATGAAGGAAGAGAAGGAGAGAAAAGAAGATTTCTTGAAAAGGCCATGGACATGAAAAGTGGGGAGAGTTGCAGAGCTTTGGAAATGTATGTGCAGCTATGGAACAGAGGGACTGGTTGAACAAGAAAAAAAGGAACTATTTCTTAAATTAATATAAATTATAATTTACTTGTTTGCTTTCTTTCCTTTTCTTTTTCTTGGTGGAAGGTAGGAAGGGGAGGAAGGGTTGGATTATTTACTACGACAAACAACTGTTGCGTTGCATCTAACAACCCCATTGGGCTCGAGTCCATTTGTTCATTGGGCCCGAGTCCATTTTTTTTTCTCTTTTTCTTCAATTTTTTTCCCATTTTGTATTTATTTTAAACCTATTTTTATTGTTAATTATGAAAAGTCATATTTACCCTAAAATTTGGTTAAATCTAACAGAAAATTAGACGGTTGGACCGATGGACCAAATAATATAGAGTTGATGGACCATTTGAAACGAATAATTTAATTGAATGACCAAAATGTAAATCGAGTAAAAGTTTAAGGACCATTCAAGTAAATAACCCCCAAAAAAAAAGGAAAAGAAAAAGAAACCACACTAATTAATAAGAGTCCCACTTGAAGTTAGGTAAAAATGTATGTTTTCAATTAGAAGAATTAGCATCACATTATAGGAGTTAATATTGTGCTTGAAGTTATTGCAGCTGTATCACAAGACAAGAAGATTAGGTATAGTTGGCAGCAACAGCTCAAGCTGCTGTAAGATTAACTAGTGGGGAGGTCGGATGTTTAACTAGTTGGCAGTACAAGCCTCTGAATCTTATTGGTCTCTAGGCCAGGGCGACTCGATTTTGTTTTATTTCTCTTTATAATTTTTATGAATAAATGGTTTAAATTTTAATGGGGTTTGCAAAAATTTGGGATCTATTATCTTTATTTACTTACAAAGAACCTTAACAGTATGCGGGAGTTTATTTATTTATTTTAATTTTTTATATAAGTGATATTGAGGGAGAGGGGAATCGAACCTAGAACCTCAAATGTATGAGTAAATGCTATTAACTACTTGAGCTACAAGTCCCTTGTTGCGAGGGAGTTTATTAAGAATAGGGTTTATATGACTTTTTTTTCTCCTTGAGCTCAGGGGTTAGGAGATATATTGTCTAGGCGTTTAGGATTTTAGCCCTAGAAAAGGAGCTGGCTGCCTAAGCTTATTTTATAGAACATAAAGCTTTGGGTGGGTGTCATGCTGTGTTTGATAGTAAATGTAGAAATCGGATTGCTGCATTCTATTTTCAAGAGTTAGAGAGTCCATGCCCAACTTAATATAGGCACCAATACAACTCTCCAAGTCCACACATCAAATCCTTGAAGCGCCAAAACGTACTTACCAAACTTTCAAACTCTGCTCCATCAATGTCTTCCTTTGCATCATGCATGAAATCGTTCACTCTGTTTCTGGCTTACCACTGTTACAGTGCGAGCCAAAACTGATTGAATACTTCCCCTGCATTTTGTACGCAAAAGGGAGCAAAACCTACAGCATCAGAAAAGTGTTGCCAGATATACTCGAGTTCTCCCACCATGAAATGCCAACTTTCCTTTGCCCATTCCTTGAATCACAAGTACAAAACATGACCAGACAGGACTTCTCTCACAGCATAATAATATGCGTCCCAACAGTAGTTCTATTATCTCTGTTAGATACATTGACGGATAGACAAATATATGATATACACATACACACATACAATTTTTTTTTCTTCGATGCATTAAAGAATCCAGAACAAGAATACTGTTATCTGTGCTATCCTATGTTTTCATTCACATATTTGCCTAATAACTGAACGTGATCTCTCTAATCTCTGAGTTTTGACAGGAAAAAATATATTACGAAGTTCACAATGACTCTGGTTTAAACTTCAGGCAATTCTATTTTCAAGTTGCACGTATGTATGGGATAACATAATCTCTTCAATCTTACCTCTTTTCATTAAGCTGCCAATTCATGTGCAATATCCAACATTATATAAGAGAGAGAGAGAGAGAGAGGAGAGAGAGAGAGAGAGAGAGAGAGAGAAGCGTGTTCCGCATCTGCTTCGCTGAGATGTAACTAAATTTTTTTCATTCAATCTATACCAAAATTCACAACGATGCAAAGACTCTTGCCAATTAAGAAAAAGTAAGATAGCTAACAACAAGTTAACGACTTAAATGGCAAGTCCAAAAAGAAAAGTAATCAGGGTAACCGATTTCAAAAACTACAAGTTAAAGGCCAATGATTATTACTGGTGTGCCTCTCAAGTGCCCAGATTTGGTGCCTGGCTTGCTATTGGTGGGCCATGTGAGTATCTCCACTGACCACATGCTGAGCATTTCTCCAACTTCACACAGTTTTCCAAAGTGCAGAATCTACAGGTCCAGATTTTGTAATTTGTACCAACATCTTTTGGTTTCTTTGTGTTACAGAGCTCACATATTGGAGCTAATGGCTGCAGCGTTCCACCCATCATTCACATGCAAAACAAGTATATTTCAAGTAACATTAAGATAGAGAGAAAATTTGCAACATTTAGAGGGAAAAGAAGGAATATTATTCTTTAGAGATACTCAAAAGGAAATAATTTGATATAGAACTTTTTGAAAAAAAGGATGCACTTGTAAAGACATAAAACTATCACCTAGCAATAGAGACACTTACGGGATTCAACAAAGTGCACATTTCGCACTGCCAAAGAGCAGTTTCCTCTGGACTATGTGTTCCATCATTATTAGACCTGGACCCGAAAGATGAAACACATGACTGATGCCTACCACTAGATTCTAGATGGCAATTGGAACGAGAGAATGAACTATTTTCTGATCCTCGACTTCTCTTTTGAGATTTGATATCACAATCAATCATGGACCCAGATATTGACTCATCCATGGATAAATCTACCAACTCAGATCCTAAATTGCATTTGGTAGATTTAGAAAAACCATTGGTATTCAGTTCACGACTTCTTTTTTGCAATAACGTATCTGAGGAATGTGCTTTTGCACCACTGGGAGGCTTTGAACTTCCTGCATTTGGCCCTATATTTTGATGGTCCTCTGATTTATCATAGCTGCATTCTCCATCCATAGAAGCTTCAGCTGACACCGAACCACACCAGATATCATCCTGCAATCTCCTCTCTGCAGCCATCGCAGCAGCTTGCACTGGACTAAGTGCAACCATAATACTGCTATCACCACCAAGACGCTTAGGTCCAGATGGCATCATAGATCCTAAAAGAACTCTCTTTTCTGCAGCAGCAAGTGCAGTTTTGCGGAGAGAAGAAAGAGGGGGTTGACGTGAAAACTCCCCAAACGTCTCCCTGGAAGATCAAACCCCTCAGCATTGCCAGTTATTCCCTTAGACATCAGCTCCTCACATTCCTACAAAGAAATGAAGTCTTAGCAAATTCAACACGTCTTTGTAAACACAAAAACTTATGAAAGGTCAACATAAAAACACCTTTCTAAGTTCATCCCAGAGCTTGTAGAACTTGGCATCATGAGGGCCATGAACATTGTGACAAAGTTCGTGAAGCATTGTATCAAGGACTTGATCAATGGGATAGAAATCCCAATCCCTGTTTGGCCTACGCAGCCTCAGTTTCACATGCACACCGCGGTTCACATTCAACCCTAGAAGACGAGGGTTGTTTGGGCTGTAATGTCATCAAATAACTTTCATCACTTTATGCCCACAAAAAAAGAAGACCAATTTGGGGGTTAAAAAAACACTTTATCAGCGAAAAATTCATATAAAGGCACTCCAACTCCATATAATCGCCGCTAAATAAAAATTTGCAGTAAACTTAAAAATCTAAAGACAATGCAACATGCCAACAGCAGGAGAACTTAAGATTTCCATTGAAAACGGCATGAGAGAAACATAAATAGAGCATTGTCACTGGCAATAACCCCCGCTATTGCCGATCAAAATGATGCAAAATGCAAGGAGCAAAATAACTACATCCAAATTTTGAAGCAGCAATATTTGCCCAATATTGTGAATTAATAAACACAGAAAGAAAGGAAAAAAAAAGTCGATTCAATTAACGGCAATGTGATTAGTTCGCATAGTGAATAATACATTTCCATCATCTTAAGAATACCCAAGAAAAAAAATTCCAAAAAACATTGTGTTGCCTACTATCCACCGCATTCTCGGCAACCAAACAGAGCAAAATGAATTTTTTTAAGGGAAAAAAACACGCAATAAGAAGATGAAGTACCAGAATTCAGAGAGAAGCTTGACGCGCCATTTGTGTTTGCGCATAATGGGCTGGACCTGTTTGGCAATTTTCTCGAGAATCTTCCTGGCTTCCGCTTCCTGATCCTTTCTTTTCAGGGTTTTGATTTCCCAGATCTTGTTTAGGTCCCCCAAATTCATATTTTCTGAAACTAATCGAAAATTTGACAAACACCCTTCTCTTCGAATATGAACCCTAGCAATTGAATCGTTTGATGGGGTTAGAACTTGGAATTTGAATCTACTGCGATTTTGTCACTTTCGAGGGTGGCAGGATTTCGAATATATCGCACGTGTGTCTGTTTGGATACAGAGATTTCGTTGTCTACTTCTACACCTCCTCCGCACCGGCGGAGGTGTAAATGCGTTTTTTTGCTTAAATTGGGAAATATGTTTGATTTGTTTCCGATAATTCATTTTTGTGTTTTTTTTAGTTTTAATTTTTTTAAATTAATTTTGTGTGTGTTAGATTTATTTTATTTTTCTAAATAAATTGACTTTAAAAATTTTAAATTTGGAGAATATATGATTTTACCTACAAACTAACATAAATATATTTATGTAGAAAATTATAATTTATTTTAAACATTTTTAAAGTGTTTTTTCTAATATTTCATACCATTGGAAGTGCAATGCAAATTGCATGAATATATGGGCTTTTCATTTTGAATTCCAATCCATCTCAATCGTTCATCATGGAGCTATTGGGTATTCCAACACACCACTTGGTGTGCTGACGTCAAGCAGGGCCCTCTACATCATTTTGTATAGTGGCTAATGAGTGATTGCAACATTCTCTCTCCCTTTTTCTCCTATGGGTCCCACTTGCATAGGACATAAAATGGATGCACATGAGAACATCCACAGTGGGGGAGAGGGGTGTATTTTTGGAGGTGTAAAGCCACTTTTATATTTCCTTTACATTTTCGAAGGTTGTAAATATGGTTTTTACTCCGATGGGGAATATGTGAATCTTGTATAATTGATTTTTCTCATTTTTATCCACCTTCTCTCACTTTTTCTCATGAAGGCCTCACCTACAAGGGATGTAAAAAAAAAAGCACATGTGCATCTAAATTTGTATCTCATGGTTATGATGCAAATTTACAATCGTTTACACCTCCCCCATTTGCAGGTGATTCTGATAACAAATGGTATATATTTAACATACACCTCATTATACAACCTCCCACTGAAGATGCTCTAAGCATCTCCAGTGGGATGTGATGCATTTTTACACCCATTTACACCTGCCCATTGCAGGTGATTCCGATGGCAAAATGTCTATATTTAGCGTACACCTAGCTTTACACCCCCCACTGGTAATACTCTTACACTCCCATTTGTTTTTTTTAATGCTTTTTAATCAATTTTGTTCTTTTTATTATTTATCTTTCTTATTGTACCATTACACTACATTAATTTCTTTTTACTTCACTTTTATATTATTATTTTTTCTTTATACTTAATTTTCCAACTTGCACTCCATTTTTTGTTTTTTTTATCGAGTGAGAAATAATTAACACTGTATATTTGTCTAGGAAAAATCCCATGCCCTAGAAAACCTTAAACCTAAGCATAGCCTTTTTTTTTTTTTTTTTTTTTTTTTTTTTTTTTTTTTTGGGGAGGGAAGGAAACAATTTTTAATTCAAAAGACAATAAAATATAGAGATGGCCAAGGTAGCCACAAAGAAACAAAAAACAAAGAAAGAGTAATTAGATTGAACAAAATCCTCATACTCAATACCAAAGCTCAAATTAAAATCACAACTTTAGTAACAAATACAAAAGAGGATATAATTTAACCAAACTATATCATTCGACTTAAACCATCACACTAAGAAAATTCAACCATACAAGAGCAGACAAAAGCTATAACCACAAATAAACCTTAATTCAAGATAAGGGTAGAATAGGAAAGAGAAAGAACTAAATTGATTAAAAAGTATTAAAAATCAAAAGGGAGTGTAAGTGGACAAAACGGCAGTGGGAAAATCAGCTCCTTTATTAAAATGGCTTCTAAAAATTTTAAAACAATTTTACATTATGACCTAGATTATCAAACGCTTTAAAACTTTTTCTTTTTTGGGCCAAAGCTTTTGTTGAGTGATTTTTATCTTAGTCTTTACTCAATGGTGATGTTGATGTCCAAAAATGGAGTCCTTCGATAGATGATACTAAGACCTGCAAAAGGGACAAGCTCGAAAATAACCTTGGCACTAGTGTGGTACAAAGCTAAAGCACTCTAATGCTTAAGTTAGCACAAGGGTGGATTAGGGAATTATTTCGACATAGTACATTACACGTGCGAATTAATGATTACCTGATGCACTAGGTGGGAGACATCTCTTGTGATTTATTCAATATGGGACTATTGGCATGCCGACACGTATACCTAAGGTTTAGTAGCACGACATGTGCTTTGGCCAAAGTGGCACGATAAGTGACTTATTGAAGGAAGAGCTTTATTCATTCCTTACGTTGAAGATGTGCGTCATCTCCCTTTCCGAAGGCTAGATGATGTGGCCATTTGGATTGGCAAGGGGCATGCTTGGCGGTTTGCACATGAAGGGTCTTTGACATGCACGATCGTTACTTTATGGTCCGCTTTTTATTGATTGTGCTCGATCAGTTATGGTATAAACGTGCGACAATGTTAATGTGTAATTCAATGTCTTTATAAACAATAGTAGCAAGTTAGTAAAAAAAAATCAAGAGAGATGTTATTACCATAAGGAAAAAAAGAAGAAGAAGAATTAACTACATTTTACTCCATGCAGGATAGGGTCATTATCAAAATGAGCCTTGAGGTTTCAATTTCATCAATATAAAACCCAACATTTTTAAATATGACGAAATTACACACTCCATCAACTTCATTGTTTGATTTTCTGTTAAATTGTTGTCAAATTACGCACGCTATTGTTATTTTCTTTATTGTTTTCTTTTGCACATCAGCATAAAAATGACTATTATACATGTTGCGTCCCCAATTTAATATAAAATCAAACAGTGAAGTTGATGGAGTGCGTATTTTGATCATATTTAAAAACGTTGAGTATCATATTGATAAAATTGAAATCTCATGGCCTATTTCGATAATAACCTTAAACCTAAATGGAGTTAAATGTAGTTAATAATAAATAAAAAAAGGCATCTTTCACTCCTTCGAACTTCTCCAAGGGATATGTCAAATACCAAACGTTAAATTTAAATTTGATGGCTGATGTGGCAATTTGACATCTTACACAGCTTTACACTCCACCCGATATGCCAAATTAAATTATTATTTTATTACATTTTAGTGTTGATTCATTTTTAATTAAAAAGAATAGAAAAGAAAAAATAATAAAATATTCATTTGACATCTTGCTTTTGGGATGTCAAAAATAACATCTCAACCTCCAGCCTTCATTCCACATCAGCTTTGACACATCGGTTGGAGTGATGTGAGATGTTATTTATAGCTGTTAAATGTCTATGTGGCACGTTTGACACATCGGTTGAAGATGCTCTAAATTGCAATATTCATTGTGAGTTAGGGCCAAGTGGCTGTTTGGTTTGAGCTTCCTTGAACTTTCAGAGCCCAAGCCCAACACTATGGACCAACACAAAAAAAAAAAAAAAAAAAAAAAAAAAAAAAGAAAGAAAAAGAAAGAAAAGGAGAAGCTAGGCGATTGGTTAGCGACAACACCAACGACGGTCTCTAGTTCCACTCTCTCTCAAAACCCCAAACACTGTGCCTCCTCCTCCTAGTCTCCTTCTCTGCTAAATAAAATCCCATCTTTTCGGTCTCTTAAATCTCGTAGTAATAACCAGCAATATTTTCAGGCAAAATAAGAACCGGAAAGTATCACAGAAGCCTGTTTGCTATATTTTGTTTGGTTTTGGTTTGGGGGTGGTTGCTGGGTTTTTTTTTTTTTTTTTTTTTTTTTTTTTTTTTAGAGAGGTGTAACAATGGCGGGAATAGCTATAGTTTTAGATCTACTGAGAAAAAACCCAACTCAAACAGCCCAGGCATTACACTCTTCTGGGTTTTTCTCAGCTAAAGCAGCAGCTGCTGCTGCCTCTGTTGCCGCCGGAGCTCCGTATGTTTATAAGACATTATTCGGGTACTCTCTCTTATTTTTCTTAGTTCTTTTTTCCAATATGTGTGTTCTATGATGTAGCTGGTTGCGATGATATGGATTTTATATTGGGCTATGCTGATGTTGGATTGTCTGGTGTGGAAATTAGTAGAGATATAGACATGCTCAGGTAAGTGGTGTGGCTCATGGGTGCTTTTGTCTGTGAGCAGTGGAAATTGGGGTAATGATTATTTTGTTATTTGCCCGTTAGTTTACATGGTGGTATATTGTAGTGGGTGTGGGGATATGTTGAGTATGGGAATTTGATGATACTTGGAAATATTGATTTCTGGTTGATTTTGTATCAATTGGTTATCGACATATACAATATGAACAATTGTAAAAGTGGATGAAGGTTCAGTAAGCTATTTTTCTAATTTCCTATTTAAGGGTAGTCCTAAACTTTTGATTGTGTTTGATTTACTTTTTGCGGTATACAAGGATTGAAATATCGGCCGATACACCGATATATCTGCCGATATATCGGTATTTTCAACTATCGACATCGATACTGGGGGGGTAAGGCCATATCTTCCCCTATATCGACGATATATCTCCGATAAGTGTGATATCCTCGATATTTTGCCGATATCCCCGATATTTCCCGATAGCCCATAACAAAACCCAAAAAAAATTTAGAAGTTTTGAAGGCAATTGAAGCAAATTGAAACCCAAAAATAGCTAATCCTTGCCCAGAACCCTATAATTTACTAATATGAAGAATCTATGCACAGTCCACTGCCCACATACCTCCAATCCATCTGAAGAGGACATGGCGATCAGTTGATCTATGAGCATAGGAACTAGACCTAGTACTAACTCAAATGAATCTTATGATGGTTATGTCATGTCTGATTATAGGGGAACTAGTTATGGAGCTCAAGATGATAAAAAAGATTATGGACCTACTAGTTGGTTAATCCTAACTATCCATATATGGGAGGACAATAGGGGCTCAAGAGAGACCTATGTGCACCATGTTCAAACATGGCTTACAAACTGCTCGGGTTACATGACTTGGTATGACTATTGTACGAATCTAGATGGTTGTTCCTCATTGTTTGAACCTCATAGGAGCTCTTCATTTATGTAAATGGACACTTATCTAAATTGTAATCCAATGTTTAAACAAACTAGGATTTATGCATGGTTTATTCATTCTAATTAACATTTTATTTTCGAAACTTTTCATTAACGCGCATTACATACCACTTATATTTCATCATATGTATATCTTATTATTAGTAAATTTTGAGTTTTATTTGTTCAATACATTCATTGATAATGTACATAACATCTATGAAAGTTTTACACCAAATTATGTGTTTCAATGCCTATATCTGTCATTTTTGTTGATTTTTTTCCCGATACCTAAAACGATAACGATATATCCCCCGAAATATCCGTAAATTGGAGACCCGATATTATCTGCACGGCCGATATTTTAATCCTTGGCGGTATAATGCATTCTTGGTTTCTTATATGGTTGAAGATGAAGAAGAATAAATTCAGGATTGTTAGTTTGATGTGTAACCCCTATACAAAATGTCAGGAAAGTAAAACTTTTCTTTGCTATTGGGTTTCATGTCCCTGTTGTGTAGGTCCTTATTCATTCATTCTTTCTTGAGTTCGTTGCATAATCTTAATATCAGTAGCATGTCTTTAATGAGTTTAATTATTTTATTTCATTATTACTGTGAAGATTGTTGTTGGCTGAAGTTTGATCATGTACTAATGTTTTAGTACTATGCAACAGTAATTTTAGGATACCAGTTGCCTACTGTGATGCTGGAACAGCATGGTCTGAAGACTATGTTTCTAATTTACAAAGCGCATCTCAAAGATTGTTTCAGAATGACTCTCTGAATTACAGTACCAAGGATTACAAAATTGAGTTAAAGCCTCTGTTCTCAGCTTTTGAATGGAGGGCTCTAGCTATGACAACTTTGAGGTCATTTTTAATGTTCTTTTTACCTCTTTTGGAGCCTCGTTCAAACTTGGAAGAGGATGATGATGACTTCCTGCCAGACACTGAAGAAGAGCAGCATGTAGACTATGCTGTGCCAATAAAAAAATCAGTAATTCAAATTGTTCGTGAGGTAAGTTGTTTTTCCTGCTTTCTTCTTTTTATGTTGAATTTAGGTTAACCAAATTTCAATCATACAGTCGAACCAAAAAACTTTCAATCATACAGAATGTCCTTCAATGAATTCCTTTAGTTCCATGGTGCCTTTTTCTGTTTACCCTTTGTTGGTCTTAACACCAGACTATGATATGCTTCAGATAGTTTGACTCAAAAAATTTCTCTGTGAAGGGCTCATTAAAGGATTAAGATATCACGTTGGAAATATCAATATCCAGCGAGTGCTTGGTAGCATTAGTTCTGTGGAGGCCTTACTGAAACTATGATACTTGTAAATCATTATGCACTATGCATCATAAGTAGCCATGGCAGTTATTAGAAATTTGTGTTTCTTGAAAAAATGACTAAATGTCAACAGAATTAGGTGCTTGGATTTTCATCCTTTTTCCAATGCTTGTTGATGCTCTAAATTATAAATGAGATGAAGCGTGTGTCACAACTCATATTTATTTGAAAATCAATTTGGTCACAAAACAAGCTAGTTTCTGAGAATGCGCTGCAGATGTTTGTTAGTTGTCGAATCATCTCCAAAGCTTTGATCGCTACGCTACCCTCTTATTGTTACTCCCCTTACCATACACCACTTCAAATGGTTACTTCTCCCCTTACTTAACTGATCGGGGACAAATCTATGCTCTTGAACTTGAACACTGTGATGGGTAACATGGCTATACGACTGGAGATCGGTGATGCTTTAAATTCTCTTTGTCCATTTTTGGGGATTTTGGCATGAATTGGGCATAAAGTCCTAAGCTTCGTAGGCCCAATGATCATCCAGATGCTCATTAGCCTTCACCTGAAACAGTGTTAGGGAGTTTTTCTCTCTTCCTTTTTTCCCCCAACTGTAGTTACTTAAATAAGCCACCTACCAAATTTTGTACTTCCCAGGATTGCAACTTATTCTTGTATTCAACAAAGTTTGGCGTCTTGCATTGCTGTTCAATTGGATATGTAGTCTATCAGTGTATGTAAGGCATCCAGTAACTATTGGAGACAAAGATGATTGAGTTAATTTTTGCATCCCATCGCAGACTACTGTTGTAACTACAAGACGGATTCTAGAACGACTTGCTGTCCATTATGTTTCACAGAGAATGGCATGGAAACTTCTTAAAGGTAATTTCTTTCTGTAATAATTCAAATCTAGTTTAATTTTAGAAGAATAAGTGAACAAAACTTATGAGGATAGTAGGGATGAATCGATTTGTAATTAGAAAATATGATTGACCACATGCAATCAATTTGTACAGATGTTCCAAAGTCAGCCATGAGGAAAGCTGGAAGAAAGTTGCCTACTTTGGTTTTCTTCTTCAGTGTTAGCAGAACAACTTTCAGAGGTGAAATTCCAATTCTTGTATCCTATTAAAAATAAATAAAAGAGACTCCCGGGGCCGTGGGGTGGGTTGGAAAGAAAGAATCATATAGCCTCATTATTGTTGGTTGCTTGAACTTTCAATCTCACTGTGCTGTTTATGTTTATACGTTTGTGCAGGGCACTTTCTGGGTGTTGCAGCGTCATGGCTCATCCAAGTAGGCATTGAAATCTACCGATTTTTTTCTCATATGATAAAGTCTAAAGAAGAAGTTGATGACATTGATACGCCAGAGCAACTTAAACTTCTTGCGACAAAGGTTTCAAGTGCTACTATCAAGTGTGGTGCATCACTCGTTTTTGCTTCCATTGGGGCAGGTATTGGTGCCACCCTTATCCGCCCTTCGGTTGGCCAGTGGATTGGTAAGTGAATGAATTAAGTGGTCTGTATATTTTAGTACCCATTGTATGACCTTGTTGTAGTCTGCATATATATAATTTCTATTTTGTTTTGACAGGCTGTGCTGCGGGGGATTTGGCAGGGCCTGTTATCATATCATATTGCTTTGGGAGAATTTTCCCTGCAGAACTTTGAGCACTGGGGATAAACTTGTTTGGTGTGTTCTTTGCAATTGCTTCGAAGTTGACTGGTATACACAAGACAATTTGTTAGAATGTGATGATAAAAGTTTTGACAGCAAGACTTGAAAAAACTTTTTACGATGAATTTTTCAAATAAACTGTTTTACTTTGGTGTTTACTCATCGTGGTTGTGTGATTAGTGGAAGAATGCTTTCTGAATTAGCCAAGATAGGGAATGGTAGAGACATGGGTTGTCAAATTTTGGAGGAGCCTCCTTGCAGCGTAATTTCTGTTTTATTATATGACAAGGCCGGCAAGGCCTGTCCTAGATTAATTGTTTCTTAAGTTTGTTTTTGGCTCTGCCTCAGTGTAACCGAAGAAAAGAATGCACTCTGAATTGATTGTTTCTTTGTACTGCATATCTATGCCCATTCTTGTCTTATGTATCTGTGCTCCTGGGAACAATTTTAAGGTTTGTTTGATATTGAACTTAGTATTCTGATGAATGCTTCTGAGAATGAATGTTTGGATTTATGACGGGCTTGTAACTCAAGTGATGGTGAGCATTTATAAATAAATAAATAAATCATGCCAGAGTTTAAACACCATCCACCTCTGGCCTCTTTGTAACCAAAAGAAAAAAATAAGAAAGAGAAGTTGCATGTCATTTGTACAGCTTCTTTGCGGCCAACTTGGTAAATGCCAATCTTACTGAATATGAGACGAAAATGCAATTGCAACTTTGATGTGCATTGAAAACATTAGTAAATTATATAGCAAATGTGAAAAAAAACCCAAAAGAAGCACCTCTACTCCAAACCAGCCCACCAAATTTCAAAATGACAAGAATGGATATACATAGCAAAAAATAGACATGCAAGTCCTCTCCTGAAGACAAGACCAGCAGCCAAGTTCTGAAATTTTTGTTAGCATGACCAAAGACAAAGGTCATCCTAGAGCACTCTTTCATTTCATGGCATGTGAGTTGTGCATGGGAATTGTGACTCTGTTTGCTTGTGTATGTGTAAGTGCGTTATGTGTGCCGTGTGATCAGGTGTAAGTATGCATGTGATGGATTGTGTTGGTGTAAGAAGTGGTAACAACGAAGTGTAGGGTGCTTTGTATAAAAGAGAGACTTCTGAAGAGAGGAGTGCATCACGGAAGAAATTTTTTTAGTACTCTCCTTCAACCTTCAATCCTTCAATAAAATTCCCCTTTGTTTTTTCATACACTATCTCTCAAACCATTGTTAATACACTGTTCATACGTACTCTCTTTTAACCATTGTTTATACATCGATAATTAATACGTCTAACTTCTTAGAAATATCAACATCAAACAATACTTAAGTAAGTCTTTTTATCTTTCATTTTTTAGTTTTCTCAAACAAACTTCTAGTTCAAAATAGGAAAACACTATTATAATTGTGTTATTATATAATTTAATGCTTGCCATAAAAATAACTAGATGTTAGTCAGGGAACCTCTGGGTTAAGAGGACCTTTGAGTTTTGCAACCATAGCCCTGTAAGTTGTCCTTTTTGCAATTCAATGCTCAAGTTTCATTTTCTTGAAAATTAATTTGATTAATTATATATAAGTAAATAGTCACTTCATTTATTTCCTTCCCAACTAGTTAACAATTAGTAAGTACATGAATGCAGAAAGTCGTTGTTACCCCTAAATAAAAACCAATCACTATTTTTTTACGTTTTTCTATTCTATATCTATATCTGCACAATTACCTCGGTTGGAAGTGACGCACCGTGATGGCGTTTAGCGCCGCCTACCGTGAGGCCATCTTGGAAATGAAATATAAGATGAAGAGGCTAGTAGAAAAGGTCAAGTGGAATGAAAAATGTTATTCTTACCACTAGAGTCACTCAAGCTCCACCTCGCACTTCGCCACCAAAATGGCTCGGATGAGAAAAATGGCTCCAACGATGACAACGGGACTAGTGGAGATACTCCAAATTATAAGTTTTGAGTCCAAAAAACTTCTCAAACTCATGTATTTTGGGGGATGGAAATTTGAGAAATCTCAAATTTGGACTATAATTCCACCCAAACTATTGCCTGGACTGATAATGTTTGTGGGCTCAAAATCTTCTTTGTTTTTTGCCTTGAAAGCCCACGTGAACAACAAAAAGTGTTTGGCCCCACGTGAGTTTTGCAACAAGCTGGCCATTCGATTGAATTCTCTTCAACAGCTACTTTTTTCAACCATTTTTTTTTTTTTTTTTTTTTTCTTTTTTTTTTTTTTTCCTTTTTTTTTTTTAATTTAATTTTTTTAATATTCCAACAGCTATAATTTGTGCCAACCAAAAATCCTTTTTTTTTCCCCGTTTGTTATATTTTTTCATTCTATTTAATACTTTACTCATTCTTATATGGTGTTGCACTTGTTTTCATTTTTAAGTGAAATTCTATTATGTTTTGGAATTTTAATTTTTTTAGGTTAAAATGTTTAGAAAATTAAATCACGAATGTTGAAACAAAAATAATGTCAAGAAAAATTAACGAGAAAAAAATTTAGGGGTTAATCATTCTTAAATAATTTAATAAAGTTGCAGACTCAAATTATGAGTCTGCAAGGTTGGAGAGAAAAAAAATAATTTTGAGTCCTGAAAATACATGAATAGTTGTATTTTGGAGGGTGGAAATTTGAGTTTAGCCCCAACAAGGTTGGAGATGACCTTATGTAACTTTTTGTACGTAGATAATAGTACATAGTAGCTAACAGAAAGGGAAGAGAGAGGGGGAGTGGAAATGGGTAATTGTTGTGTTGATAAATAAAAATGCAGCTAAAAAACGGGTTACATACTTTTTTGAAATCCGATGGAGGTGTTGTGGTACCCTTTTTGTTTGGTCGAATTTTCCTCCCGCTGGGGTTTTTATGGTCAAGGTTTTAATGATGCCACTTTTTTAGTCCTCATGTAGTGGTGTATGAGTGCAAGAATCACTTCATTTCTTTCATTCTCAACTAGTTAACAATTAGTACGTATATGAGTGCAAGAATCTCAACTTGGAGCTCAAAACTTGCAATATTTTGCCCCTGGCTCCATTATGATCAAGGTAAACGAAAAAGACCGTGCAAAGCTTGAAGGTTCCATGAAAAGTGGTAGGAGAAGAAAGACCCCATCACCAAGCTGTCGGAGGCAGATCTTCTATAAGGTTCCATGAAGAATACCAGCAAGATTTTGGGAGCACAAAAATAGTTATAACTTCCATGTTATTCCATCTGTAAACACAAATCTTCAGAGACTAGCCTTGCCAAAACCATTTGCTTACAAAGACTTAGTTGCAGCCACCAATGGCTTTGCAAACGACAGAAGGCTAGGTCAAGGGAGGTCAGGACAAGTTTATAATGGATTCATACAAGATCTAGGACAAGTTTGCTGTCAAGAGAATTTTGTGCAGTCTGAGCACTATGAGAAAATCTTCATCAATGAAGTCAAAATAATAAGCCGCTTAATACATAGGAACCTTGTGCAGTTCATTGGATGGTGTCATGAGTGTTGATTTATAAACTCTTAAGCAGATTTATTAGTTAGTTAAATATAGTTTCGTTTTAGCTCACTTTGTAAGCCTAGTGTAAGCTTTCTATTGGATGACTAAAGGAACGGTTGAGATCTCTTTGATGTGTAAGGATCCAGCTATTAAGCCTAACGGTCATATATTCCCTCACACTATGTGCTTGAGGTTGTAAATAAGTGAGAGAGTCTGAAGGAATAGAACATTCCTCTGCTACACGTATAGCAGAGTCATTTTTGCCAAAATACTGTTTGCTCTAAATTCTTCTTTTCTTCTTCATCACTCTGCCTTCCAAATCTTAGAAAACACTAACATGGTATTAGAGTCAGGTTCAATCATCTGAAGCTGGGCATTCAATCTGTGAAAGAAAAATCATCGGGAAATTTGGAGGCTCGTTCAAAGCTCATGAAGCCACTTGAGCTCGTTTTCTCCTCAATCTGAAAACAACTTGTTTTTGGAAGCATCTGAGATCAACCATAGCTGGATCTGGAAGCTCAGAGGTGAGAACTACGATTTTCTCTAGCGAAAACTATGAGTTCTGAAAGATTAAGATGGTGACCATATTCAAATCATATGGGCTTTGGAATCTGGTAGAAAAAGGAATTCCAATCTCCTATTCTAAGAAGAAGAAGAAGAAGAAGAAGGCATCTGAGGAAATCTCAGAAGAGGAAAATGATAAGAAAGCAGCTGCAATCCTCATGAAGGATGCAAAAGCTCTGGGTATTATCCAAAATGCGGTCTCAGATCAGATTTTCCCACGAATTGCAAATGCGGACTTTGCCAAAGTAGCTTGGGAGCTGTTGTATGGAGAATTTCATGGTGGAGATCACGTTAGATCAGTAAAACTTCAAAATCTCTTATGTGAATTTGAATATACTAGAATGCATGATAATGAATCGTTGTCTGCTTACCTTACCAGACTAAATGACTTGATTAACCAAATGAAAACGTATGGTGAAGTGCTCTCGAATGAGAGGCTTGTTCAAAAGGTCCTGATTAGTCTAAGCAAGATATATGATCCTATTTGTTTGGTGATTGAGAACACTAAGAGTTTAGAAATTGTGGAATTACAAGAAGTAATTGCCATTCTGAAAAGTGAAGAGCAACGATTTGAGTTGCACAATGTTGATGCAATTGAAAAAGCTTTTGCCTCATTCACTGTCCAAAAGGCCAGAACAAAAGTGTAGTGCAATTTGGTTCATCCAAGTTTCAAAAGAATTGGAATCCTAAGGGGAAACCATGGGAGTCAAAAGGAAAGTCTCAACAAAACAATCCTGCACCAGCTCACAATTTTAGCTCATCACAGCCAGCAAGTCAAGAGGGTGTAAAGCCTCAATGCAAAGTGTGCTCAAAGTACCATTTTGGAGAATGTAGATATAAAGGCAAGCCAAAATGTTACAATTGTGACAGGTTTGGTCACTTGGCTAGAGAATGCACTGCAGGGAAATCTGTGCAAAAGGCAAATTGTGCAAACCAAGTGGAGGTGACTGGAAATTTGTTCTATGCAAATTGTGCAACCATTGAGGCAAACCCAAATGGGGATTGGTACATTGACAGTGGCTATAGCAACCATATGACTGACAATGTTGATTTACTTGTTGATGTGAGAACAAATGTGGCAGGACATGTACAAATGCCAACTGGTGTACTTGTGAAGGTGGCTGGCATGAGATCATTGATCATTGAAACAACCAAGGGGAGAAAATACATCAGAGAAGTGATGTATCTTCCAGGCTTAAGAGAGAATCTGCTGAGTGTTGGGCAAATGGATGAGCATGGATATTTTCTGGTGTTTGGAGATGGAATGTGCAAGGTGTTTGATAGTTCCTCACTGAACTGTCTCATCATAAAGGTTCCAATGAAGAAGAACAGGTGCTATCCTTTGTCTCTTCTAGCTGAGAATTAACTGCTTATGAAGGCTAGTATCACCCATTGCACATGGATTTGGCATAAAAGACTAGGACATCTACATTTTAGAGGATTGAAACAGTTGAGAGACAAAGATATGGTGCATGGCTTACCTAAATTGGAAGAACAAAATGGTGTGTGTGAAGGCTGCCAATTTGGAAAACAGCACAAAAATGTTTTTCCAAAGAATCAAGCTCAAAGAGCAAGCATCTCACTTGAGTTAGTCCACATTGACCTTTGTGGGCCTATGAGAATTGAATCTGTTGCAGGCACCAAATATTTTATGTTGATCATTGATGACTTCACAAGGATGATTTGGCTCTATTTCTTAAGAAACAAGTATGAAGCTTTCAATTGCTTCAAGAAATTTAAATCCATGACTGAGTTGCAGTCTGGACACAAGGTGAAATGTTTGAGGAGTGATAGAGGTGGAGAATTTCTATCTTCTGAGTTTGTACAATTTTGTGAAGATCATGACATTCAAAGGCAGCTCACAATGGCCTACACTCCTCAGCAAAATGGAGTGGTAGAAAGGAAGAACAAAACAGTAGTTGAAATGGCCAAGTCTATGCTACATTAGAAGGAAATACCTTATTTCCTTTAGGCAGAAGCTATTCACACAGCTGTATACATTCTAAACAGATGTCCTAACAAGGCCTTGAACAATGTCACACCCTTTGAGGCTTATAGTGGAAGAAAGCCTGGTATTACTCATCTAAAAGTCTTTGACTCCTTATGTTATGTTCATGTGCCTAATGAACTAAGGCATAAACTCGAGCTTAAGAGTGTGAAAGGAGTGTTTGTGGGATATGCAACTTGTGAGAAAGGATATAGGATCTTTGATCCAATCTCCAAGAAACTTACATTGTCAAGAGATGTCACCTTTGATGAAGAGGGATCTTAGAATTGGACATAAAACTCTGGCAAAGCTGTAACACCACTTCTTGATGAAAACCAAAGTGAGCATGGCTTCATTATAGGAGATAAAGACGAGAATACTGCACTAACACCTCAGACTAAAATTCGATATGAAAGGAGTCCATTATCTTCTCAATCACCTTCACAACACATCTCAAGTGACATAAGCAGTGAAGAAAGGAACACCCAAGCTTATGATCACTCACAATTGAAATGGAGAAGGCTAGATAATGTGCTTGTATAGTGCAATTTATGCATCATTGAACTAGAGAAATATGCAGAGGCAGCTCAAGACAGTTCATGGCTGAAAGCTATGGAAGATGAACTGCACATGATTGAGAAAAATGATACATGGGAACTAGTGGACAGACCAACTGAGAAACCAGTTATTGAAGTCAAGCGGGTCTACAAAACCAAGCTTAACTTGGATGGTTCAGTCTAAAAGAATAAGGCAAGGTTAGTTGCCAAAGGGTATGCTCAGAAACCTGGATTAGACCACAATGAAACCTATGCTCCTGTGGCTAGATTGGACACCATTAGAACTCTCATTGCTTTAGCTACTCAGAAAGAATGGAAGTTGTACTAGCTTGATGTAAAATCAACTTTCCTAAATGGTGTATTGCAAGAAGAGGTCTATATAAACCAACCATAGGGCTTTGTGATCAAAGGCAAGGAAGACAAAGTGTATAGGCTGCACAAAGCTCTTTATGGTTTAAAACAGGCACCTAGAGCCTGGTATGGAGAGGTAGACACCTACTTCACTAAGTGTGGTTTTGAGAAAAGTCTAAGTGAAGCTACATTGTATACCAAGACAAGGGGAGACAATGACATTCTAATTGTCTCTATCTATGTAGATGACATTATCTATACAGGAAATAGCAAGGAACTGTTGAATGAATTCAAGGAAGATATGATGATGAAATATGAGATGACAGATTTGGGCCTTCTACATCATTTCCTTGGTATGGGAGTGGTTCAAACAAGATCCAACATATTCATCCACCAAAGGAAATATGCAAGCTCTCTATTGAATAAGTTTGGTTTGAATGAGTGCAAGACTGTGACCACACCCGTTGCAGCAACTGAGAAGCTAACTAAAGATGATGGAAGTGGAGCAACAAGTGAGGAGCAATATAGAAGCATTGTAGGTAGTCTCTTGTACCTAACTGCTACTAAACTAGATATTATGTATGCCTCTAGCTTGCTTGCTAGATTCATGCACTGCCCTACAAATAAGCACTATGGAACTGCCAAACGAGTGCTAAGGTACATTAAGGGGACTCTAGAATATGGTCTAGAGTATGTGAAAGGAAAAATGCAGTGCTGATTGGTTTCTGTGACAGTGACTGGGGTGGATCAATTGAAGACAATAAGAGCACATCTGGATATGCAGTCTCCTTTGGCAGTGGTGTTTTCTCTTGGGCTTCAGTCAAGCAAAACTGTGTTGCATTGTCTACTGCAGAGGCAGAGTACATCAGTGCATCAGAAGCTACTGCACAGGCCATTTGGCTTAGATTTGTGTTAGAAGATTTTGGAGAACTTCATACAGAAGCAACTCCATTGCAGTGTGACAATACATTTGCAATTGCCATTACCAAGAATTCTGTATTTCATCAGAAGACAAAGCACATTGATAGAAGGTATCACTTCATCAAAGATGCACTACAAGAAGGTATTATTGACTTGGTGTACTGTCCTACAAATGAACAACTTGCTGACATCTTCATCAAACCATTAGCCAAGGATCGATTCAATTATCTCAGGAGTATGCTTGGAGTTAAATCAGCTCAAGATTTAAAGGGGAGTGTTGATTTATAAACTCTTAAGCATATTTATTAGTTAGTTAAATATAGTTTCGTTTTAGCTCACTTTGTAAGCCAAGTGTAAGCTTTCTATTTGATGACTAAAGGAATGGTTGAGATCTCTTTGATGTGTAAAGGATCCAGCTATTAAGCCTAACGGTCATATATTCCCTCACACTATGTGCGTGAGGTTGTAAGCAAGTGAGAGAGTCTGAAGGAATATATCATTCCTCTGCTACACGTATAGCAGAGTCATTTTTGCCAAAATACTGTTTGCTCTAAATTCTTCTTTTCTTCTTCATCACTCTGCCTTCCAAATCTTAGAAAACACTAACAATGAGGAGGGCGAATGCTTACTTGTTTATGCATACATGCCTAACAGCAGCCTTGACACACATCTATTTGGCCCCAGAGCAACCCTGCAATGGGATTTTAGGTGTAAAATAGCCTTAGGCTTGGCCTCAGCCCTTCATTATTTACATGAAGATGTGGAGCAGTGTGTGCTTCACAGGGATATCAAATCAGCTAACATATTGTTGGACAACGATTTCAGCACTAAGCTTGGTGATTTTGGGATTGCTAAGCTGGTGGATCGCAGTTCAGGACTCAGACAACAGGGGTGGTAGGGACTTTTGGATACATGGCACCAGAATATGCAAATGGGGGGAGGGCTAGTAAAGAATCTGACATGTTTAGTTTCGGAGTTGTGGCTTTGGAACTAGCATGTGGAAGGAGGACTTACCAAGAGGGAGAATACGACGTGCCGCTGTTTAGGTTGGTTTGGCAGCGTACCTTGCAGGAAATATTCTTAATGTAGCTGATGAGAGAATGAGTGAGAATTTTGATAAAAAGAAATGAAGTGTTTGTTAATTGTTGGATTATGGTGCACTCACCCTAACAGCAAAGAAAGACCAAAAGCAGGCCATGTGATGAAGGTTCTTCAGCTTGAAGCACCATTGCCAGTACTTCCATATGACATGCACAGATATGATCATCTCATGCCACAAGACAATGATTTAAGTCCTTCAGCTCGATGTACCATTGCCTGAATGTCGAAAGGAATTTCATGATCATACATCCCGTATCCTCAACAAAAGACCTGATTTGATCTTTCCGTCATTCAATGTGTCTACCATGCGGTTTGTTCATCTATGTAACAATAAACCATTTGTTGGAGAAGGGTTATGCACTCGACAAAGCAGTTCTGTGGGCAAACCCCACTACAAGTTTTTTGCAATCTTTAGTTGGGATTTGAGGTAATAATGCTGTTGTGATGATTTGGGACATTTGCAGCCATATGCCAGAGATTGTTCCTGCAGTATTTGTTTGTGGAAGACTACATTTGAAGCCTGTATGGGGAATGTGGCTAATTGAATAACAGCAGTGATAAACACGAGTTTCTTTTTTTCTTTTTTTCTTTTTCTATAATAAGTTATTAATTCAGGTTTACAGCACTGTTAATGATGTTCAATAATGTTTATTTCCATTTTAGTCAAATTCTTACACAGATTACCTATCCCTTCTCTTCTGGTTCTTTTGCTTGTAGTAGTTGTGAGGGTCATTCAGAATTTACTGCTTAGATGGCTTGGCAAACCATCTGGGCGCTGATTCTTATCTTATCTTATATACAAAGTGACAAAAATGAATCCATATAAATATGGATCCCTTTAAGTAGAAGCAACAGGATGTGATTAATCACTAAATTATTGAACTGCAGCCAAACTCAATAATTTTTTTTTCAATTTCTTTGCATAAGCAGCTAAATGTCGCGATACTTTGAACATATGATGCTAAAATGTATAGATTCATTTCTATGTATGCTAATACACAAAACATCTGTTTCATCAAAAAATACACAAAAGATCTGTTTCATATTTGCATAACATCCAAGACATGTCAATGTGGCAATGTCTGTTTGATGTTTACATACAGTAATGTCAACTCTCTCCGGATGTTCACTGGTGTACATACATCTAATGTAATTGTACCAATCAGAAACTGATTAGGTGCCAACGTAGTTTTCATTTCTGAATTTTTTTCTCATGGTGATAACTGCATTTGCTTCTTTTAATTGCAAGGAGAAAGAATATGCCATAACAGGTTTTCCTAAATAATTATATTACTTAAGCGTGCTCCTAATTAGTCAGAGAAAAAATAATACTTTATATGACCAAATTAAAGAGAAAAGCAGTCGCTACCTTGTAAAGTGATATATTATCAGTAATTGATGGTTTGTTTTCTTTTATTTGTAGTTAAGGTAAAGTCCAAAACACCAGTTGTATATTAACACAATACACAATGAACCTTTCAACTTCTTCAATGCACCACTGCAATATGGCTTGCTACAACACTCTCAAGCTCTCTCTCTTCCTCTGCCTCACCCTCTCTGCCTTGGTGTACAGCAGCCACGATGACAAGGAAAGCAACAGGAACGACGAGGCTGACAGCCTTCGGTCTAAGCCTCTAATACTGGTCAAGATCTGGTGCTTGGTTTTGGTCTTTGTTGGGACATTTGCAGCCGGAATGTCACCCTACTTCCTAAAGTGGAACGAGGGGTTCTTGGTTCTAGGCACACAGTTCGCTGGCGGTGTGTTTTTGGGAACAGCTCTCATGCACTTTCTGAGTGATTCAAACAAGACTTTCCAAAGCTTGACTGAGAAGGAGTACCCTTTTGCATTTATGCTGGCCAGTGTGGGGTTCTTGATCACTATGCTTGCGGATTGTGTTGTTTCCTATGTGTATGCTAAGCAAGAAGGCAGTGACCTTGAAGTTCAAGGTAGGTGGTTTTTCATGAGTTCTTCATTTAGGAATTAGGCACCATTCAGTTCTTCGTTTTGACAAGTACTTTGTGCTAATAACTGCGTAGGCAGTCTTAGGATATTGGTTTTACAAGAAAAAGATTATTTACTTGATCAAATCCAATTACTAGGATATCTTCTGCTTATACCCTAAACAAGATGCTGACTTCACAATTTTTATTTTCCTATTACAGGAAAGGACGGTCACAAGGTGAGATACATGAACTTTGATATTATATATGTGGGATGTATATAAGTTATTAGTAGGGTAAACGAACTTGCCAGACCTCTAGCACGTTACATTGCGAGATTGTGAAAGAGTACTCCACATTCAAACATATTGCCACTTTATTAATTGTCCAAATTCAATCTCACAACATAACATGTCAGATTGTCTGGTAACATAACATATGTGCCGGTTAGTAATTGCAACTAACTGAGCGTTTTGCTTGTACGCTTCGACAGGGCCACGACAGTGGTCACCACCCTGCAACAGTTGGTTCAGTTGGGGACAGCATTTTGTTGATCGTAGCCTTATGTTTCCATTCTTTCTTTGAGGGCATTGCAATCGGAGTTGCCAAGACAAAAGCAGAAGCTTGGAAGGCTTTGTGGACAGTCAGTGTGCACAAGATCATTGCAGCCATTGCCATGGGCATTGCTCTCCTCCGCATGCTTCCGAACCGCCCCTTCTTATCATGCATGGCGTATGCTTTCGTGTTCGGCATTTCGAGTCCAGTTGGTGTGGGAGTTGGCATCACAATAGATTCCACAACCCAAGGTGCCACAGCAGATTGGCTCTTCGCCATTTCCATAGGTTTGTCATGTGGGGTGTTCATATATGTATCCATTAACCATCTGCTGTCAAAGGGTTACACAGCTCAGCAGGCAGTCGCTGTTGACAAACCCCATTACAAGTTTTTGGCTGTGTTGTTTGGCATTGGAGTTATCTCTGTTGCCATGTTCTGGGACTCTTGAACAATCAAATTCATCTTACGGTTCCTTCGTATAATTTTATGTCATGAAATTAAAAGTCTCATGGAATACATCCAGGAAAGCATTTATTTTTCTCCTTTAATTTTTGGATTGAACACTCTAATGCTTGTCCATTTGGCTGATGCTTTATCATTTATTTTCTGTGTCATTTCGGGGAAGAATTGAATGTGGTTACGGCTTGTATTTTGGATTGTTAGAATAATATCAAGATTGGTTTCCTGTTTAAGCATAGAGTTAAGGTTGAGATAGCTGGGTCCTATCATGTTTGAGGGAGTTTGGGTCGTGAGGGAATTTGAAGAACGTGAAGAGTGGGTATAGGAGAGGCCTTGTGTGGAAGGGACTGACGGCTGAGGGAAGAGGTCAGGTAAGGGAAGGGAGAAGGTGGAAGGGGTCTGGCATTTGTTTTTTCTTTTAGTGTATATGTTTGTTATTGGAAAGGGCTTTAATAGTTTTTCACACACTGCTTGGCATATAAAACATGTTATTTATCTATCTTTTGTAGGCTGTAATAGTTTTGTGCACATTGCTTGGCATGTAGAACATGTTATCAATCTATTTTTTTGTAACTTAAACTTGCCAACATACCATAATTTAAATTTCCACATGTATGTAAATAGTATTGTCTTTCCTATGTCTTTTTAGAACTATCTATATATTTTTATACAGTTTTAAAACCTGCGACATTGCGCGAGCACCCTTGCTAGTAAACCCTAAAGCAAAAGAACAAACTAACAAGAAAATGCCCAAATGGCAATAAAGGTAGAAACATATGAATTGAAGTGGACCACCAGTGCTACAAGAGCATTATGCACATAGTTAAGTTCACAGTAAACTTAAAACCCTTCTGATTATTGTGAAGGTGGTTTTCAATTGTTGACGCTAAATAATTAGGTGATTCCATATTGGCCCATAAAATCAAGCTTATAAAACTTATAACAAGAGAGCAGAAAATTAAAGAAGAGTTATTTTGACAACTAGTGGAAATGATTTCCTTGTGTATGACAAAGAAGAGTTATATTTTTCAAGTAGTTCATACTTTTAGCTTAGCAACACATCGACAACTCTTGGTGAATCAGATAGCTGGAGGAGCAAAAGTGAACTGACTTCTTCATGCTTCTGCATTCAGGAGAAGAAAATCATACACTTTGAAGTTTGTCAACATTACTTTCCTAACTTATACAAGAACGAAAATTGTACAAGGATTTCATCTGCAGAAAATTGCAGCAGAGTCTATCACCGAAACCTCAAATTGTAGCAATGACATTGATTTATAAACTATAATGGACACAGAGAATAAATCTACCAACTACGAATTACTTTTACTGCAAAATCATCATATAAAACCTCTAGGGAAGGTGATCGCTCACATACCTCTATGACATAAGTCTCTCAACTCCATCTGTTACATTATTGTACATGAACTCTGTCTCGACGATCATTATTCATGGAACATATGAAAAACCTCTGTGATTATCATAAATATTCAAAAAGGTGTCGCTTCTTTGCGAGAAAAGAAGTGGCCAGTAGGACCACCACTGGGGAGCAGCGCCAACCAGACAAGGCTTTCAGCACCTTCTTCGATGGTTAAGGTTCCAGTATTGAAGGTTATATCTGTGTTGACAAATCCAGGGCTCACACAATTGATGTAGAAGTTTGGGTACTTCTTGGCCAGAATTCTAGTGTATGCATTCACAGCTGTTTTTGAGACTGTATAGGGCGGAAAGATAGTTGGCCAGCTTTTGTTTTCTACCAAACCTTGTTTAAGGTCTTCTAAATGCTCAGCCAACACTGCATCTATTCTCTCTTTTGTAAGGCTCTCGGCATCACTTAGTACCTCTTTAGCCCATCCATTTGGAAAATTCTGAAGCAACATAAAAAACAGGAGAGTCTTTTGAGTTGATTTAAAAACAGGAACATAAAACATTAAACCAGTAGACTTCATTAAGAATAGAAACACAAATTAAGAGTTAATGCATTTCAAGCAGACCCATTTATGAAAGAACAGATTAGGACAAAGATTGCAGAATTCTTTGTCCAAGGCAAATAAGTTACTGAAATATTTAGTTCTGTTTCATCAACCATATTAACAACTAATAAGTGGAAACATGATCTTGTTAGGAGAATGTAAAAAGAGAAACATAAATTTGAAGTTTTTCATACCATAAGCTTAGAAACACCGGAAGAAACATTAACGATTCTTGGTGAATCAGATAGCTGGAGGAGGGGCAAAAGTGCTTCAGTCACTCTTTTGGTACCATAGTAGTTTGTTTTCAGGCTTTCTTCTGCTAACTTGTAGTTCGGTATCGTCGGTATTTCCCCCCAACGGATTTCTTCAGGCTTCTGCATCCAGTAGAAGAAAGTTAATCCTCATGAAAGTTTTGCATCATTACTTTCCTAACTTATAAGTCATAAGAGAATGAAATTTGTACAAGGATGGTTGGTATTCCTAGAAAATTTCATTGCCTAAGCCCCTAACCTCACCTCAAACAAGGAAATCGTTTTCCGATTAGAAGCACAGCAACGAATTGCAAAACATGAAGAACAAGAAGCAGCATCCAATTTGACTTAATGATGAAGATATATATGATACAACACAGAACCTTACCTTACCACTTACAGCTGATCTAAAATCTTCAGGATTTACTTGGCTTCCAGCAATTGCTGCATTGTTCACCTACACAGTACAACAGTTCCAAATATTTCATCTTTTTATGTTTATCTCAACTTCAAATATAAATCAAACCCAGTATCATCAGTAGATAATTAGATATTATATATTATATATATATATATAAAATAGCAATAAATATTATGCTTTATTGCTATAAGCAGTAACAAATCAACTTAAATTTCAAGATATACCAAGATATCAAGTTTCCCAAATTGGGTTTTGACAAAATCTGCCAAGGAAGTAATGCTAGAAGGATCTGTAACATCAAGCTGATGAAAAACCACAAGGTCAGAGAGGCCAAACTCTTTCAATTTATCAACAGCTTCAAGACCCCTCTTCTCATCTCTAGCAGTTTACACCACAGTGACCCCATTTGAAGCCAACTGCTTAACTGTGCCAAATCCAACCCCTTTATTAGCCTCTGTGACAACTGCATACCTGAAAAAAGAAAAAAAGAAACCCAATTTTGAAAGATAATAAGAAATCTTTCCCAAAAAACAAATGTATATAGAAGAACCAGGCACTACCTCTTTGTTGTTTCTGCCATTGTTATTTGTGGCTTATTTCTAGGCCACAGACAGAGAACCATTATTTATACTTGATATTTTACTTGGTGCTCACGCTCAAAGTCATATTGGTCAGTGCAATGAGGTCATATCTCATTTAGTCTTTGAGTTTCTTTTTGCTTTTGTCCAACCATTATTTGTACTTGATGTTTTACTTGGGGCTCACACTCAAAAGTCATATTGATCAATGCAATGTGGTCATATCTCAGTTAGTCTTTGAGTTTCTTTTTGCTTTTGACATTTGAAGTTTCAAGTTTCACCCATTCGTTTTGGTTTAGTTTCTGGGCCTTTGAGCGTCTTTTTATTTTTTTATAATTTTTTTTAATAGCTTTTGACAAAAGATAGTGTGCTTGGTTTGAAATAATACAAATGTTGAAAATGGTTTCTTTTGTACCCATAAAGTTTCCTAACCTATTTGCATATATTTCTCAGAGTACAGAACTTCCAATCTTTCCATATATCAACTTGAAATAATAAATAAAAATTCAAGCGAAATGTGTTCTCTATTTCATGAATTTAAGAAACTGCAGCGATTTCCAAATTTTTTTTTATACTGCAGAATCATCATATGAAATCTCTATAGGGAAGGTGATCACTCACATGCCCTTCCCCCTTTATAACTCCCCCAATTTTATTTTTTTTGGTCACATTGTACATTAACTCTGGACGATCATTATTCCCATGTTACACTGTACATATACTATAAGTATTCAAAAAGGTGTCACTTCTTGACGGAGAAAGTAGAGGTCGGTAGGACCGCCATTCGGGAGAAGCGCCGACTGTTAAGATGCCAGTATTGTGGTTTGTTTTCAGGCATTCTTCTGGTAACTCGTAGTTTGGTGGTGTTGATACTTCACAGCCAGTCGATTTCTTCAGCCTTCTGCATTTAGGAAAAGACATGTAAAACCCTCTTGCAAGTTTTGCATCATTACTTTCCTACACTATAAAATAAAAAAATAAAAAAATTGTATAAGTGCTAAGAATGAATATATAACTAAATATCTAAAAAAAAGTTTTGTTCTTTCTCCTCCTGATTAATTAGTGAATAAATTCTTCCTTATGAATTGCTTTTAGGATTATTGTTATGCTTCGCGTATCTTTTTTTGATACTAGATGTAATTCTTTAGTGATGTCACATATCTACATGTTGACATTATTATTTGATTGGTTGAGATTAATGAAATATCGTTTGGCTTTAAAAAAAACTAAGGTTATATACATCAATTTGGTTTCACCTGAAGCCTACCTAGTAGTTTCAAATAGAAACACAATATCAACACATGAACTATGAGTAGAAGATCGTATCTCTCAAATTTACCCAGTGGAACTTACTTGCAAGTAAGTCGTGTATTGATCTAAATTCTAATCTCAAAGAAACATGTGCTCCATACAAGTTTCTCTACTAAGAGGAATGTGGTTAACAATGTATGCAACTAATTTTGTTCCAATGTCTAAAAGCTAGGTTTGAGAACCAACCCAATTAGGCAGAGCTTTCCATTCATGAATCAAAGGGAGAAGAGTTGGTGGGTCGTATGGGGAATGTGAAACTGCAATCAATGAGAGAACTCCAAGAGTCACAGGCTTTGCTCTTTTACATGCCAAAAACCAAGTCGCAGGCTTGCCTAGCCCATATGGCTTCTTTATGTTGTGTGTTTTGTGTATAACAAAATACCCTCACATGTGGACGTCACATGTTCAATTTTAACGAAAAAATAGATGGAATTCGTTAGAGCACCTCCAGTCCAAAGGGCAAGGGCAAGGCAAGGTTTGTCACTATTCACGTCAATAGTTGCAGCCCTTGCCTTTTTTGTTTCCAACCCAAAGGGTAAGGACAAAGGTAATTACTATTCATTTTAATTTATTTTTTATTTTTTATACTTAAACCATTGATTTTGGCTTGGGAAGTGAGGAATATGACTAGATATTTATATATAAATTTTTGGATTTTTTTTTTCCGCTGCTGACGTTAGCAAACACAAGCAACAACTTAGGCTTGTGGAGCTCATCAACTGCCTCGTCTTGACGTTGTGCGCTGGAGCCAATTGCTGGGCCTAAGCCCCCTCCTGCTCGGGCAAAAGAACAGAGCTGGAAGTGCTCTTAGAGGTGACACATTGTTACCCAATGCAAAGTCTAGGTGTGACATTGTCAAATATTTTTTTCTAGGTGGTATTTGTGCAAAAGGTTAGTTGGGCTGTCATCACTAGAAAATTTCTATTAAGCCAAGAAAACAAAATTTTTGATGCAATAAGTCTCAAATTATTGATCTTCTTCTTGTTTTATTCCATAGCTCTAGTAAATTCCTATTGAGCAAAGAAAACAAAATGGTTAAAGGTTAGTAGAAATTTCAAAAAGAAATTCAATCAGGCTCCTTGATCAAGGAATTAAAGGAAAATACAGATTTAAGGGCAAAGTTTTCTCCAATATCTGGATATAAGCGCAGGGACACAAGAGTTTGAGAAATTGTTGTTACACCACACCAAGATATCTAAGTATGACAATTTAAAATAAAATAAAAAGAGGATCATTATTTCATGAAATTGGAAAGGGTTTGTTATGCTCAAAAGGGTGAGACTTCTTGTAAATAGAAGTAGAGGCCAGAATGGCTGCCATTTGGAACCACAGCTAACCTCACAACACTCTCAGCACCTTCATCAATGGTTAACATACCAGTATTGAAGTTCATATCTGTTTTGACAAATCCAGGGTCCACACTATTGATGCAGATGTTTGGGTACTTCCTGGCCATCATTCTAGTGAATGCGTTCACGGCTGCTTTCGAGAGTATATAGGCAGAGAGGGAAGTAGGCCAGCCTTTGGTTTCTAGAATATCTTCTTTGAAGTCTTTGAGAAACTCATTCAAAACATCATCTATTCTCTCTTCTGTAAGTTTCTCAGCATCACTTAACACCTCTTTGGCCCATTCATTTGGTATGTGCTGAAACAAACATGCATAGCAGGAGAATTTTTTTTGAAGTTTTCTCATTATGAGAAAATGCATATGAAAAACATTTTCATTTGAAAAGGGAAACCTCTTGACCACAGCAAGACTCAAATACAACAAGAAACAAAGGGCTCAAGAGGTGAAAATTGAAACAACAACCTGATGAGATGCCAAAAATATGAAAACTCTTTGTACCTTTAACGATCCCATGCCAGAAGAAAGACTGACAACTCTTGGTGAATCAGATAGCTGAAGGAGAGGAAGGAGTGCTTTGGTCATTTTCTTGGCACCATAGTAGTTTGTTTTCACACATACTTCAGCTAACTCATACGTTTGAGTCATTATTTCACTCCAATTGACTCCGACACCATCCTGCATCAAAGAAAATAAAGACTGCATATATCTAGTGCATTTTTCAAATTAAATATTTGTATTTGAAATTTTATATATGAGAAGTTTTAATCAAATCCACATATAATTTGGAATCTTTAAGATGCTAAAGGAAAACTTACCTTACCAATACCTTCAGCTGCAGCAGCTCTCATAGCTTCAGGGTCTACAGTGGTTCCACTAACCCCTGCATTATTTACCTATAGATTACCAGTAAGTAACATAGTGGAAAGTCAATGTACTTTTCATAGTTATATGAATTTTTTTTAACATGAGCATGAACAGAGAGATAGAGAAGTTGATCATATACGGTTTCTTATCATACCAAGATATCTAGTTTCCCAAATTGGGTTTTGACAAAATCTGCAAGGGAAGCAATGCTAGCAGTGTTTGTTACATCAAGTTGATGAAAAACGACCAGGTCAGAGAGGCCACACTCTTTCAATTTTTCAATAGCTTCAAGACCCATTTTGTCATCTAAAGCAGTTAACACCACCATGATCCCATTTGAAGCCAACTTCCTAACTGTTCCAAATCCAATCCCCTGATTTGAACCTGTAACAACTGCATACCTGAAATAAAAAGAAAAGAGAAAAGGAAAAATGGTATTAAAATTTAATGAAATATGGGTTGTGGTGGCCAAGGAGTCTGATACAAGTGAAGCTTAAAAACATCATGGAAGCAGCAGGTAGTACTTCTTCGCTACTTCTGCCATTGTTGATGGGATTCCAGATTTGATTTCTCATTTCTGCATGACCATATAACATGGGCTTTGTTTCTATAGTAATTTTTATTCTTATCATATTTTTAAAAATATTCAAGTTCTGGTCTTTGATTGCTCTGTATTGTTTGTAGCTAGGTTCTTTTGTAGATGCTCTCTTCTTTTTTGACTAAACAAATCAAGGTTGATCCAACAAATGAAACAAATTAGCAATAGTATTATAATGCAATTTGAATCCAATATCAAATTTCTCCTTCCTTTTAGAAACAAGTGCCAAATTTATTATTATGTTAGTGAAGGATCCACTGACAATATGTACTAAAATAAAAATAGGAAACGATATATGTATTTAAAAAAATAGTCTCACTCACAAGCAAAAGAAACATATAGGTGTAGCATCACCCTGCTAACCAACAAATTAAAGTGGAGAATATCGAAGAGCTTAAGCCGCTACGATTAGGCCAATAATTTATATCAAGTTGATGGCCTACTTTGGTCCCATTACACATGAGTAATGCATATGTTTTGAGGAACAAGCATGTGCGGTTAGCAGATTAGCACTTAGGAATATTTTAGAGAATATATTTCCTTGTATTAAACAAATTACACAAAGTCCCTATTTATACAAATATAGGAAGTCTACTTAAGGTTGGAAATAATATAGACATGAATACCATCCGATTTACAACAAGAAAGCTAATTGCTAGCAGGAGATTATGAAGCTGACTTCTGTGTGTGCTAGGAAAAGAAAGCCCCCCCACCCCCCCCCCCCCCTTACGCAAACTGGACGTTGTAGTATGCACAAGTTTGGAAGACATATGTTGATGACGTGGTTTGTGAAGGGCTTTTGTAAACAGGGTCCGTAGGTTGATCAACGGAAGGAACAAAGCAAACTTTCACGGACAAAGTGGTTGTCCAACTCAATGTGACGTGTGTGGGCATGGAAAACTGGGTTGGCGGCCATGTAAGTGGTGCTGAGATTGTCACAATAGAGTAGGACCGGGAACTGAAGACGCACACCCAATTCATGAAGAAGGGAGCAAAGCGAAGTGATTTCGGCACAAGCATGAGAAAGGGCACGATATTCCGATTTTGTACTGTAGCGGGAGACAATGGGTTGTTTCTTGGAACACTAGGAGATGAGGTTGGTTCCAAGAGTAATCACATAGCCAGTGGTTGACCCATGAGAATCAGGGCACCCAGCCCAGTTAGTTTTGGAGTAGGCGGAGAGACGAGCTACGACAGTTTGGGGAGTGAAGGTGAGGCTGAGATCAATAGTGCCCTTGATGTACCGAAGTATCCATTTGGCGGCAAGAAGGTGAGAGATACGAGGAGCACTCATGAACTGAGCAACAATTTTGACAACAAAAGATATGTCAGGCGAGTAAGAGTGAGACACTGTAAACTACCAACAAGCTCGCAATACTCGGTTGGGTTGGAGATGAGAGCACCATTAGAGATAGAGAGGACAACCTTGGCAACCAATGGGGTAGATGCGAGTTTGGAGTTGAGAAGACTGGCTTTCTGTAAAAGATCATGTGCATATTGAGTTTATTGATGTGGAGAGTACCGTCCTTATGAAGAACTTGTAAACCCAAGAAATAGCTGAGCGGACCAAGGTCTTTAATGTCAAAGTAGCCACCTAAAAGAGAAATGAATTGTTGGGGATGGGTGAAATCACTGCCAGTTACCACGATGTCGTCGACATATAGAAGAAGAAAGATTGTATGTGAGGCTTGTTGAAAAATAAATAATGAAGTCTCAGCTTGGCTTTGTGAAAAACCCATATAGAGAGAGAGAGGGAAGGTACTGATGCGATGGAACTAAGCATGAGGTGCTTGTTTGAGGCCATATAGTGCTTTGTGGAGCTTGAATACAAGTCTCTCACTAAAAATCAGAAATTTATACTCCACTAAATAAAGATGGAATCAAAAACTGCAAATAACCAAAGTAAACATGGCCCGACTGCAGATGCCATAACTAAATCCTTTTATGCTTCTCACTGACGACGCCCAAAACCACATGAACACGACCCGATGCAATGTCATTCACATATTAATACCCCCCTTTTTAGTACCATGACCAATGATCTCCCTAGTCTGAACATCTTGAAGCAAACAAAATGAGGAGAACATGAGCACGCAGCAATCTAACTGTTCAGTAACTTGCCCAACATATAATAAATTATGGGACAAAGTAGGAGCAAACAAAGTTTTATGTAAAGAGAGGGTAGATTCTCCGTTAACAGTAACCACACTTGTTTTGGTAGGAGCAGTCATAGAATGGGAAAAAGATTTATCATAGGTCATATGATCAATAACACCAGAATTGAAAATCCAACTTGTAACTCGCTGGTCAAAAAGCACCAATGCTTTACCCTGATTACCTTCGCAGTCAACAGTTTCTAGAAGGGATAATTAAGAGAGAATAGTAAAATAATCATCAAGGGAAGAAGCAGTTGTGGACGAGGTAAGCAAACCAGAGGTAGCGTCGGCAACTGGGCCGACGGAAGGCTAGCTAGTTATGGCTACATTAGCTACACCACTCCTTCCATTTTTTTTTCTTCACATGCATAGCCTTTCGTTGCTTCTGGCTTTCAAGGGATCATTTTGGAGCCCATTCTTGTGGAAACAAGTGGCCTCTATATAACGGTTCCTATTACAGTAAGTGCAATGCATGTTTTTTTTCCTCAAAGGTTGGACAGGGAAAAGAAAAACTAGCAGTAGGGGCTTTAGACACCATAACCGCAGAGGATTCAGTCTTTCCATCCTTCCTGAGCATCGGCATTGGGCCTCTTTACAAACAAAAGCAAATGACTCCTCCAATTTGGGCAATGGACTCAACCTCAACAAATCTTCTCGAATTTTATCAAACTCATTATCTAGACATGTAAGAAAATCATAAATAGTCTTTTTGTATCTCATAATGTCGAATCTTCACATCATAAGGGCACTTCATGTTGATTGGACGACAACGGTTAAGTTCCAACCAAACGCTTTTGAGCTCAGCAAAGTATGAAGTAATATCATGATCCCCTTGAGTAATACGGGTTGCTTTACACCTTAATTCATAAATCTACGACTTATCAGACACATCATAATACATATGGGCTGCACTCTCCCAGACATCTTTAGCAGTTGGTAGATCCAAGAATAATTCTACCAAATATGTTTCCATGGTTTTTATCAACCATCCTTTAACAACGGAGTCCTCAATACACCGCGAATCAAAGCCCGGAGCGTCCTCCTCCTCTTCAGCCACCTTCCCTATCAGATAACCTCTTTTTCCTTGGCCTAGCACATGAACTAACATCATCTTCGACCAAGAGCTATAGTTCTTTCCATTCAACCGTATGGTGAACGGGGTAGCAGAATTATCATTGCGAACTGTAACAATTGGTTGTGGCATGTCAAGAGTTTTGCGGGTCTCTGAAGCACTGGATTTGGCAACAGTGCTTAGGGAGTCTAGGATATCTTCGAAAGCCATGGAGGACAAAGAACGAGTTTGGATGGGATTTGCTGTTTTAGAAGCCACATTGTCCACACTAGGTTGTAGAAGAGGTGTTTGGTTCGCGGCACCCCCCAGCCACCTTCTATGTTTGCTGCATCGCTGCAGCTTTGCTGCTGTTTTTGTTTTTTTTTTTTTTTTTTTTTTTTGATTGCCGACGGTAGATGTTGCCTATTGGCTAGTTTTTGTGTTTTGTCTTGAGAGACCAGTGTTAGTTGGCTCTGATACCAACTTAAACTAAAACACAGGATTGAATGATTGTGAATTATATTTCATATTTCTCCATAAGGATGATATATAGATACAAGTACAAGTTGACTTTTCCTACAAGGAAAAGTAATTAGCTAACTACAAGGAATCCTAACTAGGTAACTACTCTAATTAGGTAAAGTGAATCACACTAGGAAATCAAGGCCCACACCAACAAAATCTTCCCTCTTTTGGCAACCCACAAAAAAAAAGAAGATAAAAAAGAAAGAAAAAGGATTACCTTCACAAGTAATACAAGGAAAAGATGAGATGCGTAAACAGTGTAAGAATTTGACTATGTTACAAATAAGCATTCTTGGAGTTCTTTTAAGAGCCCTACAACTTTAACTAATAACTTATGATAGCAAAACATTAGGCCAAAAAAAAATCAGGTATCTATAATCTATCACACTTGCTTTGCTACTATCTATGCTTCAAAATGCAGTATTCCACTAACAAATCGTGCAGGAACAATCTTTGGCATGGCTTCAAGTGTCCCAAATCATCACAACAGCTATTACCCCGACACCCAACAAAACTGCCAAAAACTTGTAATGGGGTTTGTCGATGGAAACTGCTTTGTCGGGTTTATAACCTTTAGCCAATAGATGGTTTACTGCTACATAGATGAACACTCCACATGCTACACCCATTGAAATCGCGAATATCCAATCTGCCACAGCTCCTTGGGTTGTCGCATCTATTAGGATTCCGATGGCCACACCGATAGGACTTGATATAGCGAATGCAAAAGCATAGGCAGCGCACGATAAGAAGGGACGGTTAGGCATCATTCGAAGGAGAGCAATGCCCATGGCAATGGCTGCAAATACCTTGTGCAGAGAAATTGTCCATAAGGCTTTCCAAGCATCGGCTTTAGTGTCAGCGACTCCAATTGCAATGCCCTCAAAGACAGAGTGGAAACACAATGCTACAATCAACAAGATGCTATCCCCAAGTGAGCTAACATTTGCAACAGCCACTGGTTATGGCTCTGTCAGGGCAAACAAAAACAAGTATCCAGTTAGTCTCAGAACCACCACCAAGTAAATGCCTTATACATATAGAGATCCTGATACCACCAGTAGATATGAGAATTCGATAACTATATATGTCTCACCACATTGCCATTTTGACCACCCTTTCCCTGCTCAGCACTCCCTGTAACAAAGAAAATGTGTAAATTGATTGTCATAAAAACCTTTACATTTTTTGGTAGCAGAGGGAAAAAAAATCAGATAAACATGAATTTTTTTATTTTAATGTCACAGAACTTAAACCTTAAGCCTAGTTTTGCTTCTTAATGTAATGTCACAACTTAGCCATGGTAAACAACCCCAATTACAATTCTCAGAAAGAAAACACATACACCAGACAAAGCGAATTTATACTTTTTAGCATGTACCCAAGCTGTCAAAAGAAACGTAAAAGAACAGAAATAAGAAATCCCACATCAAAGCCAATGAGCATTTGGTCTAATAGCACCCGGTCTCCATTTTCCACTATGTTAATGTTAAGTTGTACTAGGTCGCGAGTTCAAATCTCATCGACGACAGTTAATGCTTAGTTGCAGCACGACAGTTGTTGATTTATTTTTTCCAAACATCAAACAGTTGTATATTCAACAAAATCCACTCAATGAACAACCAAATAGAATTCAATTCCACAGAACAAAAATCTGATAACCAAACACTTACCTCGCAGCTCAAGATCGGAAGCAGACCCACCAACTTTGTTCTTGTCAAAAACATACGAAATCACACAATCAGCAAGCATGGTGAGCAGGAACCCCCCACAAGCCAACATAAACGCAAAAGGGTACTCTTTATCAGTCAAGTCCTTGAAAGTCTCATCGGCATCACTCAGAAAGTGCATTAGAGCCGTACCCAGAAACACACCCCCAGCAAACTGCGTACCCAAAACCAAGAACCATTCAGACCACTTGAAAAAGTAAGGCGAAACTCCAGGTATGAAGGTCGCAAAAAAGATTATAATCAGGCACCAAATCTTGGCCAGTATCAGAGGCTTTGAACGAAGGTCTGGACCTGGTTCGAGGTCGTCTGTGGCGGGTTCGTTGTTGTTTTCGTCGTCGGGGTGGCCGCTGTGGGCTAAGGCGGGGATGGTGAGGCAGAGGAGGATGAGAAAACAGAGGAGAAGTGGGCGAGGCAGAGGAGGAGGAGCCATTATTGTTGTTTTTGTTGTGGGTTTGAGAGGAAGGGAGAGAGAGGCATTGGGTTTAATGGGTTTGTTTGTGTGGTTATAAATTGGGAGGGTGGGGTTTGGTTGCTGGTGTAGTACAGAGCTTGGGTGAAAGAGAAACAGAGAATAGTACGAAGAAGACGAAATACGAATTTTTGGGAAGAAGGTTTTGTACTACAATTTTGTTGTGACAAAGACTATGACTTTTTCGACCAAAAAAAGACTATGACTTTGTGAAATGGGTGGTGGTTTTGAGATTTATTTTATTTTATTTTTTGGTTCGAATATCCATCGAAGACTTGACTTGGGAAGACAAGACTTGGGAGTTGGATAAACGTAGTAGCTGTCTCTTGGCTGTATATTTGGGAGGAAAATTCCACATTCCCACTTTAAAACATAAGTCAAGTAAATTCTAGCATAGAAAATCAAAGCAGAATATCCAAATTCTTAATGGAATCACCAAATATCTTTTATGGTCAATTATGAGAATTTACCCTTACTTTCATGACATGATTTTTCTATTGCCTATTTACAAGTTTAAAGTGTCATTGCAAATGGTTGACACTCGATGAATTAAGAGCATTTGAATTTGAGAATTTGTATTTAGACAATTACAAAAAATCTCCGATAATCTTCAAAGATTCTTCATTTTCATAAAATTAACACTAACGTTATAGTATCCAAATTAAAACCCGTACGTCACTTATGATAGTATACATACCATGAACTTTTGAACTTGCTTAGTATTTAAGCAATATATGAACTTCTGGAAAACGTAATGGCAAATTTGTTGAAATTGATTATTATTTATGTCCTTTCAAGAGGTCAAACAAGAAACAAAGGAAAAATCGTAAATTTTATAATCAACGGGAGGTCTATTATTAGTAGACTATTAACTAACGGGTGGGTAACTTGCCAAGTTGTGAATGTCTTGTAGCGTAAATAGACTTTTCCTTTTTTCGGTGATAAGACTTTTTGTTTTTTTGTTTTTGTGTTTTTATACAAACAATAAGACCTTTTGTTATGAGGCTGAAAACCAAGGATGGTGGCAATTGGTGGTTGGCTCAAGTGTGAGGTGGGTCCCATTAAGTTGTCTAACCATCCAAATCCAGTCTCCCTCTCCTTGCATAGCAGCTTCATCCTTGACGGCAAAGCTAATTCCCTTCCCTTTGTGAATTTTTTAAGACCAAACCCCACAGCAACTAACTCTACCTAAATCATATATTGTTTACAACCTAACTTCGTCCGCCATCCGTCAACTTGGATGTTTTGTGGTGTGGCTAGAGGATAAGGTAAAAAGGGGAAGAGGGAGGGTATTGTGATGTTGGTTAGGGTTTAATAAATCTGAATTTGGCATTATTGAATTGTGTCCAATTATATTAATATAACATTCAGTAGCAAGTTTTGAGAAAATGACAAACCAATTAATTGCAAACCAAAATAAATAAATAAAATAATTAATTTTTTATAGGCAAGTATCGAAGATGGGTGACTTTTTTGAGAATTTTGGAATTGCATTCATAATTCAATAATTAAAAAAAAACCTCCAGTCGTACAACTTTATTATGATGAATTTTAGATCATGCAAGAGATTAGGACTTGAAGTTCCTTGAACCTCGTCATACAATTACATCAGGACCTGGAGATCCTTGATGATGAAAATAACATGAGAGTTGGCAGACGCTTACGATACTAATTTGTGAAAAAATGATCAGACCTGAAGTTCCTTAATAACAATATTGTCGGGATGAATAGTATCGTACACATGAATAGTAAATGTACCAGCAAATGTACTCCATAGATGAATAGCACCATATTCATGAATGAATGAATAGTACTTGTATACTTGAACTATACCGTATACATGAATAGTGTTGTATGCATGAATAGTAACATTTTGGTGCACCATTGCTATGTACCTTATGGGGCTTGCAGTTCTCTAAACTCATGGATGAACAATGAAATGTGAGGTCAAAAGTCCCTCAGAATATGGACAATTAAGTTAGGGCATGAAGTCCCAAAATATGAACATGAACTTCTAAGAATGTCCATATCATAAGAACATATAATTTTGGCTTGGGGATCAAAATCTAAATAGTATTGAGAACTTGAAGTTCAAACATTAAGTGGACAATCCTCAAGTGGTGAATTTAGGCTCCCCATATTTTGTTATATAATATGATATGGGCTGGAAGCCCATGGATCTCAATATATCATAAATCATGAACCTGAAGCTTTGTGTGTACATTAGTTAATGTTCTTCAGTACTATATAGTAGTATTATTATAGTTCTTCCTCAATTTATATTTCATGCTCATTTTGAAAATTAAAATTAAAATTATGAGGTTGTGTTTAACTCGGGCCAGAAGTTTCGGACACACATGCATTGAAATATATAATTCAAGAGATTTAACGTGGTTAGTTGAACCTATAAGGCAAAAGGTTACAAACCGTCATTTTGAAAGGACATAAAAACTATAAATGCAGTTTAAGAATTTGCCCAATTATTATAACAGGAAAAGAGCATACAACAGATAGGTTATTTTCACCAGCATGAAATAAGTAGGCTCAGTAAAATCTATCAAGTTCCAGTATGGTTTAGAAGTATCGGACACACATGCATTGAAATAAGTACGCTCAAAAGGGTGAGACTTCTTGTAAATAGAAGTAGAGGACAAAATGGCTGCCATTTGGAACCAAAGCTAACCTCACAATACTCTCAGCACCTTTAGCAATGCTTATTAACATGCCAATATTGATGAAGTTCATATTTGTTTTGACAACACTATTGATGCAAATGTTTGGGTACTTCCTGGCCATCATTCTAGTGAATGCGTTCACGGCTGCTGTTGAGAGTATATAGGCAGAGAGGGAAGTAGGCCAGCCTTTGGTTTCTAGAATATCTTCTTTGAAGTCTTTGAGAAACTCATTCAAAACATCATCTATTCTATCTTCTGTAAGTTTCTCGGCATCACTTAACACCCCATTGGCCCATTCATTTGGTATGTGCTGAAACAAACATGCATAGCAGCATAATGTTTTTAAGTTTTCTCATTATGAGAAAATGCATATGAAAAACATTTTCATTTGAAAAGGGAAATCTCTTGGCTACAACAGGACTCCAATACAACAAGAAACAAAGGACTCAAGAAGTGAAAATTGAAACAACAACCTGATGAGATGCCGAAAATATGAAAACTCTTCGCACCTTTAACGATCCCATGCTGGAAGAAAGATTGACAACTCTTGGTGAATCAGATAGCTGAAGGAGAAGGGGTGCTTTGGTCATTTTCCTGGCACCATAGTAGTTTGTTTTCACACTTACTTCAGCTAACTTATACATTTGAGTCATTATTTCACTCCAATTGACTCCTACCCCATCCTGCATCAAAGAAAAGAAAGATTGCATTTAGCTAGTGCATTTTTCAAATTAAATATTTGTATTTGAAATTTTATATATGAGAAGTTTTAATCAAATCCACATATAATTTGGAATCTTTAAGATGTTGAAGGAAAACTTACCCTATCAATACCCAACAAAGTGAAGATGAACTTGACCAGGATTTCATCACTAGGTTTAGGAAGCTCAAAATGAAGTGCAGAATTCCCATGGAAGAAATGCATTTCATCTAGATGGCCTAGGTTGCCTTCAAGATTTCTCTGAGAAGAGATTCGATGGAATGATGTTTGGAGACTTGGCAGAACTGGCAGACAAGGCCTCCAAGTATAAGGAATTACTAAAGGAAGAACATCATATGAGAAATTCTTCCAAAGGCATGTACTACAATACACCATCTTCCTTAGTCCATCTAGTTGAAGTTAAATCAAAAGAAGGCCATAGCAGTGGCAAGAAAGGAAATACCAATTAAAATACCCGGAGATGGCAGGCTTCTAGCAACTATCATAAAGGGCAGATGATATTCTGTTGAGAAGAATGACATGCCAACCCTAGAGCTAACCAGAAGACAGAATAGGAGAATCTAGAGGCAATATTGCACTTGTACAAGTAGTGTACTAGCCGGAAGGACGATCCACACTGGTATTTACATATGTCAAGAACATGAACAACACACATGTATTTACATATGTCAATTCGACCAGAAGTGAGAACGATCCATAAGAGGATCTTCAAACAGAACAAGCAGTGTACTAGCTGGAAGGACTAACTGGATCCTCTTTCCACCAAGGTTCATCTTCAAATAATCAGTTAGAGCTCTCACAACTACAGGATCATTCTGGAGCCCTTCTAACAGAGGATCAAGAGAATTGGACTGAAGAATATGAAGAAGAACAGGTGTACTATGAACCATTTGCAAACGACCAAACTGGACTCCTCGAAATAGAAGGTCAAGAGGACTAGATTGAGGAATATTGAGAAGAACAAATGGAATACGATGGAGAACTAGATGAAGAAACTCAGGCTTTCGGTGCAGAACTGGAAAGCTCGCTGGAAAGTGATTTAGGCATCAACATGATGTTTAGCCTGTCAAAAAAGTTCAGAGCGACATGAGGACAAGAAAGCACCATAGAAGGAGATATACTCTCCCAAGAAAGTTATGCAAATTGACCAAAGTGGAAGAGGTGCCAGAACAACATAATGTTGCTGTCAAAACAAGCAGAACTGCCATAAAAGTGGCTGCAGAGCAGTTGTGCTTTTTCAAACCTACCAAAGAGATGGCCAATCATCTCAAGCCTTTGTTCATCACCGCAAACTTTAGGGGGACTCCTATCCCTAAAGTAATGGTAAATGGAGGCACAACCATCAATCTACTACCTCACAAACTCTTGACTAAAATGGACAGAACAGAAAAAGACTTGATCCTAACATGTCTGATAGTCACCAATTTCGCTGGGGGCATCACCAAGACCCATGAGATACTAGATGTAGATGTCATAGTAGGAACCAAGAAGCTGAAGATTGCATTCTTTGTGGTAGACACCATTTCTACCACTTACAATGCATTGCTTGACAAGGATTGGATCCACCAAAGCTTGTGTGTTCCTTCCACTCTACACCAACAATTGGCCCTCTAGCATGAAGAGGGTTTTATGGAGATAGTAGAGGCCGATCCACAGCAATTCCTACCATCTGCCTTATGTTTCTAGGCCAAGTACTATCATGATGATCTTGGTCCTTTTACTTTCTTTGGAGTCAACCAGAACGGCCGCCCCCACGGTATCACAGCCCAGAGGCCTATTGAAGAAGGTCTGGCTAGTTCTTTAGAGGACTGGAATAGACCTTTTATTCTAAACCTCTAAAGTTCTGATGTTTAGCTCTGTAGGGGACTTTTTCCTCCAGCAGCTGCAAATGGGCTGGGCTGCTGTAAAAAGGGCAGACTGATGAAATTGTCCCCTTTGCTTGAGTTCGAAAATTAAGCCCCAAAATACCTCGAAAGGGCAGTAGAGCCTTAGGAAGTATTTTGGTTACCTTCACCAACCAAAATAATGGCAGCTTACAGATAATTTATGCATGCTTACAGATAAAATTTTAAGCTTGGCATGAGAGGCATGTGGCATGGGAGCAAAATCAACATGAGTTTAGCACTAAGAGGAAATTTAGGCTTTCTTAGAGGGAAAAAGGGAAGTGTTAAGGTGAGAAAAGAGAGATTTTGTAGGAGATTTGGCTAGGAAGAGAGAAATGAAGAACAATGCTCTTCTGGCAGCTTGACAGATACTCTGTTTGCCAGAAGAGAAGAATGGAGAAGATGGTGAACAGTGCACGAGACTGCTGGGTTTTTGCAAGTTAGAGAGAAATCTTGCTCTTCAGGCGTGGGTTGTCTTTGTTGGGTAGAAGAGGCCTCATTTTATAGGCGCTGGAAATCATCCATTCCCAAGAAACCCTAATGGTTTCTACCCATTTTGGCTAAGCTTTTCCCTTCCTTTCTCTTCTCCTCCCTTGGCTTTTCCTATCTTGGTGAAATTTCCCGTAGCTGTCTCAGTGACAGATTTCCATGCCCAGCCATTTCTTTTATTGCTTTATTCTCTCTTTTCCATGGCCAAGTCTGATGGGAAAAGGAGTTGGGAAATATATGCTGGTTCGAAGGGTGTTTCTGGCAGCTCGCATACTAATATTCTTTGGTTCCTTGAATGTTTCTTGCTTGGAACTTGCTCCCCCCATGTCTGGAGGCTTTGTTTAATGAACCTGCAGACCTTCTCTACGTGGCTTCTATTTTTCCAGCAAAGGGCTGAGGCTTTTGTGGGCTTATTGTGAAGCTTTGTATGGGCCAAGGTGGTTCATTAAATAAGTGGGCTATTTTGTTAAATATTGGGCTTTTGAGTCAATAGGCTATTTGGGGCTATTTGGGCTATTTCTTTTCCTCTTGTGCTCACCCACATGTTTGGGCCTAAGAAATGGGCTTGAGTCTCGAGGCTCCCAAGCAACCCGAGACTTTCCATTTCTCGGCCCATCAATGGGCCTCATGTTGATTTATTACCATCCATACCACAACCCACTCAAGCAAGCCCCGGGCATTCGAGTGGCTTGGGCCCACTTAGGCTTGTAGCGTGGTTGGGTGTGTAATAATGATTTCCTGCTTGGCATGGCATGGCATGTCGCTTGGCATGACACATCGCTTGGCATGCTTTTTATTATGCTTGATGGGATAATTAGCATGGATTTGTAGGGCCGATATATTCTAGCATGACGAATTATTTATTTAGCATGGCATGTGAATTGCAACTCGCATGTGGCGGGTTTTTGTGTACTCCGCTTTATGTCTTTCCTTGATATAGTGTCATTTTGGGCCGATAATTTATTCGGGCCCGACCGTGGATTTTTTGGGCCTCAACAAGCTCAAACCAGCAAGCAAAGGATAAAGCTGCGACAATCTGATCAATTACAAATAGATTGTTGGTATATTGGGAAGAAAGGAAACTCTCGATGCAGAGTCCAACCGTTAACATGGCAGAATTCATGCATGAGAGTGCAAAAGAACAGGAGGAAAATTTACAAGATGAAGAATTGGAATTTGGACAAGCATCATTGGATGACTCCTTGCCAGAAGTGGAGGACCCTTTATAGGAAATAAACCTAGGAACAGAAGATGATCCCAGGCCTACGTTCATCAGTGCATTGCTAGAAGAACCATTGAAGGGTGAAATCATTACACTTCTGCACGATTTCAGAGATTGTTTCGCATGGCATTACCATAAAATACTTGGACTAGACAGGGGATTGGTGGAGCACAAATTTCCAATAAAGGAAGGATACCTACCAGTCAAGCATGCCAGAATAAGGATGTTCATGGAGACAGAATTGAAGGTTAAAGAAGAAATAAAAAGGCTAGTTAAAGCAGGCTTTATCAGACCAGCCATTTATACTGATTGGTTGTCCAACATTGTACCAGTTCTTAAAAGAAAGACAGGAGCAGTCAGGGTTTACGTGGACTATAGGAACCTAAACAAGGCATCTCCCAAAGATGAATACCCCATGCTAATGGCAGATATGCTAGTAAATGGAGTTGCTCATAACCAAATGCTATTATTCATGGATGGCAATGCCAGCTACAATCAAATAATGGTGGCAGAAGAGGACATCCACAAAACTGCTTTCATGTGTCCAGGACATGTACGCGCATTTGAATACGTTGTAATGTCTTTTGGCTTGAGAAATGTTGGGGCTACCTATCAAAGAGCGATGAATTCTATGTTCCATGACATGATAGGCCATTCCCTAGAAGTATACATAAATGATGTGGTGATTAAGTCTCTAGAAAAGGGAAATCAAGTGTCTAATTTGAAGGCAGCTTTCCTAAGAATGAGACAACACAAGTTGAAGATGAACCCCAAGAAGTGCGTCTTTGGGGTTCAAGCTGGCAATTTCTTGGGATTCTTGGTTCATCAAAGGGGTATAAAGATTGACACGAACAAAGCGAAATCTATTATAGAAGCATTGCCACCTCAGAACAAGAAAGAACTACAAAGTCTCTTGGGGAATATCAACTTTCTCAGAAGGTTCATATCCAATTATGCCGGGAAAATCCAGCCATTTAGATGGGAAGAACAACACCAACAAGCTTTTGAGGAAATCAAACATTACCGCTCTAGTCCCCCAGTTCTGTCTTCACCCAATAGGGGCAGACCACTCAAATTATATGTCTCTGCATCGGAAGTATCTATTGGGAGCCTTTTGGTTCAAGACAACAAGAAAGGGAAGGAGCATGCAGTCTATTACCTGAGCAGAACTCTGACAGAAGTGGAAAGAAAGTACTCTGCGATTGAAAGGTTATGCATGGCTTTGTACTTCACTACCATAAAACTCAGACATTACATGTTATCCTTTACCATTTACATCATTGCCAAGACAATACATGCTCACACGGCAAATGTTGAGAGGCATAATAGGTAAATGGACTCTGGGCTTATCATAATTTGCCTTCAGATATGTCCCTTAGAAGGCTATCAAAGGGCAAGCTGTTGTAGATTTCTTGGAAGATCATCCAAGAGAAGAAATTGAGAACATGAATTCCATGGATATAACCAATGCAGATATACTAAATAGAGCTCACATATGTCTCAATAATCCCATATACTCAGTCCATCTCACCCTTTGGAAGTTGTATTTTGATGGATCTAAAACCGACCTGGCCTCTGGAGCAGGAATTGTTTTAAAAGATCCATTGGGGATCAGACACTGTTATTCATTCCAGCTAGATTTTCAATGCACTGACAACAGAGCAGAGTACAAAGCCTTGATTATCTGTCTCGAGATGCTAGTAGAACTAGGAATCCAGTCTGTGGAAATCCAGGGAGACTCCATGCTTGTTCTGAAACAGATTGTTGGAGAATATAAGTGTTTGAATCTTTCCTTAGCTGTTTATTTAATGGCAGCCAGAAATCTCCTGGCTGAATTCAGGGAAGCAACTTGGGAACATATCTAAGAGAAGAAAATTTGGCAGCCAATGAAATGACTCAATTAGCAATAGGGGTGCAGATTCCTTAAGATTGCGTCCAGAGGATCATCAAAGTAGGCAAGAGGAGTCTACCGTCTGTTTTGACTAGGGGAATGGAGATAGATGTCAATTCTGCCATAATGACTGAGAAAGATTGGAGATTGCCTATAATTAATTATTTGTAATATCCGACCATTCCTTCTGAATAAGAATCATGGCTTTAAACTACGTGATGTGGAATGGAGATTTGGTCCAAAAAAGCAAAGTTGAGGTATTCCTGAGATGCCTAGAAAAGGAAGAATACATGAAAGTTATGGGGGAAGTCCACGAAGGAATCTGTGGAGCACACCAAGGTGGAAGGAAAATGTGTTGGCTGATCAAAAGGTACAGTTATTTCTGGCCTACCATGATGAAGGACTGCAAAAAATATTCCAAAGGATGTGAGGCTTGCCAGAGACATGGACCAATCCAACAAACTCCCTCAGTCCCCATGAATCTAGTCGTCAAGCCGTGGCCATTTAGGGGATGGGCAATGGACCTCATTGGAACGATCTATCCAGCCGGTAGCGAGCAACACTGTTTCATCATTGTGGCTACAGATTACTTCACTAAATGGGTAGAGGCTAAGCCAGTCAAATCCACCACATTTTAAGAGATCATCACTTTTATTGAAGAGCAGATTGTGCATAGGTTCGGCATACCAGAATCGATCACGACTGATAGAGGGACTTTTTTCATATCTAGGGAAATGCAAGATATGGCAAGTAGGCTCAAGATCAAGTTACTCCAGTCCACTCCTTACTATGCTCATGCAAAATCAAGCAATAAGGTGATCATTAATATCATCAAAAAAATGCTTGAAGAAAATCCAAAACAATGGCATGAGAAATTGTCATAAATCTTATGGGCTTATAGAACTTCAAAAAGATAGGCAACTGGTATGACTCCCCTATGCTCTAACCTATGGACATGACGCAACTTTGCCCATGGAAATCACAGTCCAATCATCAGAATTGCCCAGCAGCATAACTTGGTTGGAGAAGACTATTCACAAGTAATGCTACTAGAATTGGAGGGATTGGATACAAGCAGAATTAACACCCTCAACAAACTCCTGGTAGGAAAAAAAGTTGTGGCAATGGCTTATAATAAGATAGTAAAGAACATGAGCTTTGAAGAAGGATAGATTGTCTGGAAAGTAGTTCTGCCCCTTGGAACCCACGTGGCTGGTTATGGAAAACGGTCACCTACATGGGAAGGTCCCTTTTTAATTAAACAAATCCTAGGACTAGGGGCATACATATTACAAGATCAAGATGGAGAAATCCATGTTGCGCCAATCAATGGCAAATGGTTAAAAAAGTTCTATCCAACTATGTGGGATTCACAAGCAGTACAAATCGATCCTGGGATAGAGGAAGAAATGGGTAGAACCACTACTTGACTTTTGAGTTACTTAATGTAAATATGTTGGTCCCTTTTTGTCTATTTTGCCACGCTTTGATGTTTAAATGAGGAGAAAAGGTGAAAATGCAAGATTGGCATAAGTAAATAAATAGAACCTCTTTTCATTTCATAAATGTCATTAATAAATAACTGAGTTCTTATTACGAAAATAAACAAGGACTAAAGGCCTAGTTTCTTGAGAGTCTCCTACAGTCCAGCCTTCTTGATAGAAATCTCTTTCTGGAGAAGCACTCCTTGATGAATGGAGGCCTCTGCAATCTACAGTGCAGTCCTTGAGGTTGAGACCAGGCTCTGCACAAGGAAGGTAGATTTGGTCTTCGCACTCAATCCACCTCCAAGACCTTTCTGTCCCTCCCTCAGTGTATCCAGTTGCTTCTAGAGGTACTCAATGTGTTTCTCCAGCTTATCAGCAGCAGATTTTGTCTCTTTGTAGTCTGCAACCAGTGCATCCAGTTCTGTCTGGCCACTTCATCTTCAGGCTCTTTCTCAAACAACCTGTAGCCAGGTTGGAATTAGGGATGGCTTCTTCTGAGCACCACCTGTCACTAGGCAATAGTCCTCTTGGTGTAGTGCCTGAAGAACGTCAGATATTCTTCAATGGACCTCTTGGGCACTTTTGCCGACATCAAAGGGATCGCCATGACTTGATCTTCAGGCAGAACTATGCCTAGAAACCTCAATTCTGGAAAGTACACTTGCAGCAAGATCTGGATAATCCAAAACGCATCAGGAGCAAAAATATTCAAAGGATTGTCCAGAGTGGCTGTGTGGAGATTCCTGTACAGATGTGCCAAAACTGTGGGACGAAGCCTTACATCAATATGGTTGTTGAGAGCTTCTACCAGGTGCCTGTATTCAAGCAGAAATGCTGAAGAACGGTTCGGAAAGACAAACCTGTTTAGCCAGTACAGAAGGAACAACATGTGTTGTGGATCCCTATCCCTCCAAACGCTAAACTTCTTCAGGTAGTTGGAGAAGGAACAGTTCTGGTTGATGGTGGCAGGAGAGACAGTGAACTTCTTAGCCAGCCTTTCACAATTCTTCCTTCTATGGTAATCACCAACTGCATCAGCAGGCCTTTCATGAGGCCTGAACCCGAAGATTTGATTCATATCCAGCAGCGTTGGAGTCATGGGGTCCACACGGAAGTCAAAAGTGTTGTTGGCAGAATTCCAGATTCAGAGAACAGCAGCCAGCAGATTCTCATCCTTATTCACAGAATGCTTGGACAAAAGTATGGCATCATAAACGCCAGTCCTTTTCCAGTGTTCTACATACTTCGGAAGAAGCCTATCAATCTAGTTCGACCACTTCACAGCTGCAACATCGCACATTGACCAACGGAAAGAAAGTGATGTGCCTTATATGTACATGCCTGCCTCTATTTAGCACGAGGCCTTTTGGGAGCTCACTAGCTTCAGAGTCATGGGAACTCCGAAGTTAAGCGAGTTAGGGCCAAAGCAATCCAAGGATGGCTGACCCACTGGGAAGTTGCTTGTGAGTTCCCAGAAACAAAACCATGAAGGCAGAGAGGGGGCCTCAAAGCGGACAATATCGTGATACGACGGAGCCGATCCTGGGATGTGACAATTTAGTATCAGAGCCACTTTGCGTGTGGTACGAGTGTGACGACGAGGACGTTGGGCCCCTAAGGGGGTGGATTGTAACATCCCACATCGACCAACGGAGAGAGTGTGATGTGCCTTATATGTACATACTCGCCTTTATCTAACACGAGGCCTTTTGGGAGCTCACTGGCTTCGGAGTCATGGGAACTCCGAAGTTAAGCGTGTTGGGGCTAGAGTAATCCCAGGATGGGTGACCCACTAGGAAGTTGCTCGTGAGTTCCCAGAATCAAAACCGTGAGAGCAAAGAGGGGGGCCCAAAACGAATAATATCGTGTTACGGCGGAACCAATCTCAGAATAATATCGTCTTACTTCACTCAAGGGATAAGAATGGCTAAAGTTCTTACTGACCTAGGTATGGGAAGCCAGAGGAGAAGAACTCTGGTAGCACAAAGGAGCCCCAACATCTTCCTTAAATAGCTTAGCCATTTCTTCAGGGACGTTGCCAAACTAGTGGGGACCCAGAACAAGAGTGTTCTTAAACATATGGAGAACATTCTCATCCAAGTTCCTTTGAGTATACGAATGAAGCTTACTATGAATCTCGATTGCATGTTGATCAACATCATCTTCAGTGATGAAGGAAGGAGGCTGCGAAGAGGAAGAACCTTTGGCATGAATCTTCGGAGACGACATTCCCAATTTCAAAGCTAAGTTAGAGAAAAATTGAAGGATGAGCAGAAGAAACAGAGGGTTTTGGGGAATATTGAAAGCTTAAGGTTGTTAGGTTTTTCAAATGAACAATGATGAATTTTCGAAAGCTCTTATAAAGCTCAGAAAAGAAGATCATGGAAGGAGAGGGGTTGCCCAGATTAAAGTAGTCGTTAAAACACCCACTTCCCCACGAAGTCTAATTGAGTAGGCAGACGTGGGCTAGAGCAACGGAAGGAAATGGCTTGTGTCATTAATTGACCAATCATTAAGTCTAAAACCGTTTTTAAAAAAAACGATTCAGACTTAGGGGGCATTGTTTGGGCCTAAATTCCACGTGCCAGCCTAATTGACATTAGTCCATGTCAGAAAACAGAAGTTTGGGCTTCATTTGAAATCAGAAATAAGCCCAAGTGGTTTTAGAGGTCCAGATCTTTGTGAAACGATTAGCAAAGGATTAAAACCACAAATTAAAGATTAATAGCCATTAAATGGTGACTTAATCTGAACAAATCAAAGCTTTTAAATTAATTTCAGGATTTGGCCCAACTTCTAAACTCTCAGGGCATGTTTGTTACGCCTCCTTGGCTGGATTGGCTAGGCTAAAAGTTAATCCCATGTTTGTTGTCACCTGATCCTAACATTAAGTGGGATTAGTAATCCCAAGCCCACCAAAAACACCTTCTTAGATGTTCTTAGCTAAACCCATGTAAAAATGAGGGACTATTAGTCCCGACCAAAACTCTGCAACCAACTTCACCCAAGCTCCAGCGTCAATCACCGACCACCCAAATGGCAATCAAAACCACCGACTATGGGTTGTAGATGGCAATGGCAGGCAACAACAGGGATGGCAGACGGCGACGGTAGTCGGTGTCGACTACGATAGACCACCATGGCGATTGAAGCTATTCCACTATTTATCTTTGGGTCTTCATCAATTTGAGTCTGCTTTTGCCTCTCTCTCAAGTTTGTTTGTGGATGATGATTTTGGTGTGGGCTGTGGATTTCTGCCATGATTTAGGTGTAAGCTCCTGCCTCTCCCTTAAATTTGTTTATGCAAATTACTTACCACACCAAAGCCAAAGTATCTGAACTGGATGATGTTTTTTGGTTGGGTAGAAATTAGAGGAAGAGAGAATATAGATTGAGAAGAAGAGAAGGAGAGAGAGTAGGGAGAAAAATAGATGAAAAAGAAAAGACGCAAAGAGAGAAGATGAAGAAGAAAGAGCAGAGGGAGAGAGAAGAAAAGTAAAAATAAAAAATAATTCAAAGAACAAGATACTGAATCCAAAATTTAAAACTAAAAACAGAGATGAGTCTTCCCTCTCAACTTCAATCACAAACTTCAAATCATCGAAAACATCATCATACCTTTCTCTTGTGTCTCTTCCTACCTTTCTCATCAAAGAAACATGAGAAGAAAAGACCATGGAAGAGCTGTGTGGACTGATTGTAAAGAGTGATTGATATGGAGAGAGAAGGAAGATAGCGAACTAATTGCAATGCGGTTAGGTTTAAACCAGAGAGATTCTAACTTCTAATCCCCTTTATATTGATTGCAACAAGTATTGTCTTTATAGCAACGAAACAAAAACAAAGAGGTATTGGGCTTGGGTTTGCAGCAGCAGTCATATATGTGGGCCTACGGGCTGGACTTTTATGGTCGGGCCAAGTCGGGCTTTTATGGGCCCAAAGGGGTTAGGCTAGACTTTAGACATCCAAACCAAAGCACAGTTCATGACCCACGAGAAGTTGGGCCAGACTTTTTCTTGATGAGCCAGGCGGGCACCCAACAACCCATGAGCTCATGGGCCAAATGACGACCCCTACATGAAGGCCTCCTTTCAGATTGATCATGAGCTGCTTTGTTGGCTTGCCTAGGGACCCATTTCCATTTGCATTATTTAAACTTACTATTTAATGATTAAGTAGACCATTTGAATGATAGTCAACATCAAAACGATAATGAATGTAATCATCCCCTTTGTTGCCCAAGGGGAATTGCAAAAATGTGTCTTCAAAGTGGATTTCCATTTGATCAACGGGCTTTTCAAGTAGCAGTGCAACTCCTCACGAACACTTCCAAAATAGAAGTCTGAGATGACAACCCCTTTGCCAAGGTCGTTAATCAGAGTAGACACCTCATTGTGGTCGCTTAGCATATTTATAAAAATTCTTTTCTTAACAAGCAACTCCACATCCATCGGTATGTTCACAAAATCATCCGAGATGGAAAGATAACTGTTTACGTAAGAAGAGCAGTGACGACATTGCTGAAAGGCAACAATATTTCTAAACAAAAGCTCACTGCCGTTGTGAATCAGTAATCATGGAATTTCTAGAATTTCATCTAGGAATCATGGAAGATAAGCTTGTGCTTGATCCCCACACAATTTTCACTCCATCCATCTATAGTTCGATGATGCTCGGTGCACTTATAACTTTCACTTCCCCTCCTATATTAATAATATGTGAGTCCTTGGGGAGATAAAATAGTCTTAGAAACGCAATAAAGTGTTATACTTTCAAACTTGAAGAACCTTAGCATCCCCACATTTTGTACGATGCTCGTCCAACCAAATGTCATATTGATGAACTCAGAGGCGAGTTCCTTCATCAAAGGAATGACATAAGTACTGTTACTAATGGCAGCGGTTGCAGTTCTATGTAGTTCAAGAAGATCCTCAAGTACTTGATTTTCCAACTTGAGCATGTCTGGCGTAATATAATTTATTATCCAGGACTTGCTGGAGATGCTATCGTGGTCTTCCACTCCAAATGTGTTGAAACAGTGACCACATAACTTCAACAAAATCTCTATCACGAAGGTGGCATCAACCATCATGATTTGTACGATGCCGGCGCTACTGAACTCAATGACATTTCAACTCGTGGAGCTTCATTGTTTCTTGCCCTTCTCCTCCTCATTTCAACTCGTGTGAGTTTCAGTTGAGAAGAAAAATTAGAATTTAATTCATCCAAATTAAATGCATATATACTGAAATTAATTTTTAATTAAAACATAGAAACTTGGGGAGTTTAATATCTAGCATTTTGCTATGACATTTTGCGTACTTTAAACTAGGCCTCGTTAATGGGCTGAGCCAGGCTGGACTTTGAAGAGGTGAGAAAAAATAACGAGCTGTACTTGTTTAGAAAATTCGAAGCTCAAGGCCGGCTCATGGTCTAGGCTTGAGAAAGCCCATCGAGCTGGGCCAAAATGGGCCAACTTTTTTTTGTCTTCTATGTTTTGCTGTGTTTCTATGTCTCTTTTTTTTTCATAGTTCTATATTACATTTGTCTATATGTTTATGTCTCCGTTTTTTTTTTTTCATAACTTCATAGTTTTTTTCTTCTTCCATAAATATGAAGATATAGTTATACAACCGCCATATTGATACAATCATATTTTATCCCCTACTTCATTTTTTTAAGTTATTTCAATAATAATAGATAATGATTTTCTCTATCTTTCATTCAACTTGGTTTTTATATATTTATTTATATGTATGTGAGCCCTCGAGTCAGACTTTTATGGGCGGGATGGATCGGACTTTCTTAGGCTCAAACGAGCCGGGCCGAGCTTTAGAAACTCAAGTCAAAGCTCGGCCCACTTAATAATGGGCCGGACAGGCCAATGGCTCATAATGGACTAGGCTGGTTGGTCCCCCATCAGCCCATAGGCTTGCGGGCCTAATCATGACCCCTACTTTTAATATCCCAGCACATAATATATGGAGAAAGCATAAACTTAAGGAGATTATGGGACACATGTACAGAAAACTTTGTTGATTATTAATTGTACAAAATTTTTTTCACAGCATATGTTAATACCATAACTAGTCAGCACCAGTTGGCCTCACATGCCTAAACAAGTGGACCACTCATGTTGATCCCCCATAGGCCACAAGTACCAAGATGACAAGGCCATGCCTTCTCCTAGCTAGTTGCACGTGCTTTCCCTTCAAAATGGTTCCCCACGCCTAGCATGGAGGAAAGGCAACTTGCCTCACCTTTCACTACAAATGGAAGAGACCACCTCCCAACTAGGCCTGGTCAATGGGCCACGATGGGCTAGCCCGCCCCAAATTTAATAGGTTTGGATCGGGCTGGGCTTGAAATAGCATCGAGCCGGGTCGGGCCGAAATGAACCTATTTTTTTTTTTTTTTTTTTTTTTATTTTTTTTTTTTTTTAAGTTTTGCTGTATTTCTATGTTTCCCTTTCCTTCATAGTTCTCTATTTACATTTTTCTATATGTTTATGTCTCAATTTTTTTCTTTGTTCATAACTTCATAGTTCTTTTTTTTTCTTTCCATAAATATGAAGGTATAGTTATACAACCGCCATATTAATAAAATCATATTTTATCCCATACTTCTTTTTATTTTTTTTATTTTTTGTAGTTCTTACAATTTTAATACATAATGATTTTCTCCATTTTCATTTAACTTGGGTTTTGTTTATATATTTATTTATATGTGTGCGAGCCTGTGGGCTAGGTTTTTATGGGCGGGCTTTCTTGAGCTCAAACGGGTCGGGCCTATGGGTTGGGTCAGGCTTTAGACACCCAAGCCCAAGCTTGACCCAACCAACAATGGGTCAGGCTTACCCATGGCCCATAACGGGCTAGGCTGGGCTTTTTCTCGATGGGCTAGGTTGGCCCCCATCGGCCCATGGGCTCGTAGGTCTAATGATGACCCCTACTCCTAGCAAAGGAAGACAAACCCATTTCTCCTCTCCATGGGCATATCAGGAGAGATCCAAGAAGCTCTCCTCTCTCTAGGATTCAAGCTCTTAAGCCTCTCTATGTATATTGTAATACTCTTCCTACCCTTCTCATCAAGGACGCATGAGAAGAAAAGACCCTAGAAGGGCTGTGTGGACTGATTGTAGAGAGTAATTGATGCGGAGAGAGAAGGAAGATAGCTAACTAATTGCAATGCAGCTAGGTTTAAACCAAAGAGATTCTAACTTATGATCCCCTTTATATTAATTGAAAAGGCAAAAAAACCCAGAGAGTTGGGCTTTGGTTTGCTGCAGGTATTGTCTCTCTAACAACGAAACAAAAACTGAGTGGTATTGGGCTTGGGTTTGCAGTAGCAGTCATATATGTGGGCCTATTGCTAGGCTTTTATGGCCGGGCCGGGCCTTTATGAGCTTAAACGGGATGGGCTTATTGGCGGGGCTGTGCTTTAAACACCCAAACCTAAACCCAAGCCATTGAATAATGGGCCGGGCCCACCCATGGCCCACAACAGACCTGGCCGAGTTTTTTCTCAATGGCTAGACAAGCCCCCACTAGCCCATAAACTCGTGGGCCAAATGATGACCCTACATGAAAACCTCCTTTCAGATTGATCATGAGCTGCTTTATTGGCTTGCCTAGGGACCCATTTCCATTGGATGGATGAAAGGTTAGCTCCAATTCCATAATCTTTCGTGCATGCAAATTCAATTGGAAATATTAAGTTAATAATATTATATTACTAAAATCATTAAAGAATATTTATGGTTACTATTATTTAAACTTACTATTTAATGCTTGAGTAGACCCTTTGGATGATATTCAACATCAAAACGATAATGAATGTTATCATCTCCTTTGTTGCCCAAAGTGAATTAAAAAAATGTGTCTTCAAAGTGGATTTCCATTTGATCCACGAGCTTTTCAAGTAGCGGTCCAACTCCTCACAAACACTTCCAAAATAGAAGTTTGAGATGACAACCCCTTTGCCAAGGTCGTTAATTAGAGTAAACACTCATTCTGGGCGCTTAGCGTATGTATTATAAAAATTCCTTTCTTAACAAGCAACTCCACATCCATTGGTATGTTCACAAAATCATTCAAGATGGAAAGATAACTGTTTATGTAAGAAGACAAGCCATGACATTGCTCAAAGGCAACAATATTTCTAAACAAAAGCTCACTGCCATTGTGAATCAGTAATCTTGGAATTTCTAGAACGTGAATCGTATGGCAGATAAGCTTATGCTTGATCCCTACACAATTTTCACTCCAGCCATCTGTAGTTCGGTGATGCTCGATGCACTTACAACTTTCACTTCCCCTCCTATATTAGTAATATGTGAGTCCTTGGGGAGATAAAATAGTCTTAGAAAAGCAAGAAAGTGCTCTACTTTCAAACTTGAAGAACCTAGCATCCCCATATTATGACATCTCTATCACGAAGGTGAGGTCCACAAAGGTGAGGTCCATCATCAATGGAATGACATAATAACTGTTATTGTCGGCAGCGGCTGCAGTTCTATGTAGTTCAAGAAGATCCTTAAGTATGCAAAATGGTACTTGATTTTCCAGCTTGAGCATGTCTGGCATAATATAATTTATTATCCAGGACTTGCTAGAGATGCTATCATGGTCTTCCACTCCAAATGTGTTGAAACGGTGACCACATAACTTCAACAAAATCTCTATCACGAAGGCAGCTGTAGACAAAGAAATTTTGGCGCAACAAATTCCATTAGATAAGAAAAATAATTAGGGTTTGGTGGATTGAATTGTGGGCCCCATAATTCATCCATGTGGCATATGACTCATCAAAATTAGATTAGTTGTCAAAAGTGACATGTGTCGACATCCGATTGAGTGCATCAAACGGTTCAAAGTGAAGACAAAATTAAAGGAAAGAATCTTCTGTGATTGACTTCAATTTAAATCAAATATTAATCAAGTCAATCAATCGAAGATAATTTGGTTAAATTGCCAAATTATTGGAATTGATTTGAAATCAAATCAGAATTCCACAAAGGAAGGTCTTAAAGACGGAAAGCTATTTAGGTCAAGCATCCGGCAGGAGCCTATAAATAGGAGGCCTTAAGACAAAAGAAAGGAGCTAAGACAAACCAAGGGTTTAGAAGAAACAGAAAACTCTCTGCATTCTTCACCTCACTTTGGAAGAGCCACCAAGCACAACAAATACGTGCTGGTTCCTCTACCCTAGAAAAATCCAAACACCAAACAAGCCTTGTGCCACCCGTTTGATCAAGATCAAGTCTCTTTGACTCTTGTATCAAACACAAATTTTCTTTAAACACTTTGGAGATCGAATCAGAGGATTCAATACAGGGATTGTAACCCTAAATTTCATTAATTCAAATATTATTTTGTACATGTGTTCTTGTCTCATATGTCGCAAGATATTCGTGTTTATAGTGGCATCAACCATCATGATTTGTACAAAGTCCTTGCTACTGAACTCAATGACATCAGCATAGCAAGCGCGCAAGTTTTCTTCTTGATCTTTTATCTTCTTCATGTAGATCTCCAAGCGTAGGTTGACCCTATGCAGAACTTTTTCAGGTAGCTCCTTTTGAGTTCTTCCATGGGTTTTAAGTCTCCCTTGCCATGATGGAGTGGGCCTATTGATATTACTGAAGGCATGTAGACATCTTTGCTTTTGCATAGTAGATAGACAGGAACTCTATAGATGCAATGTCCTTCTCTTGAGACAGATGTTGGATGGAAGCTACCAATAAAATATAGGGATTTTCTATATTTATTGGAGCTTCATTGTTTCCTACCCTTCTCTTCCTCATTTCAACTCGTGTGAGCTTCTATTGAGAAGAAAAATGTTTGAAAAATAAGAAAAATTATAATGTAATTCATCCAAATTAAATGCATATATACTGAAATTAGTTTTTAATTAAAACATAGAAAAATGGGGAGTTTTATATCTAGCATTTTGCTATGACTTTTTGCTTACTTTTAACTAGGCCTCGTTAATGGGCCGGGTTGGGTTGGGCTTTAAAGAGGAGAGAAAAAATAACGGGCCAAATTGGGCCGAACTTTTTTAGAAAATTTGAAGCTCAAGACCAGTCCATGGGCTAGGCTTGAGAAAGCCCATCGAATCGAGCCGGGCTGAAAGGGGCCTACTTTGTTTTTTCTTTTTTTTAAAAAAAATTTAAAATATATGGATTTTTTTGGGGTCAATTCTTTTTTTTTTTTCTATGTTTCTCTTTATTTATTTATTTATTTATTTTTCATAGTTCTATATTTACAGTTGTCTATATATTTATGTCTCCATTTTTTTCTTTGTTCATAACTTCATAGTTCTTTTTTTTTCTTCATAAATATGAAGATATAGTTAGACAACAACCATATTAATAAAATCGTATTTTATCCCTTCATTTTTTTTAGTTCTTACAATGATAATAGAAAATGATTTTCTCCATCTTTCATTTAACTTGGTTTTTTATATATTTATTTATATGTATGTATTATGGGTGGGTCGAGCCGGGCTTTCTTGGGCTCAAAAGGACAAGGCCGAGCTTTAGACACCCAAGTCCAAGCCCGGCCCACTCAATAAAGGACCGGGCCGACCCATGGCCCATAACGGAATGGGGTGGGCTTTTTCTCAATGGGCCGAGCGAGCAATTGTTGGCCCATGGGCTTGTGGGCATAATGATGACCCCTAATTTTAACGTCCCAACACATAATATATGGAGAAAGCATAAACTTAAGGAGATTATGGGACACATGTACAGAAAACTCTATTGATTATTAATTGTATTGAAAATTTGAACAATAATACCATAACTGGTCAGCATCAGTTGGCCTCACATGCCCAAACAAGTGGACCACTTATGTTGATCCCCCACAGGCCACAACTACCAAGAGGGCAAGCCCATGCCTTCTCTTAGCTAGTTGCACGTGCTCCCCATTCACAATGGTTCCACACCTAGCATGGAGGTAAGGCAACTTGCCTCAACTTTCACTACAGAAGGAAAAGACCACCTCCCAGCTAGGCCTCGTCCCATGGGCTGGGCTTGAAAAAGCCAATCGGGTCAGGACAGGCCGAAATGGGTCTACTTTATTTTTGTCAATTCTTTATTTTTTGTTCTATGTTTTGTTCTGTTTCTATGTTTCCTTTTCTTTCATAGTTCTCTATTTACACTTGTCTATATGTTTATGTCTCCATTTTTTTCTTTGTTCATAACTTCATAGTTTTTTTTTCTCTATAAATATGAAGATATAGTTATACTACCGCCATATTAATAAAATTAGATTTTATCCCATACTTCAATTTTTTGTAGTTCTTACAATGATAATAGATAATGATTTTTTTATATATTTATTTATATGTATGTGAACCTATGGGCTAGGCTTTTATGGGCAGGCCTGGTTGGGCTTTCTGGGCCGAGCTTTAGACACGCAAGCCCGAACCTCCCAATCAAAAGCAAGTCGGGCCATAACAGGCCGGACCTGGCTTTTTCTCGATGGGCTGGGAAAGCCCCCATCGGCCCATGGGCTCGCAGGCCTAATGATGACCCCTACTCCCCTCAAAGGAAGACATACCCATTTCTCCTCTCCATGGGCATATCAGGAGAGCTCCAATAGGCTCTCCTCACTCCTGGATTCAATCTCTCAAGCCTCTTTGCATATATTGTAATACTCTTTCATAATAAGATACCAAGTTCTACAATGGATGTAGTCCTATTCATGAATGAACCACTCTAAATTTGTGTAATGTGTGACTGTCCATATAGCCTCTAAGGGTCATACTAAATCACCCGTTAACAGCATATATATCATATACTGCATATAAACTTTGAGACACATATACAGTAAGGGAAAAAAAACACGTAAATACAGTAGGGAAAAAAGCATGCTGAACAGATATTCAAACCTTGGGTATTTTTCAACATTGAAGCCACTAACTACACTAATAGGAATGAGCAATACTGGAGAATCATGCTTAACAAATTTATGTGACTAATGTTTTGTATTTCTTCCTCAATGCATCAGATTTGAACTACTCTCAATGCATCTCAGCATTCAATATATACAAGGTATTAAAAGTTGTTGGAGGTCTGAAAACACAAACATTTACAGAACTATTAACAAACAATTGATATAACTAAATGTTACTGATATGTTCATAATTTCACATGATTTTATATCCTTTTTACTTAGTTTTGTGAATTAATTTGGACTAAAGATGGTGATTTTAGTTATTTTCTGGTTTTTTCAGCTCATGAGTCCCGAAATGTATAAATTCGCCAAATATTCCTCATAATAAAGTATGACAAGATTCCAATTAGAGATGGAAGATAGCATTTTGAAATTTGTCTGTGAACATTTTCATGAAGACTGCTAAGGTGCCCATTTTTAATTAGACAGCTCAGCCTAAACTAATTCTCCGAGAATACTAAGTCAGCAGGGGTATTTTGGCCATAACTCACTCATACGACATCGAATTGAGGCACACGATATACGGCTGAAAAGAAGACATCCAGAGCTTTCCGAAGAGTGGTTGTACGCAATTTTTGGAGGTCAAGAAGGTGTTCAAATGGCATTCGCAAAGAGGATCACGTGCAGTTTCCTTGAAGTTTTAGGAAACTTAGTTTTAATTACCTTTTCTAGTTAGGAACTGACTTGGAAATCAAGTCTTCGTGTAAGGCCACTTGTTTAGGCCCATTCTAACTAGGTTTTAGGTTCTTTTTAGAGCGGAGGTCGGGGGGGGCTCAAAGGTTATATACCAGAAATTTTGGAATTCAACCGGGGAGCAAGGAAGAGCGACCATGCCTTTTCTTCTCTTTCTCCATGTTTTATTTTTGCTTTGTTACCATGATTATGAGTAACTAATTTTCTTTTACTAAGATACAATGTAACCATTTTCTAATTATTCAAATCTTAGTTATGTCATGCTGTTAGAATTTTCATGTTGTTGAAATTTAATCACTGTGCTTATTTTCTTAACTAATGATCTTGCTTAGCTACCATCTAGGTTTTAGGTAAGTAATTTGATGCATGTTAGGGTATACACCATGCCTAATATGAGTTTTGCTTCTTGTGATTAAATTCATGAATGCGCCTAAGGTAAACACCATACTCTTAGGGGTTTGTGTGATTGTGTGAAGTTCTCATTGAACCTAAGGTCTTTTTATATGTTTATATTTATGCCTCACGCCAAGGATAAATTGCTTGTAAGAAGAAGTGGTTATTTATATGTTTATATTTATCAACATAACTTGGGAATTTTGATAGTATGCATGCTAAGGTTTGGATAAGAGGAATTGTGATGAAATTGTTGTATTGGTAAGCTTGTTTAAAATCTTTCACAAATTTATTTAGTTCATGTTTTTCTTCGCTATCTTGTCTTTTAATTTTCTTATTTCAACGTTCTTTTAAAGAAAATATTTCAAAGCCAACTTTCAAAACTCCTTATTTATTTTTTGTTGAGTCATTAGTTTTAAGTTTATTAGTTAGGGTGTCTAGAGTAATTTAGAATTTAAATTAGTTTATAATTCACAAAAACTTTAGAATTTATTTAGTCTCTGTGGGAATGACATTGTACTTGCCTTGGTTGCATTAACCTTGTGTGCTTGCAAATTTATTTCTTGAATTTAACTATCTAATTTTTCAGGTAGTAAAATTATACATCAAGTTTTTGGCGCCGTTGCTAGGGACTGAGTTTAATTCTTTGTGTTGTGTGATTTTAGCTTTACTTTGGTCTTTATTTTAGTTGCTTGTCGTCCCTTTAAAATTTGTGTTATTGTTTTACTTTATTGTATTTCTTTGATTTAATCTCTTTTATTATTTGTTTCTTTGTTTTCCAGCACCACCTATTATTAACTATCTCTTTTGGTTTGTTGTCTGTAGGTTGCTCTCAAATATTTGTGTGCTGTGGTGTGTTCTTTGATGGTTAGAACAAGATCCCAAGGTCAAGAATTAGTACCCTTTGATCCTGAGATAGAAAAAACGTTCCAAGAGCTCTATCGCATCAACCAACGAGCGTTTGCTACTGATATAGAGTCTGACATAGAGTCAATGGCAGCCAACACTAAGCCCTTGAAGGAGTATTCACCACCCACAATCTTATAGGAGCCTTCATGTATCACATTTCCTGAAAACGATGATGTTTCGTTTGAGATGAAATCCGGCACCATTGGGTCTTCTTCCTTCATTCTATGGTAAATCAAATGAAGATCCCAACATTCATATTAAGGATTTTTGCATAGCTTGTGGTATAGTTCAGATCAAGGGAGTTTCACAAGAAATAGTGCACCTGAAATTGTTCCCCTTCACTCTCAAAGACAAGGCCAAGTCATGGTTCACCTCTCTTCCTGCTGGATCCATCACATCATGGGAAGAACTTGCTCAAAAATTCATGTTGAAATTTTTCCCTGCCTAAAAAACGTTGCTACTTAGGAAGGAAATCATGAACTTCGAGCAAAAGCCTCAAGAATCTTTTCATGAGTGCTAGGAGTGATTTTGTGATCTACTACAACAATGTCCTCATCATGGAGTGGAAAGTTGAATGCAAATGCAGATCTTTTATCAAGGACTAACCTCAGGTAGTAGAAACAATGTCAATGCTGTTTGTGGAGAAGGTCTGAGTGAGAAAGATCCCGAGGAGTGTTTCAAAACTTTTGATAGAGTTGCTGCCAACTCTATGCAGTGGGGAGATCATAGATTCACAAGGAAGACAAGTGTGCATAGTGTCCATACAAATCCTGGAGTTGCTTCAGCATCTCAAGTATCTAACTTTGAAAAGAAGCTTGAAAATTTCATGCAGTCAATGACCAGATTTATTTCTCCTTCATCTGTTTGTGCTATTTGCTATGATAATTCTCATCCAACTAATTGTTACCCTTTGAGTGACCTTACGCAGGAGCAGGCTAATCAAATAAATTCATTTCAAAAGCCACAGCATGATCCCTACACCAACACGTATAACTCGAGATGGAAGAACCACCCCAATTTCTCATGGAGCAACAAAAATTCGTCTAAGCAACGCATTTATCCTCAGCAGAAACCTGCCAATCCAAATGAATAAGAGAACCAACTTTGAAGGAGATTATGACTCAGTTTATTCAGACTCAACAACAAACAAACAATAACCTTCAAGATGGTTATCAAAATTATCATGCTGCAATTCAAAATTGGAAGTCCAAGTAAGCCAAATTGCAAATATAGTCAATGGGAGGGAGAAAGGCAAGTTACCTAGCCAACCTGAAGTCAGTCCAAGAGGCCATGAGCACATTAAGGCCATAAAAATATTGAGGAGTGGCAGAACTTATGAGGCTAGACGTGAAGATATTTCTAAGGCTGAAACAGAGGGAAAACAAGCCGCTAAAATTGATTTAGACATGGAGGACATCACCACACTTTAGCCGCACCCTATCCCTGCCATAATGAATGTTAGAGAGGTCCCTACAGCAGCTATTGAGCTTACCAGAGAACCTACAATAGCTACCCCTTCCAAGGAGCGAATATATGTGCCTCAAATTCCTTTTCCGCAAAGACTTCAAAAGCATAAGAGAGATCAATAAACAACGGATATTCTGGAATTGTTTAGAAAGGTTCAAATAAATATTCCATTGTTGGATGTAGTGAAGCAAATCCCAGTTTATCCTAAGTTCCTCAAGGATGTTTGCACAAATAAGCGAAAGTTTGCTACACATGAGAAAGTGATGTTGTTCGAGGAATGCAGTGCAGTTCTCCTTAAGAAATTGCCACCAAAACTTAAGGATCCAGGAAGTTTTACAATTGCTTGCTAAATTGAAAATTTACATATTGAAAAGGCTTTAATTGATTTGGGTGCACGTATTAACTTAGCGCCTTATTCTGTATTTCAGCAGCTAGGCATTGGAGAGATCAAACCAACTTCTGTGAGCTTGCAACTAGCTGATAAGTCTATCAAATATCCACTTAGAATCGTTGAAGATATACTAATCAAAGTGGATCACATGCCTAGCCAACCCGAAGCTAAGATCAGATTCCAATGAGGCCCAACACCTTGTAGCAGCTTTGGATTCGGCACCTATTCAGTTCCTAAGGTGGCGTCACACATATTAGCCACTAGGGACACCTAGCGCCCCTATTTTGCCTTCTGTTGAGAAACCTCCAAAGCTAGAACTCAAGCCATCGCCTGAACACTTGAAATATGCCTTTTTGGGAGAATCAGATACACTTCCTGTGATCATTGCTTCTGATTTGACTGTCATCGAGGAAGAAAAGCTTTTGTGTGTTTTGAAAGAGTACAAAACAGCTTTAGGATGGACCATAGCTGACATTAAAGGCATTAGTCCATCCATGTGCATGCATCAAATTTTATTGGAGGATGGTTCTAAGCCTACCATTGAGGCGCAAAGAAGATTGAATCCTAACATGTATGAGGTAGTCCAAGGTGAATTTTGAAAACTTCTTGATGTAGGTGTGATCTATCCCATCTCTGACAACAAGTGGATTATCCTAAGTCATCCCTAAGAAGTCTAGAATCACAGTGGTTCAGAATGAAAACAATGAACTCGTGCCTACAGAATGACCACTGGATGGAGAGTCTGTATAGACTACAGGAAGTTGAATTCATCTACTAGAAAATATCATTTTTCCTTGCCTTATATTGATCAAATGTTAGAAAGATTTAGCTGGTCACTCACATTACTGTTTTCTTGATGGCTATTCATGTTATAATTAGATTCCCGCCTCTGAGGATCAAGAGAAGACGACATTTACTATCCCTTTGGGACGTTTGCTTATAGAAGGATGCCTTTTGGCTTGTGCAATGCATTTGCTACCTTTCAACGATGCATGATGAGTACATTCTCTGATATGGTTGAGAGAATAATTAAGGTTTTTATGGATGATTTTCTATTTTTGGAGATTCATTTGATACTTGTATGTTTAACCTTAAACTTATGTCGGAAAGGTGCATGGAGACTAACCTTGTTTTAAATTGGGAGAAATTTCATTTTATGGTACAACATGGTATTGTGCTAGGCCATTTAGTCTGATGAATCTTGTGTTATTTCCGACATCAATCTTATGTCGGGCCCACTTACTAAAAGAGACAATATTGTTTGCCGAAATTTTGGCAGTCTCCCTTGAAAAACGGACTTAACCAAATATTTCAACCTGTCAAAGGCATAATTTAAGATTCCTAAACTTTAGCATGCACAATGTAACAGTTCACAGAATAGGCCTTCGGCCTTAAATCCAACCCTACATGGTCAATAACAGAGCAATTATAAGGAAGACTCCAATTTACAATCGAAATGAAGTTCAGTGGAAATTAAACAAATAGAAATGCCCTACAGAAGTTCAGGAGGCACAGTAGAAAATCGCGAGGGAATTAAAACAAAGTTTTCATATACTTGCCCCACTGTTTGAAAAAAAATTATCAAAGCATGCAGTCAAACCATTTGTGTACAATCACAAGCAGTTCTAAAGACTCAGACCATGATCAATCATCCATCCAAATGGATTTCAGACTCATCATAACCACAAACACATTTAACCACAACTATTTAGTAAAACTGGAATATAACCCAGCATTTAATCTCACCTAGACTAGGCTCCAAGCTCCCCGACATTTTCAAACCAAACTCAACAAAAGTAACAGTTTAAGTCGTGGCTGCACCTAGATGAAACCTCAAGCTACTTACGTACCCCTTTGTGAGGGATCAAGCCACACGTAATTCTTATATCGACAATCACGATTTCAGATGATATACGATTACTTAAAGTAAAACCACCGATTAAATTTAGATTCATCTACAACTTCAAAACCCAAAAAGGCATACATTGAACACTTATAAGTTCCTTCCCTTATGTCAGTTCATCCCCGCAACCATACCCTATCCAAGGCGTATGTTGCTGGACAACACTTTCCAAACCATGAATTAAACATTCATACCTGTGCAGAGTACTCATGAAGCACAAGTTCAAGAATCTCAACCTGGAAACGAATCCACACATATACATATTAAATAAATATATAAATATATATTTAATATGTTCCCATAATTATATCTTCCAAATGTGTACCTCTAAACTAAGATCTATGTAAATAAATCCCTGATGTGTTCAACCTAACGCATAGAAATCTCTTTCTTCTAGTTTATCAAAGAATTTTAGGGAGCCTCTGGCCACCTACTTTCCGTTCTATCTTATTCACATTTTGCTTAAACCCATTGTTTGTCGATATATACTCAACTTTTCCTAGCATATCAAAGGCACAAATACATCTTACATCAGGGGACTTTAAATTATTTCTTTCTAGTTTAGTAATGGAGATTTGGGGATTCGAACTTGAAATCTATACCAAAAGACAGGACGGTATCAAAAGACCCGTGGTCAATGGTTTGGTCAAACTTTCCATTTTTGGTCAACGGGGCCTCCGGGTCCCATGACTTTAATTTTCGATCTGAACGTTCCTACGGGTTCAACAAAGTTTACTAAATATGTCCTGCAAGTTTGGTCCAAATTGAGCTGTCGGATCGCTTGAGATCGCACGATCGGACGGTTACTATTTTACGCAAACTTTAAGTCATTGAATCGGAGCATCTGGAGCTCTGATTCATGATCTGAGAATTCCTACACAATCCTAGAAGTACTTAGATCACCATATTGAAAATGACGTCAATCCAACAGTCCAAACATATCAAACCCAGATAATGCCTAATATGCGTAAATCCGATCAACCTCCAAACGATAACTAAATTCAAATCCGAGCATACCGTTGTACTCGGGACAGCATGTTGATCATTTTAGGACCAAATGGGCCACTAGACACGGCCCATGCCCCATCACACGCGCCGGCAGTGCGTGGATGTCTTGAGAAATTCTAGCGATTAGAAAATTCTCGAAAACACCCATCAATACCTATACCTATACAATCAAAACAACAAGTGGAGTAACTTTTGTTCTTGGAGCACGGCCAAAAAGTGACCGGAACTTTCTGGAAACTCGAGTGAAAACTTACCAAATTTTAAGGTTTAAATCGAATTCCAAAACTCAAAAATCAATCCTAATCAACCCAACCATTGGCTAGAACACGTTGAGAGGATGAGAAAGCATTCCTGAATCGACAAAAATGGTGGCTAGAATTGTCGGAATGAACGACAGAATCTTTACGTAAAATTTGGCTTGTTTTCTGCATTTTCCAGCAGCTGGGCTGGCGGCCTACTGCAGCGGTGGGGTGGGGTGGGAAGATTGGGCTGAGCCGATCATTTTGGTACTGGCCCTGCCGGATTTTGTGGCCGGATGAGAGAACTGTCAGCCAAAATGTGGCCGACTGAGGTTGTTGTCGCGAAAGGAAGAGAGGCTTCGCCGGGGAGGGAGAGAGAGAGAGAGAGAGAGAGGAGAGAGAGAGAGAGAGAGAGAGAACAAAAAATCTGGGTTTTAAAAACTGGACTTAGAAATATTTACGGTTGTGCCATTGGACTTCCGTATATTGTAACTTCTTTGTTACAACTCTAATTTAAGCCTACTATGTGTCTATCGGTGCGATCTACATCATGGTGCCATTCAATTTCCCATAATCCTACCTGATTAAAAAATGACCAAAAGGCGAAATTGTAATTTCCTAATTAAATAATTTAAACGAATAATTAAAATTGGGTCGGGATGTTACACAGTCTCTAGTAAACGCATTGTTGTTGATAAAGCAAGGATAGAAATTATTGCTAAATTGCCACCACCAACCTCAATGAAGGGTGTGAGATCTTTTCTTGGCCATGCTGGGTTTTACAGGCGTTTCATCAAGGACTTCTCCAAAATCAGTCGTCCCTTGTGCAACCTGCTAGCCAAAGACGCCATTTTTGAGTTTGATGATTCATGTTTAATTTCTTCTAACAATTTAAAAAAGCTTCTTACTTCTACTGCTTTTATCACAGCTCCAAATTGGAGTTTACCTTTTGAACTGATGTGTGATGCTTCTGACTACGCAATAGGTGTCGTTCTTGGTCAACAAAAGGAAAAGCTTTTACATGTGATTCATTATGCAAGTAGAACATTGAATGATGCACAACTCAATTACTCAACCACTGAGAAGGAATTGCTTGCCATAATCTTTGCTTTGGAGAAGTTTAGATTTTATCTCGGTGGATCTAAAGTCATAATGTATTCTGACCATGCTACTCTGAAGTACCTAATGACAAAGAAGGATGCCAAACCTAGACTCATTTGATGGATTTTGTTGCTACAAGAGTTTAACTTAGAGATTCGAGACAAGAAAGGCTCCCAAAATGTGGTAGCATATCACTTGTCAAGGCTCACACCTAGCCATGAAGAGGAAGTAGACGTGTTGCCCTTGAATAAGTCATTTTATGTACAGCATGGAGTCTCGTGGTATGCAGACATTGTGAATTATCTAATTAGTGGAATTATTCTAGCTGATTCTAACTCTCAGCAAAAGAAGAAGTTCTTGTCTGTTGCGTCTACCCAAGTGTAAGTAGTCACACGTAGTAATAATCTTGGAAGTCCAAGTATCGTATCCTCAAGGAGCAGGTAGACAAATATCTGCACACAAAGAAATAATTAAACGTACCACAATAAAAGTGACAAGCAAAATGAAAAAGTAATTTGATTTGATTGTTGTGAAAATTGAGTTTAAAAATGAAATATCAATAATGGAAATGCTAAGGCATCAAGGTTCAATTCTTTAAACAAAATATGTTTCATTCTCTTTAATCCAAATTATAACTCGATTAAAATCATCATTGAGAAACTTTAACCGGAAGATAAAGAAATTAAAACCAATTTAATTTTTCAATGTAATCTTTTATTAATGATTGTTCAGAAAATGGAGTTGCTTAATATCTACTCTTTCAATTTAAAAGCATGCCAAGTCAGTTCTTAACAATGAGAAAAATATAATTGAACTCATGAAAAGATAATAGCACTTAACATCAATCAAAATAAAAGGATACGAAAATATTGAACAACCAAAAATAAAAGAATTTAGCAATTCATACTGTATATTGAATTAAAGAACAATTCACAAACTTACTCAAAGAACATTCCCTTTAGCCTTAGCTAAAGTTCTAGTAACTCATTACAAAGGAAAACATAAACTAAATGGATAAAGAAATCTGTCGTAGGGGTGCCCTTGCCAAATAAGTTGATGGGTGATTTATAGTAGTCAATGAGGTGAGTGGGAAGTTAATACATTCGTGGTGGGTGATGAAGGGTTTAATTGAGGGATTAATTGGATTAAACATGTGTTGATGGTGGAGAGTTAGTGGAAAAGAAATAACGGTAAGGTAAGTGGGCGTTAAATGGCTATGAATGACATGAAATAGGTTCTTTAGCTTCAACGGTTTTGTCTTCTCTTCTCCCTCTTTACTTTATAATCACAATAATCCCTCAATCAATTCTTCAATAAAATCCGCCAACAATTCTCTTCACACCTAGCTTGAACTTGGACAAATGTATGTCTTCATCTTTTGGCTTTCCAACTTCCTACAGAAGATAAATTCACCTAATAAGTTCACCGAATTAATATAGAAAATTCATAAATCCGGTTGGTGAGAATCAAATGTAACAAGTGAAATTATATTTATTAAGCCAAAATTATGTCATAAAGTCTCCAAAATAATATTAAAAAGATGTAATTTGAGACTCTCATCATTGTCCACGGTCAAATTTTATTTTTGGGATGAAACATACTTGTACAAGCATTTCCCTGATCAAATTATCCAAAGATGTTTACCAGAGAATGAGGACAGAGCATTCTAAATTTCTCTCATAGTTATGCATGTAGTGGACATTTTTTTGTCCCAAATGCATAGTTGATAAAATTTTGCAAAGTATTGTGCAGCTTGTGATCGATCTCAAAGAGTTGGTAATATTTCCAAAAAGAATGAGATACCACTTCAAAGTATTCTTGTGGTTAAACTATTTGATGTTTGGGGTATTGACTTTGTGGGTCCTTTTTCGTCACCCCGAAGCAACAAATATATATTAGTGGCTGTCGATTATGTGTCAAAATGGGTTGAAGCTATGGCGGGTCCCACTGCTGATGTTTCTGTTGTTATGAGTTTTCTAAAAGGATCCATCTTCTCACGATTTGGCATTCCAAGAGTGATCATCAGTGATGGAGGGATGAACTTCATCAACAGAGCATTTCACAAGCTTATGGCTAAATATCACATCCATCATAGAGTTCCTACACCTTACCATCCTCAGAACAGTGGCCAAGTTGAGGTTTCTAACAGAGAGATCAAGAAAATCTTAGAGAAAACAGTCAGTGCTTCAAGGAAGGATTGGTCTCTACAGCTAAACGATGCATTCTAGGCTTATCAGACAGCTTAGAAATCACCTATAGGCATGTCACCATTTTGATTGGTGTATGGGAAAGCATGCCATTTGCCTATGGAGTTGGAACATAAAGCATATTGAGCTGTCAAAAAGCTCAATTTTGACCTGCAGGCTGCTGGTACGAAAAGGAACCTACAACTTAATGAACTGGAGGAGCTCAGACTTGAGGCTTATGAGAATGCAAGGATCAAGCCATTTCTAGGAAAACATTTGTGACGGGAAAGAAAGTGTTGCTTTATAATTCCAAACTTCGACTCTTTCAGGGCAAATTGCGTTCAAAATGGATAGGCCCCTTCCTCGTTATTGAAATTCTCCTCATGGTGCTGTAGAGATTTAGAACATGTCAACTGGGACCTAATTCAATGTGAATGGTCATCGCCTCAAGCATTATCTAGAATCTCACTTTGATCCTCAAGAGGTGGTGTCATTCGTGACATGGAATGACTATGCAAAAGACTGTAAAGAAATAAAAGCTGCCATTTGAAAAAGAAAACACGTCGGTTAATTAAACTTAAATTACAAGACGGCTAATAGATATTAACAACAATGACGGTCAAGAAAATAAATCACGTCATAGATTTAAAAATAACACGATGGAACAGTGCCCCAATCGACGAATTTTAGGAAAACACTACTTCTAACGATAAATTATAACCGTCGTCTAAAGAGGGAAATAAAGGCAACTCAGTTCCATTAACTATCGTGAGAGCTCTTCTGCACTTCGGTTAAACGAAAACAATTGACGTCTCAAAGAATACACACGTCAGTGAGGTTTATAAAAGCGCCTTTTAAAAGGCCAACCACGTCCATTCCTATACAAGTACCAACATGGTATGTAAAATAACAACGATGATACATTGGATTTTGCGGACGTAGTGAAGAGATTAACCACGACCGTTAGTTTACACTAACTGCCGTTCAGAAGTCAGTGTTTTCCAAAGAGAGTCGTCTAACTTTGTCCAAGTCATAATTTTTAGCTTGTTTTATCATTTAGACGTTAGTTCTAGCAAGAAACAGCCGTCGTATATTGGTAATAACTTTGTTCTTTTAACATATTATGACGTTAATATTGCTTTTGAACGTCGGTTCTTGCTTCTTGCAATGTGGAATACCTTTAACACGGCCATTTTTTTCCTGGGTTGCGACATGGAAGATTTTATAAGTGGCGGTTGTTCTACCTATGTGTTGTGGTTAATATATTTTACATCGGTTACAGTATCATTCTTGACATGTAATATTCTTTAGACGTCTATTTTTTTTGTAAGTGTCATCTAAGATTGTCAAAGTTTTCTTTCGTTTGCATTTTTCTAGATTTTAGATGTTGGTTTTTTATTTAGTAAATGTAGTATTTATTAACCACAGCGTTTTTGAGGTTATAAATAATGGTATTTTTTTCAAATTGAGACGTGGGGTACCTGTTTTTACGTCGGCATGTATGTAGTTCTTGACATGTAACATTCTTTAGACGTCTCTATTTTTCTATAACCATCGTCTAAGGTTGTCGAAGTTTTCCTTTTTTGCTATTTATATAGTACTTAGACGTCAGTTTGTATTTTGTTATGGCGTTGTATGTCTTAACGACTTCGGTTATTTGCCGTCGTTGTTTTTGTTATAAAAAATATAGTTTTCCTCTTTAGTAAAGCCAAATACAAAAACCTTTATATTATAAATAACATATAAACAAATTCTTTTATGGTACAATGAAATTGAAGAAAACAAATTGATAGGTAAGTAATAGCAAAATAAAGAATAAGTAAGAAGGTGAGTTTGGTATGGTGAAGCATGTCAAAGACGCTGTCCAAAAGCCTTAGTAGACTCCCTAAGTGCAGGTACTGACGGTCTACAAGACTCCAATATACGATCCCTTGTACACAAACTTAAGATCTGCTATGAGCATCTTCATAGATGGATATAGGTATCCAAGTCACATAACCATTGCCCAAAATAATAATATAAGTAGAGAAAGTATATAAAAGTAGAATAGGAGAGTATCAGATTGTGGTGGTGATTGTGGTGTGTGATATTCTGATGGTGTATTGTCGAGTATTCAAATGTGAAGGAGGAGTGGCCTTTTATAGGCATCCAATAACATGTAACCTTCACCACATTAAACTAGAAAATTAAGTAGAAATAAAACCTGAAAATTAAATATTTATAACCCCACAATAAAAAAAATAAACAACCAAAATAATAAATAAATAAAACTGTTAAATTTTTAAAACCTTTTTAAAATTCCAACAGTTTTATGTATCAAAAGATGGCGGTTGATTTTATGATGGTTTTAAAAACCTTCTAGATGACGGTGGATTCCAGTCGCCTATTTCAATTTTTGTAGTAGTAGTTCAAGGTTTGTGAATGGTGTGTGATGATCCAATAGCCAGAGTAATTGACAAGCATTTCTAATCTTTGGCAGTGAGTTTAGTAAAAAGCTTTGCAAGCGGAGAGACTGCATGCAGAGTTAACTTTCCAAAGTGCTTATATATAAGCAGCCAGTGTTTACCACTTCAAATCAAAATATAATTTTCCTCGGAGGACTTGTGACGTATCGTTGAGTCTAAGTCTTGAGAAAAGAATGTTGGCAAATTCTGTTTGACTTTCATATTGTGTATTTTTAATTACGTTGTAATGTCAAATTGTGAATATCAACTAAACATTCATGCAAAAATCAACTTAATCAATGGTCTAAAATTCGCAGTCTACGAATTTAACGGTCTTATCTTCATTTTTCAAGATGTTCTTTGCTCAAATATTTCTTTTGCATGGTTGACGGGGTGTAGTCTACAACAAAGGTTAATTCCACACTTGGGATGGAAGGAGGACCACAACAAAGAAGAAACTGGTTTGGATATTGCTGCAGAATTATTTGGAATGTTTTGGGTTTTTTCTGTTGCTCTTTCCTTGATACGCATGTTTGACCTCTTTTTAGTGTGACTAGTCAGAGCTTGTAAATAATGAATTGGTTAGACTGAAACGAAACACTCTATGAATAGGTCTGATTTAATAACTCTGATGTAGATCATTTTTTTAATTGTAATATTTGCATTATGCAATAGATAATTTATTGTTTAATTATAACAAATTAGTTTTTTTTATGAGTCAGGTCTTCTTTTCTGGTCAATCTTGTCTTTTTGGCTAACTTCTGCTAAAATATGAATATGGTTTATATATTTTGGGTTAGGTTTTATTCTTCTTCATAAGGAGGTATATGTAGGAGTTTACATGAGTGCTTTACAAGGAAATAGATATAGTAATCAATTAGGATAGTATCTCCTAATTATACAATGATTTGTCAACTATAAAGAATAGGAAAGTAAATCCCTTAATTAATCAAGGAAATAAATCTCCTTGATTAATTAGGAAACTCACGTCAACACTTCTCCTCAAGTTGGTGCATATATGTCACCAATGCCCAACTTGGTAAGTGAGTCATGAAATATTATGCCACAAACAGCTTTTGTTAAGATATCTGCCAGTTGATATTTTGATTTTAAGAATGGTAGGCGGATGATCTTTTTCTCAATTTTTTCTTTAATAAAATGTCTATCCACCTCAACATGTTTGGTTCGATCATGTTGAACTAGATTATGGGCAATATCGATAGCTGACTTGTTGTCACAATGCAACTTCATTGGCTTTTCTGGCTTGAAGCCCAATTATGTCAAGAGTCTTCTGATCCACAATAATTCACAAACTCTGTGAGCCATTCCTCGATACCCTGCTTATGCACTAGAACGAGAAACCACATTTTGCTTTTTACTCTGAAAAGTGACTAGGTTACCTCCCACGAATGTGAAGTAACCAGAAGTAGAGCGTCTATCTGTAATGGAACCAATCCAATCAGCATATGTATATCCAACAACTTCAAGATCCCCATTTTTTGAGAACATTAATCCTTTCCCAAGGGCTGACTTTAAGTATCTACAGATCTGATCAACTGCATAAACTGACTAACCACACTCACAACATATGCAATATTTGGTCTTGTGTGTGCTAGGTATATCAACCTTCCAACAAGGCGTTGGTACTGTTCCTTATTGGTTGGTTCTTGGTCCATGTCTTCACACAACTTGTGATTCATCTCAATGGGTGTGTCAGCAGGCTTACATCCAAGCATTCCAGTTTTAGTGAGTAGATCCATTACATACTTCCTTTGAGACAGAAATATACCAGTTTTTGACATTGCTACTTTGATTCCGAAAAAGTACTTCAGATCACCTATATCCTTCATCTCAAATTCCTGAGACAAATACTTTTGCAACTTTAGTTGCTCTTCTGCGTCATTTTCAGTTACGATTATGTCATCTACATAAACAATCAATGTAGTAAGTTTCCTTCATCACGCTTCAAGAGCAGGGTGTGATCTGAATTACTCTATGTATATCCAAAATTCTTCATAGATTTAGTAAATCTGCCAAAACCATGCCCTGGGAGATTGCTTTAACCCATATAATGACTTTATAAGTTTGCAAACTTGATTTTTCTTGTTAGGAGCTGAATTACATCCTAGGGGTAAGTCCATATATACTTCTTCCAAGTCTTCATGTAAGAATGCATTTTTGACATCAAACTGATGTAGTTGCCAATCGAGATTTGCTACTAGAGATAATAGGACTCTAATAATGTTAATCTTGGCTATGGGGGCAAAGGTCTCCTCGTAGTCTATCCCATATCTCTGTGTGTATCCCTTCGCCAACAATCTAGCTTTATATCTTTCAATGGATCCATTTGCTTTGAGTTTCACAGTATAAATCCACCTGCAACCTACTGTCTTCTTTCCATGAGGTAAGGGCACGAGTTCCCATGTGACATTTTTTGGAGAGCTCGCATTTCTTCATTCATAGCTTCTTTCCATTTTGGGTCTTCTGGTGCTTCAGTTACACTGTTGGGGACAAATATGTCAGCCAACTGCTTCACATAGTGCACACGTGACTCTGATAATCTGCTAAGAGATATATAATTATTGATGGGGTATTTCCCTTGGCTCTAAGATCTATTTCATATTGTACTCGAGGTTTGCCACGATTCTTCCTTTCTAGAAGCTGATATGTATGCTTTGGGCCTTCTGAAATCAAATCATCATGGGATATTTCATTAGTGTTATTAGTTTTAGGAAAAGATGTTACTGAATGACTTCCTCAGCAGGTGATTGGTGCGGTACTGGAGTTAAAGCGAGCAAAATCTCACAAAACGGTTCAATTTCCTCCTCCTGATTTTGATAGCATGGAGACAACGGATCGTTTTCTTCTGGCGACCGGTCTCTGTCTGCTCGCGATTGGTTATTTTGAAGCAGGGTCTCTGCAGTTGAAGAACTAAAAGGGGGCGACCGGTCACTTTGATGCAGAGTGACGTCTTGGGGAAAAAAATCAGGAATTGGAGCAGTGGTGGATTCTCAATTCTCCTCCCGAGCTGTTGAAAAATATAAGTCATGTTTTCGAAACACAACATCTATGGAGGTAAAGACCTTCTGACTAAGTACATGATAACACCGGTATCCTTTTTGATGAGGTGCATAGCCAATGAAAACACACTTTTCGGCTCGGGGATCTAATTTGCTTTGTTGGTGATCATGTACGTGGATAAATACAACACAGCCAAAAATTCGGGGTTCCAAATTTGGGGTGGGAGGTCTTTGGGTATGGTGGTAGAGTATTTGAAGTGGTGTTTGGAAATTTAGGATACTAAAGGGAATCCAATTGATAAGATATGCTGCAAAGACGAAGGCTTCGCCCCAAAAGGATCGTGGCATGATCTTGTAAGAATTGGTTAAGATCATGGTTGAAAAATTCTCCGCCATTGTCAGAACGAAGAACCTGAATTTTGGCATGAAACTGAGTCTCCACCATTTGATAAAATAGTTGAAACCTAGAACTAACTTCCCTTTTAGTTTTGAGAAGGGAAACCCAAGTCATGCGTGTGCAATCATCTATAAACGTGACAAACCATCGCACCCCTTATGGAGCGGCAATTTTAGCAGGTTCCCAAACAGCAGAATGAACAAGAGAAAACGGAACCAAACTCTTATTTGAACTTAATGGGAATGGGACACAATGGCTTTTAGCCAATTCACACATATCATACTGGAAGCTGGAAACATCAAGACTTGAAAATAATGATGGAAAAAACTTCTTAAGATAACCAAAAGAGGCATGCCCAAGACGTTTATGCCATAACCAGTGGAAGTAAAATGTGATATGAGAATGTGAGGAATTGTGTTTGGAGGAATTTGATTTGAGGAATTTGATGTATGAATTTGATGTATGAATTGGATTTGAGAGGTATGTGTATAAGATTTGAGGGTATGTGTTTAGGGATTTTGATAAGAGGATTTGAGAGGTATGTGTATAAGATTTGAGGGTATGTGTTTAGGGATTTTGATAAGAGGATTTGAGGACTTTAGATTGAGGGATTTGGATTTGGGGGAAAATATGAGGAATTTGATTTAGGGTTTTGGATTGAATATGAGAAATTTGAGATAAGGGTTTAGAGACAACCTAGGATCGATTGCTCTGATACCATGCTAAAATATGAATATAGTTTGAATATTTTGGGTTAGGTTTTATTCTTCTCCGTAAGGAGGTATATATAGGAATTTACATGAGTACTTTGTGAGGAAACAGATACAGTAATGAATTAGGATAGTATCTCCTAATTATACAATGATTTGTCAACTATAAAGAATAGGAAAGTAAATCCCTTAATTAATTAAGGAAATAAATCTCATTGATTAATTAGGAGACTCACATCAACAAGTTCTTTTACTTCTCTATATTGCAATGATGAGTCACCCAAATATCTTAGGGAACGTTTTATGGCACTTTTAGTCTCTGAAGTTTATCTATTTTTCACTTTTCGTCCTTGTAGTTTTAATTTGGTTAATTGTGCCCTTATAGTTTCATAATTGTAGCAATTCAAGGACAAGTCACGAATTTCGTCAATTTCTTTCACAACATCAGGGGTATTTCTATCCATTTCAAGTTTAAAAATAATAGAAACTTAAATTTAAATATTTTTTTAATTGCAAACAAGAAACAAGCAATTGATTTGTCATTGAAATGAAATTCCAAAGTGACCAAAATAGCAAATAATAATCAAAGCATTCCCAATGTAGTTCTCAATTCATTAATCAACAAACCTTAACGTTAAAATCAATAGTTGATGAAAATACCCCTGACCTCATTACAGAATTTGACGGAATTCACAATTTGTCTTTGAATTGCTACAATTACGAAATTACAAAGATATAATTGGTTTAGCAACACCGATATTTTCCCCAACTTAACCACCTATACAAAGCTCAGTAGTGTGAGGTTTTATCACAAACGGCCTCGGTGATATTCGTAGTGAAATTATTCATTATATATAGTCAAGTTTCCGATGTGGGACTTATATTCTTCAACAGTACTGACTGAAAACTATTTGGAGGAGCAATTCTCGAAAGTGACGTTGAACCATTACACCAAACAAGCGATGTTGTTGCTTCATTAAACCAACAGTTCGATTTAGGTTGGTGTTGGTTTTTGAGACAATTCGTTATGATGGGATGCCAAATCTGTGCTCGACGGAGCCACAACAAGTCGATGGAGAGAAGACAAGAAAAAGTTTAATTGAAGCTTTGGTGAGTGGTGTGTGATGATCCCATTAATCCCAGAGGTATTGACAAGCATTTCATTTGAGAATTTTGGGAATTGGTATGAAATTGCACTCTTATGTTGGTAAACACACTTTTGGGAATGCGGTACCTAACTCATAGGTATGAAGAACTTCCCATATAGGGGGGATTTCATATCCTTGGCTTGGGAATTCTTCTCCTCCCCCCTCAAAGTGAAAACGACTATGGGAGTGTTTTTTCTGTGAGAGAGGGGGCTAGGGTTTCTCATGTGGAATATCACTTTTGACCCTTAAACTCTTGGTTTTAATAATTTTTAATAATTTTAAATAAAAAAAATCAAGGGGTTTGTTGAAAAACTGAACAATTTTTCATTCATAATACTGCACAAACCAAACATGGAAATGAGAGAAAATGATATTTCCAAGTCCTCATTTCCCAACGTTCCCAAACATGGGAATAAACATCCTCCATTTTCATCTCATGGGATTAAACATGTGAATTTCATTCCCACGAAGTTCAATCCGTGAACCAAATGGGACGGAGAGAGCTAGCAAAAGCTACCTTTGTAGGCTTGCATCAATTGTCAAAACTAGAGAAGACTGCCGAGTAAATTTCTAAGTAGAGAGCATAAGTATAAGCTGGCGCATAGTTAATTTACCAATTCAAATGAGAACAATTTTCGTTGGAAGACTTGAGACATTGGTTGATTCCAACTCTTCTTTTATGACCTATTCAAATTTGACATATCATCTTATATAGTATTTTTATTTGCAACTTTACCTTGTATGGTATTTTTCTTTTCTTGATTCGTTTCGTTCACCATGCTATTCATTGTTCGAAATTACAAGGGGACGAAAAAAATAGTGGATCAAGATTCAATAGAATGGTAATGATGGGATGGTAAAAGAGACCAGGGTCTGAAGTGACATAATGGAGAAAAATTAGTTGCAACAGGGATATCACTGTTTTGCTATTCCAAACCAATAATGCTATGCCACATAGAAGTTATCATGTGTGTCATAATGTTATTCGTTGGGATAGCAAAATAGTATTATCCCCGTAAGTCTTTCTCGACATATTGACTAACTACATTTAATTTCTTATCTTATATTTATTGCTTAGTCCTGTTTGTGAGGTCGACGGGCCTAAGCCAATAAGTCTGATAATTATTGCATGTTGGATAGAAATTTTGTGAGTTAATAGTTTGATAAAGTTTGGATGGAAAGATGGATTGGACTCATTGAAGTGCTTGGGGATGTAAATGGATTTAGAATTCAAAACTGAAAGCTAGCCAACTCTGAACAGTCAAACAAAGTATGGAAAATATTCAGTTATGTTCAGATATGCTCATATCTTTATTCTTCTCCAATATGGAGGTATTTATTAAAAAAAAAAAGTACAACCCTAAAGAAAATAGGAAGCAAATCCAAATTACAATAGAAAATAAATATAAATTACAATAGGAAATAAATTTCAATTATAATATGACAAGAAAAATGAGTAAGTAACCATAATCCTAACTAAGTAAGGACTCGCCAACACTCACCCTCAAGTTGGGTCAAAGATATTCCGCATGCCCAACTTGACAAGCGAGTCATAGAACACCATACTCAACATTGACCAATCAAACAACTGTAGAGAAGGCATTATCATAACCCACGAGTGAAACAACTAACAAACCCTAATAAATAGGGCACATAGAAGAACACATAAAAGCATAACACAAACCTTGTGAGCACGGCAGTAGGTATGGCCAAACACAAACCCTGTGAGCACGGTATTAGATAAGGGTGTGAACACGGCAATAGGTAAGTATGAAATGTGTTCAACAAACTAGGTTCTATAGTGCGCATCATCCAACTTTTCATGGTAGCATCATCAATTTTTCACTTTCCAAATTGAGGATCTTTAGAATCTGGGGCATCATAGTCACGAGTTAGGTGTTCAAATTACACCTAAAGAAAATAGGAAATAAATCCAAATTACAATAGAAAATAAATATAAATTACAATAGGAAATAAATCTCAATTATAATAAGACAAGAAAAATGAGTAAGTAACCATAATCCTAACTAAGGACTCGCCAACATGTTCTTCTAGCCTACCCAACCGTATGTACTATTCAAATATATAAAATTAAATTACAAAAAAATTTGTACATTATTATAAAACAACAATTAAAATTAAATTTATTTTGAGTACAAACGTGATGCTGATGGAGTAGAATTTGATGCAGAAGATGTGGTGAACTGTGAGGAATGGTGTTGCAGCCATAACCTGTACCTCCTTCTAAATCAGTACTAACAGACAAGATTGAAAATGATAGCGGAGGAGAAGAGTAGCTAGCCACCGGCATCTTTGACGAGAGAATAGGCAATGGAACTTCGAAGTTAAGCACTTGAATTGTTTGTTGTATCGAAGGCCTGATCTTGTAATCCGGATGAGCACACCACAACCCAACAATCAACAAGCACTCCATTTGCCTCTTCTCAAAATCTCCAGAGAGTTTTGGGTCAGCTGCTTCAATGACTCTCCCTTCACCATAAAGATCCCAAACCCACTCCACCATAGTGATTTGACGGCTCCTGAACTCGAGATCATTGGGTTTTCTCCCACAAGCTATCTCCAAAGCAACAACTCCAAAACTGTAAACATCTGTTTCCTTACTAGCCTTTCCGGTGGTCATATATTCGGGAGCCATGTAGCCCATGGTTCCAGCAAGAACAGTAGTTTCTGATTGTTTTCCGTGGTCCACGAGTCGAGCTAATCCAAAGTCCCCAAGTTTTGCGTTGAAATTTGAATCTAACATGATATTGCTGGATTTGACATCCCTGTGCAGCACACATTGTTCCCATTCCTCATGGAGATAGAACAACCCGGATGCCAAGCCTTGAGCAATTCTGTATCTTGCGTCCCAAGCTAACAAGCTCTTTGCTTTGAACAAATGGGAATCTAAGCTGCCGTTGGACATGAACTCATAAACAAGTAGGAGTTGTTTTCTTTCGTGGCACCAACCAATCAGTTGCACAAGATTCCGATGTCTAAGTCGACTAATGATCCTTACTTCAGCTGCATACTCCTTCAACCCCTGTCTCGACCCACTTGATATCCTCTTAACCGCAACATTTAAGTTCAGGTCTTTTATGTAGCCTCTGTAAACTCCACCAAATCCTCCCTCTCCAAGCTTCTGTCCCTCATCAAAATTGCTCGTTGATTGAGCCAATTTTCTGTACGAGAACTTTTTGGGGCCTGTCTCCTTTTCGAATTCCTCATCAATCACTGTAACATCTTCATCACTACTTTCCCCTCTCTTCTTCCAACAGATGAACCAAACCAAACCCAACGCACCACCCAAGACAAGTCCACCAATACCCAACACAAGCACTAGTCTAATATTGATGCCATTTGCAGACTTTGGTGTGGTGTTCTTTGGTTTTTCATCAAACAGCTGAGTTGAATGGAAGCTCCATGAGTTGATCTTGTGCAGAGCGGTATTAGCATCAGTTGCAGCAGAGAACCCAACAATCACCCAACCTTGCAAAATATTATCCAGATTAACCTCGCAATCAAGATACCTCATCATTTGGACACCATCCACATAACTAGTGAAAACCACATGAATACCATTTGTTGTAGAATTGTAACTAATGCCAGCACTATTCACGCGACCCTCTGCAATACTTCCATTCCAAGCTGCGAACATCTGAGACTTGAGAGTGCTGCTGTCAATCCCGACATGATCTCCCATGGGATCATCGATAGAGGTGACTTCATTATGATAGATGTCAAACTCTACTGCTACAAAGGGGGTACTGACTTTTTGATGTGTTGTTTTGCGGGTTTTCCACGGCAAGGCCTAGACTGCCTCCTCTGCCTAATGTGCTGTTGAGTAAGGACCCGTTGGCGCTATGAAGAACACCAGTCCATCAGCATATGGCGTTTTGCCTTTGGAGTCGATGACGAATGTGAAATTTGTGGTCAAGTCTGCAAGCTTTCCTGTGGCGTTGTCGCGGAGGAGGAAGGGTTGACTGTAGGTGGCTCGGCCCACACTTTGTTCCTTTACGTCATCAATAGCACTTTTGGTGAGTAGGAGGAATTCTCCATCGATGCGAGCATCTCCCTCCAGAGATATGGTGTTTTTTCCGTTTCGGAAGGTGGAGAAACTGAAGTCTAATGATGTCACACAAGGGGCTAACTGAAACAAAAGCAGAAGGAAAACCATTTCTAATTTGTTTTTTCTTTTTCTGGGTACTTGCAGATCAAATTGTGATCTAATATAGAGCAGAGGCTGTAGAGTGTAATTTTTCAATGTGCTTTGGCCAGCAGTAATCCTTTGCTGACCGATTCAAATCAAGAAAAATCTAGTTGGAGGACGACTTGATGAGACCTATTCGACACTTACCCTTGTACTTCTGCTTCTTCTTCTTCTCTCTCAAATTATTTACGGTCATTTTCAATTTATTAAAATAGTGCACCAACATTCAAGAGGGAGCTTGGTGACATGGTCCAAATTAGCTTGTGAATTTATTGCTTTGTATGTTTTGTGTGGTATTGGTTGGCGGGAAGCTTGTACTGCTATAAAGAGTAGGCGGGCGAGTCATGCGGTGTGGGGACTTGAGAGACTAGTAAGTTTTTGTCCTGGTGGATTGAAAAGGCTTGGAAGTGGTTAGAATTCAGATTTGAGAGTTTCTCCGCTAATAAGCCAACTCAAAACTTTCTAGAAGTACCTTTCATATAGACTGAACAGACAAGAGAAGCAAGCGTCCAACTTGGATGAATTTGATAAATAAAAGAGTACATCCATCATATGCGAGTGTCATCTACAAGATGAAGCTAGGGCATGTCACCAGAACAAAGTCTCCAAAGGAGAAAGTGGTTTTCGCGATCGAGTGTTTACTTTATTTGTTCATGTGGTTACAATTTTGGCGATCAAAGACGAGCAATTTATTTAAGCTTGCAATCAACTCCGACCAATTAAGAAATCATATTTCTAAATATGCATAAATTACCTGTGTTATGCAGGGTAGACCACTTAAGAATTAAGTTGTCGGCGCCGGAATAGTTTGTTGCAATCATGTTGTCGGCATCGGAACCCTGGATGCAACAAGAACTCCGTGAAGGAAAATAGGGCTTTTCTCATGAAAATAAAACTGATCCAACAAATCACTAGCCCTATGCAAAATACCATTATCCAAATTAAATTCATAATCAAAACTTATGCATAAAGAGGATTGAATTCAGGATAATTCGGTGGGAGGAAATCAAAAGAATAAATTCAGGAACCAAGGCTTAATACACCTCCCACATAACCCGTTAAATTATAAAAAGGTGTAATTTTGGAGTCCGAAAAATATAAAAAAAATCATATTTTAAGTTATATTAGGTAACTACTTAGTTGGATCCTCGACATTGAGTATTATTTGAAAAATTGGGTATTTTAAATTGAAAAATTAAAGGAAGGGCTCTAGATGATTTTAAATGAATTTTATGGTTGTAACCTCAATTTTTTTATTTTTTTATTTTTATTTTTTGGCCAAACGATGAGAGAAAATTATTAAAGACGAATAGTAAGGTATACATCGCTAGCAAGAGCATCAAAAATTCACTCAGGCCATAATTACACCCAAGTATGGATACCGCCGACTCTGGACACAAAGGCCTCAATTTTATGCGCTGTCTTGTTATAATGACGAGGATTCAACAGGAAGACACAATGTTGACATTGCGCCACCATTTGCTTTATGTCAAAAATAATGGATTCCACAGCAATATCAATTTTCCGCTCCCCACAAAGCATTCGAATAATTTGTAAAGAATCAAATTCAACCTCTAGTTTAGATAACCCACATTGAACGCAGGCCATCAGTGCTTCTCGAATGGCCTCACCCTCCACTGCCAACGCTCAATTTACTTAGATGGCACTCGCATATGATGCGTATATTCTTTCATTTATCAAAATACAATTATGCAAATTAAATTCATAATCCAAATTGATGCATAAAGAAGATTGAATTGCAGGATAATTCGGTGGGAGGAAATCAAAACAATAAATCCAGGAACAAGGCTTAAGACACCTGCCACATAACACGTTAAATTATAAATATGGGTAATTTTGGAATCCAAGAAATATAATAAGTCAGATTTTAAGTTATATTAAGTAATTGCTTATTAGTAGAATCCTAGGCATCGGGTATTATTTGAAAAAATTGCGTATTTTAAATAGAAAAATAAAAGGAAGGTGTCTAGATGATTTTAAACGAATTTTATAGGTGTAACCTCAATTTACTTTAAAAATAATCCAACATTCCATTTGGGACGGTGGAGAAATTGAAGTCTAATGATGTCACACAAACTAAAACAAAAGAAGAAGAAGGAAAACCATTTCAATTTTTTTTTCTGGGTAAGCTTACCGATCAAATTGTGATCTAATATAGAGCAGAGCCTGTAGAGTTTAATTTTTCAATGTGCTTTGATCAGCAGTACTCCTTTGCTTACCGATTCAAATCAAGAAAAATCTAGTTGGAGGACGACTTGATGAGACCTATTCGACGCTTACCCTTGTATTTCTTCTTCTTCTTCTTCGCTCTCAAATTATTTACGGTCATTTTCAATTTATTGTAATAGTGCACCAACATTCAAGAGGGAGATTGGTGGCATGGTCTAAATTTGCTTGTGAATTTTTTGCTTTGTATGTTTTGTGTGGTATTGGTTGGCGGGAAGCTTGTACTGCTATAAAGAGTAGGCGGGCTAGTCATGTTGTGTGGGGACTTGAGAGACTAGTAAGTTTTGTCCTGGTCGATTGAAAAGGCTTGGAAGTGGTTAGAATTCAGATTTGAGAGTGTCCCTGCTAATAAGCCAACACAAAACTTTCTAGAAGTACCTTTTATATAGACCGAACACAAAAGAGGCAAGCGTGACGAATTTGATAAATGAAAGAGTATATCCATCATATGCGAGTGTCATCTACAAGATGAAGTTAGATAAGGGCATGTCACCAGAACAGAGACTCCAAAGGAGAAAGCGGTTTTCTCGGTCGAGTTTTTACTTTATTTGTTCATGTGGTTTCAATTTTGGCGATCAAAGACAAGCAATTTATTTAAGCTTATAATCAACTCCGACCAGTTAAGAAATCATATTTCTAAATATGCATAAATTACCTATGTTATGCAGGGCAGACCACTCAAGATTTAAGTCATCGGCGCCGAAATAGTTTGTCGCAATCATGTTGTCGGCGTCGGAATCCTGGATGCAACAAGAACTCCTGTGAAGGAAAAATAGGGCTTTTCTCAGAAAAATAAAACTGATCCAACAAGTCACTCTCCCTATGCAAAATACCCTTATGTAAATTAAATTCATAATCGAAATTGATGCCTAAAGAGGATTGAATTCAGGATAATTCGGTGGGAGGAAATCAATACAATAAATCCAGGAACCAATTAAAGCTTAATACACCTCCCACATAACACGTTAAATTATAAATAAGGGTAATTTTGGAATCCAAAAAATATAATAAATCAGATTTTTAGTTATATTAGGTAACTGCTTAGTCAGATCCTAGTCATTGGGTATTATTTGAAAAAATAGGGTATTTTAAATAGAAAAATAAAAGGAATGGCTGTAGATGATTTTAAACTAATTTTAAGGGTGTGACCTCAATTTACTCAGATGACACTTACATATGATGGGTATACTCTTTCATTTATCAAAATACCATTATGCAAATTAAATTCATAATCAAAACTGATGCATAAAGAGGATTGAATTGCAGGATAATTCAGTGGAAGGAAATCAAAAAAACACATTCAAGAACCAAGGCTTAATACACCTCCCACATAACACTTTAAATTATAAATACGGGTAATTTTGGAATGCGAAAAATATAATAAATCAGATTTTGAGTTATATTAGGTGACTGCTTAGTTGGATCCTAGTCATCGCGTATTATTTGAAAAAATTGCTTATTTTAAATAGAAAAATAAAAGCAAGGGCTGTAGATGATTGTAAATGAATTTTATTGGTGTAACCTCAATTTACTTAGATGACACTCGCATATGATGGATATACTCTTTCATTTATCAAAATATCATTATGCAAATTAAATTCATAATCAAAACTGATGCACAAAGAGGATTGAATTGCAGGATAATTCAGTGAGAGGAAATCAAAACAATAAATCCAGGAACCAAGGCTTAATACACCTCCCACATAACACGTTAAATTATAACTATGGGTAATTTTGGAATGCGAAAAATGTAATAAATCATATTTTAAGTTATATTAGGTAAGTGCTTAGTTGGATCCTAATAATTGGATATTATTTGAAAAAATTGCGTATTTTAAATTGAAAATAAAGGAAGGGCTCTAGCCCATGATTTTAAATGAATTTTATGGGTGTAACCTCAATTTACTTTAAAAATAATCCAGCATTCCATTTGGGAAGGTGGAGAAATTGAAGTCTAATGATGTCACACCAAGGTGGAGAAATTGAAGTCTAATGATGTCACACAAGGGGCTAACTAAAACAAAAGAAGAAGAAGGAAAACCATTTCTAATTTTTTATTTTTTTGGGTAAGCTTACCGATCAAATTGTGATCTAATATAGAGCAGAGGCTGTAGAATTTAATTCTTCAATGTGCTTTGACTTGTCAGCAGTACTCCTTTGCTTACCGATTCAAATCAAGAAAAAAACTAGTTGGAGGACGACTTGATGAGACCTATTCGACGCTTACCTTGTATTTCTTCTTCTTCTTCTTCTTCGCTCTCAAATTATTTGCAGTCATTTTCAATTTATTATAATAGTGCACCAACATTCAAGAGGGAGCTTGGTGACATGGTCTAAATTTGCTTGTGAATTTATTGCTTTGTATGTTTTGTGTGGTATTGGTTGGCGGGAAGCTTGTACTGCTCTAAAGAGTAGGCGGGCGAGTCATGTGGTGTGGGGACTGGAGAGACTAGTAAGTTTTGTCTGGTGGATTGAAGGGGAATGTTAGCAACCTTCTCTCTAACCTTCTCTTTCAGACCTTCTCCATTTTTTGCTTGACATGTGTCATTCTCCTTACACTTAAAACAATGTCATTAATATATTATACAGGCTAACTTTTACTTTCCAAGTTTACCCTTATTAAATGTATTCAATTTATCCCAAAAAATTTCACAACTTTCTCACCATCTTTTTTTTTTTTAATTTAAGAAAATGTCCGCTTTTTAAAAAAAGAGGAAATGTCCCCTTTTTTTAATGTCAAGTTTAGATTTTTTTTTATTTTAAAAAAAAAGGATATTTCGTCTTTTCTTTTCTTTTAAACAAACATTTTCTTTTAAAAAAAATAATTGACGTTAAAAAAAATTTAATAAGATGGTAAGAAAGTTGTGAATTTTTTTTGGATAAATTGAATACATTTAAAAAGGGTAAACTTGGAAAGCAAAAGTTAGCTTGTATAATATATTAATGACATTGTTTTAAATATAAGGAGAATGACACATGTCAAGCAAAAAATAGAGAAGGTCCGAAAGAGAAGGTTAGAGAGAAGGTTGCTAGCATTCCTCGTGGATTGAAAAGGCTTGGAAGTGGTTAGAATTCAGATTTGAGAGTTTCTCTGCTAATAAGCCAACTCAAAACTTTCTAGAAGTACCTTTTATATAGACTGAACACAAGAGAGGCAAGCGTCCAACTTGGATGAATTTGATAAATAAAAGAGTATATCCATCATGTGCGATTGTCTTCTACAGGATGAAGTTAGATAAGGGCATGTCACCAGAACAAAGACTCCAAAGGAGAAAGCGGTTTCCGCGAACGAGTTTTTACTTTATTTGTTCATGTGGTTACAATTTTGGCTATCGAAGACAAGCAATTTATTTATGCTTGCATTCAACCCCGACCAATTACGAAATCATATTTCTAAAGAGATTTTCTATTTAAACCATATACTTCTCTTAGTTCACCCCATGTTCTAAGTTTATCCCAACTTTTAATTTAAATTTTCACAATTTCTAAGAAAACCCCACTGTCTTCCCAAACTACCCTTAAATACACCCCAAATTGAAAAAATAAGAACTAAAAGAGATTTTCTATTTAAACCCCATAATTTTCTTTGTTCCCAGCCAAAAAAAACACAAACAAATGAAACCCCAAATCCGAAATTTAATACTTTCTAGAAAGAGAACAACTTTACCTCTCTCCAAGAACTGTAACTGGAATTCTAACACTTGGGTATTGTTGAGAGAGAGGAGAGAGAGAGAGAGAGAGAGAGAGAGAGAGAGAGAGAGAGAGAGAGTGAGTGAGTGAGTGAGTTTGTAAACAGGAAGTTGGAAGGAGGTTTCTAAAACTTAATATGAAGAGTGGTGAGGTGTGTGTATAGATGTACTCGGGTTAATATTAAGTTGGATGACTTTTTTTGTCTTTTTACACAATAATAAAACTTACAGCTTAATGATTTAAGTATTGGGGTGAACAAAGAGAATAGTGTTGTTTAAATAGAAAATCTGTTTCTAAATATGAATAAATTACCTGTGTTATGTAGGGTAGACCACTCAAGAATTAAGTCGTCGGCGCCGGAATAGTTTGTCGCAATCATGTTGTCGACGTCGGAATCCTGGATGCAACAAGAACTTCGTGAAGGAAAAATAGGGCTTTTCTCATAAAAATAAAACTGATCAAACAAATCACTATCCCTATGCAAAATACCATTATGCAAATTAAATTCATAATCAAAACTGATGCTTAAAGAGGATTGAATTCAGGATAATTCGGTGGGAGGAAATCAAAATAATAAATTCAGAAACCAAGCCTTGATACACCTCCCACATAACACATTCAATTATAAAAAGTGGTAATTTTGGAGTCCGAAAAATATTTAAAAAAATCAGATTTTAAGTTATATTAAGTAACTGCTTAGTTGGATCCTAGACATTGAGTATTATTTGAAAAAAATTGGGTATTTTAAATAGAAAAATAGAAGGAAGGGCTCTAGATGATTTTAAATGAATTTTATGGTTGTAACCTCAATTTACTTAGATAGCACTCGCATATGATGGATATACTCTTTCATTTATCGAAATACCATTATGCAAATTAAATTCATAATCAAAATTGATGCATACAGATGATTGAATTGCAGGATAATTCGGTGGGAGGAAATCAAAACAATAAATCCAGGAACCAAGGCTTAATACACCTCCCACATAACACGTTAAATTATAAATATGGGTAATTTTGGAATCCGAAAAATATAATAAATTCATATATTGAGTTATATTAGGTAACTGCTTAGTTGGATCATAGTCATCGGGTATTATTTGAAAAAATTGCTTATTTTAAATAGAAAAATACAAGGAAGGGCTCTAGATAATTTTAAATGAATTTTATGGGTGTAACCTCAATTTACTTTTAAAATAATCCAACTTTCCATTTGGGAAGGTGGAGAAAAGAAGAATAAGGAAAACCATTTTTTTTTTTTTTTTTTTTTTTTTTTTTGTTTTTAAGCTTATCGATCAAATTGTGATCTAATATGAAGCGGAGGCTGTAGAGTTTAATTTTTCAATGCGCTTTGATTGATCGGCAGATACTCCTTTGCTTACCGATTCAAATCAAGAAAAAACTAGTTAGAGGACGACTTGATGAGACCTGTTCGACGCTTACCCTTGTATTTCTTCTTCTTCTTCTTCTTCTCTCTCAAATTATTTACGGTCATTTTCAATTTATTATAATAGTGCACCAACATTCAAGAGGGAGCTTGGTGACATGGTATAAATTTGCTTGTGAATTTATTGCTTTGTATGTTTTGTGTGGTATTGGTTGGCGGGAAGCTTGTACTGCTATTCTAGTGAAAACAAGTGGTCTTTATATAACAGTGCCCATTACAATAAGTGCAATGCATGTTTTCTTTTTTCTCAAAGGTTGGACGGGGGGAAAAAAAACTAGCAGCAAGGGGTTTAGAAACCATAACAACAAAGGATTCAATCTTTTCATCCTTCTTGAGCATCGTCTCTTGGCATTGGGCCTTTTTACAAACAAAAGCAAACGACTCCTCCAATTTGGGCAATTAACTCAACCTCAACAAATCTCCTCAAATTTTATCAAACTCATCATCTAAACATGCAAGAAAATCATAAATAGTCTTTTTGTGTTTCATTATGTCGAATCTTCACATCATAAGGGCACTTCATGTTGATTGAACGACGACAGTTAAGTTCCAACCAAACATTCTTGAGCTCAGCAAAGTATGAAGTAATATCACGATCCCCTTAAGTAATACGGGTTGCTTTACACCTTAATTCATAAATCTACGACTCATCAGACACATCATAATACATCTGGGCTGCACTCTCCCAGACATCCTTAGCGGTTGGCAGATCCAAGAATAATTCTACCAAATATGTTTCCATGGTTTTTATCAACCATCCTTTAACAACGGAGTCCTCGATACACTGTGAATAAAAGCCTGGAGAGTCCTCCTCCACTTCAACCACCTTCCCTAGCAAATAACCTCTTTTTCCGTGGCTTGGCACATGAAGTAACATCATCTTTGACCAAGTGCTATAGTTCTTTCCATTCAACTGTATGGTGAACGGGGTAGCCTAATTTTCATTGCGAAATGCAACAATTGGTTGTGGCATGTCAAGAGTTTTGTGGGTCTCTGACGCACTGGATTTGGCAGCAGTGCTTGGGGTGTTTAGGATATCTTCGAAAACCATGGACGACAAAGAACAAGTTTGGATGGATTTGTAGTTTTAGAAGTCTTTTGCCGCACTAGGTTTGTGACGACAAGGGTCGTCCACTATTTTGCGGCAGTTGTTTATATATATATATATATATATTAATATTATTGATGTCGACGGTTGATGCTGCCTATGGGCTAGGATTTTTCGGGTTTTGTTTTGAGAGACCAATGTTAATTGGCTCTGATACCAACTTAAACTAAAACGCAGGATTGAATGATTGTGAATTATATTTCATATTTCTCCATAAGGATGGTATATATATATATATATATATATATATATATACACAAGTACAAGTTGACTTTTGTAGGAAAAGTAATTAGCTAATTACAAGGAATCCTAATTAGGTAACTACTCTAATTAACGTGAATCACACTAGGAAATCAAGGCTCATACCAACAAAATCTTCCCTCTTTTGGCAACAACAACAACAACAACAACAACAAAAGAATTACCCTCACAAGTAATATAAAAGGAAAATATGAGATGCGTAAACAGTGTAAGAATTTGATTATGTTACAAATAAGCATTCTTGGAGATCTTTTAAGAGCCCTACAACTTTAACTAATAACTTATGATAGCAAAACATTATGCCAAAAAAAAAATCAGGTATCTATAATCTATCACACTTGCTTTGCTACTACTATGCTTCAAAATGCAGTATTCCACTAACAAATCGTGCAGGAACAATCTTTGGCATGGCTTCAAGTGTCCCAAATCATCACGACAGCTATTACCCCGATACCCAACAAAACTGCCAAAAACTTGTAATGGGGTTTGTCGATGGAAACTGCTTTGTTGGGTTTATAACCTTTCGCCAATAGATGGTTTACTGCTACATAGATGAACACTCCACATGCTATACCCATTGAAATCGCGAATATCCAATCTGCCACAGCTCCTTGGGTTGTCGCATCTATTAGGATTCCGATGGCCACACCGATAGGACTTGATATAGCAAATGCAAAAGCATAGACAGCACACGATAAGAAGGGACGGTTAGGCATCATTCGAAGGAGAGCTATGCCCATGGCAATGGCTGCAAATACCTTGTGCAAAGAAATTGTCCATAAGGCTTTCCAAGCATCGGCTTTAGTGTCAGCGACTCCAATTGCAATGCCCTCAAAGACAGAGTGGAAACACAATGCTACAATCAACAAGATGCTATCCCCGAGTGAGCTAGCATTTGCAACAGCCACTTGGCTCTGTCAGGGAAAACAAAAACAAGTATCCAGTTAATCTCAGAACCACCACCAAGTAAATGCCCTATACAAATGGAGATCCTGATACCACCAGTAGATTTGAGAATTCGAGAACTATATATGTCTCACCACATTGCCATTTTGACCACGCTTTCCCTGCTCAGCACTCCCTGTAACAAAGAAATGTGTAAATTGATTGCCATAAAAACCTTTACATCTTTTTGGTAGCAGAGACAAAAAAATCAGATAAACATGTTTTCTTCTTTTTTTTTAATGTCACAGAACTTAAATATTACGCCCAGTTTTGCTTCTTAATGTAATGTCACAACTTAGCCATGGTAAACAACCACCCCAATTACAATTCTCATCAGAAAGAATACACATACACCAGACAAAGCCAATTTATACTTTGGCTTTTTATCACAAATGGTCCCTGAGATTTGCGAAATAATCATCTTTCGTCCCTAACATTTTTTTGTGACACTAATGGTCCTTAAGGTTAGCCTCCACACATCAAAATGGTCTCTGCCGTTAGCTTCCATCAACCTCAGGGACCATTTGTAATAAAAAGCCTTATACTTTTAACATGTACCCAAGCTGTCAAAAGAAAAGTAAAAGAACAGAAATAAGAAATCCCACATCAAATCCAATGAGCATTTGGTCTAAGAGCAAGTGCAGCGCTACAGCCCTGCCATGGCAACAGGCACCCCAGGCCCCAATTCCACCTCTAGCGTAGAAAGGCCAACCCGGGCAAGCCCACAGGCAAAAATGGACTAGGATGTTGCCCGCCAGTTGCTAACGTCAGCGCTGATCCACCAACCCATATAGCCCAACGGCTACAAACCACTGGCTTCTCCTGGAGCCTCCGATAAAAAAATCTTGCCCAATCCAACAGCTGTCCAATTTTTTGCTTAAAAAAATTGAATAAAAAATAATAAAAAATTTCTATAAATACCTACCAATATTATTCACTTTCCACACCAAATCTTTTACAAATTCATCTCCTTCCAATATTTTTCACTTTCTATACCAAATTTTCTACTACAAAATTTCATTTGTGCAAAAATACAAATGGCCTCATCCATCGAAGCCGAAGGGTCGTGGACAAACGTTCAAAGAGGTCAAAATCTTGGCGACGAGGTAAATAAAAAAAAATTTAATTGCCATTTTATTCAATTTAATGTCATTTTTTATTATATATATTTCTTGCATTTCCAATTTCATTTTTTTTAATAGATTATTCAAGGGAAAACAAAAAAGAGGAAAACCATTACACATGGCTCCTCAAGTGAACAATGCCCGCAGTCAGTTCTAGTGGTGCATTCTGTGTCTGAAATAATGGCACTATTACGTCCTTCGAAGAAAAGTACTCCCCCAAGTCATGATCCGGTGGAACCACCTCCGCCAATGATTGAGTCGTCCTTGTACTCTATTGTGTCGGACTATGAGGACTAGGAGTATTTCAATTGTATGATGAGTGAGTAGGTATTTCAATTGTATGATGACTGATATGTGAATTTTATAATAAATATGGGCACGTAGGAACCGAAAATCTTATCCGAAAATTTAATTTGAAAATTTTATCCGAAAATGTTATCTGAATTTTTATGTGAGAATTTTATAATAAATATTGACACATGGCAACCAAAAATATTATCTGAAAAACTTATCAAAATTAATGGTTTATAAAAAAAAATAGAAAATAAATTAAAGTGAATAGTATTTTCCCTTGTCCTTGCTCTTTGGGATGGAATCAAAAAAGGCAAGGCTGCACTATTCACGTCGAGGCTGCACTATTCACGTCGAACCTTGCCTTGCCTTTGCCTTGTCCTTACCTTTTTGGGTGGAGGTGCTCTAATAGCACCCAGCCTCCACTTTCCACTATGTTAATGTTAAGTTGTACGCGAGTTCAAATCTCAAGGACGATTGTAGCATCAAACAGTTGTATATTCAACAAAATTCACGCAGTGAACAACCAAATAGAATTCAATTCCACAGAACAAAAATCTGAATAACCAACCACTTACCTTGCAGCTCAAGATCGGGAGCAGACCCGCCACCTTTGTTCTTCTCCAAAACATACGAAATCACACAATCAGCAAGCATGGTGAGCAAGAACCCCCCCACAAGCCAACATAAATGCAAAAGGGTACTCTTTTTTAGTCAAGTCCTTGAAAGTCTCATCGGCATCACTCAGAAAGTGCATCAGAGCCGTACCCAGAAACACACCCCCAGCAAACTGCGTACCCAAAACCAAGAACCATTCAGACCACTTGAAAAAGCAAGGCGAAACTCCAGGTATGAAGGTCGCAACAAAGATTATAATCAGACACCAAATCTTGGCCAGTATCAGAGGCTTTGAACGAAGGTCTGTGGCGGGTTCGATGTTGTCTGTGGCGGGTTCGTTGTCGTTTTCGTCGGGGTGGCCACTGTGGGCTAAGGCGGGGATGGTGAGGCAGAGGAGGATGAGAAAACAGAGGAGAAGTGGGCGAGGCAGAGGAGGAGGAGCCATTATTGTTTGTTTTTTTTGTGGGTTTGAGAGGAAGGGAGAGGGAGGCATTGGGCTTAATAGGTTTGTTTGTGGGTGTGTTTATAAATTGGGAGGGTGGGTTTTGTTTATGGGTGTGGTTATAAATTGGGAGGGTGGGCTTTGGTTCTTGGGTGGAAGAGAAACAGAGAGTAGTACGAAGAAGACGAAATAGGAATTTTTGGGAAGAAAGTTTTGTACTACAATTTTGTTGTGACAAAGACTGAAAGAAATGAGTGGTGGTTTTGAGTTTCTTTTTTCTTTTTTTCTTTTTTTTTATTTGGTTCGAACATCCATCGAAGACTTGACTTGGGAGTTGGATAAACGTAGCTGTCTCTTTGCTGTAAAATCAAAATCGGGGATTCGGATTCCTAATGGAATCACAAAATATCTTTTATGATCAATTATGGGTTTAATGTTAGAAATTTACCCTCACTTTCATGACAAGATTTTTCTGTTGCCTCTTTACAAATTTAAAGTGTCATTGCAAGGAGTTGTCATTTGAGGAATTAAGAGCAGTTATTTACTGTTGTATCCGAGAATTTGTATTTAAACAAGGACAATTAAAAAGAATTTCTGCTAATCTTCAAAGGTTCTTCATTTTCATAAAATTAGCACTAACGTTATAGTATCCAAAACTTTTGAACTTGCTTAGTATTTAAGCAATATATGAACTTTTGGAAAACGTAATGGTAAATTTGTTGAAATTGTTTATTATTTTTGTCCTTTCAAGAGGTCAAACATGAAACAAAGGAAAAACCGTAAATTTTACTGTCAACGGGAGGTCTATAATTGGTAGACTATTAATAACGGGTGGGTAACTTTCCAAATTCCAAGTAGTGAATGTGTTGTATTGTAAAAAAGACTCCTTTTTCTCGGTGATAAGACTTTTTGTTTTTAGTTTTTTTTATACAAACAATAAGACCTTTGTTATAAGGCTGAAAACAAATGTGCATGGTGGCAATTGGTGGTTGGCTCGACGGCACAAATGTGAAGTGGGTCTCATTAAGTTGTCTAACCTAGGGATGGTAAAGGGTTTGATAGGGGCCAAGTATGACAATATCATCCCCATCTTTGTCTCCATCTCCACCCCTGTCCCCAAACCTATCCCCACTTAATAGGTTCCGGGGAATCCCCGTCGCCGTCCACGTCGGGGAACCCCTCCATCCCCCTTTATTCTCCTCCTTTTTTTTTTTTTTTTTTTTTTTTTTTTTTTTTTTTTTATTATACATTTTAACATTAAGTTTCATATTAAATTATCATTCAACAAATCCAAATTAACTAAAAAGTTCAATTCAACTATTCAAAATCACATCAATATGAAATCTCAGAGAAAATTAGGAAGAATAAGGAGATGGAGGTTAATTTAGGGTTAAACATAAATATTATAAATATTAATTTATTTATTTATTTATTTAAATATAAACATATATATTTTCAGGTCGGGTTTGGGGATGAGGAGGCCAATACCATCCCCGCCCCATACCCATTGGGGATTTTTCAAGTTTAGGAATTCCCGTACCCGATACTCATTTTGCCCCGAAATCTCTCCCCATTAAGGTCGGGGACCCACTAGAAACCTACCCCCGCAGAAATTTCTGCCATCCCTAGTCTAACCATCCAAATCCAGTCTCCCTCTCCATGCACAGCAGCTTCATCCTTGACGGCAAAGCTAATTCCCTTCCCTTTAGGAAATTTTTAAGACCAAACCCATGGCAACAAACTCTACCTAAATCACATATTGTTTACAACCTAACTTCGTCCACTATCTATCAACTTGGATGCTTTGTGATGTGGCTAGAGGAAAGGGGGAAAAAGGGGAAGAGGGTATTGTGATGTTGGTTAGGGTTTAATAAATCTGATTCTGGCATCATTGAATTCTGTCCAATTATATTAATATAATATTCAGTAGCAAGTTTTGAGAAAATGAAAAACCAATTAATTGCAAGCCAAAAGAAATAAATAAAACTATTTAATTTTTTACAGGAACGGATGGAAGATGGGTGACATTTTCTTTTTTTTTAGAAAGTTTGGGATAGTATTCATAATTCAGCTAAAAAAACACTAACCATACAACTTTATTATGATGAATTTTAGATCATGCAAGAGATTAGGACCTAAAGTTCCTTAATCCTCATCATATAACTACATCAGAACTTGGATATCCTTGATGATGATAATAATATAAGAGCTGACAGACGCCCTCGATACTAATTTGTGAAAAAGTGATCGGACGTGAAGATCCTTGATTCTTGACATATAAATCAAGACCTAAAGTTCCTTGATAATGTAACAATATTGTCGCAATGAATAGTGTCATACACATAAATAGTAAATGTACCAACAAACGTAATGCACGGATGAATAGCACCATCTTCATGAATTAATGAATAGTACCTGTATACTTGAACTGTACCATATACATGAATCAATTAATAATACATGTATACGTAAATTGTACCATATACATGAATAGTGATCGTATATGTGAATAGTGTTGTATGCATGAATAGTAACATTTTGGTGCACCGTTGCTATGTACCTAAAGGGACATGCAATTCCCTAAACTCATGGATGAACAATTAAATGAGATGTTAGAAGTTGCTCAGAACATGGACAATTAAGTTAGGGCTTGAAGTCCCGAAATATGAACATGAAGTTCTAAGAATGTCCATATCATGAGAACATATAATTTTGGCATGAAGATCAAAATCTAAACAACATTGACAACCTGAAGTTCTAACATTAACTTATTGAGGTAATATTGCAAGTTATGGCACACCACATGTTTCTTCGGCATAAGAAAATGATGAGTTTAACAAACCTCGATTTTATAGTAGGAACCAAGAAGCTGAAGATTGCCTTCTTTGTGGTAGACACCATTTCTACCACTTACAATGCATTGCTTGACAGGGATTGGATCAACCAAAGCTTATGTGTTATTTCCACTCTACACCAACAATTGGCCTTCTGGCATGAAGATGGTTTTATGGAGATAGTAGAGGCCGATCCACGACCATTCCTACCATTTGCCTTATGTTTCGAGGCCAAGTACTATCATGATGATCTTGGTCCTTATACTTTCTTTGGAGTCAACCAGAACGGTCGCCCCCACGGTATCATAGCTCAGAGGCTCATTGAAGAAGGTCTGGCTAGTTCTTTAGAGGACTGGAATAGACCTTTTGTTCTAAACCTCCAAAGTTCTGATGTTTAGCTCAAACCAGCAAGAAAAGAATAAAGTTGCAACAATCGGATCCATTATAAATAGATTGTTGGTATATTAGGAAGAAAGGAAACTCTTTATGCAGAGTCCAACCGTTAACATGGCAGAATTCATGCATGGGAGTGCAGAAGAACAAGACGAAAATTTACAAGATGAAGAATTGGAATTTGGACCAGCAGCATTGGATGACTCCTTGCCAAAAGTGGAGAGGAAATAAACCTGGGAACAGAAGATGATCCCAGGCCTATGTTCATCAGTGCATTGCTAGAAGAACCATTGAAGGGTGAAATCATTACACTTATGCACGATTTCAGAGACTATTTCACATGGCATTACCATAAAATGCTTGGACTAGATAGGGGATTGGTGGAGCACCAATTGCCGATAAAGGAAGGATACCTACTAGTCAAGCATGCCAGAAGAAGGATGTTCATGGAGACAGAATTGAAGGTTAAAGAAGAAATAGAAAGACTGGTTAAAGCAGGCTTTATCAGACCAGCCATTTATATTGATTGGTTCTCCAACGTTGTACCAGTTCTTAAAAGAAAGACAGGAGTAGTCAGGGTCTACGTGGACTATGGGAACCTAAATGAGGCATCTCCCAAAGATGAATACCCCATGCCAATGGCAAATATGCTAGTAGATGGAGCCACTCATAACCAAATGCTATCATTCATGGATAGCAATGCCGGCTACAATCAAATAATGGTGGCAAAAGAGGACATCCACAAAACTACTTTCATGTGTCTAGGACATGTAGGCGCATTTGAATACGTTGTAATGTCTTTTGGCTTGAGAAATGTTGGGGCTACCTATCAAAGAGCGATGAATTTTGTGTTCCATGACATGATAGGCCATTCCCTAGATGTATACATAGTTGATGTGGTGATTAAGTCTTTAGAAAAGGGAAATCAAGTGTCTAATTTGAAGGCATCTTTCCTAAGAATGAGACAACACAAGTTGAAGATGAACCCCAAGAAGTGCGTCTTTAGGTTCAAGCTGGCAATTTCTTGGGATTCTTGGTTCATCAAAGGGTATAGAGATTGACAAGAACAAAGCGAAATATATTATAGAAGCATTGCCACCTGGGAACAAGAAAGAACTACAAAGTCTCTTTGCGAATATCAACTTTCTCAGAAGGTTCATATCCAATTATGCTAAGAAAATCCAGCCATTTAGGTGGGAAGAACAGCACCAACAAGGTTTTGAGGAAATCAAACATTACCTCTCTAGTCCCCCAGTTCTGTCTTCACCTAGGAGGGGCAAACCACTCAAATTATATGTCTCTGCATCGGAAGTATCTATTGGGAGCCTTTTGGTTCAAGACAACAAGAAAGGGAAGGAGCATGCAGTCTACTACCTTAGCAGAACTCTGACAGAAGTGGAAAGAAAGTACTCTACGATTGAAAGGTTATGCATGGCTTTGTACTTCACTACCATAAAACTCAAACATTACATGCTACCCTTTACCATCTACATCATTGCCAAGACAGATTTGATTAAGTACATGCTAACAAGACAAATGTTGAGAGGCATAATAGGTAAATGGACTCTGGCCTTATCATAATTTGCCTTCAGATATGTCCCTCAGAAGGCTATCAAAGGGCAAGCTGTTGTAGATTTCTTGGCAGATCATCCAAGAGATGAAATTGAGAACATGAATTTCATGGATATAGCCAATGCATATATACTAAACAGAGTTCACATCTGTCTCAATAATCCCATATACTCAGTCCATCTCACCCCTTGGAAGTTGTATTTTGATGGATCTAAAACCGACATGGCCTCTGGAGCAGGAATTGTTTTAGAAGATCCATTGGGGATTAGACATTGTTCTTCATTCCAGCTAGATTTTCAATGCACTGACAACATAGCAGAGTACGAAGCCTTGATTATCTGTCTCGAGAGCTAGTAGAACTAGGAATCCAGTCTATGGAAATCCTGGGAGACTCCATGCTTGTTCTGAAACAGATTGTTGGAGAATATAAGTGTTTGAATCTTTCCTTAGCTATTTATTTAGTGGCAGCCAGAAATCTACTGGCAGAATTCAAGGAAGCAACTTGGGAACATATTCCAAGAGAAGAAAATTTGGCAGCCAATGAAATGACTCAGTTAGCAATAGGGGTGCAGATTCCTGAAGATTGCGTCTAGAGGATCATCAAAGTAGGCAAGAGGAGTCTACCGTCTGTTTTGACTAGGGGAATAGAGATAGATGTCAATTCTGCCATAATGATTGAGAAAGATTGGAGATTGCCTATAATTAATTATCTGTAATATTCGACCATTCCCTATGAGAAGAAGATAAGAATCATGGCTTTAAACTACCTTATGTGAAATGGAGATTTGGTCCGAAAAAGCAAAGTTGAGGTACTCCTGAGATGCCTAGAAAAGGAAGAATACTTGAAAGTTATGGGAGAAGTCGACGAAGGAATCTGTGGAGCACACCAAGGTGGAAGGAAAATGTGTTGGCTGATCAAAAGGTACGGTTATTTCTGGCCTACCATGATGAAGGACTGCAAAAGATATTCCAAAGGATGTAAGGCTTGCCAGAGACATGGACTAATCCAGCAAGCTCCCTCAGTCCCCATGAATCCAATCGTTAAGCCATGGCCATTTAGGGGATGGGCAATGGACCTCATTGGAACGATCTATCCAGCCAGTAGAAAGCAACATTGTTTCATCATTATGGCTACAGATTACTTCACTAAATGGGTAGAGGCTAAGCCAGTCAAATCCACCACATTTTAAGAGATCATCACTTTTATTGAAGAGCAAATTGTGCATAGGTTTGGCATACCAGAATCGATCACGACTGATAGAGGGACTTCTTTCATATCCAGGGAAATGCAAGATATGGCAAGTAGGCTCAAGATCAAGTTACTCCAGTCCACTCCTTACTATGCTAATGTAGAATCAAGCAACAAGGTGATCATTAATATCATCAAAAAAATGCTTGAAGAAAATCCAAAGCAATGGCATGAGAAATTGTTAGAAACCTTACGGGCTTATAGAACTTCAAAAAGAAAGGCAACTGGTATGACCCCCCTATGCTCTAACCTATGGACATGACACAACTCTGCCCATGGAAATCACATCCAATCCATCAAAATTGCCCAGTAGCATAACTTGGTTGGAGAAGACTATTCACAAGCAATGCTACTAGAATTAGAGGGATTGGATACAAGCAAAATTGACACCCTTAACAAACTCCTGGCAGGAAAAAAAAGTTGTGGCAATGGCTTATAATAAGAGAGTAAAGAACAAGAGCTTTGAGGAAGGAGAGATTGTCTAGAGAGCAGTTCTGCCCCTTAGAACCCACGTGGCTGGTTATGAAAAATGGTTACCCACATGGGAAAGTCCCTTTTTAATTAAACAAATCCTAGGACGAGGGGCATACAGATTACAAGATCGAGATGGAGAAACCCATGTTGTGCCAATCAATGGCAAATGGTTAGAAAAGTTCTATCCAACTATGTGGGATTCACAGGCAGTACAAAACGATCTTAGGATTGAGGAAGAAATGGGTAGAACCACTACTTGACTTTTGAGTTAGTTAATGTAAATATGTTGGTCCCTTTTTGTCTATTCTGCCCCGTTTTGATGTTTGAATGAGGAGAAAAGGTGAAAATGCAAGATTGGCAGAAGTAAAGAAATAGAACCTCTTTTCATTTCAAAAATGTCATTAATAAATGACTGAGTTCTTATTACGAAAATAAGCAAAGAATAAAGGCCTACTTTCTTGAGAGTCTCCTACAGTCCCGCTTTCTTAATAGAAATCTCCTTCTGGAGAAGCACTCCTTGATGAATGAAGGCCTCTGCAATCTACAGTGCAGGCCTTGAGGTTGAGACCATGCTCTGCACAAGGAAGGTAGATTTGGTCTTCGCACTCAATTCAGCTCCAAGACCTTTTTGCCCCTCCCTCAGTGCATCCAGTTGCTTCTAGAGGTACTCAATGTGTTTCTCCAACCTCTCAGCAGCAGATTTTGTCTCTTTGTAATCTGCAACCAGTGCATCCAGTTCTATCTGGCCACTTCATCTTCAGGCTCTTTCTCAAACAACCTGTAGCCAGGTTGGAACTGGGGATGGCTTCTTCTGAGCACCACCTGCCACTAGGCAATAGCCCTCTTGGTGTTGTGCCTAAAGAACATCAGATATTCTTCAATGGACCTCTTGGACACTTCTGCCGACATCAAAGGAAGCGCCATGACTTGATCTTCAGGCAGAACTATGTCTGGAAACCTCAATTCTGGGAAATTCACTTGCAGCAAGATCTGGATCATCCAAAACGCACTAGGAGCAGAAATATTCAAAGGATTATCCATAGTGGCGGTGTGGAGATTCCTGTATAGATGTGCCAAAACTGTGGGACCACGCCCCACATCAATATGGTTGTGGAGAGCTTCTGCTATGTGCCTGTATTCATGCAGAACTGCTGAAGAATGGTTCGGAAAGACAAACCTGTTTAGCCAGTATAGAAGGAACAACATGTGTTGTGGATCCCTATCCCTCTGAACACTAAACTTCTTCAGGTAGTTGGAGAAGGAGCAGTTCTGGTTGATGGTGGTAGGAGAGACAGTGAACTTCTTAGCCAGCCTTTCACAATTCTTCCTTCTATGGCAATCACCAACTGCATCAGCAGGCCTTCCATGAGGCTTGAACCCGAAGATTTGAGCCATATCCAGTAGAGTTGGAGTCATGGGGTCGACACGGAAGTTAAAAGTGTTGTTGGCAGAATTCCAGAAACAGAGACCAGCAGCCAGCAGATTCTTGTCCTTATTCACAGACTTCTTGGATAGAAGTATGGCATCATAAACGCCAACCCTTTTCCAGTGTTCTCCATACTTTGGAATAAGCCTATCAATCCAATCCGACCACTTCACAACTGCAACATCACACATCGACCAACGGAGATAGGGTGATTTGCCTTATATGTACATGCTCGCCTCTATCTAGCACGAGGCCTTTTGGGAGCTCACTAGCTTCAGAGTCATGGGAACTTCGAAGTTAAGCGAGTTGGGGCTAGAGCAATCCCAGGATGGCTGACCCACAAGAAAGTTGTTCGTGAGTTCCCATAACAAAACCGTGAGGGCAAAGAGGGGGCCCCAAAGCGGACAATATCATGCTACGGTGGAGCCGATCCTGGGATGTGACAATTTTGTATCAGAGCCACTTTGCATGTGGTGCGAGTGTGCCAACGAGAACGTCGAGCCCCTAAGGGGGGTGGATTATAACATCCCACATCGACCAACGGAGGTAGGGTGATGTGTCTTATATGTACATGCTTGCCTCTATCTAGCACGAGGCCTTCTGGGAGCTCTTTGGCTTCAGAGTCATGGGAACTCCGAAGTTAAGTGTGTTGGGCTAGAGCAATCCCAGGATGGGTGACCCACTGGAAGTTGCTCGTGAGTTCCCAGAATCAAAACCTTGAGGGCAAAGAGGGGGGGCCCAAAGCGAACAATATCGTGCTATGGTGGAGCTGATCTCAGGATGTGACAACAACACTATTCCTTACTTCACTCGAGGGATAAGAACCACTCAAGTTCTTACTGACCTAGGTATGGGAGGCCAGAGGAGAAGAACTCTGGTAGCACAAAGGAGCCCCAATGTCTTCCTTAAATAGCTTAGCCATTTCTTCAGGGACGTTGCCAAACCAGTGAGGACCCAAAACAACAGTGTTCTCAAACATATGGAGAACATTCTCATCCAAGTTCCTTTGAGTATATGAATGAAGCTTGCTACGAATCTCGATCACATGTTGATCAACACCGTCTCCAGTGATGTAGGAAGGAAGCTATGAAGAGGAAGAACCTTTGGCATGAATCTTTGAAGAAGACATTCCCAATTTCATAGCTAAGTTAGAGAAAAATTGAAGGATGAGTAGAAGAAACAGAGGGTTATGGGGAAATACTGAAAGTTGAAGGGAGTTAGGTTTTTCAAATGAACAGTGATGAATTTTCGAAAGCTCTTATAAAGCTCAGAAAAGAAGATCATGGAAGGAGAGGGGTTGCCTGGATTCAAGTAGTCATTAAAACACCCACTTCCCCACGAAGTCTAATTGAGTAGGCAGACGCGGGCTAGAGAAACGGAAGGAAATGGCTTGCGTCATTAATTGGCCAATCATTAAGTCTAAAACTGTTTTTAAAAAAAACGATTCACACTTAGGGGGCATTGTTTGGGCCTAAATTCCACGCACCAGCCCAATTGACATTAGTCCATGTCAGAAAACAGAAGTTTGGGCTTCATTTGAAATCAGAAATAAGCCCAAGTGGTTTTAGAGGTCTAGATCTTTGTGAAACGATTAGCAAAGGATTAAAACCACAAATTAAAGATTAATGGCCATTAAATGGTGACTTAATCTGAACAAATCAAAGCTTTTAAATTAATTTCAAGATTTGGCCCAGCTTCTAAACTCTCAGGGCTTGTTTGTTACACCTCCTTGGCTTGGATTGGTAAGGCTAAAAGTTAATCCCATGTTTGTTGTCACCTGATCCTAATATTAAGTGGGATTAGTAATCCCAAGCCGACCAAAAACACGTTCTTAGGTGTTCTTAGCTAAACCCATGTGAAAATGAGGGACTATTAGTCCCAACCAAAGCTCTGCAACCAACTCCACCCAAGCTCCAGCGGCAATCATCGACCACCCAAACAGCAATCACAACCACCGACTATGGGTTACAGATGGCGATGGTAGGCAACAACAGCGATGGCAGACGGCGACGACAGTCGGTGTCAGCTACGATAGACCACCATGGCGATTGAAGCTGTTCCACTATTTATCTTTGGGTCTTCATCAATTTGAGTCTACTTTTGCCTCTCTCAAGTTTGTTTGTGGATGATGATTTTGGTGTGGGCTGTGGATTTCTGCCATGATTTAGGTGTGAGCTCCTGCCTCTCCCTTTAATTTGTTTATGCAAATTACTTACCACACCAAAGCCAAAGTATCTGAACTGGATGATGTTTTTAGGTGGGGTAGAAATTATAAGAAGAGAGAATATAGATTGAGAAGAAGAGAAGGAGAGAGAGTAGGAAGAAGAAGAGATGAAAAAGAAAAGACATAGAGAGAGAAGATGAAGAATAAAGAGCAAAGGGAGAGAGAAGAAAAGTAAAAATTAAAAAATTCATTTGCTTTCTTTTTCAAAATTATAAAAATTTAGTCCTAATCCAATCGTACACCAAACGCAGTACTAGGCTTTTCTAGCTTATGCCAAGCCAAGCCAATCCAGGACAATCCCAGTGTTTAGTCTAGTCCATGACAGTCCAGCGCACCAAACGACCCCTCATTGTCGATCTCAAATCCAGCATGCAAGTCAACAGATTTTTTGGAAGATATTTTCTCAAAAAACCCACGTGACTTTCGGACTTTGAAAAAGTCAAAGTTTTCAACTAAGGCAGAGAAAGTGATGGGGAGTTAATGAAAATAGGTTAACTAGAGCTTCATTTTAAAAGCCAGGAAAAGAAGGCCAGGTCCCCTTTCTATATGCAGAAAAGCTTTGCATCATAGGAAGTTACGTTTTTCAAGAGATAGACAGGGAGCAGGAGATTTGTTCGCCAGGAAAGACAAACGAACCATCATGACATGTTTTGTTTTGCAAGAAACAAATAGAGAACAAGAGAGTTGGTTTTTCAGAAAAAAGCAAATGAACCATCACAAAAACTGACTGTTGATGGTTCTTTTTTTTCCAGATTAATAACTTTCCTCTTATTTGCATTAGAAATGGAAAATCTTTTTCAAAAGATATGTCCCTAGATATTTAAAGAACAAAGCCTCATTCAAATTCTCTATAAATATAAGAGGAGGTGAACAAGGTTGGGAACCACAACTAAAAAATTCAATCAAAACAAAAACGCTCGAAGTCATATTGATGAATTCAAAACCAAATTAGTTGATCTCAAAAAGTCTTCAGACTCTGAAGCACCCTTTGACAGATCAGCCAGAACTCAGGTTTCTAATTCTAGTTCAATTAAAAAAAACCGTTTCCAAAGAAAACGAGATTTCTCTCGTTACAAATTTGGTCCAACATAAGCCAAATCAAGCAGAATTCGGGTTTTTCATAAAATGAAAACCGGAATAACTCTTGGATGATTCATAATGAAGTAGAATAGGTATTATGGTGTAAACTCTACCAGTCTCGACATTGGTATCGATTTCCAGCTGAACACTCCCCAGTTGAAGATGCTGATGTTTGAATCCAGCATAGATACACCCAGTCCAGCTTAAGTTACAGGCGAAAATCTAAACAGAAATCAAAGCCCAATGTTCTGTTGTCCCTTCAGACATGACAGTCCCCTTTTGTCTTAAAAGTTGTGTAATAGGCAGTTTTTCCTGAAAAACAGTTTGATTTATTTTCAATATTCATTCTAGGCAAAACTACTAGTTCACTGTGATAAATTTTGAAGTCCTCACCAGTCTGACAATCACTTATTAAAGTCAGTAACTTTTAGCTCAAGTTATCTTTGTTTCATAGGTCTGTTAGGGTTTTTAACTATTGACAGTGGCACGCTCGCACACCAAAGAAAATTGATTTGTTGGCCACCAATGGTTTTCAAGTCCATGGGGAATTTTACCCTACAATCACAGGATTAAACCAAAACGGGTGAACATATGCCAACAGAGGCACACTCGTTTAATGGAAGCAATTCCTAAATAGATATGGTCATTAGCCACAACTCATACGGACAAACAGAGGGATATAGGGGGGATGGCGTGATATGCAGAGGTCAAATGATTGAATCTCAAGAATCAAAGTTGGTCACTTTTAACCACTAACTGACAAATCAACCTTATTCTTACTTCCAAAAGCATTAACTTCAAGAAATCGTAAATTAACATGACATACAAATATATATTTATATATGTATAGGAATATCGAAAAATAATTCAAAGAACAAGATACTGAATCCAAAATTTAAAACTAAAAACAAAGATGAGTCTTCCCTCGCAACTTCAATCACAAACTTCAAATCATCGAAAACATTATCATACCTCTCTCTTGTGTCTCTTCCTACCTTTCTCATCAAAGAAGCATGAGAAGAAAAGACCATAGAAGAGCTGTGTGGACTGATTGTAGAGAGTGATTGATGCGGAGAGAGAAGGAAGATAGTGAACTAATTGCAATGCGGCTAGGTTTAAACCAGAGAGATTCTAACTTCTAATCCCCATTATATTGATTGGAAAGGCAAAAAAAACCAAAGAGTTAGGCTTTGGGTTGCAGTACGTATTGTCTCTATAACAACGAAACAAAAACAGAGAGGTATTGGGCTTGGGTTTGCAGCAGCAGTCATATATGTGGGCCTACGGGCCGGACTTTTATGGTCGGGCCAAGTCGGGCTTTTATGGGCCCAAACCGGTTGGGTTAGACTTTAGACATCCAAACCCAAGCACAGTCCATGAACCACAATGAGTCGGGCTAGACTTTTTCTTGATGAGCCAGGCAGGCCTCCAACAACCCATGAGCTCATGGGCCAAATGATGACTCCTACATGAAGGCCTCCTTTCAGATTGATCATGAGCTGCTTTATTGGCTTGCCTGGGACCCATTTCCATTTGCATTATTTAAACTTATTATTCAATGATTAAGTAGACCATTTGAATGATAGTCAACATCAAAACGATAATGAATGTAATCATCCCCTTTGTTGCCCAAGGGGAATTGAAAAAATGTGTCTTCAAAGTGGATTTCCATTTGATCCACGGGCTTTTCAAGTAGCAGTGCAACTCCTCACGAACACTTCCAAAATAGAAGTCTGAGATGACAACCTCTTTGCCAAGGTCGTTAATCAGAGTAGACGCCTCATTGTGGTCGCTTAGCGTATTTATAAAAAATCTTTTCTTAACAAGCAACTCCACACATCCATCGGTATGTTCACAAAATCATCCGAGATGGAAAGATAACTGTTTATGTAAGAAGAGCAGCGATGACATTGCTGAAAGGCAACAATATTTCTAAACAAAAGCTCACTGCCATTGTGAATCAGTAATCATGGAATTTCTAGAATTTCATCCAGGAATCATGGAAGATAAGCTTGTGCTTGATCCCCACACAATTTTGACTCCAGCCATCTATAGTTCGATGATGCTTGGTGCACTTATAACTTTCACTTCCCCTCCTATATTAATAATATGTGAGTCCTTGGGGAGATAAAATAGTCTTAGAAACGCAATAAAGTGTTCTACTTTCAAACTTGAATAACCTAGCATGCCCACATTTTGTACGATGCTCGTCCAACCAAATGTCATATTGATGAACTCAAAGGCGAGTTCCTTCATCGAAGGAATGACATAAGTACTGTTACTAATGGCAGCGGTTGCAGTTCTATGTAGTTCAAGAAGATCCTCAAGTACTTGATTTTCCAACTTGAGCATGTCTGGCGTAATATAATTTATTATCCAGGACTTGCTGGAGATGCTATCGTGGTCTTCCACTCCAAATGTGTTGAAACAGTGACCACATAACTTCAACAAAATCTATATCACGAAGGTGGCATCAACCATCATGATTTGTACGAAGCCGGCGCTACTGAACTCAATGACATTTCAACTCGTGGAGCTTCATTGTTTCTTGCCCTTCTCCTCCTCATTTAAACTCCTGTGAGTTTCAGTTGAGAAGAAAAATTAGAATTTAATTCATCCAAATTAAATGCATATATGCTGAAATTAATTTTTAATTAAAACATAGAAACTTGGGGAGTTTAATATCTAGCATTTTGCTATGACATTTTGCGTACTTTAAATTAGGCCTCATCAATAGGCTAAGCTAGGCTGGAGTTTGAAGAGGAGAGAAAAAATAACAGGCTGGACTTGTTTAGAAAATTCGAAGCTTAAGCCCGGCTCATGGTCTAGGCTTGAGAAAGCCCATCGAGCTGGGCTAGGTTAAGCCCAAAGGGCTGGGCCAAAACGGGCCAACTTTTTTTGTCTTTTTTTTTTCTTCTATGTTTTGCTGTGTTTCTATGTCTCTCTTTTTTTCATAGTTATATATTACATATTGTTTATATTTTTTTTTTTTTTTTTTTTTTTTTTTTTTTTTTTTTCATTTTTTTTCTTCTTCCATAAATATGAAGATATAGTTATACAACCGCCATATTGATAAAATCATATTTTATCTCCTACTTCATTTTTTTAAGTTCTTACAATAATAATATTCATTAAACTTGGTTTTTATATATTTATTTATATGTATGTGAGCTCTTGGGTCAAACTTTTATAGACGGGCTGGATCAGACTTTCTTGGGCTCAAACGAGCCGGGCCGAGCTTTAACAACTCAAGTCAACGCCCGGCCCACTTAATAATGGGCCGGACTGGCCAATGGCTCATAATGGACTAGGCTGGGCTGGTCCCCCATCAGCCCATAGGCTCGCAAGCCTAATCATGACCCCTACTTTTAACATCCCAACACATAATACATGGAGAAAGCATAAACTTAAGGAGATTATGTGACACATGTACAGAAAACTTTGTTGATTATTAATTGTACAAAAATTTTTAACAGCATATGTTAATACCATAACTAGTCAGCATCAGTTGGCCTCACATGCCTAAACAAATGGACCACTCATGTTGATCCCCCATAGGCCACAAGTACCAAGACGACAAGGCCATGCCTTCTCCTAGCTAGTTGCACGTGCTCCCCTTTCAAAATGGTTCCCCATGCCTAGCGTGGAGGAAAGGCAACTTGCCTCACCTTTCACTACAAAAGGAAGAGACCACCTCCCAACTAGGCCTAGTCAATGGGCCACAATAGGCTAGCCCGCTCCAAATTTAATAGGTTTGGACCGGGTTGGGCTTGAAATAGCATCGAGTCGGGTCGGGCCGAAATAAGCCTACTTTATTTTGTCTTTTTTTTATATTGATTTTTTTTCTATGTTTTGCTGTGTTTCTATGTTTCCCTTTCCTTCATAGTTCTCTATTTACATTTTTCTATATGTTTATGTCTCCATTTTTTTCTTTGTTCATAACTTCATAGTTCTTTTTTTTTCTTTCCATAAATATGAAGGTATAGTTATACAACCGCCATATTAATAAAATCACATTTTATCCCATACTTTTTTTTTGTTTTTTTTTGTTTTTTGTAGTTCTTACAATTTTAATAGATAATGATTTTCTCCATCTTTCATTTAACTTGGGTTTTGTTTATATATTTATTTATATGTATGTGAGCCTGTGGGCCAGGCTTTTATGGGCGGGCTTGGTCGGGCTTTCTTGAGCTCAAATGGGTCGGGCCTATGAGTTGGGTCGGGCTTTAGACACCCAAGCCCAAGCTTGACCCAACCAACAATGGGTCAGGCTTACCCATGGCCCATAACGGGTTAGGCTAGGCTTTTTCTCAATGGGCCAGGTTGGCCCCCATCGGCCCATGGGCTCGTAGGTCTAATGATGACCCCTACTCCCAGCAAAGGAAGACAAACCCATTTCTCCACTCCACGAGCATATCATGAGAGATCCAATAGGCTCTCCTCTCTCTTGGATTCAAGCTCTCAAGCCTCTCTATGTATATTGTAATACTCTTCCTACCCTTCTCATCAAGGAAGCATGATAAGAAAAGACCCTAGAAGGGCTGTGTGGACTGATTGTAGAGAGTAATTGATGCGGAGAGAGAAGGAAGATAGCGAACTAATTGCAATGCAGCTAGGTTTAAACCAAAGAGATTCTAGCTTATAATCCCCTTTATATTAATTGAAAAGGCAAAAAAACCCAAAGAGTTGGGCTTTGGTTTGCTACAGGTATTGTTTCTCTAACAACGAAACAAAAACTGAGTGGTATTGGGCTTGGGTTTGCAGTAGTAGTCATATATGTGGGCCTACGGCTAAGCTTTTATGGCCGGGCCGAGCCTTTATGGGCTTAAACGAGATGGGCTTATTGGCGGGGCTGTGCTTTAAACACTCAAACCTAAGCCCAAGCCATTGAATAATGGGTCGGGCCCACCCATGGCCCACAACGGACCTGGCCGAGTTTTTTCTCAATGGGTCAGACAGGCCCCCATCAGCCCATAAACTCGTGGGCCGAATGATGATCCTACATGAAGACCTGCTTTCAGATTGATCATGAGCTGCTTTATTGGCTTGCCTAGGGACCCATTTCCATTGGATGGATGAAAGGTTAGCTCCAATTCCATAATCTTTCGTGCATGCAAATTCAATTGGAAATATTAAGTTAATAATATTATATTACTAAAATCATTAAAGAATATTTATGGTTATTATTATTTAAACTTACCATTTAATGATTGAGTAGACCCTTTGGATGATAGTCAACATCAAAACGATAATGAATGTTTTCATCTCCTTTGTTGCCCAAAGTGAATTAAAAAAATGTGTCTTCAAAGTGGATTTCCATTTGATCCACGAGCTTTTCAAGTAGCGGTCCAACTCCACACAAATACTACCAAAATAGAAGTTTGAGATGACAACCCCTTTGCCAAGGTCGTTAATTAGAGTAAACACTCATTGTGGTCGCTTAGCGTATTTATAAAAATTCCTTTCTTAACAAGCAACTCCACATCCATCGGTACGTTCACAAAATCATTCAAGATGGAAAGATAACTGTTTACGTAAGAAGAGAACCCATGACATTGCTCAAAGGCAACAATATTTCTAAACAAAAGCTCACTGCCATTGTGAATCAGTAATCTTGGAATTTCTAGAACGCCGTCCACTAATCATATGGTAGATAAGCTTATGCTTGATCCCCACACAATTTTCACTCCAGCCATCTGTAGTTCGGTGATGCTCGATGCACTTACAACTTTCACTTCCCCTCCTATATTAGTAATATGTGAGTCCTTGGGGAGATAAAATATTCTTAGAAACGCAATAAAGTGCTCTACTTTCAAACTTGAAGAACCTAGCATCCCCATATTATGTACAATGCTCGTCGAACCAAATGTCATATTGATGAACCCAAAGGTGAGGTCCATCGTCAATGGAATGACATAAGTACTGTTATTGTTAGCAGCGGCTGCAGTTCTATGTAGTTCAAGAAGATACTCAAGGATGCAAAATGGTACTTGATTTTCAAACTTGAGCATGTCTCGCATAATATAATTTATTATCCAGGACTTGCTGGAGATGCTATCGTGGTCTTCCACTCCAAATGTGTTGAAACAGTGACCACATATATTGACCAATCGAACAACTATAGAGAAGGCCTTGTCATAACCCACGAGTGAAACAACTAACAAACCCAAACAAACAGGGCACATAGAAGAACACATAAAAGCAAAACACAAACCCTGTGAGCACGGCAGTAGGTAAGACAGAACACAAATCCTGTGAGCACGGTATTAGATAAGGTAGAACACAGAAACCTTGTGAATATGGCAGTAAGTAAGTATGAAATGTATTCAACAAACTAGGTTCCATAGTGCGCTTCATCCAACTTTTCACGGTAGAATCATCAATTTTTCACTTTCCAAATTGAGGATCTTTAGAATCTGGGGCATCATAGTCACGAGTTAGGTAACCCAATTTTGAATCCTAAAAGTAGATTGGTGGATGATTCAGTATGAATCAACACAATAGTGGTAGGAGAAGCAGTAGGTGAAGTCGAACCATAAGCAAGTGAAGAAATAAAAGCATCAACATTCGGCATGGTGATAGATGGCGGGGTGGGCTAGGATTATAGGCTAGGTGTATAATGCAGTGGAAATAGGTAGTGTTTAGGGTTAGAGTTGTTTTTATTTTTTATTTTTTATGTTGTAGAGATGGATCAAAACACAACAACATCATCAACAATGACTATAGCAATGGAAAGCAAAGCAAACAAAGGCAACATCAACGGTGGTAGTAGCGGCCACACCAACAACCACATAAACAATAGCTAAAAACGATGACAAATTCTTCCATTTCAACTTTAGCTAATTCACGTAAACAACTTCTCATCAATCCTCCTCTCCCCTTGAAGAGAAGGGGTTGTCGGAGTCAAGAAAGAGGTAATATCTCCATGGGAAAGAGAAACATCTTTTTTTCAATCCCCCTCTCCCTCCTCCCCCCCTTGAATAGGAGGGGAGGAGAGCACAAAGTAGGGAAAATATTCAGTTATGCTCATATATGCTCATATCTTTATTCTTCTTCAATATGGAGGTATTTATAAAAAAAGTACAACCTTAAAGAAAATAGGAAATAAATCTCAATTTTAATAGGACAAGAAAAATGAGTAAGTAACCATAATCCTAAGTAAGTGAGGACAGGCCAACATGAACATCTTCTAGCCTACCCAACCGTATGTACTATTCAAATATAAAATTAAATTACAAAAAAGTTTGTACATTATTATAAAACAACAATTAAAACTAAATTTATTTTGAGTACAAACGTGATTCTGATGGAGTAGAATTTGATGCAGAAGATGTGGCGAACTGTGAGGAATTGGTGTTGCAGCCATGACCCGGACCTCCTTCTAAATCAGTACTAAGAGACAAGATTGAAAATGATAGCGGAGGAGAAGAGTAGCTAGCCACCGGCATCTTTGACGGGAGAATAGGCAATGGAACTTCGAAGTTAAGCACTTGAATTGTTTGTTGTATCGAAGGTCTGATCTTGTAATCTGGATGAGCACACCACAACCCAACAATCAACAAGCACTCCATTTGCCTCTTCTCAAAATCTCCAGAGAGTTTTGGGTCAGCTGCTTCAATGACTCTCCCTTCACCATAAAGATCCCAAACCCACTCCACCATAGTGATTTGACGGCTCCTGAACTCGAGATCATTGGGTTTTCTCCCACAAGCTATCTCCAAAGCAACAACTCCATAACTGTAAACATCTGTTTCCTTGCTAGCCTTTCCGGTGGTCATATATTCGGGAGCCATGTAGCCCATGGTTCCAGCAAGAACAGTAGTTTCTGATTGTTTTCCGTGGTCCACGAGTCGAGCTAATCCAAAGTCCCCAAGTTTTGGGTTGAAATTTGAATCTAACATGATATTGCTGGATTTGACATCCCTGTGCAGCACACATTGTTCCCACTCCTCATGGAGATAGAACAACCCGGATGCCAAGCCTTGAGCAATTCTGTATCTTGCGTCCCAAGCTAACAAGCTCTTGGCTTTGAACAAATGGGCATCTAAGCTGCCGTTGGACATGAACTCATAAACAAGTAGGAGTTGTTTTCTTTCGTGGCACCAACCAATCAGTTGCACAAGATTCCGATGTCTAAGTCGACTAATGATCCTTACTTCAGCTGCATACTCCTTCAACCCCTGTCTCGACCCACTTGATATCCTCTTCACCGCGACATTTAAGTTCAGGTCTTTTATGTAGCCTCTGTAAACTCCACCAAATCCTCCCTCTCCAAGCTTCTGTCCCTCATGAAAATTGCTCGTTGATTGAGCCAATTTTCTGTACGAGAACTTTTTGGGCCCTGTACCCTTTTCGAATTCCTCATCAATCACTGTAACATCTTCATCACTACTTTCCCCTCTCTTCTTCCAACAGATGAACCAAACCAAACCCAACCCACCACCCAAGACAAGTCCACCAATACCCAACTCAAGCACTAGTCTAATATTGATGCCATTTCCAGACTTTTGTGTGGTGTTCTTTGGTTTTTCATCAAACAGTTGAGTTGAATGGAAGCTCCATGAGTTGATCTTGTGCAGAGCCGTATTAGCATCTGTTGCAGCAGAGAACCCAACAATCACCCAACCTTGCAAAATATTATCCAGAGGAACCACGCAATCAAGATAACTCATCATTTGGACACCATCCACATAACTAGTGAAAACCACATGAATACCATTTGTTGTAGAATTGTAACTAATGCCAGCACTGTTCACGCGACCCTCTGCAATACTCCCATTCCAAGGTGTGGTCATCTGAGACTTGAGAGTACTGCTGTCAATCCCGACATGATCTCCCATGGGATCATTGATAGAGGTGACTTCATCCTGATAGATGTCAAACTCTACTGCTACAAAGGGGTACTGACTTTTTGATGTGTTGTTTTGCGGGTTTTCCACGGCAAGGCCTAGACTGCCTCCTCTGCCTAATGTGCTGTTGAGTAAGGACCCGTTTGGCGCTATGAAGAACGCCAGTCCATCAGCATATGGCGTTTTGCCTTGGGAGTCGATGACGAATGTGAAATTTGTGGTCAAGTCTGCAAGCTTTCCTGTGGCGTTGTCGCGGAGGAGGAAGGGTTGACTGTAGGTGGCTCGGCCCACGCTTTGTTCCTTTACGTCGTCAACAGCACTTTTGGTGAGTAGGAGGAATTCTCCATCGATGCGAGCATCTCCCTCCAGAGATACGGTGTTTTTTCCATTTCGGAAGGTGGAGAAACTGAAGTCTAATGATGTCACACAAGGGGCTAACTGAAACAAAAGCAGAAGAAGGAAAACCATTCTAATTTGATTTTTTATTTTTCTAGGTAAGCTTGCAGATCAAATTGTGATCTAATATAGAGCAGAGGCTGTAGAGTTTAATTTTTCAATGTGCTTTGGTCAGCAGTGCTCCTTTGCTTACCGATTCGAATCAAGAAAATTCTAGTTGGAGGACGACTTGATGAGACCTATTCGATGCTTACCCTTGTATTTTGGCTTCTTTTTCTTCTTCTTCTTCTCTCTCAAATTCTTTACGGTCATTTTCAATTTATTATAATAGTGCACCAATATTCAAGAGGGAGCTTGGGGATATGGTCTAAATTTGCTTGTGAATTTATTGTTTTGTATGTTTTGTGCGGTATTAGTCAATTTTAAACTTAAATGACCAGTAAGATTGATAGGTATATGTCTAGGAAATAAAAATTGTAGGGACCTATATTGGACAAACCATACACTATATTGGACAATGTTGGGAACACTGACTTATATCATGATTTGATTTTTCTTTGGCCTACAAATCAATTCTTTTATGTGGAAAATTCTTTTGACTTTGTCAATCACATTGTGTGGCTTTTAAAAGGCAATGTGACGTGTGGGATGGGCTGCAAATTTTGAAACTGAACACTCCGCGGATTGATCCATCAGAAAAGACAAAATAATGGTGTCATTCGAACAGACTTGGGCAATTGATCCGGCAACAAGTCTTTCAGTCATTTGCCAAGTTGGTCCCTTCAGCCTCGTTTGTTATGGAAGATTGTCTTGGCATGAACTCTTCTCATAAATTGTCTTGGCTTGAATTGGCTTAAGTTGAATAACACTTAACCGATGTTTGGTGATGCTTGGATTGGGACTAAATTTAAATTGATTAAAATATCAATAAATAGGATGATATATTTCAACTTCTGCTCTTCTGTACAAACGTGGGTTAAAAATATTCCAAAGTTTTATTTAATAAGGTTTATTTTTTAGGTTTATACAAGTTTTAAATTTGAGGGCATTTGTTTCTATTTAAGTGAGTTTTTTGCTATATTTGAAATATATTACAAAAACTGACATTTTTGAAATTAAGGATCAAGTTTTGGCTAATTTTTATCAGTTCTCCTCAATTTACTTAGATGACACTTGCATATGATGGGTATACTCTTTCATTTATCAAAATACCATTATGCAAATTAAATTCATAATCAAAACTGATGCATAAAGAGGATTGAATTGCAGGATAATTCGGTGGGAGGAAATCAAAAAAATACATTTAAGAACCAAGGCTTAATACACCTCACACATAACACTTTAAATTATAAATATGGGTAATTTTGGAATGCGAAAAATATAATAAATCAGATTTTGAGTTATATTAGGTGACTGCTTAGTTGGATCCTAGTCATCGGGTATTATTTGAAAAAATTGCGTATTTTAAATTAAAAAATAGAAGGAAGGGCTGTATATGATTTTAAATGAATTTTATGGGTGTAACCTCAATTTACTTAGATGACACTCACATATGATGGATATACTCTTTCATTTATCAAATACCATTATGCAAATTAAATTCATAATAAAAACTGATGCATAAAGAGGATTGAATTGTTGGATAATTCGGTGGGAGGAAATCAAAACAATAAATCCAGGAACCAAGGCTTTAATACACCTCCCACATAACACGTTAAATTATAAATATGGGTAATTTGGGAATGTGAAAAACATAATAAATCATATTTTAAGTTATATTAGGTAAGTGCTTAGTTGAATCCTAGTCATCGGATATTATTTGAAAAAATTGCGTATTTTAAATAGAAAAATAAAGGAAGGGCTCTAGATGATTTTAAATGAATTTTATGGGTGTAACCTCAATTTACTTTAAAAATAATCCAATATTCCATTTGGGAAGGTGGAGAAATTGAAGTCTAAAGATGTCACACAAGGGGCTAACTGAAATAAAAGAAGAAGAAGGAAAACCATTACTAATTTTGTTTTTTTTTTGGGGGAAAGCTTACCGATCAAATTGTGATCTAATATAGAGCAGAGGTGGTTCCCTCTTTTCGGCCGGGTAGGCCGAGTGAAGGAGTTCTTGGTCCTTCTTCTTGTAGATTGCGTAGGCATGCCACCACCAAGCCACTGACTGGCTTGAATGGAAAAGGTCGGATTGTTGTGTTCGCGCTTCTGACTTCTAACCAGCCGATTGATCAACCAAGCAAGGAACCTCCTCTTAGCCTAGGTTCTTTCACTTCCTCAGAATCGAGGATGGTTAGGTTTCGTATAGGTATTTTAGTATATTTGAGATTTTGAATGATAGTGATGCGAATTAAATTAAAAATATGCGTTTAAAATTAAAGACGAGAATTGAAGTGCGATAAAGTAATCAAAGCGATAAATAAACTTAAATTAAGCGAAGAATGAAATAAGAACGATATAAATGATAAAGGAAATAAAATAAAGCAATTTGAAATTAAATTAAACTTAAAGCAAATTCAATAACAATTAACAATAAAGCATAAAGTTGAATATTAAAACAACGTAATTGAAAATACAAGAAATTAAACTTACACTAACGAAAGTGAAGAACTGATCTAGTCTACTTGCTTGGCAAATAAAAGACCTAGTCTAGGGATAGAAAATTGAAAGACAAAAAGTAGGTTTTTGTGTCTGATGTCGGGGGTCCTTTGCTCTTTGTCTGATGTAGTTTATATAGGGGCATTCGTCAACCCATGGGCTGGCCATTAAATAGCCAAAGGTCAACTTTGTTCAAAATCTTTCCCTGTGTGGCTTCCTAGATTCGTGGAATTGATTCGAATAAGATCATCGGATCGCAAATTTGATCAATTGATTCCCTCCTCCTTAGGATCATTCCAGATTGACACCATTCTCTTTAATTGCTTTCCTTGGATGGATCTCGTCACGTGCATGAAAATATCCAAAAGTGTCGAGCCCACTTTTGTGGGCTGAGCTTGAACCTTCGAGACTTGTCTTGAGATCTGGTGAGACGGACTTAAGATGAGGAAATACTCCCATAATGTTGGAGTGGCTGGAAATTCAATGAATCCACATGCATTATCAAGGTGTCTTAAAATGTAATATATTTATCAAATAGGCCACTCAATGGCCATTGAGAATCCCAGGCCATAAGGCCATGACTTGCATATAGGCATAAAGAGAATTCGAAGCACAAAGGCATGTGGCCTAAGTTTACCCGTAAAGCCATTGTTTGGCCTTACCAATTATAATGATAATAATAATAAAACCCATTTGAACAACCTAATAAACAAAAATAATAAATAAAGCCTCAACCACACAGAGCCCAACTTCACTCGCACTAAAACTTCTATTGATTCCAAATCAGCCAACACTTCCATTCCATCTAGCCAACACAAGATCAGCCTACTCTAAGATCAGCTGCCAAAGCTCCAGCCAACTCCTCCTTCACTCTCCCAGCCAAGTCAAAATTGGCCTATCACACATATATACACTGGCGGATCTGTGCAAGCGCAAGGAGGTGCACTTGCACCTCCGGTCGCCGGAAATCACCATTAGAGGTGCTGGAGTTGCACCTCTGCTTCAGACTAGCAACGCACATAAGGTGTTCGATGAAATGCGCAAGAGACTGCCTGCGCTGCCTGCTTGCTGTTGTACGCGCAGTGTGCGCACATGTTTTTTTTTAACCAAGCCTAGCCAAAACGACGTCGTTTTGGACCAAGTTGTTGCTGCCTTTTAAAAATAAAAAAATAAAAAAAAACTTTGCCAAAACGACGTCGTTTTGGACTAGGGTTTTTAAATAATAAAAAAACGGAAACTGATGCTGAACGTGGGCTTTTTTGTGGGCTTTTCAAATAGTTTTATTTCCTTACTTAATTGGGTTTTAATTGAGAGTTATCTTTATTTAATTGGGTTTTGGGAATTCCTTAATTAAGTAGGATTCGGAATTCTCTCTATAAAAGACCAATTTAACATCACCCAATTTTATCAAAGTGTGTGAGTATCACAAGAATCCTGTGTTTTTTTTTCCTTCTTGAGTAGGCCAATCCAAAGTAAGTTGAATGCTTTTTTTTTCTTTGAGCAAACTCCAATTTTGTTTATTCTTTTTTTAATATATTTTTTTGTGTGGTTATTTAGCTCTCTCTGTATTAGTAAGATCAGTAGCAAACTCGAGTGAATACCGAGCTACGTGACACGTTATTCGAGGTATAATTAATTTTTATTTATTTATTTAATTGATAATTTGATATTTATTTATTTATTTGATAAATTATAGTCAATTAGTCATAGTAATAGATATAAAACCCTTATTTTGTTTTAATTGTACAGTTATGGAACGGTACTTTTAGAGAAAGAGTTTAAATCCTCCTTCAAATAATCCGAGTAGTTCAAATCCTCCTTCAAATAATCCGGCTAGTTCAAACCCTCCTTCAAATAATCCGGCTAGTTCAAATCAACCTTCAAATAATCCGCCTACTTCACATCCTCCCTTGAATAATTCGGGTAGTCTAAAACGATCAGAGGTCATTGAGTTGGATGAAATATTGGCTAATCTTCCTGCAGACCCTGGACTTAGACCTCCAATGACTTATTATAATCCCAATTTTCGAGAACAAATCCGAAGAGCCTATCTGCAAAGGGGTCCTTGTCAGCCTAAAAGCCAAAACGACATGCCTCAAACACTTATGGGGGAGAGTAATCGACGTTTTCTTGTGAAATGGTTTGATTCATTTGTTTGGTTGGAGTATAGTAAAGAGAAAGATGCTGCATTTTTCCTTCATTGTTATCTTTTTAAATGCGATTTTGATAAACAAGGAAAGGCTGGAAGCGATGTCTTCACTGAGAAAGGGTTTAAAAATTGGAGGAAGGGACCCGAGAATTTTAGGGACCATGTTGGACAAGTTGGAAGTCTTCACAATAAAGCTACACAACATTGTACAGATTTAATGAATTAGAAGCAACACGTTGAAACCATTGTGATCAAGCAGACAGATCAAGCTCGTGTTAATTATCGCATTCTATTAATTGCCGCACTTGATTGCACTAGATATATATTGCGACAAGGTCTTCCTTTCGTGGCCATGATGAAAGTGAAACATCTAGCAATAGGGGTAATTATGTGGAGCTTTTGCAATTTCTTGCCGATCATGATGAGAAAGTTCGTGCCGTTGTGTTTGAGAACGGTCCGAGGAATCTCAAGTATATTGCTCCTAACATTCAAAAAGAACTTGTCAACTCTTGTGCCACTGAAACCATTGATGCAATTATTAGTGATATGGACAATTCATTCTTTTCTATATTGGTAGATGAATCACGTGATGTTTCAATAAGAGAGCAAATGGCGGTGGTGTTGCGTTATGTGAACAAAAAAGGGCAAGTAATTGAAAGATTTGTAGGTGTCCAATATGTCTCTGATACGACTAGTAGCAAATTGAAAGAGGCAATTGAGCAGTTGATTTCTTCAACAAATTTGAGCATGTCCAGGCTACGAGGATAGGGGTATGATGGCGCTAGTAATATGAGAGGTGAGCTCAATGGTCTTAAAACACAGATTTTGAGAGAATATCCTCAAGCATATTATGTCCATTGTTTTGCACATCAACTACAACTAGCTCTTGTAGCCGTAGCAAAGGGAAATGAAAACATTGCTACTTTCTTCACAACGGCTAGTAGTGTCGTTAATATTATTGGAGCATCGTGTAAGCGGTGTGATGCACTTAGAGAGCAACAACAAAAAGATATTATGGAAGCTCTTGAAATTGATGATCTTGAAATGGGGTGAGGGTTAAATCAAGAGACTACTCTCAAACGTCCTTGTGATACACGTTGGAACTCACATTATGATACTTTACTTAGTATTAATACTATGTTTCATCCGATGGTGAAGGTGCTTGAATGGATTGTTGATGATGTCAACCAAGATAATTTAGGTGAAGCAAATAGGTTGTTGAAAGAAATACAAACTTTTGACTTTGTGTTTCACTTATATTTGATGAGATTTATATTGGGAATCACAAATGATTTGTCAAAGGCATTACAAAAGAAAGATCAAGATATTGTGAATGCAATGATGTTGGTCCAAAGATGTAAGCAAAAGCTACAATCCGTGAGGGATGATGACTTTGATGATTTGCTTGGCCAAGTATCAATGTTTTGTGGCAAAAATGATATTGACTTTTCTAACATGGATGATTTATTTGTACCACAAGGGAGATCAAGACGTAAAGCTCAGAAAATCACAAACCGCCATTATTATCGTGTGGACCTATTTCTTACTATCATTGATAAGCAACTAGTGGAATTGAATAATCGCTTCACTGAGGTAAATACTGAATTGCTTCTTTGTATGGCATGTTTGAGTCCGGCTTATAATTTTGTAGCTTTTGACAAACAAAAAATACTTCGTTTTGCTAAATTTTACCCCCAAGAATTTAATGACCGAGACCTCATGAAGCTTGAAGATCAACTTGGGCTTTATATTGTTGATATGCAGAGCAGCACAGAGTTTTCATCATTGAACAGAATTACTAATCTGGCAGAAAAATTGATGAATACAGGAAGGAATAGAATATATAACTATGGGTATTTACTTTTTACATTGGCTTTAGTTTTACCCGTTGCAACTGCTTCAGTTGAGAGAGCTTTTTCAGCTATGAATATTGTGAAAACACCATTGCGTAACAAAATGGGGAATCAATGGTTGAGTGATAGCTTGGTTGTTTACATTGAGAAAGATGTTTTTTCTTGTATTAATAATGCAAATATAATGCGACGTTTTCATGATATGAAACCTCGTCGGCAACAATTGTAGGTTAATTGTAATGTTATTTTTTTAATTAATTATGAAGAACATTAGTATTGTTTAAATGATAAGGATGTTTAGTTTTTTTTTTTTTTTTTTTTTTTTTTTTTTTTTTTTTTTTTTTTTATATATATATATATATTATATAACATATGTAATACAATATATATATATATATATATATATTACATTATGAATTGTACGAAGCCACTCCAACAGGCATAAAGCTGGCCTTCAGCATTTCGTTTTTCAACCGAGGGACGTGGGCCACTCTTGGCCTTGCATTCCTTCAAAAAATATATTTGTGGTCTGTTCCTACAACTCCCAAACTTCAACCAACTCTTCATCTCTAGAAACTGAACAACCATCCAGCCAACTCTAGAAACTCAACAGCCATTTTGCTAAAAGCTCAACTCAAGTAAGCAATTTGTCTTTCACCATTCCAGCTACCATTGTAGATCTTGCCATTTAATTCACTCATTATTTGACTATTGCTAAATAAATAACAATCTCTTTTATTTTGACTTGGCTTGAATTTGGTGACAACATCCAAACAAGAGGCTGTAGAGTTTAATTTTTCAATGTCCTTTTGTCAGCAGTGCTCCTTTGCTTACCGATTCGAATCGAGAAAAATCTAGTTGGAGGACGACTTGATGAGACCATTCAACGCTTACCCTTGTATTTCTGCTTCTTTTTCTTCTTCTTCTTCTCTCTCAAATTCTTTACGGTCATTTTCAATTTATTATAATAGTGTACCAATATTCAAGAGGGAGCTTGGTGATATGGTCTAAATTTGCTTGTCAATTTATTCCTTTGTATGTTTTGTGCGATATTAGTCAATTTTAAACTTAAATGACCAGAAAGATTAATAGGTATATATCTAGGAAATAAAAATTGTAGATACATATATTGGACAAACCATATATTACCTATATTCGACAATGTTGGGAACACTAACTTATATCATGATTTGATTTTTCTTTGGCCTACAAATCAATTCTTTTCTGTGGAAAATTCTTTTGACTTTGTCACTCGAATTGTGTGGCTTTTAAAAGGCAATGTGACGTGTGGGATGGGCTGCAAATTTTGAAACTAAACAATCCGCGAATTGATCCATCAGAGAAGACAAAATAATGGTGTCATTCGAACAGACTTGGGCAATTGATCCGGCAACAAGTCTTTCAGTCATTTGCCAAGTTGGTCCCTTCAGCCTCGTTTGTTACGGAAGATTGTCTTGGCATGAACTCTTCTCATAAATTGTCTTGGCTTGAATTGGCTTAAGTTGAATAACACTTAACCGATATTTGGTGATGCTTGGATTGGGACTAAATTTAAATTGATTAAAATATCAATAAATAGGATGATATATTTCAACTTCTGTTCTTCTGTACAAACGTGGGTTAAAAATATTCCAAAGTTTTATTTAATAAGGTTTATTTTTTACGTTTATACGGGTTTTAAATTTGAGGACATTTGTTTCTATTTAAGTGAGTTTTTTGCTATATTTGAAATATTTTACAAAAACTGACATTTTTAAAATTAAGGATCAAGTTTTGGCTATTTTTTATCAATTCTCCTCAATTTACTTAGATAACACTTGCATATGATGGGTATACTCTTTCATTTATCAAAATACCATTATGCAAATTAAATTCATAATCAAAACTGATGCATAAAGAGGATTGAATTGCAGGATAATTCGGTGGGAGGAAATCAAAAATATACATTCAAGAACCAAGGCTTAGTACACCTCACACATAACACTTTAAATTATAAATATGGGTAATTTTTGAATGCAAAAAATATAATAAATCAGATTTTGAGTTATATTAGGTGACTGCTTAGTTGGATCCTAGTCATCGGGTATTATTTGAAAATTTTGCGTATTTTAAATAAATAAAAATAAAAGGAAGGGTTGTAGATGATTTTAAATGAATTTTATGGGTGTAACCTCAATTTACTTAGATGACACTCGCATATGATGGATATACTCTTTCATTTATTAAAATACCATTATGCAAATTAAATTCATAATCAAAACTGATGCATAAAGAGGATTGAATTGCTGGATAATTCGGTGGGAGGAAATCAAAACAATAAATCCAGGAACCAAGGCTTAATACACCTCCCACATAACACGTTAAATTATAAATATGGGAAATTTGGAATGCGAAAAATATAATAAATCATATTTTAAGTTATATTAGGTAAGTGCTTAGTTGAATCCTAGTCATCGGATATTATTTGAAAAAATTGCGTATTTTAAATAGAAAAATAAAGGAAGGGCTCTAGATGATTTTAAATGAATTTTATGGGTGTAACCTCAATTTACTTTAAAAATAATCAAATATTCCATTTGGGAAGGTGGAGAAATTGAAGTCTAAAGATGTCACACAAGGGGCTAACTGAAATAAAAGAAGAAGAACGGAAATTTCCTAATTTTTTTTTTTTTTTTTTTTTTTTTTTTTTTTTTTTTTTGGGGGGGCTTACCGATCAAATTGTGATCTAGTATAGAGCAGAGGCTGTAGAGTTTAATTTCTCAATTCGCTTTGATTGATCAGCAGTACTCCTTTGCGTAATTCAAATCAAGAAAAAACTAGTTTGAGGACGACTTGATGAGACCTATTCGACGCTTACCCTTGTATTTCTTCTTCTTCTTCTTCTCTCTCAAATTATTTACGATATTTTTCAATTTATTATAATAGTGCACCAACATTCAAGAGGGAGCTTGGTGACTGTTAGGAACCAACCCCTCATTTGGGCCATAGCTTTAGCCCAAGAGACCATCTAGCTATTTTCCCAAACAAGATATTTTACCTTTTTCCCTTGTATTCAGGAGTTGGTTAGTTTCTCTCTCAACCGATTGCCAGTTGGCAATCGAAGCTAGCTGTATAAACACCGATCTGCTTGGTGGAGAAGGCATGAATGAAATTATAGTTTATTTTCTTTCTTTTCTTCCTTCTATTTTTGCTACATTTCTCTTTCAAGTCCAAGGTCCCAACATTTGGTATCTAGAGCCTAGTTCTGACCATGGGAAGAAAGGGGCAGACAACAGCCTCCATGGAGGTTGCTGCCACTGCGGAAGCCAAGCTTGATGCTCAACATGAGTTGTGGGACTCTCAAATTTAGGAGGTCCAGGCAGCGGTGATGGCGCTAGCGGTACAGCAAGTGGCGGTTCAGTCGAATATGTCAGAGGTGCAGAAATCTTTAGCCGCTCACCAAGATCAGAACGTCGCTTTCCAAAAGTCGATGTTGAAGGAGATCCGCGCTCTGTGCAACCGAAATTCACCCCCAGTATCGACTCAATCAGAACGTATTATGTCTACTGGACCACTACCACATAGCACGGTCCTGTCTTCATCGGCTACCATGCTAGGATCTCCGGAAGCCATGGCCACGAAGGGGGGTATTTTCTCGACTAATCACACCTTCACAGCACCTAATCACCCAATATTTGCTGGTGCAGGACCCAGTTTGGGATTCTTGGCGTCAAATCCATTTATTCCACCCTTGATTGTTCTCCCAGGAGGATTGACTATGGGGTCACCAGCGTTGCAACTCCATATGCCAATACCTCAATATTCTCAACCACCACTAAGAACAACGATGAACCATCCTCTAGTCGAAGTACACACCACTCATTCGGGACCGTTCATGTCACCAAGACCACACATCCTCTATCACTCAGCATCTCAGATGATGCCGATAAGCCCAAGACCTCATTCTACCCATTTTTCTAGCATGAAACCCATGAAATTGGATCTTGCTCGTTTCTATGGATAAGACCCCTATGGCTGGTTGGCAATGGCGGAGTGATTCTTGGAATACCACGAGGTAGAAGAATCCAGAAAAGTCACGGTGGCAGCTATGCACTTGGGTGGTGACGCAGCCCTCTGGATGAAATGGTATGAGGCCAGACATCCAAGAGACTCGTGGGCCATTTTTTCTAAAATGCTTCTTCAATGATTTGGGCCAGGAGAGGCTTTGAATGTTAACATGGCCCTTTCACGGATACTGCAAATGGGCTCAGTGGCAGAGTTTGTGGCCCAATTTATCAAACCGTCTTGTTGAGTTGTGGGTTGGACTGATGAGCTTCTATTGGGCGTATTTGTCGAAGGTCGAAAGGAGGAAATTCAGGATGATGTGTTAGCCCTTGAGCCCAATAATTTGGCTCGAGCCATGGAACTAGCCCATATTTATGAAAATAAGCAGATAAAGAAAAGGGCTTCATTTAGGGCAAATAACACCAAATCCTTTCAACCACCTTCGTCTCCATGAACGAAGCCTCACTTCTCTACACCAGGGGTCTCCTCTAAACCCACGACAATTGGAAATCGACCAGAGCGACCAACGGTTCAGCGGAAGACTCAATATGAGCTACAAGAACGTCGTTTGAAAAGATTGTGTTTCTACTGTGATGACGCTTATGTTCCAGGTCATAGGTGTAAACAGTCTTGCGTTTTCATGATCGAGGTAGAAGGAGATGATATGGGAACTGTGGAGGCAGGTTCAAGTGAAGGTCTATATGCTATAGAAGAGGACCCGACCCTGACAGATGACACCTCTATACAGCTTCATGCTATCACAAATAAGAAAAGGAGTAAAGGGAGAGCCATGAAATTAATGGGGCAAATTAAGGGCATTCCCATTCTGGTTTTCATAGACTCTGGTACCGACAAGAGTTTTATAAATCCATGGATTGCAGAGCACCTGCGCCACCCCATTGATAGGACTAGTATTGAAACCGTGGTGGTTGCTTCAGGTAGCCCTCTAAAAACCAAAGGCATGCTCTGACAAGTTCCAGTCCAGATACAAGGATATGAATTCAAGCATGATTACCGGCTTTTGAATGTGATTGGTTGTGGCATGATGCTAGGCATGGACTGGTTAGAAACTTTGGGATTGGTAGGATGGCATTTCAAGCACATGACAATGGAGTTTACGTTGGCAGGATCTAATCACCGGATTATGGGTGCCATAAATGGCCCATTACAACCCACCACCCAAATCTGTTAATAAGAACACAGTAGATTTGAATTTTTTTGATTCATGAGACAACCGACCCTAAGCCTATTTCGGTCTCAGAACCCCTGCCAGAACCATTACAAAGTCTTCTCCATCAATTTGCAGATTTGTTCTCAGCTTCTACAGGGCTTCCTCCAAGGAGAACTGTAGATCACCAGATTCCTTTACTATCGGGCACGGGGCCAATTTCAGTCCGACCATATCGTTACACTCATACCCAGAAGTCGGAGATCGAGACTCAGGTTAAAGAAATGCTCAAAGCCGGTTTAATCCGCCACAGTAACAGCCCTTTCTCATCACCAGTATTGTTGGTAAAAAAGAAAGAGGGCACCTGGCGTTTTTGTATTGATTACAAAGCTCTCAACCAGGTAACTATCAAAGACAAATTCCCTATTCCTATTATTGATGAACTATTGGATGAACTACATGGAGCTTCATATTTCTCTAAACTGGACCTGCGGTCAGGTTATCATCAAATCAGGATGAAAGAGGAGGATATTCCGAAAACTGCTTTTCGCACTCATGAAGGCCACTATGAGTTTCTTGTCATGCCTTTTGGCCTCACAAACGCACCATTCACCTTTCAAGCACTCATGAACTCTGTCTTTCATACATACTTACGTAAATTTGTGTTGGTGTTCTTTGATGATATTCTAATATACAGTAACTCCTTTATTGACCACCTTGCTCACCTTCAAGAAGTCTTTGAGCTCCTGCGAGCAAACCAATTGCAGGTCAAAATGTCCAAATGCTCGTTTGGACAACGGTCTGTGGATTATCTAGGCCACACAATCTCGGCAACTGGGGTTGGGGTTGACCGTAAGAAAATCCAGTGTATCGAGACTTGGCCGAAACCTGCCACCATCAAAGGTCTAAGGGGATTTCTCAGCCTCGCAGGGTACTATCGGAAGTTTGTTAAGGACTTTGGCCTCATCTCCAAACCCTTAACCGATATGTTGCGCAAGGATGGCTTTGTATGGTCCACAAAGGCAGAAAAAGCTTTTGAAACTCTCACAGATGCTCTCACTACTACACCTATTCTTGCTTTGCTTGACTTCAACAAAGACTTTGTAATTGAATGCAATGCTTCTAACGGGGGCATTGGTGCTATCTTATCACAAGACTGCCACCCAATCGCTTATCTTAGCAAGGCTCTTTCTACCAAGAACCGAAGTCCCTCCGTTTATGACAAAGAAATGATGGCAATAGTACATGCTATGGAACAATGGAGACCTTATCTGTTGGGTAGGAAGTTTAAGATTCTCACAGACCATCAAACCATTCGGTATTTTTTGGAGCAAAGAATCACTACCACCACTCAAGAGAAATCGCTGCTCAAACTCTTGGGTTATAATTATGAGATTGAGTATAGAGCTGGGAAAATAACGCATGACCTAATGCCTTGTCTCATAAACATGAGTTACTGGCTCTAATGGGGCTCTCGTCCCCAATTTTTTTATTACATCCCTCAAATTGCAGCAGCTTGTCTTTAGGATTCAGCCACTCATCAACTCATCTTGAATGCTCAGTCTGTCTCCAATCCCAATTCTCACTTTACTTGGGTCAACAACCATTTATATTACAAGGGCAGCTTGTATGTACCAGCCACTGCTACGTGGCACGATCAGATCCTTGAAGAGTTTCACAATACTCCTACTATAGGACACTCCGGTTATCTCCGAACATACAAGAGAGTGCTATGCACTTTTAGATGGCCTGGTCTTAAATCCGATGTCAAGAAGTATGTGGCCGCATGTGATACTTGTCAACGCAACAAATACGAATCTATTAAGCCGCCTGGCTTACTACAGCCTTTCGCCATTCCGGACTCCATTTGGCAGGATATTGTGTTTGCTTTAAATATGAACATATAAGAGTTTAGGCTAACTTACAAGTATGCTGATGGTTGAGGACCGGAGTGACCTTCTTCCGTGATGTCCGAAGGTTCGAGCGGGGGCTGGATCCGAACTGAGAAGGGGATACCGGTGTGGTATTTGCCGAAGGCACTCCGATGCCAAAGTTAGTAACTAAGAGCGATTCTATTGACAGTGGAAGCACTAGTCAAGTCAGAAAGTCTTACTACTTGGCCGGGCCAAGGGGCTCTATTTATAGAGAGCATTTGTGATGCTCTTAGTACTTAGTTTCGATGTGGGACTCGTGGGAGTGTCTTCGGAGATCGACACATGCTCTGACAGGTTCTGGCAGGAGTTCTAAGATGATCTATCAGAGTTCGATTGATGTGACTGTTGGTCGCTTGGCACACCATACCGAAAGTTGGCGTGGGTAGCTGATGGCCCGTAATTGATCCTAGAATCGGTATAGAATGCCAAAGGAACATTCGGCATGGCCTACTTGAGCTGATCTCGGCTTTAAGTGTGTTCCACGTGTCACGACGCAGGTGGGTGGTTAGATATGGTACAAACATATTGCAATGGATTTTATTAAAGGACTGCCTCCAAGCTCTGGGAAGAATTGCATCCTCGTGGTGGTCGATCGTTTGTCTAAATATGGTCATTTTGTGGCAATCAAACATCCCTACACTGCTGTACAAATCGCTCAGATTTTTATCAAAGAGATTTTTCGACTTCATGGGTTGCCCCGCACCATAGTCAGTGACCGTGATCCTACTTTCCTAAGTCAGTTCTGGACAGCGTTCTTCTAATCTGAAGGCACCAAGCTCTGCCACAGTTCAATGTATCATCCTCAGTCCGACGGACAAACTGAGGTTCTCAACCGCACTCTAGAACACTATTTGCGTTGCTTCGCAAGGGACAAACCCACCAGCTAGTCTTCCTGGTTACCTTGGGCAGAATGGTGGTATAATACCACTTTCCACTCTGCTATACAGATGACACCCTATGAAGCCGTCTATGGAAAACCTCCTCTTATCGTATCTTCTTATATACCTGGTACTATCGCAGTGGATGCCGTGGACACCACTCTTTGAGAGCATGATGCCATCCTCCATCAACTCCGTCAGAATTTGCAAGTGGCACAAGATCGTATGAAGTACATTGCAGATAAACAACGCACTGAAAGGGAATTTCAACCAGGGAACTAGGTTTATCTCCGCTTGCAGCCTTATTGACAAGCCACAATGCATAATCCTCAACATCCCAAACTTGCTCCTCGCTTCTATGCACCTTTCCAAATCCTCTCCCGAGTTGGCATAGTCGTATACAAGCTACACCTTCTTGGAACCTTCTCGTATCCACAATGTTTTTCATGTCTCCTTGTTGAAGAAGAAGCTGGGTTCGAATGTCTCCCCTTCTCCCACTCTTCCTCCCATGACAGATGGCCTAGTTCACTGGATGCCAGCACAGATTTTGAACAGGGGTTTAGTCAAACGGAAGAATAAACCAGTTACACGTTGGCTCATTCAATGGGAGGGACTACCAGCCGAAAATGCCACATGGGAGGATGCCTCTGATATTCTAACTCGTTTTCCTTCATTTCAAACCTGAGGACAAGTGTGTTCTTGAGAGGGTGGGAATGTTAGGAACCAACCCCTCCCTTTGGGCCATAGGTTTAGCCCAAGAGACCATCTAGCTATTTTCCCAAATAAGATATTTTACTTTTTTTCCCTTGTATTCAGGAGTTGGTTAGTTTCTCTCTCAACCAATTGCCAGTTGGCAATAGAAGCTAGCTATATAAACACCAATCTGCTTGATGGAGAAGGCATGAATGAAATTATAGTTGATTTCCTTTCTTTTCTTCCTTCTATTTTTGCTACGTTTCTCTTTCAGGTCCAAGGTCCCAACAGTGACATGGTCTAAATTTGCTTGTGAATTTATTGCTTTGTATGTTTTGTGTGGTACTAGTTGGCGGGAAGCTTGTACTGCTATAAAGAGTAGGCGGGCGAGTCATGTGGTGTGGGGACTTGAGAGACTAGTAAGTTTTTTACTGGTGGATTGAAAAGGCTTGGAAGTGGTTACAATAAATTCAGGAACCAATAAGGCTTAATACATCTCTCACATAACACATTAAATTATAAATTGGGGTAATTTTGGAAGAGTTTTTCTATTTAAACCCCACACTTCTCTTTGTTCACCCCAATACTTAATCATTAAGCTGTTAAGTTTTATTATCGTGAAGAAGACCAAAAAGGTCATCTAACTTAATATTTAAGCCTAATACATCTATACACACCCCACCAAAACAAATTCAAGTGCATGGCTCAATATCCTACCACGCACTACCCCTCCTACTCCCCACCGCCTTGTCCATCAAATCCAAAGGACTGTCACCAGCTTATACATCGTCATGGTCCAACTGCTTAAACAATGAGAAATTGGGATTTGAGGGTTTTGGTTGGAGAATTGATTTAAGTTTTGGGAGATTGATAAAATGGAAAATTAGGAAACACCCCAATCTGCTGGGCGCGGAGCTTCCATGTCCCTTAACAGGGGTTTTGAGCTGCAACCCAAACTCAGAGACAATTAGATGGCTGTTTGCAACATTAAAAAATTCAAGGTCCTACCTTTAGGAATTGTTCTTTGGGGTATAGAAGGTGGGTTCCAATTCCTTTTTCCAAATTTCTCAAAAATTGTGGGGTTTGTAAAGGTGGGTTCTTTTGCAATTGAATTGGGCAAACTACAAAACTGACTAAATAGGAACTTAATAAGTTATTAGATCAATCCGAGGGTTAAGTGGGGTGTATGGGGTGTGTGTGTAAATTAATACTTAATTTTAGGGTAGTTTGGGAAAATAGTGGGGTTTTCTTAGAAATTGTGAAAATTTGAATTAGAAGTTGGGGTGAACTTAGAACACGGGTGAACAAAGAGAAGTGTGGGGTTTAAATAGAAAAACTCGTTTGGAATCCAAAGAAATAATAAATTGTTTTAAATGCATGAGTTGGTGGATGACCACCATACCTCTTAGTATTCCACCGTTAGATATTATGTAACATATGCACTAAGTATTTGTAATTAGTGCTTGTAACCTATAGGTATATTGTAAATGATGGTATTCAATCTCCTATCTTGTAAGCCTATAAATAGGTGGTTCTACCAAAGATTAACGGAAGAATAAACATGGTGAAACTTTATCTTTAGCATATCACTTTTCTCTACATTTTCTCCCTCTAGTTTTATAACACGTTATCAGCATGACATTGCTCTTGGTATGTTTTCTTTCTCTGAATTTTCTTTCTTCTTATATGAGTTAGAGTCATCACATGGTATAGAGTTTCTTTGTACTCACCATCAGACTTCATCATGCTTGTTTAAGAGAAAAAAAAATCTTATTCTTATTACACATGAATATAATGCCATTTTTTTATTTGTTTGTTTATTTAATTTTATGTATGATCTTAATTATTATGATGAATTTGTATACAAAAGATCAGGGCCTGAAGTTCCTCGATCCTCATCGTATAACTAGATTAGGACCTAGAGTCCTTTTAATTGAATCAGAACCTGAAGTTCTTTGATTCCAAATAATTGAGGGCATGAAGTTCTGCAAATTTAAAGAGTACATAAGGACATGAAACTCCTTGATTTTGTATTAATCAAAATTAGAATTCTATGAGACCTATATATGTCAAGAACCCGAACCAAAAGTTTCGAGTGCATATACATCGATTTAAGTATGAAGTTCAAAGCACAACTATTAATTCAAATTATTTAGATCTACGTATTCGAACCTGCCGTTTCAAATATATGTTGATATGAACCTGAAGTTCATAGTTTTTCAAGGATCCTAATACTATATATGAACATGAAGTTCATTACTTATTTGTGCCTATATGAACCTGAATTGGTTGGAAATCCAATTCTTAAACTTGTAGTTTTATCTACATATTGAATCCACATTAATATTGGATTATCTCGGAATTTCATAGTCTTTAATTAATTAATTTTATTCCTCGTTTATACCACTTTACTCATTTTATTTTATTTTATTTTATTTTATTTATGTTGGGTTATTAGTTAATTTCGTTTTACAATGGTAATGTTTTGTATTACCGCCCCAATATTGACAGCTAGAGGCGTCTATTGGAGACACTTCCTACTTTATTTTGTGTGTAGGAAGTTTATGATGTCATGAACCAGACGTTCATGAAGCCCCAATATTACACAACTATTAAAGTAGTTGAAGATTATGATGTCATGAACCAGAAGTTCATTGACCATATAACTTTTATGTTATGGCATGACTGTCTTGGCAATCCATGTTCCTCAATGATACATAAGATTTTTATAAATTTGTAAGGACATCGTTTAAAGACTCAAAATATTGTCTTGTCCAACAAATATCATTATAAAGAATGCTCACAAATAAAAGCTGTCATAAGATCATCTCAGTCAAAAATTGGCTTTTGAGCCCTCTTTCCTGAAATAATTCAAGGGGATATTTGTGAGCCTATACAACATTTAATTATGGATCACTTCACTAGTTTTTTTGAATGTGCCTAATAAGTGGCCTCTATATAACGGTTCCTATTACAGTAAATGCAATGCATGTTTTCATTTTCCTCAAAAGTTGGACGGGGAAAAGGAAAACTAGCAGCAAAGGCTTTAGAAACCATAACAGTAGAGGATTCAATCCATCCTTCTTGAGCATCGTCTCTTGGCATTGGGCCTCTTTACAAACAAAAGCAAACGACTCCTCCAATTTGGGCAATTGACTCAACCTCAACAAATCTCCTCGAATTTTATCAAACTCATCATCTAGACGTGCGAAAATCATAAATATTCTTTATGTATTTCATCATGTCGAATCTTCACATCATAAGGGCACTTCATGTTGATTGGACGACGACAGTTAAGTTCCAACCAAACGCTCTTGAGCTTAGCAAAGTATGAAGTAATATATCATGATCCCCTTGAGTAATACGTGTTGCTTTACACCTTAATTCATAAATCTACGACTCATTAGATGCATCATAATACATCTGGGCTGCACTCTCCTAGACATCTTTAGCGGTTGGTAGATCCAAGAATAATTCTACCAAATATGTTTCCATGGTTTTTATCAACCATCCTTTAACAATGGAGTCCTCAATACACCATGAATCAAAGCCCAGAGCGTCCTCCTCCACTTCAACCACCTTCCCTATCAAATAACCTCTTTTTTCTTGGCCTGGCACATAAAGTAACATCATCTTCAACCAAGTGCTATAGTTCTTTCCATTCAACCGTATGGTGAATGGGGTAGCCTAATTTTCATTGCGAACTTCAACAATTGGTTGCGGCATGTCAAGAGTTTTGTGGGTCTCTGAAGCACTGGATTTGGCAGTAGTGCTTGGGGTGTTTGGGATATCTTCGAAAACCATGGAGGACAAAGAACAAGTTTTGATGGATTTACAGTTTTAGAAGTCTTTTGTTGCACTAGGTTTGTGATGACAAGGGTCGTCCACTATTTTGCGGCAGCTGTTTTTTTTTTTATTTTATTTAATATTATTGATGTCGACGATAGATGTTGCCTATAGGCTAGGATTTTTTGTGTTTTGTTTTGAGAGACCGGTGTTAACCGGCTCTGATACCAACTTAAACTAAAATGCAGGATTGAATGATTGTGAATTATATTTCATATTTCTTCATAACGATGATATATATATATACAAGTACAAGTTGACTTTTCCTACAAGGAAAAGTAATTAGCTAATTACAAGGAATCCTAACTAGGTAACTACTCTAATTAGGTAACGTGAATCACACTAGGAAATCAAGGCTCACACCAACAAAATCTTCCCTCTTTTGGCAACAACAAAAAAAAACAAACAAACAAACAAAAAAGAATTACCCTCACAAGTAATAATACAAGGAAAATATAAGATGCGTAAACAGCGTAAGAATTTGACTATGTTACAAATAAGCATTCTTGGAGATCTTTTAAGAGCCCTTTTACAACTTTAATAACTTATGATAGCAAAACAAAAAAAAATATAAGCAAAACAAAAAAAAAAAAAAAAAAAAAAAAAAAAAAAAGTATCTACAATCTATCATACTTGCTTTGCTACTATCTATGCTTCAAAATGCAGTATTCCACTAACAAATCGTGCAGGAACAATCTTTGGCATGGCTTCAAGTGTCCCAAATCATCACGACAGCTATTACCCCGACACCCAACAAAACTGCCAAAAACTTGTAATGGGGTTTGTCGATGGAAACTGCTTTGTCGGGTTTATAACCTTTCGCTAATAGATGGTTTACTGCTACATAGATGAACACTCCACATGCTACACCCATTGAAATCGCAAATATCCAATCTGCCACAGCTCCTTGGGTTGTCGCATCTATTAGGATTCCGATGGCCACACCGATAGGACTTGATATAGCGAATGCAAAAGCATAGGCAGCGCACGATAAGAAGGGACGGTTAGGCATCATTCGAAGGAGAGCAATGCCCATGGCAATGGCTGCAAATACCTTGTGCAGAGAAATTGTCCATAAGGCTTTCCAAGCATCGGCTTTAGTGTCAGCGACTCCAATTGCAATGCCCTCAAAGACGGAGTGGAAACACAATGCTACAATCAACAAGATGCTATCCCCAAGTGAGCTAACATTTGCAACAGCCACTTGGCTCTGTCAGGGAAAACAAAAACAAGTATCCAGTTAGTCTCAGAACCACCACCAAGTAAATGCCCTATACATATGGAGATCCTGATACCACCAGTAGATATGAGAATTCGAGAACTATATATGTCTCACCTCATTGCCATTTTGACCACGCTTTCCCTGCTCAGCACTCCCTGTAACAAAGAAATGTGTAAGTTGATTGCCATAAAAACCTTTACATCTTTTTGGTAGCAGAGACAAAAAAAATCAGATAAACATGATTTTTTTATTTTTATTTTTAATGTCACAGAACTTAAACATTACGCCTAGTTTTGCTTCTTAATGTAATGTCACAACTTAGCCATGGTACACAACCACCCCAATTACAATTCTCAGAAAGAATACACATACACCAGACAAAGCCAATTTATACTTTGGCTTTTTATCAGAAATGGTCCTTGGGGTTTGTGAAATAATCACCTTTCGTCCCTAACAATTTTTTGTGACACTAATGGTCCTTAAGGTTAGCCTCCACACATCAAAATGGTCTCTGCCATTAGCTTCCGTCAAATTTTCTATTAAATTGATGACATTGCACATATGTGGAGCCCACTCATCCAATGGTATAGAGCCACAGTGCTATAAATATAATATAATATATTTTAAATATTTTTAAAACTTAAACCATAAAAAAAAATTAAAAGAACCTTAAATTTTTTTAAAAATATTTTTAAATATCTTTCTCACCTCTGTATATTTAAACATAGCATAAAAATAGCAGTCCTCTCTCTCTCTCTCTCTCTATATATATATATATATATATTTGAACATAGCATGAAAGATATTTAAAAATATATAATAAGATTTAAGTTGCTTTTAATTAATTTATTCTATTTATGAATTTTAAGTTTTAAAAATATGAAAAATATATTATATTATATTTAAACGCAAGTGGCTCTATACCATTGGATGTGTGGGCTCCACACATGTGCCACGTCAGCAATTTAACGAAAAATTTGACGGAAGCTAATGGCAAGGACCATTTTGATGTGTGGAGGCTAACTTTAAGAACCATTAGTGTCACAAAAAAATGTTATGGACGAAATATGATAATTTCGTAAACCTCAGGGACCATTTGTGATAAAAAGTCTTATACTTTTAGCATGTACCCAAGCTGTCAAAAGAAAAGTAAAAGAACAGAAATAAGAAATCCCACATCAAATCCAATGAGCATTTGGTCTAAGAGCAAGTGCAGTGCTACAGCCCTGCCATGGCAACAGGCACCCCTAGGCCCCAATTCCACCTCCAGTGCAGAAAGGCCAGCCTGGGCAAGCCCATAAGCAAAAATGGACTAGGATGTTGTTCATCGGTTGCTGACGTCAGCGTGACGTTACCACTAACCTACCAGCCCATATAGCCCAACGGCTACAAACCACGTGGCTTCTCCTGGAGCCTCCGATCAAAAAATCTTGCCCAATCCAACGACTGTCCAATTTTTTGCTTAAAAAAATTGAAAAAAAATATCAAAAAATTTTGTAAAAAAAAAAGAAAATAAATTAAAGTGAATAGTATTGGGAGACTTTGGAAAAACACAAAGGAGAGAGAAATTTTGTAAAAGAAGCCAAAATGGACAAAATTGCCTTTATTTATTTTTGGATTTCCTAAGGAATCCTTTACATTTGCATGTCTTTGATTTGAAAATTGAGAGGTTTTTCTGTCTTTTTTGAAAAAGCTTTGGCTTTTTCCAAAAGTGAAATTTTTTTTTTGACTAAAACCTAAATTTACTAATAGTATTTGCCCTTGCCCTTTGGGGTGGAACCAAAAAAAGCAAGGCTGCACTATTCATGTGAATAGTATCAAACTTTTTCTTGACTTTGCCTTGTCCTTACCTTTTGGGGTGGAGGTGCTCTAAAGTCTAATAGCACCCAACCTCCACTTTCCACTATGTTAATGTTAAGTTGACCGCGAATTCAAATCTCAAGGACGACAGTTATGCTAAGTTGTAGCATCAAGCAGTTGTATATTCAACAAAATTCACGCAGTGAACAACCAAATAGAATTCAATTCCACAGAACAAAAATCTGAATAACCAACCACTTACCTTGCAGCTCAAGATCGGGAGCAGACCCACCACCTTCGTTCTTCTCCAAAACATACGAAATCACACAATCAGCAAGCATGGTGAGCAAGAACCCCCCACAAGCCAACATAAATGCAAAAGGGTACTCTTTTTTAGTCAAGTCCTTGAAAGTCTCATCGGCATCACTCAGAAAGTGCATCAGAGCCGTACCCAGAAACACACCCCCAGCAAACTGCGTACCCAAAACCAAGAACCATTCAGACCACTTGAAAAAGCAAGGCGAAACTCCAGGTATGAAGGTCGCAACAAAGATTATAATCAGACACCAAATCTTGGCCAGTATCAGAGGCTTTGAACGAAGGTCTGTGGCGGGTTCGATGTTGTCTGTGGCGGGTTCGTTGTCGTTTTCGTCGGGGTGGCCACTGTGGGCTAAGGCGGGGATGGTGAGGCAGAGGAGGATGAGAAAACAGAGGAGAAGTGGGCGAGGCAGAGGAGGAGGAGCCATTATTGTTTGTTTTTTTTGTGGGTTTGAGAGGAAGGGAGAGGGAGGCATTGGGCTTAATAGGTTTGTTTGTGGGTGTGTTTATAAATTGGGAGGGTGGGTTTTGTTTATGGGTGTGGTTATAAATTGGGAGGGTGGGCTTTGGTTCTTGGGTGGAAGAGAAACAGAGAGTAGTACGAATAAGACGAAATAGGAATTTTTGGGAAGAAAGTTTTGTACTACAATTTTGTTGTGACAAAGACTGAAAGAAATGAGTGGTGGTTTTGAGTTTCTTTTTTCTTTTTTCTTTTTTTTAATTTGGTTCGAACATCCATCGAAGACTTGACTTGGGAGTTGGATAAACGTAGCTGTCTCTTTGCTGTATAAGACAAAAGTCAAGCAAATTTTAGCACATAAAATCAAAATAGGGGAATCGGATTCCTAATGAAAATTTATTAACCTAAATCTAGAGCCATCAAGCCATCCCTTCACACTTCAACGTGATTGAATTTCAAGGACCCACAATCAAGTCATTTTCCTATTGTTGTATGCCATTATGTTCAATTTTTTGTTTATAAATGTTAGATTTGAATGATTCATGAACCAAGTTTGGGAAAACTTCAATTTTTTTATAAACACATTTTGGGCTTTTTTTTCGGTTCATAAACCCAAACTTTGGTTTCTGCAACTATATTGTATTATCATCTCTAATATTAAATTTTTTAAAAAAAAGTTTTTAATGACCAAAATAGTATTTTACTACAATAGAAGTAAAATAAAATATGATATATTGATATTTAAACTAGTTTTTTTCTCAACCCTTAGATTAGATCCAAGTGTAGGTAACCACAACTTCCTTGGACCACAAGGTGTAGGAGAATGGGACTGAATTCTTGAAACCAAAAGCAATACTTTTATTTTATTGACACACCCACCCACCCAACCTCTAGTATGTTCTCCCTTAGAGCACTTCCACTCATTTTCTATAGCAAAGGGTAAGGGCAAGTAAGGGCAGTTACTAGTCACATAAATAGTATATGCCCTGTCAAATTTTTTTTGGTGCTATTCTACTTATTGCTATGGCAACTCAAGAACAATTACTATTCACATGAGATTTTATGTATGAGATTAATAAATAAAAATTTGCTAGGTATGTATTTTTTTAAAAATTTGAATTTTTTGGTATGTTTAAGAAATAGTTTTGATTTTTAAAATTTTTTTCTTTGCTAACGTCAACGCCTTCAGACAACAGCTTGGGCTATCTTGCTTGGGCCTTGCCAGCTCTTGCCCGGACTGGATGTCAGCGCTGGAGCTGATTTTGGGAGACCGGGCCTTTTGCCTGGGCTGGGCTCTTGGAATCCATTCGTCCAAAAAAATCCTTTCCGAACCCAATATCTTCCTTTCCCTTATACTCTCCCTCATATGCCCTAGATTGCTCATCTGCTGTCGGCGGTCAGGTACTGTTCTGTAGCAGCGACGTCGTCTATCAGGTACTGTTCTCACCTCTGGAACTGAGTCGTTAAATCTTTCGTTCCAGGTCGATACCGTACCGCAATTGGGTACGCTCGATCCAGATCGAATTAGGCAACTATGAGGTGCACTGACTGAGATACGAAGCAAACTGGGGTTCATTATGTTTCTGTTAGATAGTTCTTAACACTTGCTTATTTTGTATTATGTTATTTATGTGATTATGGTTTTATAGATTCTTGCCGAGGCTTCCCCGTGAATTTTGACAACAAACCGAGAGCGACAAACTCTCTGCAACCATGGTTCGTTCTCCATCTCTCTCCGTCTGTTTTAATTTTTCTCTAGCTTTCATATTGTTCAGGACATGATTTCATATGGTATATTATTGTTGTTTGTGAAATACAGCCGCAGGGAGATTACATAGAGCTTCACAGGAAGCGGTATGGGTACCGACCAGACCACTTCGAGCGAAAGCGCAAGAAGGAGGCTCGTTTGGTCCACAAGCGTTCAGAGACTGCCCAGAAGGTCATCAATTCTCTCCTTTTCTTCTATTTTCCTTAAAAGTTAAAAATCATAGTGAAATTTGTGCTTATTCTGTTTCTTTCGAATGTTTGTCATGGAACAGGCTCTGGGTATCAAGGGTAAGATGTTTGCTAAGAAACGCTATGCAGAAAAGGCTCTCATGAAGAAAACGTGAGTTCTATTATGCGGATCTCATTCCAGTTTATCATTGTGTTCTGTTGATTATTCTCTGAAAAACTACTCATTAACTCTTTAAGTTTCTTAGAAATGATATCTTCTTACTTAGTAGCTTTTCATGTAGTCAACCATATTCCCTTAGATTGTTAAGATAAATCTCTAAGAACTTACAATTGCATTAAATTGATGCTTTTAACTTTTATTTTTCATATTGCACTGGTGGCATGATTATTAATTTGGTGTTTTGACATAGCTACATTCATATTTACAACTGTATGACTCTATGTATACACCTAGACATAGCTACGTTCATATTTACAACTGTATGACTCTACGTAAGTTTATTTGCTTCTTTTTATTGTTTCTAAATGTCTATCATAGGTAGTTTGCCTGTATGTCAATACCTCGGTGTATTAGATTTGTGTGCATGCAACTGGTGAATTATATTTATGTAAAATAAAAGTATTGTTTGTGAATGTCGACAGGTTGGCTATGCATGAGGAGTCATCAACTAGGCGCAAGGTGGATGATGATGTTCACGAAGGAGCTGTTCCAGCATATCTTCTGGATCGTGACAACACAACACGTGCAAAAGTAATATGTGCTAGCTAGTATTGATTTTATGGAAATATATTTCATCATGTTTTTTATCTAACATTATGCTGGAAACAGATTCTCAACAACACCATCAAGCAAAAAAGGAAGGAGAAAGCTGGGAAATGGGAAGTCCCTCTACCCAAGGTAAGAACATCTGCCACATTCTTCCTTTAGCGTCTTTACTTTTCTGTGTGAATGAATTTTCGGTACAGTGCAATAGCATTTCTCTTTTGTTAATCTTGATATAATTTTCTGACTGAGTTATATCTTCTCCAGGTAAGGCCTGTGGCTGAAGATGAGATGTTTAAAATTCTTAGATCTGGAAAACGCAAGAGTAAGTATTCTTTAACTTTTCCTCACTATTCCCATACCAACCACCAGAGTCTTGGTTGGTTTTTCCCCTAAATTTATGATTATTAATTAGGCTTATGAGAGTTAGATTTCCCTCATAACGAGATGAAGTTATTCATTATCTTGATTTTTTCATGGTAAGCTTGTATAAATAATATTTAGGATATGTGAAAACTGATGCCAGTATTTTCATTAAATTTGTTGTTTTGGTTCCTGGCAGCTTATATACTTGGTTCTGTTTTGTAGCCAAGCAATGGAAGAGGATGGTCACAAAAGCCACATTTGTAGGACCTGGTTTCACGAGGAAACCTCCAAAGTACGAGAGGTTTATCCGGCCCAGTGGATTGCGATTCACCAAAGCTCATGTGACACACCCTGAACTCAAGTGCACTTTTAACCTTGAGATCATTGGTGTGAAGAAGAATCCTAATGGTCAAATGTATACCTCTCTCGGTGTCTTGACCAAGGGAACCATCATTGAGGTACCTCATTTGTTATGTGATGATTTATTGCATGTATAAAGCCAATCCACGGTGTATTTCATTATTTACTCATCTATTCTGTGGATATCAGGTGAATGTGAGTGAACTTGGTCTAGTCACACCTGCAGGGAAAGTTGTATGGGGTGAGTTCAACCTTTATGTAGCGTTTTGCTATCATGCACACTTTTAAACGTGGATTCTTTAGATTCTGACTTGTGTTGGAGAATTTAACTTTTGCTTGTGATCGATGCAGGGAAATATGCTCAGGTGACAAATAATCCAGAGAACGACGGATGTGTAAATGCAGTCCTGCTCGTTTAAGAGGGCCACTCGATGAGCATCACTGAATTGTGGAGTGGACTTCTGGCGTTGCATCTGGTATCCATGTCGCATCATGCACCGCCAGCCAATATGTCCTCACCCCTAATGTTTTGACACAAATATATATGGTTTTAAACTGAGAGATCGAATGTTTATGCCACACAATTGTCTCTAGAACCTGAATGCTGAGTGCATATTGTGGCTAATTCAGAATAACTCTTTGTTCAAATTTATTACCAGATCAGTGTCATTTAAGAAAATTTTCCAGCGGACGTTTGTCTAAATTGTATTGTGTGGTTCAACAAACTAAAAAAAGCAGGGATTGCAAACGTTTTCCATTTAGATAACACAATTTAAGCTGATTAATGTTTTTTTTTTTTAATGGACTGCAACCTTTTTTCTTTTTTTTTGGTCTGAATAATACTACATTAAAAGCCAGAGAACGCTCCAGCAGCACCAAACAGGAAGTTGCAAGAAGAAGCATACAAGGACAGGGGAGAACCCCAGAGCAATACAAACAAATCAGAGGGAGGCCAAATATACCTCCCAGGAGATAGAAACTGGAAATACAACAAGTAAACATATCTAATAACCAAAACTAATTACTAGGGGGGCATGGCAAACCGTCCTTAGCCAATGCCCGAACCATAGAGGGAGGAGGCTGTGAGGCCCAACGCAAAGTTCGCACCCTCATATTTGACAGAGCTGCAGCAGCATGCGCAGCTTGATTTGCTTGGCGAGATACCCATTCCCATTTGACCGAGGTGAACCATGAAGAGAGTCTCCTGATCTCCAAGATAATAGGGATGATTCTCCAATTGCCGTGCAGATTTTCGTTCCTCATACAAGAGACAACATCCATTGAATCACTTTCAAGAATGATTTCTGACAATTTTTCTCTTTTGCTAGAATTAGCCCTTCCAAAACAGCTTCTGCTTCCACTTCTACTGCAGAGTTCCGAAGAGTAGCCTTACTCATACCAGCCAACAATCTGCCCCTAGAATCACGCAAGCAGCAACCCACACCACCCTACAGAGAGTCCTTTTTCCAAGCTCCATCCACATTAACCTTAATATAAGGATGTGGGGGAACCCTCCAGAGAGCATGGGGGGGAGAAAAAGAGGGAGTAGAACTAGTAGTAACACTCGAGGAAGGACACAATTCTCCCCATAAAGAAATAACTTTTCTAATAACAGAGTAAGGGCTTGGGGGAACGACCATCAAAAATCGTAGAACATCTTTCTTTCCAAATCTCCCAACACGTGCCCACCAAAACAAGAATCTCCTTATTCCTTTCTTCAAAAAGAGCCAAAGAAGTAATAACTCCCAATAGCCATCTGTCAAGGGAAATCACGCTTTGAACATTCACACAGTAGTTTAAGGGGATACCAAACCAAACACAAGCAATCCAAGGGCACAAGAGAATAGCATGTTCGGGTGACTCATCACAAGAATGGCATAAAGTACAGACTGGAGTAGTCCTAGCTCTGCGTTGAAACAGGTTTTTTAGAGCGGGCAGGGAATTGGTCAAAGCCCTCCAAAAGAAAAGTTTGATCTTTGGTAAAACTTTCATACTCCATATTGACTTCCATAACTTTTTATCTACTTGGTGGGAGTGATGCTCCGGCACACTACACACAGCCACCAAATTTTCCATAGCCCAATGGTAACCACTGCGAACAGAAAAGAATCCATCTTTATTCCAAGGCCAAATCAAAGTATCCTCACGAGTGAGATTACAGAGAGGAATAGCACGGATTAAATTTGCCACATCGGGCTCAATAACATTTGAGATGCTCGCCAGATTCCATTCTCTCAAATCCCTATCAATGAGATCATTTACGAAAGTTGGAATAGGGCCGGAAATAGTGATGGTTGGCTTTGGACGCAGGATGGATTTGTGGTGCGGCCAGTTATTGCTCCAGATCTTCACTTTCAAACCATTGCCAATTTGCCATATGGCACCATCAGACATAATCTTACAACCTTCAAGTAAGCTAGCCCATGCCCAAGAAGGACACGGCCCTCTTCTAGCTTTCAAGAAATCACCATCAGGGAAGTACTTGGCTCTGAGAACACATACCCAAAAAGCATCAGGATTATGCCAGGTACGCCAACACTGTTTAGCCAGGAGAGAAAGATTGAAATTTTCTAGTTCTCTAAAACCCAAGCCTCCCTCGGCCTTTGGGAGGCATAACACCTCCCATCTCTTCCAGTGAATATGAGCTTTGGCATCACCATTACTCCACCAGAAGTTACTAAGAATACCATTAATTGTTTGCAAGTGGTCATGGGGAATCTAAAGCAAGACATCGGGTACGTTGGCACAGCCAAGGCCACGGCCTTTATCAGGACCTCCTTACCAGCAAGATTTAAAAACTTGATTTCCATCTCTGAACTCTATTCTGAATGCGATCAACAATGTAGTTCAAGGCAGCGGTTTTTGATCTCCCCCAAATAGAAGGCAGACCCAAATAAGTGCCAGGATCAATAGTAGAAGACATCCCCAACGTGTTACTGATTTCCCCAGCAAGAGAGTCAGAGACATTTGGGCTAAAAAAATAAGGATGATTTATCCACATTGAGCTTTTGGCCTGATGCCAAACAATAGTCATCAACAATCTTTTTCAAAACACTGCAGTTCTGTGCTGTAGCACGGATGAAAAAAAGAGAATCATCAGCAAACAAAAGGTGAGATATGGTTGGGCCACTCCGACAAATACGGACACCATGAAGACAGCCGCGGCTCACAGCAACCTCCACATTACGTGAGAGAACATCACTGATCAAGATGAAAAGGTAGGGAGATAGTGGATCCCCTTGACAAAGACCACGAGAGGGAATGAAAGAGCTACCCGGTTTGCCATTGATAACCACAGAGAAAGATACTGTAGTTACACATCTCATAACCATATTAATCCAAAAGTTACCAAAACCCATTTTTTCATAGTGGCTTCAAGAAAATCCCACTCAACACGATCATAGGCTTTATTCATATCCAGTTTTAGCCCAAGTTCTCCCACCTTACCCTTTCGTTTTAGTCTGAGATAGTGAAAAACCTCATGAGCAACAAGAATATTATCCTGGATTTGTCTCCCTGGTATGAAGGCATTCTGTTGATGGGATATAAGATGTGGAAGAATATCCTTTAAACCGGTTTGCCAGGATCTTCGAAAGTATTTTGTAAGCATTATTACAGAGGCTAATAGGTCGAAACTGAGATGGGATCTCCGGGTTCAGGACTTTTGGAATTAGAGCAATATTCGTATGATTAAAACCTTGTACAGCCTCCCAACTCTCAGAATAACTCATAGCAGTACCCACAATGACTTCTTTGACCTCGTCCCAATACTTTTGATAGAATAGGCCTGGGAATCAGTCAGGACCCGGGGCTTTGAGAGAGCCCAGTTGGATAACAGCATCTTTTACCTCCTCAAGCTCAATAGGTCTACAAAGCTCACGGTTCCAATCATCGTTAACAATAGGGTGTATACAATCCAATACACCATTCCATGTACGGCTGCCATCAAAGGCAAAAAGCTTCGAGAAGTAGTCATTGAAAACTCTTTCAACATCTTCTTGTTTTTCATACAAAGTGCCATCGTCACCCAAAATTCTAGAAATGCGGTTGCGATTACGTCTAATAGCCGTAGACGTATGGAAAAATTTTGTATTTCGATCACCATCATTTAACCACAGTATGCGAGACCTCTGCTTCCAGTAAGAGTCTTCTCTCATCCATGCTTCCGAAAGATGGGTAATTAATTCTTTTTCCTGCTCCACATTCAGTGGGTCGACCTGTTGTATAGTAAATCAATCTCCCCCATCAACCTGTTAATAACTTTTTTATTGTTTGGAAAGTGGGATTTGCTCCAGGCAATCAAATGCCGTCTACAAGAATTTAAGCTAGAACGCCATTTGTCACGTAGCATTTAGTTTTTCGGCCCAGGTAAATGCTAGCACACAAACCAAATCCTAACAATAACAAGCACTTCCGCTGAATTTTCCGTGACTAGTAATTTCAACCATGAAAGAGCCTCCTCCATGCTACCTGCATCGAGGTGTGACAATGTAATGACCAAAATGTCCAAATTTAGCATAGGTACTCCCAAGATATTAGAGTGTGTCGAAAAATAATATGCCCATAAATATTTTATTTTATTAATATTCTTTCAACCAATATTTGCCTTTGTTTTAGTTCTTTAATCCGCTATTGACTTTACTTAATCTTAGCTCATCTCGTCATTATTTTTCATGGATTGTTTGGTTGAAAAGAAAATTCATCTTACTTGCATACGGACCAACACATGAGCAAGGAGGTGCACTGCACCTTCCTTCGCCGGAAAATTCTTTGGTGTGGCTAGAATTTGCCCCTCTGCTGATGCCCACCACATTTTCGATTAGATATTTGAAAGAGACTTCGTAATATTCAATTTGATTTCTGCTTCACATAAACTTGTTGTCTCCCAAATTCTCTTAATGGTGTATCTCTATTTAATAAATATCCATGAACTTTAATCCCCCTTATTTGGCATCCGTCCTTTCTTAGTTTCTCAACCTCTAACTTAATTTTGTTTTATGCATATTTCACTTTTATTTATTCAAAGTTTCTCTCTTCCCTGTTGACTAATGTAGATGGGTCCATGGACTCCTTGCACTTGGATTTCCCTCACATACTTTTAGCCTTTTAAATGTTGTCACTCCCCTTAAAAATTCCTAGGTTCGGCATTGCTTGCATACAAGTAATCGTATGTTCGAACTTTGTTTTACATTCCTACATAAATCAAACATGAAAAAGGGATCTCCATTTCTCATCTCTTGAGAAAAGACATGGAAAATTATTTTTCATCAAATACTTTCAGCAAACCAAACGGTGACTATCGCTTGCATTCAAAAAGCCAAAACTCAATAAACCTCAAGCTCATTCGCATAAGTATTTTGGGCGGGCTTTGAGCGGAAGAGTTTTTCAGTGTACCCAACCCAAACCTCGACCCAAAACCCCATTTATGCTCAACTCGACAAAATGTTCGAAGTCACCGAGATAACGGCTAACCCAGTCTCCTCTCTCTGTAAATGTTCCTCTCTCTCACGAGTAGAGTTGGTAAGTCAAGGCTTGGCTTTTTCTGCACTCTCCATCTTTTCCTCTTTGCCCAGTTCAGGATTGTGACCCAAATGATTCGTAATATATGTGCATATATCCATTAAGCTTATTATTTAGGCGATTTTCATGATCATAATTGATATGCGTCGGTTGGAAATTTTACGAATTCTTTGATTTTTTATTATTTATTTATTTAAAACGTTTGGAAGTTGGTAATTTCTATATTTACTTTGGGTGTAGAAAGCTAATGCTTTGTAAATCAGTTTCTTTGCTGCAAAATCTTGTAGTTTGTTCGGGTGATCTCCCAACTTATTTTGGATTAGTCTATTGTGTGATAAAGTCCGCAATTTTAGGCTAGTGAGGGAGGATTTATGATACAAATGAAAGATAATTAAGGGATTATTCATCGTTAACGTAATAAGGATAGCTTCAACAGAAAATAAATAAAATTATCAGAAGAGATTGGTGAGGTGAGATTTCATAAGTGGAAATTCACCAAATGACCCGGCAATACCGTACGATTCCCTCCATTCGCACTAGACTAGGTCCAGTTCTCTTAGTAGATAGGCGGACCAATGGTTTATTTTAAGATTAGGTTATTTGTCTTTTAAGCTAATTCTGCCTTGTTTCAATATTGTATTTGATTTCATAGAGACACTATGTTTGTGAATTTTACACTAGTTCATGTCATGTAATGCTGATACTTCTATTTTCCTATCTCTCATCTGGACCCAGTTTTGACCCAATCTTCTCCTTGAATGAGAATTTACCAAGAACTGGATAATCTTTCGTTTGTTGGAAAATGGCAAAGAAAGGAAGCTCAAAGTTGAATATTGCTATTATTCATCCCGATCTGGGTATAGGTAATTTCTATTTCTTCTTGTTATCATTGAAGATTGTAAAGAAGTTGTTTTGGCCTTATATTGTTGCAATGTATGTGCAGGTGGAGCTGAAAGACTAATTGTTGATGCAGCTGTGGAACTCGCATCCCATGGGCATAACGTTCATGTTTTCACAGCGCATCATGACAAAAATCGATGTTTTGAGGAGACTATTTCTGGTGTGCCTTTTTTGTACTTCAAATTTATCTTTGAAATCATGGTATTGTGAAAATGTGGTGGGGTTTAGTTAGTGTTGGAGTGTGTATGGCACAACAAATCAAATAGGAGTGTGTTCGTCAATCACTAAAACTCTTGCCCATATTCTTTGCTGAATACCATTGTTTTCTTTTGACATAAAGTTGCAAAAAGAGGCATTGTAATGCCATTTGAAAGTTGAAATCAGAGATGTACATGATGACCTAGTTTACATACACAAGAAGATAAAATTTTGTACGCATCCTTTTGATTGAGGAAGAAAATAAGTCATAGTAAAATACTGAAAGATTTCAGGTTGTCTTGGTGTGTGTATTCTAGGAGTAGCATGGTTAGAAATACAACCTGCCTTGAGAAATTCATGGCATATGTGTGCTACTAAATAGTCGGATGGGTGTTAGGCCTTAGAGTTGGAAGGTGACTTATACTTTCTGCTTCCTTTTTGGGGAACCTGTTCTCAGTTTGGTGTTGATTAGCTATCATTCAAAAGCAGTGCATAGTTTGATGTTTTAATGTTATCGGTTTGTCAGGTACCTTTCCTGTGACTGTGTACGGTGCTTTCCTACCCCGATATATATTCTATCATCTTCATGCTTTGTGTGCATATCTACGGTGCCTTTTTGTTTCTCTGTGTATGCTAGTCATGTGGCCATCATTCGATGTGATACTAGCAGATCAGGTTTCTATTGTCATCCCATTGCTGAAGCTGAAGAAGTCAACAAAGGTGCTTGAACCTATCTTGTACGAATTGTTATGTAGCAGTGTTTGCTATTATAGTTGTTTTATGTGTTGCATCTTTGTGCGCAGGTTCTGTTTTATTGTCATTTTCCAGATTTATTGCTGGCTCAACATACAACTATTCTAAGGAGGATATATAGAAAACCGATAGACTTCATAGAAGAAATGACAACTGGTCTGATTCCATTTCTTGGTTATATCATTTTATGTGATGTGTCTACTGCATCTCTTTAGTTTGCTGTGTGTATACAACTATTCCTTACCACATTATTTTTTTAAATGATACTGCTGCAGGAATTGCAGATAAGATTCTTGTTAATAGCAAATTTACAGAATCTATGTTTGCAAAGACCTTCAAGCGTCTGGATGCACGAGGAGTTCGGCCAGCTGTTCTTTACCCAGCTGTCAATGTGAATCAGTTTGATGAACCCACCAATTCTTACAAGTAACGAACATGTTTGTTTATTTATTGGTTCCTTACGGTTTTAGACATGCTTTTATTATTCCATATCTAACCATTTGTTTGATGACTTTTCTTTGAATTTATCTGGTGATTTACGGTTTCGGTTCTTCTTTGTTTATTTCCTTGTTGCAGTTTGAATTTTCTGTCCATCAACCGTTTTGAGAAGAAAAAGAATATAGACTTGGCAATTTTAGCCTTTTCTATGCTTCGCACCCTTGGAGGAGATGTGCTTCAAGACCTTAATCTGGCTGAAGCTTCCTTGACAATTGCAGGCAAGTTCCTACTTAGTTATCTGCCTGGGTATATTGAAGGATGTTTTATGCTAATTAGTAAGCACGTCCCTTTTAAAAAAAAATATTTTATAGGATATATGTAGCTAGGCAAACAATAAAATGGACTTTAAATTACTATATAAGCTACGGGTTAGTTATGCTTGGTCCTTGTTTTCGGTAATTCTCGATGATATTTGTTTGGGCCATATACCAAAGGATCCAATGCCTACTCGAATGCCTACCAGTTGACATTGATACATTAATGCAACATCATTTCATACTTTGATTGATAGGAGTGCATGAGTTACTGCGCATACGGATGAAAAAATTGATACATGTCCTTTGTTTTAGGTGGTTTTGATAAGCGCTTGAAGGAAAATGTTGAGTACTTGGAGGAGCTCAGAAGTTTAGCAGAAAGGGAAGGAGTGTCTAGTCAGGTTAACTTCATCACATCTTGCTCGACAGCTGAAAGAAATGCACTTCTCTCCCAATGCCTATGTGTTCTTTATACGCCAAAGGTGCTAATTACTTTATTTTGTTCCATTGATTGGATGTAGTGAAGAAATAAATTTGACATGCAGTATTCAATAATGCAGGATGAACACTTTGGCATTGTTCCTCTGGAAGCGATGGCGGCTCACAAACCTGTTATTGCATGCAATAGTGGGGGACCTGTAGAGACAGTTAAGAATGGCGTAACAGGATTTCTTTGTGAGGGTAACTCAAGAGAATTCTCCTTGGCTATGGCTAAACTCATTCAAGACCCACAGATGGCACAGAGAATGGGTATGGAAGCTCGAAAGCATGTTACGGAGTCGTTCTCTACAAAAATATTTGGTCAGAATTTGAATCAATACCTTGTTGATGTTGCTCGGACAAAGAGAGACTGAGAATGAATTAACATAGCAGGATACGCAGATGTTTTGTATTCTCTTGTTTATACATCACTCTTCCCTGGTGTGTTTTCCTTTTTTATTTCTTCGACTTACCATCCATACATCTGTAACTAGTTGTTTAGCTAGTGATTCAGAGAGCTAACATAGTTTTCTGGCTTAACATACAATACCAATTTGCTGCATTTATGAACATTGGAGAGATTCTATGAAGCACAAGTGGCTTGATATATCCTTGTTATACCTAAAACGTTACCAGCTAGTCCCGAGATCAACCCAAAAATTCATCTATTTGTTAATTTAGTTGACAAATGGTTTGTCAAAAGGAAGACGCAGATGCAGGTTGCCCACTCATTTGTACCTAAATTCGAATCCCCTTCTCTATAGAGTAGTTTCGACTATTGCTTGTATAATGAAAAATGGTCCCAAAAACAATGGTCGAAAGGAAGCTGAGATTTGTTTTGCCAGAAACGGAGGGTGATCGGTGCAAGGGCAGAAATTGGAACACATTTTTAATCACTCGAGACAAAATATTGTTTGCACAGACCCGAATGGATGGTATAGTGACCAAACCAAAAGTGAACCGATCTTATTCTGCCCAAATACTTGTATACCAATCAACAAAAAAGGGTGTTGGGAACCGAAAAAATAGGGTAGTAATTTTTGACGAACAAGTTACAGAATCATTTATTCTCAGGGTATTACAAAATATAAATTTCTGTGAGCAAAATTTCAGCTAAATTGATGCCAAAAATACGATGTCAACAGCCCAAAGACTGAACTGATCAATCAGATTTAATATGCCGCAAAAGAATTATATAATCAATTCAAAATTTCTCCGGAATTGGCTTGAGCTTGATAGCTAGCAGAGACTGGAAAACCAGCTTGGAAGTTATACTTGAAAACATCACCTAGTCTTTACAATATTCTGACTCGGTCTCCTTCCTGACCTCAACGTCTCCACAATCGACCTTGCTGCTTCTGTTCTTGCATTCGCCTACAATGTCATTCGAATTTTGTAAAGTAAGAATTTGTGACAACTTGTAACATTATAAGTATAAGTAAATTTAGGTTTTAGCCATAAAAAAATTTCACTTTTGGAAAAAGCCAAAGCTTTTTTAAAAAGACAGAAAAACCTCTCAACTTTCAAATCAAAGACATGCAAGTGTAAATGATTTCTTAGGAAATTCAAAAATAAATAAGGGCAAATTTGTCCATTTTGGCTTCTTTTACAAAATTTCTCTCCTTTGGGTTTTTCCAAAGTCTCCCCGTAAGTATATATAACAAATGGATGGTCAAGCATGTTTGGGACAAAATCTGAATCACAAACCCAGGCCACCTGTGCATGTGTGCGTGCAGCGAATCTCAGAATCTCGTCACAAATTTTTTTTCTTTTTTTCTTTTTATAAAGAGGGGGAAGGTGGGATTTCTAAGCATTTTTATTATCAACAAGAATAGAACAGCTCCTCAGTCGCCTGACTTATAAATTTCGAAAAAAACAAGGGTTAAACACACACATATGAAGAATATACTTTACCTCTGATGCTCTTTAGAACGCCTAATGAACTCTGCAGGGATATCACGCCCTTCATATGATGCTAATACTTGCCTAATATCTGCTGGAGGATTACGGGCGACAACTGCACAAAAACGAAGCACAAGCAGGCGGTAATGCATTTCTCAGAAACATTAGTTGATTTAACACAAACATGATGAATAGAAATAATACAAGAGCTACTGGTGCTAGAAAACAAATGAAAATCGCAGACTTACATTCAAGAAATGGTATGAAATCCACAAGGGCTGTGTCATCCATCTCATACTTGTATGGCTTTATTATGGCACCATTTTCAGGCTGAAGGCTATTTCTCGTGCATGGGCACTCAGATAGATGATTTTATTTGGATCTCTATTAAGTTTGGAAAGGTCCTGCCAAGAGAAACTACACCTCATATGCTTTACTAAACACACATGTCAAATTCAGATCCAGATTTGTTACAGATGGATTAGCCAATTAAGAGGGAACAGAATTTTTGAATCATTAAACAGATTGGAGTTTATCAATTATTTCATGGTTTGACATGGGACGCGAGTAAGCTTTTTGGTTGCAGCAGACAGTTTGTGCAACTTGTAGTTAATATGGAAATTTTCTGAAAGAAATACTAAGAGATTGGCAAAGGCAAGGTTCACCAATCACATAAAATAATTCCATGCTAAAAGAAGCAATTCAAAGATGTCAAACATCAAAAGGTACAGAAAAGATGGAATTGAACATCATTTAATGAAACAAGTACCGAACCAACTTACCCTATAATGTTTTCCATTCTGATACTTAGTGGCAGCCTTTCCTAGCCTATATCTTACACAATGCTTTGTGTCCAGTCTCTCCATTACAGGATCTACATACTACATATACCAAGAAACAGTTAGATTCTGTTAGTCTAATTAATTTCCAAGAGAAAGAATGGTAATGTGAAATATTGAAATACCATATTAGAATAGTCTGAATACACGATGATTTCATAAAACTGAGCAAGATGTTCCAAGAAAGCATCAACTCCAGGTCTTTTGATAGTCTGCCAACCCTTTTCTCGCTTTACATGCCAAAAAGAAACATGAGTACAAGTATCCACACCAAAAAAATGAAACAAAAAGAACTTTCAAGGCATGAGGACTGTAATGCAGAACACTTTTACATGACATGAAAAATGTGGGAAAAGATCATTGCCTAAATGTCATGAGATCACCATAAAAAACAAAAGACTACCCACTACATCTTCTAAGACCGTGCCAAATCTTGCCATCCTGAAAGAAGGAATTTTTTCAAGTAGGAGATACAACCACCATTTTCCAGTCCTAGCCTTACCGTCCAGTAAGAGTAAAGTAATGTCTCCTGGAGATCCAAAACAAGTGTAAAAACATGTCGCTCCATGGGATGCAAATCTGGAAGAAGCTTCTCTGCATATGGTTCAGTATAACCCTATATGACAGTAACAAGAAACTGTGTCAAACAAATCAAAATGATGATGCTACACTGTGCCGATTGCCGAAGCAGAGAACCAAAACTGAAAGAAGAAAAAAAAGAGAGAAAAGTACACACTCGAATTTGTTCTTCAATCGTTCTCCTTGCATCAATATAAACTTCGGCTACTTTAGCAGGCACTGAAATATAAGACAAAAATGAATCAGCATAATGTCGGTAACAAATAGAACTATAATTAGAAAGGATGGCTTGTTTGTGGTACTAAACAAAAAGTTGCTATTATCAAGTCATGTGCTGCTAAACATCAAGCCCATCAGGAGACAAGTTTCAACCAAATGAGCAAGGTCAATATTCTTCAAAACAATAATTATTAACCATCAATATACTTTTTTTACAATATACCATCACTACACAATACACTTACTCTGTGATAAAGAGTTGGATCAAAAGCTCACATATGTATTTTTCTAATTTTCTGATGTTCACCAACATGATAAAGTTACTATATGCTGAGTAATTAACATATATGAACTACACAATAAAATAAAAGTAAAAGATAATTGAGGTTAATTGATGCATCCTCTACGTAACCAGCTCCAACATAAAGTGAATTAATAGCAGTCAAAATTCACAAAAAGACTGGAAAAACTGCTGAAACTGTGTGGCAGACAAATGTAATACGTGAAGCATGGCTATTACTCAACAGAGGTGTAGTTCAGGAACCCACCTGTAATTGCAGAAGAGTATACCCGATTTTTAAATTTCTGCAGAACAAATTAAAAACAAATGTTAATCTATTGAAATTGCATCCCTTCCAAGTACACAGGTAATAAGATAACATAACGCATCATAATGAGAAAGGCCGCACAACTTCATACGAGAAACTAATGCAACCTACACTTGTCTTTATTCTGTGTGAATTTTTTTTGGTCAGAATATTCCGTATAGATTAAAACACAGTTTCTCTGGTTAACAATTGCTAAAATATTTAGTGATGGGTGACCCAATGTATGCAAACTACAGCATACAATGTTTGTTTATACCAAAACTGGATATGCGGATACAATTCATTGTTCTTAAAATCAAGAGACACAAAACAATCCTAAATAAAGGCGTGGTTATCTGGTTTTCCTAAATGAATTTTCGGATACAATCTTGAAAACAACACAGTACTTGAAAATAATAATGTCAATTTTTCCATTTTCAATAACCTTCTATCTGAAAACTCTGAAAATATGCATCCTTGACTAAAACCCCAGCTCACTGCCATGCTTAAGTATTTGGTCAAAATACCCCTGAATTTCAACTGAACCAGCTTGACCAGGTCAAAGGCAGTCGACCAAACACTAACAGCAGTTGACTGTCATCCTCTATACATGTCAAGAATTTTAATATTAAGCAGTTGACAGGAAATTGTTTCCGAAACAATGTGAACTAAATGCATATCTTATTTTCACTCTTCTCAGAAACTCATCTCAAACATGTTTTACAGTTCTCGAATTCAATATGACATATGTCTGGAAATATTAAAAATATTAAAACACAACTTCAATTTTGGATTGAATCCCTAGTTTTTCAAAAAAAGTTTGGGAAACTAAAGAAGCCTTATATTTTGTTCTTTCTCTTCCCCTCTCTTTTTCAGGTCAAGTTACTCGGATATTATTTTTATGCAAAGCTAACCTGATAGTTAGCATTTCATGCCAAAGAAATGTAGAACAATATCAAGTCATTCCCAGAGCCAAGTAACTGCATTCGTAAAACAAAGTTCCAAGTCATACTTACCTCAAGAGCAGGTGCATCATCTGCCACCTTGATATTTGAAGGTGCTGCCCGGAGAGCCTTCGTCTTTTCCTCGATTTCATCCACAGAGTATGCTGCAAAACAAATGCGAATCCAAAATTCACTCACCCTCTTTCACCAACAAACATAAAGACCCACAAGAATACCAATTAAGCCAATATTACCAACACAAAGCTTTTCTGTTTAGCCAAAACCCACATCAAATTTCGCTTCTACAAGCCAAGAAAAAAGAAGAAACCCAAATTTCACAGTCAAAATCAAACCCCGAATCTTACAACTCTGCATTGGTGTATAAAATCAGCTACAAATGAAAATTCTTCATCATGAATTAATCTAAAACACCTAACACCAAACTTTTCTTGTTCTTTTCACCCAAAGCCCACATCAAAGTTTTCTTCCGAATCCCCAAAAAAAAAACCAAACAAAAAATGAAACCATCATTTCCAAGTCAGCGCAGCTCATACCATAGGAGGCATAACCAACAGTGGCAGTGGCTCCAGTGATCGCGCCAATGAGCGAGTACTTGAGGAAGTTCCAAGCTTTTCCACTTGACGCGTTCGAAGCCTCAGTGCTAGGTGGTGGTGGCGGTGGTGGCGGTGGAGGTGAGAGATCGGACACTAGGGCTTGAGCCCCGATGAGCGGCTCTTTGGGAGGGGTTGAAGCCACATCGGAGCTGAATAGGCGTCGATTACGCTTTAACAACCGGGAGACTAAACGGGATCGAAGAAGTATCGAAGACATTTTTAGGGTTTTAGAGAGGTTTTCCTTGTGATCGCCTGTTTGGGGTTAATAGGGTTTTGCGCAAAGAAAGAGAGACTGAAAGGGAAAGAGAGAGAGACACAGAGGGGGTGTTTGGGTATTGGAATTGTTTTGAACTTTCAAGGGTTAATACGGAGGGGTGTTTGGATGTCGGTTGTTTGTAGTGATTGGTTTCTAGTTTAGTCAAGAAACTCTCTGTTTGGCAGCCGACTTCTCTCTTTCTTTTCCAAATATATTTTTATTATTATTTTCTTTTTTCCAAATTTTTGTTTCCATTTTTTATTAAGAAATGATAACCGGACTCTATTTTATTCCATTTAACTTTTGAACTATTCTTCCTCATCCGACTAAAAAGATGGAACTATTGTCTTAATATGTCACTGCAACACTAGTCCCGGAATTATCTTAAACTTAAACGCATCATTTTAGTCTTTAACCATAAAATTCGATTAATGTCATCGCCATTCTCTTGATCTCCACGTCAATGCTATCCTAAACGTTGATTTTGGCCAAATTTCTTTTTGTCCACACATCAATTTGGTCCCTTTCGCCACATTCAATCAAAATATTTTTTTAATTTGATCACGTGACGGCACATCACCAACTTAAAGCGTTATTTTCATTAAAATACAACATATTCAGCCATGAAAAAACTAAATCTCACTTATTTTGCTCGGTAAGGCTATGTCCTCTCTTTAATGGAACTCAAATGTAAAATCCTAAACGGAAATGATATGACCATTTTGAGCAAAAACATGAGTTGAAAGACTAAAATAAGCTATATTGATAAAAGCTCGCACTTAAAGTTGGAAACATAACCAAATTTAACAAAAATTATACTACAACATTGACCAAATTGATGTGTAAACCAAAAAAAATTAGAGATATTTAGTGAAACACCCATTCTTAGTACTAATATTATAAATAAACCCTACACCATTAAATTTCTATAAACAAACCCAAAAAAAACCTAAAAAATGACAACTGGCCTTATTGAATTTAATATTGAATATTAAATTACTTTGATGCCTATTGAGTGTTTTGGGTATTTTTATGAGATTTTGGTGTTGAGCTTGTTTTAAGAAATTGATGGCAGTTTTGTAATTTATAAGAAATTAAAAGCTTATTTGTTATGTTATAAATAGGTTTTGGGTGTGTTTATAAAGTCTATTTCATATGGGGTATTTTTATAATTTGGGCCTCTATATTGGGTATAATAGTGAATCTTCCTAAAAATTAAGGGTCATATTTAGTGAGTATAAAGACTAAAATAAAAACTTTTAAAATAAAAAATTTCATGAACCACTTGTGATAAAACCCTGAATTAAAAGTTGTGATGGCTTTATTAACCAGCAAAATCATGGCCTTATCTTCCTGCCTAGACCAACAACAACCTGACATGAAATACCATTTTGATTTTTCTAATCTTGCTGAAATGTGAGAAAGAATCTTCTCTTTTTTCTCTTTTTCTCCTTTATGGGAAAGCATAAACCTATATAGAAGGTTGTTGTTGTTAGGAAGATCAACAAGTTTGGGGTTGTGCCCATTAAAAGTTAAGGTTTAGAAAAGTAAAGCAGATAATGAAGATGGTCAAATCACACGGAGCCGTGCGCTGCATTTGCAGATCTTCTTTTGCGCCTAACTAATCAAAGGTTAATATATGATTAGAGTTTATGAATATATATATCTTTAACATGTCATGTCATAAAGTAATATAATTATGTAAAAATAATAAAAAGTTTACGTGTAAATTAATTATTTATGAGAGAAAACAGCTTAAACTTTTCTTCAGTTACAACTTACATTAAAATCAAAGCTTCCATTATTATGAGAAGTAAGAGCATGATATTTGCTTAGAGATGAAGGATTCAACACCATCCCAAATCCAAACCAACCACAAGTGTGTGTGTGTGTGTAGCATTATTATTCTTCTTATGATTTTCCAAGCAACAACCATACAAAGCAGAATTTTCACCCGCTATATGTCACAACCTCTTGGTTTTGGCTTCCCTGGTGGTAGGAAAGAAAATGTAGATTAGCATGCAGTTGTACACATTTGTATGTTGCCAACTATATTTCTAATGATTAATTACTTGCTTCTTAGCAAAGGACGGACTTAGAATTCAAAATGAGATTGGCTAAATTTACCTTACGTGTAGGGTGCGTGAAGTGTTGGAATTTATGCTTGCCGACATGCAATGCATGGTCATGCATGGAAAGGGGGGTTGATTTGGGTGGATTGGGAATGTCAATATAAGGGTTCGCCCTTGCTTCTTAATTCAATGATATTTTTCTTGCCAATGATGAAAGAGATTTTAAGTTTGAATCTTCTTCGATCTATTGATTAGAAAAGAGAAAAACTAGTAGTAAACTATTTGTATAAGTTAGTCCCATTCTCTAGCATTACTTGTGCCAATGACATTATGCTATATTTCAAGGGTTGGTTAGAGAACAGACAGAGTCTTGAATATCAATTATCAGATCTCTTTTTTGGTCCCAGCTCTCCCAAGTGATTGCCTCCATCATAAAGAAGTCAAATCTGAAATTGGTGAACATCAAGATTACTCTTACCTGATGCCTGAATGGGGTGACAGCAAGAAAGTTCAAAATAGTCTAGAAAATAACATGTCAACATCCTCTCCATCTCAAGTCTCCAAATGGCAATTTTCTACTGATCCACATAGGAACACTATTTAAGGATCCTCAATCCAAGGGTATTTTTGGAAAACCACCCACACATCCAAAATTACTTTGAAGCCTGACCTATATAACCCTCCAATCCAATCCATAACTTTGATGTGTAGATACAAGCTTGCCAAGACTCCTTCAAACTCCTCTGCCTTCCATATCCTCCTCAATTTGCCAGAGTTGCCTCTTTAGCAATTAAAAACAAGCTAGATAGAGAGAGAAAATGGATCAAACTGAGTACCATAGCCAAAACCAACAAAACTTGACTCATAGTTACTACATGTACAACTCCATAGACAATCAGCTTCTGAAAAAAGCTACCACGTTTTTGCTTTCAGTTTCTGTGGTTACTTTCTGCATTCCCAACTCATCTTTGCTTTCATGCCTCCATTCCCTCAACTTCTACTTCTCCACATTCCCTTACCAGCTTTTCACCCACACCATTGACAAGAACTGCATGTTCCTCATCTGCAATTTGCTCTTGGTTGTCCTTGCAAAATGCTCTGGCTTAATCCGGTCCCCGTACCAGTCTCATCGTACTAATGATGAAACCACCTTCAAGAATAGAGAAGGTGGTTCCGGGTTCGAATCGCCAATGCTAGAGACTGAAGAACCAGCCATGCAGAAGGAAGATGTTAAAGTGGAAAGTATGGAGTCAGCAGAACATGTTGCTGCAGAAAAAGGACAACAAAGTGAGTCTTTGATCAACCAGGTAGAAACAGATGCAGAGAAAGCAGCTGAAGAATATAAAGATCAAAAAGAACAAAAGCCAGAAATCGAGTTTATAGTCTCAGAAGAAGAAGAAGAAGAAGAAAATGGAACACTTGCTGAAGAAGATGAAGATGGAAATGGAATGTCCAGTAGTAGCACTGAAGAATTAAACAAGAAATTTGAAGATTTCATTAGAAGAATGAAGGAAGAATTAAGGATTGAAGCACAAAGACAACTAATCATGGTTTAATTAGTGTATTTGTGGGAAATACTTCCTTTTTTACTCATTCATAATTAATTTTCATTATGTTAATTAGTTGTGTATTATGTATTTATAGATGTTAATTAGTAAAAGATTTTATTTTCATAATAACTATATGAAAACGGTGCTTTGAAGCAGAGATTCATATAAAAGCGACTGCTGCAAGCTTCAAATATTTCATAATGACAATTAGATGTACACTTGTCCTGCTGCATTGGAGTTTATGGTTGGCTGGGCCCCATTGACTTACAATCTTTTTGTTTGGTGGGAATTTGACAAACTTACATTTGTTGTGTTCTTGGAGAAATTGACAGAGGTGATGAAACATTGAATCCCTAGCTCTGTCATGTTCATGTCAATCCAAATAATTTTGTTCATTGTTGCTATCAGGATAAAATGTAACAATCCCTAATCACAAAGCAATCTGTCTAATTGTCTCACTGGCTTTACCACTTAAAATCCTTGTGATCAATTTGCTAAGATGAAAATTAGTGAAAAGGTCAAAGTAGCATACAAAGGTAGTAGCAAAGTGGCCAAAAAGATAAAGAAGGAAGGAATAAGAGCATATATGAGTTTAGGCATCTATAGCCTAACTTACCAAATTTTAGCAACATGGAAGAGGTATCCAGAAGGAGAATAAAGTCAAAACTCTAAGATGTGACATGGTTCCATTATTATGAAATTTGTAGGAATACCACATGAACTTTTAAGTATATACACGGCCAATTGGGTTTAGCTCAGTGGAAAAAGATCTTAGCTTGCAAATCAGAGATCCCATGACATATTGCTTGTGCGTGTGTGTGAGAAATCTCCTCCCCATCACTTGTACTAAATTACTATTAATCACCTAATCTCTATAAAGTGGTGCAACTTATCACCTAGGTCAAGTTTTGTTCACTTTTTTTTTTATAAAAACGTATCATGTGCCCCTCACGTGGAGGGATATTGTAGTTTATCTATATATACGAGGTGATGATTTTACCACTTAAGAGCCTTCTAATTAATTTGCTCAGATGAAAATTAGTAAAAAGGTAAAAGTTAGCATACAAAGGTAAGTGGTCAAAAAGCAAAAGAAAGAAGGAATAGCATATAAGAATTTTGGCATCTCTAGCCTATAGGTAACCCATGCCCTTAAGAAACATTTTATCCAATATTACTAGATGTGACATGACTTCATGATATCCAACATTCACTTCCCCAGAACATCCAAATTCATTTCAGGTGGGATAATTTTGTAGCCCTCTCTGAAGTTCTGAACAAAATCAGACTTACACATGTCAAGTTCCTGATCAGTAGGATTTCAAATTCCAAACCATTTGGCAGTTGTTTGGATAAAGTTGAATGCTTGAAAGTAAAACTAGTGCATAAAAAAGCCACAGAATTTTGTTTCCATTTCTGAAAGGGATTGATTTTGTATTCTGCTAGTGTTGTTTTAAGTACAGGTGGCTGGAAGAATCCCTGTAGTCTTTACACTGAAGTGGTTGGAAACTCAGGAGCCTTCATTTTCACCCCTTATTACATCAACAAAGCAGTTTCTTCATAAATGATACATGGGTCCTTCCTTCAAGGTGAAGTTAAATCTCAAACTTCTTTGTTTGATTCTCACATTCCATATACCAATCAATGAAAGTCAGAGAGATAGGTTAGCACTTGTAGCTTACCTTAAAAGCTTTTTTTTTTTTTTTTTTTTTTTTTTTTTTTTTTTTTTTTTTTTTTCAGTAGCGATAATCTAAACTATAGGGGAGGAGAATTTCTCACACACACACACAACTTAAAGATTATTTTTTTGTTAAGAGAGTTTCACCTAAAACCAAAGGGAGACATTCATAAAATTTGTCAGGCATCTAAATCCATATGAACTATGCCCAAAATGACATCTAAATTTATCAATTTCTTAAAACTCTACATAGTGGCAAGATGAAGAAGCTCTGTGTCCTCGTGCAGGTTAAATGCAATATCATTTATCCGTAGAAAAATTCGTCTCGTGTTGAGGCATTTTATCAAACACATTGCCTTCAAAGCACTAATGAAAGAAAATTATATTTGATTGACCCCTTTTGGCCTTTAATTGATACCCAAGTGACCTAGTATTCTTGAGTAGAGATCCAAGCGAAGATTTTTTTTATGCTCATCGTTTGTTACGTAGAGCCATCAAATTTGTTCATCAATTAATTAGCAATACACGTGTTAAAGTTCAGAGTGCACTTAAAGTTTGAACGAATGAAACACTGTCACATTAATTTGGTGAACAAAATTCACAACTTTGGACAAAAATCCTTCTAACATGAAAGTTGAAGGAAATAAACACAAACTTCAAATTGAGTATTTACATAATGCGCATGTCATCATCAAGAAAACACTTTGCTAATTAATTACTAGACATTCAGCCCTATACCAACCTAGACTTATTCCAGCACCTTACATGATAACGCATATAGACTTTTTACCCGAGCTGGCCTCTGATTTGGCCACCCTCTTTGTAGCATTACCGGCCTGCGGAAGTGCTGGTGGTTGTGGTGGCAATGATTGCGATTGTGATTGTAATTGTAGTGGCTGAGATTGCTGTGGAACTGACGACGATGTTGATGGTAATTGTAACGGTGGCGGCGGCGGCGGCGACAATGGCATCATTATGAGACGACTTGGATCATAATAATCAAACCCTCCAAATGGTGGACAGGGATAATAAGGTTGCATCGCATAAGGGTTATATCCATGTCCATATCCATATCCATGTTCATGTCCATATCCATATCCATGTCCATTTCCATATCCATATCCATATCCATCTTGTCCAAAACAATCGTAGCCCTCCTTGACCTCACCATCAAACGTAAGACTTTTTAGCTCTGCATGTTTCCCTGATCCATCAAGCACCATTAGAAGTGTACTTGGATTTACTTTCCCGGAAACTTTCACTGTCCCTTGCTCTGCATCTATGTCAATTTTATAGACACCTAAATTTCAAAATAATAATAATAATAATAAGTAACAAATCCTTAATAAAAGTAGAAGATATGCAGTAGCAAAACCATTTATTTTCTAGAAAAATAAGAAATAAGAGAGACGAAAAAGGGAAAATACCATAGATGTTCTGCAAGACATCATAGATCTTTGTCTTGCATGCTTTACATTTGATGTTCACTTTCAGAACACAAGTCTGCAAAAGAATGAAATAAAATATATATCAAATGCCATGAGATATACCAAGAATAAAATTTATAACCACCACGATGATTATAAATAAATAAAAACAGTCAGTGGGTATAGCTTAGTTGGTTGAGCTCTTCCACCTCCATCCATGCGGAAAGAGGTTCGAAACCAGACACCCAATGAATATTTGTGTAAACCCCATTCCCCCATCGCTTGTACTCACCATATCAAATAAATAAAAACAAAGTATTGTAAGGATTCTAGTCTAACCATTTGTGCAATAGAAGAATCCATGAGAGCAAATTCTGATAAAATTTCTGCAATGGGTTCTTGCAGCTTTGCTTGAAAGGTTCGTATAGACCCTTGACTTTTTTCTGTGACATCATTTATAAATTAATTTTCGTTGAGATAATTACTAGTATTTGTATATTTTGTAGTTGTATTTTGGCTGTCACATTCGCAATTAATTCCTAAAATCTCTCTTCTCGATATTCCTTGTAATTATGATTGGGACGAAATATTATGTCCAGTTGTGAAATTACTATTTCCATAAACTTTGCAGAAGAGGAAAAGGCACGTAATGGTGGACGAATTCCCAAATATAAGTTGCATTAATTTTACTTTTCAACTTTTACTTCTTAATTTTGATTCAGAAAATGTAAGTGTGAATATAGGACAGTTGTCTTTGTAAATTCGTCACAAATTCCAGCTATGCTCACTTTCTTCATGCTTATAAGAGAATCTCTTTTTATCTAGGTAATTATGAAAGCAAGACAAAAGTCAAATTAATTAAAAAGAAGATAAATATCGAGGAAATACCAAAAAAGTAATTTCACTTCTTCTTTTTCCGGGAAAAAGGTATTGTAATTTCTTTATATCGCAATGTTGCATGAACTTATACCCGAATTTCAATTTGGTCTTGAAGTGAGTTGCAGAGTATGGCCATGGTTGATTGGAGGGTTCGGAGAGGGGAGAGGAGGAGATGAGTTTTCAAATTGATGGTTTTAACTCTCAGATAGAGAATGCGACGGAAAAACTCAAATGTCACAACTGAGAGAGTTTGATGACCAAATTGACTCCAAAACAAAAATCGAGGACTAAATTGACTCAGGTATAAGTTTAAGGAGTTGAAAATCTTTTCTTAATATATGAGTTAGGAATGGTTGGCCCAAGTGCACGGTACAACCCACCTCTGTAAAGGAAAATTTGATAGTTTGGGCAGAAGCGATTTAGCCTTCTTCAATTTTTTTTGGAATAAAATTTTCGTGAATTAATTATCACTTTGACCGTTGAATTTAAATTTGGGCCCTTGAATTTTTTTTTAAGTTAACTCGAGTTTAATAAGACTCAAGGCCCTCAGATTTCGTCACATTAAAGACAATGCGTCACAATTCTGGAGGATCAACATTCAACATGACAATTAGTCTCTGGATGTCCCCCCTTTTTGCGCCTCACCGAGAAAGACCCGAGGGGGGGGGGGGGGGGGGGGGGGGGGGGGGGGGGGGGGGGGAGATGGGGGGGCGGGGTGGGCGATTAACAGACATTTAATCAAATTCTCTCCCCTATACAATGGTTTTGCAATGAAAATGTGGATTATGCTTCGCAGAAATCCTATAAAAAAAATTTCTCCTATAAGGTAACAAGAACAGATGTAGAAGATGTTAGATGTAGACTCCACCTTGAATTTTAGATGGTATGTACACCGCCGACAAAAAGTTAAGTTCATGCACAGACAACGCTTCTAACTCAAATTTCACTCCTCTTTCCAGCATCAATTGTAGTTCCAATCTAAAAGGACAAAACTACTTCAAGTTACTTAATCCAGTGATATGATGGATGAAATAAGAAAGCTAACAGAGTCTTACCTCCACTCTGGCACTTCTCTTTGTAAGTAGCATCTACGTAACATGGCTTCCGTTTTCCTCTTGTCTGGCATGGTTATAAGGAACCTTATTTAATGTTACTAAAAGAAATAGTAATGCCAATGTAAATAAAGCACCATATCTCTCACCTTGTGCTGTCAAGGGAAGGAGACACTGTTGTGGAAGTTGGTACTTCTCCGAGTCCAAAAGGAAGCCTCCAAGCCAGAGTATCTCAGGGACCCGTAGAAATTTTGCATCATAGGCCAGTTGCTTACGTCACAAAAGAGTGGGTTAAAATTGGATTGTAACTTTATTTACATTACACTATATGAGCAGTCTACAAAAGAATTGACTTATTCAGCAGTTCTGAATCCTCAATATTTGCAGTCTTCCTAGGTAGTTCACATGTTATTTAAGTTTGTAAACTATAGATAACAAGTTCATAGAGTGATCTGGAAGCCTAACCATAGAACCAAACCGATATGTGGACAGGATGTCAAAACCGTATGGATCACAGTCTACCAAGCAATAGGTAGGGAGATGCAAAGTATCAACAAGAAGCCCCAAAAACCTGGCAAACATAAATGAAAAGTATGTAAAGTATATAGACAAAAGGGAAAAGAAAGTGCAAACAGATAAGGCAAGGCACTCTGTTACCTTCTTGTGGAAATATCAGGATATCCACGTCCCTGTGAAGAAAACAAAAATAGCACACCAACAAAAAAGTTTAATAAAAGCTGTTTCAAGGATCAATGAGAGTTATTTGACCAAAAACAAGGGTGTATGCTTACAGTGATAACGATGCAGTGGTTTGTGTTGCAGAACTGGTCATTTGCCAATCGTTGAAAAACTATACAGAATACGAATAATGGTTTGTTCATAGAAACACACATCAAAATCAAATGATATCCAGCTAAAGCACCAGGGTTGCTAACAAAAAGAGTAATTACCTGATTCTTTCTCCACAACAAGTATGTATTTTGCTACACTAACAATATCTGCAGGTTAGAATTAATGATTTGAGCATGTTTTTGGACTTCAAATGACACTTAGGGTTGATTATGTAATTACCAATGAACTTGTAAAGTTTACATTATCGAATTTGAATATCCATTGATTTTAAACAAGAAAATTTTAATATTTTAATTAGTTCTCTCTTAGTTAATCATCTGAATACCTTTGACCTCTTCAACATGAATAGGAACAGGAAAGGCCTGTACATGAACCAGATGCAGATGTTTAAGTTCAGACACAATAAAAATACGATTATGCAGAAGATGTCATCAAATCATTGTTTTTAAAAATTTTAAAAGAACATGTTCCATTCTTACAGTGTTTGGCCTATTTATGCAATCAAACATGTTTCCAGCTTCTGAGAACCTTAACCAGCCCATTACCAACCTATAATGAGATAAAAACATTAATTATCAGTATGAGTTGACAATACTTAAACCATGATCACAGTGATATCAACTCAACGAAAAAGTACCATAAACATTTGAACAATTTTACCAACATTGTAAGGAAAGTTGAACCATACTGAACTTACAGGTGCAAGCCCCAAGAATAACAATGTATTCAACGGACCAAGAATACACAAATGTAAATGTAAATGATGATTGGCATAAGTCATTTTTATGAAAAATCAAGCAGCAATGTATGCCATTATCTTCTTGTCTTCGAAAATCAAGCGAAATTTTCATGCATACCCTTTTCCTACAGACACCTGCCAAAAAGAGGCAACATGAAGTAAATACCCCAAATGCTGTATGCGGCCTTATAAATTATTTGAAGCTCATGTGGCAATTTCAAGAGTCTAAAGAATACTACTACTTTTACTAATCATACATAACACGTTGGAGCACATTACTATATATAAATAGCTATAAATTTGATAAGGCCGATATAAGAGTACCCACCACGTTCAGATTGTGGCGACTACACTGCATAAGGATGCATATGTCATTGATCGCACGGTCTACAATTGACTGATCTGCATTGTAAATTAAGCAGAGAATATTACTAATTACTTGGAGAGGAGAGACCATGGACATAATGCATCAAGAATTTCCAATTAGAAAATATCACATCTAATCAAATATACCATATGTTCTCATATTATCTTACCACAAATCAGTAGGCCTCAATTTCTATGCCCATGATAATTTGAAAAATACAATGCATTTTTACCAAGGTTTAATTCGTGTAAAAAGAAGAATAACATTTATCATAATCCAAGTTCAAGGTCTTATAACAAACTATATCGTACAGCCCATATACTAAGGATTTATTCTTTGACATTGGAAATGAAAAATAACTCAGATTCACCTGAAAATACAGAAGGGTGCATGTAATAGATATCTCTCTTAGACCCATGTCTATTTTCTTGCAGAAGTTGCTGAACAATTACTAGAACCCTAAGCAAAACATCTGAAACAGATTCGGGGAACCGGGTAATCAGTAATTCGTACATTACATAAATCTCTTGTACATTTATGATAGAGTTCAATTGTCTGTTATGTCCTTAGGCTGCCAATCAAAAATGGAAGATGAACACTTATTTCAGCTCATTTTGAAAAAAGTAGTCTGTGTATTGTTAAAAAACGAAAAACAAAATCTAAGCTGCACTACATGAAAAGTTAAATACCATACCAAGCGCCACAAAACCTACCCAATCTACGCAAATGGCTTTCCCTTCGAAGTGTGAGAGTCTCCTTCAAAATTGGCACATCAGAGCTACAATAGCTGCGCATAACAATGTACCAGTTTGGATAACTAATTAGTAATTACTACCCAATCTACGAAATTATTATTAATTTTCCCGGAATATCGCACCCAAAGAAAAAAAAGAATACTGAACATATTAAGAACTCTGTGGTGCTTGTTTGGTTGCTGAGAAAAACCAGGAAAATCTGAACGATCAACTAAAATCGAGAAAGTAAGCTTAGCATTTAACCAATTCGAATCGGGCTTCGTGCAGTAATTTCTGAAGCGATCGATGAGAATCTCCGGAGACCGTCCATTGCTGAGATCTTCAACTATAGCTCGGGTTAATTCTGCGCTCCAAAAAAATTTAACAAAAAAAATAAATGAGAAACTATAAATTAGCTTCTACTTGAAGAAATTGATTTCGAATTGGTTTACAATATATAAATTGACGAGGACCTCTGATTTTTCTTAGCAAATCGCAAGGCCGAGGCTGTGAGCTCCATCTTGAGTGCTTTCCCTCCATAATTCTTGCGTTAATGGAGATTCTTTTAAAATGATTTCTGGGTATTTATAGGCTTGCTTGTGGGCCGGGTCAGTTTAGATCCGCTTGGTAAGGAATAGAACTTATAGAACTTATGTGTTTGTCAAACTTGGGCCTTTTAAACTTGGTTCTAGTGTAGAAACTAATGTCCTGTTTACTTTCAAGAAATCGGGGAACTTAAGAATAAGGGGGTATAATGAATTTGTAATCGGTATCGGAATCATTCCAATTACTTATTCTATGGTAAAATTCATAATCAAATACCTTCCAAACTAGGAATCATATCAACTAGGGGGAGTAGTTAATCCGATTCCAATTCCTTATTCTCAAATTCTTCAATTGCCCGATTCCTGACTTCCGAAAGTAAACATGCCCTAAATCAGTAGCAATTGTAAACTGGGAAAATATGAGCTAATTGAACAAATGCTAAAGGTAGCAATTGGATTCAATAAAGAGAATGTGACCGACCAACCTTTATCCACCCATAAGATTAAAGCTCACGTCTTTTATCCAACAAAGTCATTACTCTTCTTGATGGAAGTTTTGTGAAATTCTAAATAGAGAATAGAAGACTTTGGTGAGCATATGATGAGTGAGTGAATGAGATATATTATGATGAAAAGTCCTTTTTTATTTTTATTTTTTAAAAAAACTTGTTATATAATGACAAACGACGAACTTTAACAAAAATTTTGATGAAATGCAATGACCGAGACCAATTTGATGGATTTAAATTCAAGGAGCATTTCTGATATAAAAAAATTCTTAAGAAAAACCGTGCGTTGGTGTATTAATGACGGTGCCTCCTCCACATGTTGTGGCCCATCGTCCTACACGTCGCACACAGATCAAACACAGTTGAGAGGCTTGGACTTCCAGACGTGTGAAGAATTGAGAAGCAGAATTCGAACATGCAGCTTAATTATTCTGGTGGCTGGTGAGTTTTCTCTCTTCACTAACTTTGATACTTGAAACAGAGTTAGTTATGTCAGTTGGTCTGAGAGCAGCAACAACCCTCACTCAGCTTAAGGTTTTCATTTCGAACTGGTGTGCTATCTTTCGCAACCCGCCTAAACTGTTTAGCTTTGCAAGTCTTCTAATGGCTATGAATGATGTGAGGGAACCTTTGATTTCAGCACTAGGAGATCCTTCACCTCAAACAAATCAAAAGAAACCTATGAAGAGTAGAACATATCGCCGTTGCAAAAGTGCTCCTCTTGCAGAGTATGTACCCTTAAAGACAACCGACACTGGCTCAGTTCCAGTTACTGAATCCATTCTTCAAAATTTACGCCCGAATTTTCAGAAAGTAGCTCTATTCTTGGCTGTCTACTTAAGCATAGGAACTCTCTGCTTCTACCTCGTCAGGAACCAGATCAAGGGAGAGAAGACAAATGGAGTTCTTGATGCTGTTTATTTCTGTATTGTGACAATGACCACTGTTGGATATGGAGACCTAGTGCCAAACAGCATTCTTTCGAAACTACTGGCTTGTGCTTTTGTCTTCACAGGAATGGCTCTTGTTGCGTTGATCTTGAGCAAAGCAGTCGACTACTTGGTAGCAAAGCAGGAAATATTTCTTGATAAAGCCTTACATATGCATCAAAAAGTAGGTTGTATTGAAGTTCTTAAAGATGTTGAGACTAACAGTTTGAGGTACAAATGCATTGTGGCCTTTATCCTTCTTTCGGTAATCATAATTGCTGGCACAATCTTCCTAGCTACTGTTGAGAAATTGGACCTTGTAGATGCATTTTATTGCGTTTGTTCTACCATCACAACCCTGGGGTATGGAGATAAGAGCTTTTCAACTCGAGCAGGGCGCGTTTTTGCAATATTCTGGATATTGACAAGTACCATTTGTTTAGCTCAGTTTCTCCTCTACGTTGCTGAGCTAAAAGCCCAGAACAGGCAAAGGGCATTGGTCAAGTGGGTTCTTTCTCGGAGGATGACAAATGTAGATTTGGAGGTAGCTGATCTTGATGGTGATGGGGTTCTTGGGTATGTGGATTGTGATTTTTTTTTTGGTTCAAAATTATTTCCATATTATGGGCTTATTTCTGAATTCTAATTTGCTGATGGTTTCATAACAAACTTTCCATTCTCTTTCTTGTCCTTTTTTTTTCATAGGGCTGCTGAATTTATCATATATAAGCTCAAAGAGATGGGGAAGATTAGCCAAGAAGATATTAGACTTGTGATGGAGGAATTCGATGATCTCGACGTTGATAAGTCAGGGACCTTGTCGACATCAGATATAATGCTTGCTCAACCACCTCAAACAGAAAAGTAACTCTGGGATTTTGCTGTGGTTTCATGTTTACCTGGAAATGTTGAGTACTCTCAAAAATTTCCTGTTAGTTTGTGTTATGTATGTTTGCTTACCCTTTCTGTGATATAAATCTTTATACACAAGGCCACATCAGAAACACTCCCAATATATCTCTTCCCTATGAACACTTTGGTTAAAATTGTTAGACTGCCTCAAAGCATTTTAGTGATCATTGTTCATTTTGGTACTGGATTGATGCAATGTGTGAAATCAACTTGCACAATGACAATTGCTAGCATTGAAATTTTGCATTTCAATGACCAACTATATATATTTGTCCCTAGTGATGTACTGTTGCTAGTTTTCTTTTTACAGTTTTGTTCTTTCCTTGTTCTTTTTTTTTCTCCTAATTAGTAGTCTACAAATCTTGTTTTTCATTTGAATTTATCTTCTTGCATATAATTATTCTTTGTTTGATACAGGTCATATGGATAAATTTCTAGTATATCAGAGGACAATCAGAGGGCATAGGACAAAGGACAATCTACTAGTGATGAATCTTATGATCTTCGTTTTTGGGAAACAATTGACATTTAGGTTCAACTTAAATACCTAGAATTTTAGTTTTGAGATTTGGGACATTTTGTGAATTTGTTGGAAGAATGTTAGATGTATGGATTGCTTTTAAAAAGATGCATATGGATTGCTTTTGAAAAGATGTATGGATTGATTTTGAGATCTATATCACTGTTTAAAAAGAAATTAATTGTGATTACATATTATAATTCAATAAAAAAACAGGGATAGGTAAACCTAATTAGTTACCAATCTTTTGAAATACATCAGTGACCAAGCAAGTAGGTTACTAATGTGGGCACGTGACCCTCTTTTAGTGACCAAAATGAGTGTTTTGGTGACCAAATTATAGCCCTTTAGTGACCAAAGTTGCGGTCACTAATCGCACTTTTATTAGTGACCACACTGGCATAATCACTAATTCGTTGTCTTGTAGTGACCAATACTTGAGAATGGTCACTAAACAGAATTTGTGACGAGCTTCTATTGACCACCAATATTTGGACACTAATTGCATTCAGTGACCAAAAAGGGTAGTTTCTGTGTTCAAGTGGGTGGCCACTAATACCTATTTTTCTTGTAGTGCTTACATCATTATCATGTTGATTTATTCATTGATGTCATTAATATTCAGCTCAGAGAGTTAAATGATCAGTTCAATGAGAAGAATATTGAATTACTTCTTTGTATGGCATGCTTGAGTACAAGTAATTTATTCTCTACTTTTGATAAAGCAAAGTTGATGCAGCTTGCCCAATTTTATCCAAGTGATTTTTCTAAACATGACCTCAAGTTACTCGAAAAACAACTTGAAAATTACATTTGGGACGTGAGCTCTAACAATGAATTTACATAATTGAAAGGGATTACTGATCTTGCGCAAAAGATGGTTGAGACAAAAAAAGATTAGATCTACCCTTTAGTGTACTTGCTTTTGACACTAGCACTAATCCTACATGTAGTAACTGCAAGTGTAGAGCGAGTATTTTTTGCTATGAATATTGTGAGAAATCAGTTACGCAATTGAATGGGGTATTTGTGGATGAATAATTGCTTGGTTGCATATATTGAGAAGACATTTTTAATAGTATAGATGACTAGGTTGTTACGCAACGATTTCAAAATATGAAAACTCGTCGAAGACAATTATGATTGTAATGAATAGACAATATGATTTTTTATGTTTTGATGTCTTGTAAGTTCCAAAGTTTTTATTATTTATATTTTGTGAGAGACCCCCAGATACATGAAATTCTGGCTTTACCACTTATCATAAGAGAATATATGACTCATTCATTTCCACCAACGATATCACAACACCACTTGTTACTGGCATGCAAAGTAGCATGGCAATGATCATTTGATTAAAACCAATTCCAAGTCTTTACACGTGAAATACAAAAATGATGACATCTTTCATCTAAAGGAATAATCTCATACTAAGCTTAAGATTTAATAATATATATGTCTTCACAATAAATATTAAATAAGAAAAAGTCATATTAATAAATAATTAACATATAGTATGAATATTTCTTTAAAATAATAATATATATAGTTTTTTTATAAATAAAAAACATGTTCTCACAAAAATTAAAGTAAATTACTGTTTGTATATATAAAAAAATTCTTAATACTTTTTTCTTCTTTAAAAAAATTCAAGGACGATTTATGATAAACAAATTCTTAAGAAAAAGTGATGTGTATTAATGCCGCTGCCTCCTCATGTTGCGGCCCATCGTCCTACACGTCGCACACGGATCAAACGCAGTTGAGCCTTGGACTTTTGGAGGTTCGATCCAACGATCCATCCACTGCAAAACGTGTCTGTCTTATGCTATGAAAGCACGCACTGGCAGCACCTCCTCTTTCCCAAATAAACGAAAACACAAATTCCATCCTATTTTTTTGGTTTAAAGAAAAAGAAAAAAGTACGCGGCGAAATGATGAAAGTCCGGCGACTTAGATCTTCCAGACCTGTGAAGAAGTGAGAAGCAGAATTCGAACGTGCAGCTTTTTCTGGTCTGGTGGCTGGTGAGTTCTCTCTCTTAACTGACTTTGATACTTGAAACAGAGTTAGTTATTTCAGTTGGTCTGAGAGCAGCAACAACCCTCACTACTCAGCTTAAGGTTTTCATTTCATCACTGCACTAAAAAATTCACTATGAGATTGATCACTGATTGTGCATTTACCAATTATGATTACGCAGAATTATGGTGAATCACTGAATTTTGGCTTATGGGTTTTCATTTTTTTTTCTTTTTGGTTTATGGGTTTATAGTTACTTAAAGATTTATGTTGTTTTGAGATAAATCTAGTTTCTATACGCTGTCAAACTTTTTTAACTGGATTTTGTAATGAAATCTGGAAAAGAGAATTCACCATTTTGATTGAAGATGAACATTGAGGTTTAGTTTTAGGGGTAATTGATTATTGCAATCTTAGTATTGTGTTGTGCCTGTAGAACCTGTAGAAAAATGTTTTCAAACAATGCTTCAAAGATGGTAGATCAACTAAATAACATACTTGCTGGTAACTAATTGTTAAATCAGTCGGTTAATTAAAGGATTCTAGAGCTGGCGTGCTATATTTCGCAACCTGCCTAAGCTTCTAGCTTTGCAGGTCATGTAATTTGCTGAAATCTGAATCGTGAATCATCCTAATGGCTATGGATGATGTGAGAGAACCTCTGAAGAGTAGAAAATTTCGCCGTTGTAGAAGTGCTCCTCTTGCAGAGCATGTACCCTTAGAGACAACCAACACTGGCTCGGTTCCAGTTACTGAATCCATTTTTCGAAATTTACACCCGAGTTTTCGTAAAGTAGGTATATTCTTGGCTTTCTACTTAGGCATAGGAACTATCTGCTTCTACCTCGTCAGGAACCAGATCAAGGGAGAGAAGACAAATGGAGTTCTTGATGCTGTTTATTTCTGTATTGTGACAATGACCACTGTTGGATATGGAGACCTAGTGCCAAACAGCGTTCTTTCGAAACTACTGGCCTGTGCTTTTGTCTTCACAGGAATGGCTCTTGTTGGGTTGATCTTGAGCAAAGCAGCTGACTACTTGGTCGAGAAGCAGGAAAAATTGCTTGCTAAAGCCTTACATATGCATCAAAAAGTTGGTCATATTCAAGTTCTTAAAGATGTTGAGACTAACAGTTTGAAGTACAAATGCATTGTTGCCTTTATCCTTCTTTTGGTACTCATAAGTGCTGGCACAATCTTCCTAGCTACTGTTGAGAAATTGGACCTTGTCGATGCATTTTATTGCGTTTGTTCTACCATCACAACCCTGGGGTATGGAGATAAGAGCTTTTCAACTCAAGCAGGGCGTGTTTTTGCAATATTCTGGATATTGACAAGTACCATTTGTTTAGCTCAGTTTTTCCTCTACATTGCTGAGCTAAACTCCCAGAGCAGGCAAAGGGCATTGGTCAAGTGGGTTCTTTCTCGTAGGACAACAAATTTAGATTTGGAGGCAGCTGATCTTGATGGTGATGGGGTAGTTGGGTATGTGGATTGTGTTTTTTTTTCCAAAATTATTTCCATATTATGGGCTTATTTCTGAATTCAAATTTGCTGATGGTTTCTTAACAAACTTTCCATTCTCTTTCTCGTCCTTTCTTTTCCATAGGGCTGCTGAATTTATCATATACAAGCTCAAAGAGATGGGGAAGATTAGCCAAGAAGATATTAGACTCGTGATGGAGGAATTCGAAGATCTTGACGTTGATCAGTCAGGAACCTTGTCGATATCAGACATAGTGCTTGCTCAACCACCTTCGACAGAAAAGTAACTCTGGCATCATGCTGGTTTTCATTCTGAGAAGTGTCTTGTAAGATTGTAATGTGTATGATTGCTTACCCTTTCTATGATATAAATTTTATACGTGAGGCCATATAAGAAACACTCCAATACATCTCTTCCTTATAAACACTTTGGTTAAAAATGGTTAGAATGCCTCTAAGCATTTTAGTGATCTTTGTTCATTTCGGTTTACTGGATTCATACAATGTGTGAAACCAACTTGCATAATGACAATTGCTGACATTGAAATTTCGCATTTCATGACCGCGAAAGTCTTTACTTGTCGGCGGCATCTAGCGGACACAATTTTTTTTTCTCCATCACATTGCAAAATAGGACTGCTTCTAGCCAACAATAGAAAGAGATTGATCAAAATGGGAATCAACCTTTTTGTATTATGATGAGAGATTAGGATGTTAACTTTGGGTTATCTGCTTCTGCATTTATGTTTCTACTTGAAAGGAAAGGATATGTTCTCGTGGAGTAAGACACCTTTGTGTATGTTCTTTGGGTTCTTTGAGTTGGACAAGGCAAAACCCTTACTATGGCCCAGAAGACAATTCATACTTGACTCATTCAATAGTAAGGATCTTATATATAACCCTTAGGTGAAATTCTATTTCTTAATTATTGGATCGTACTAATTAATTTGATTTAACGACTAATTAATTTGATCTAATAGTTAAAAGATAGGGTCTCATCTAAACGCCCTCACCATGATTCATACCTTGATGGTAATCATCTGGTGGGTCTGAGCCCAGCAATCACCTCAAACTCAAAGCAATGCCTCGCTCGGATGTCAAACTGAAATGATTGTAGGGCGCACAATGATGTGGTCCCCACACACCTTATGGAGAATCATTCAAATTTCTTGAACTCTCTCGCAGCTAGATGGGGCCATAATCCAGTGGATCCACTTTTAGGTACCATCACATCATACGCCTCTATGCCCACTTATTAGATGTCCTACGCTACGACATACTTTGATAGAATATTACGGTATGCCATTACAATTATGTGAACAAATATTAGTGTTCTTTTATTTTTTTTGGTCATATAGCACAACACGAGTTGTGTTACCGCGGGAAAATTGTAAAATATTAAGTTTGGAGTATATACAGCGAAAATATGAATCGAAAAATTACTAACTAATTTAATAAATACAGTTGTGTGGATATTTCTAGGCCATTGATTAGTATGAAACTTGAATAAGCCATTTGATTTGTTTGGAATTCTTATGAACTTTTGAATTGGTGTGGGAGTTAAATACACTTTGACAGCTATTAATCCCCTCTAATGAAGTTAGTGTTACTAGACCAACTGATGAATGGTACAATTTTTTGAGTTAAAGTACTTCTGCTCGTATGATACCGTGGTAGTTTAGATTATCGCTTTGTATTAAAATATTCTACACATTTAAATCACTAATTCCAACAAATTTACTCATACTATAGTGGCAATTGTATAACAAACAGAGAGAAGTGTACAGCTTTGTAATTTCAAAACCTTATTGGACCTAAAAGATTGGCCCCTCCCCTACTTCACTTTATCGTACAATTAGATTAATACAAGAAAACAAAAACAAAATGTCGGTGTCAATGGTTTGGAAAAATTAGGGAATCTGTGCACAGTACACAAATTTAGGGCTTATCTGGAAGACTGGAACTGCAATATAAAAATAAAAAAAGCAGAAAAATAGTTGAAAAACTAAATACCCTAAGCACAAAATTACAAACAATTACAACAAAAAGAAGATAATGAAATGGGCATTATCAGCCCACTCGATCCATTACACGTTAATCACATCGTGGGAGACTTCGACATTGCGTCCAATCACGACCACTCACATCACCTCCCAAAAAGTTCCCGGAGTGCAAAATCCACACCTCATTCTCTTTACAGATTACATCCCCCTCGCTTACGCTTGGAATGTTACTATGACACGGCAATATTTCAAATCAATCACATATTTTTATCTTATGCAGTGATATTTCAAATCAATTGTGTATTTTCCTATTATATAGCGATATTCCACATCAATCATGCACTATTATGCAAAGTTAAGATTAAAACACATGAGACAAGAGGTGATATTTTGAAATACGCCAACCAAATAAAACCATTCCAAGCAACTTTCTTTTTCTCAAATAGTTCAGAGATATTCACATCCCCAATTTATCATTCTGCATAATTACTTTTAAGAATAAGTCAGTGGTGGATTTAAAATTTGATAGTCGGCTTGGTGAAACTTACTTACTAATGCATCTCTATACATAAATTAAAGTTTAACAAAAACAAAAATCACAAGCAAATACGATGCAATAAAAAACAACACTATTTAAATATAAAATATTACCATACGAGAAGTTTAGAAGTCTTGAATTCTTAAATTATCACTGCATTATTGTTATTATTGGCAAATTCTCTTTCATATATGTTAAGTACATATGCATCTATTTATTTTTTCTGAAAATTCTCGACCGGGCCGCCGCATAGCCGAAAAAGGACTAGATCCGCCCTTGCGATAGTCTAAACTACAAGGAGATGAATATTTCCCTCACACACACACTACCACTGTGTCATGGGAGTTCGAACATGAAAACACTGGTTTGCAAGTCAATGTCATTTTCCACTATGCTTAACCCAGTTGGAGTTCTGCATCATATTTTAATACCTTAAAATGAGCCGAAAAACACTAGTGCGAGTGCCTTAACAAAAAGATAATAGGTTAGTTTAGTTAATCGTCAAAAATTTTACTTAATAATAAATTAGATTAATCGCATGATATCAAGTGTGCTAAAAAGAAAAATGCATCTACCAATGTAAGTAATAATTGTGACAATAATAAAAGAAAGCCAAAATGAAAGGGACCCATATGTCAATTAAGGACATTATTCTTCCCAGAATTTACCGTCAACTATTTGTCAACTACAACCCAAAAGGAAGAGAAAAAAAACAAGCAAAAAGGAAAAAGTTAGAAATTACAGAGAAAAAAAATAAAATTTCTGATCTTTTCCTCAACTCTGGCTCTGCTCCGCGGACTTGTAACTTTCTACGACATGTTCCGGTTGCCCGGCGACATAATCCAGGAGGCCTTCACCGGAAGGCTCGGTAACCGGTAACGTGGTCTTCCCGAAGACAACAACAGCGAAGAGAAAGAGAGCGGTGGAGAGGAAAAGAGGCCAAAAGTAAGCCAAAATGGTCAGAAATCTGGGTGCTATGAGGGTTATGGCGTAAAGGGTAAGGCACAAAATGAGTGCAAAGAGGAAGTGGAACTTGAACTTGAGAAGCTTTTCTGGGATCTCCATGAGTTGGGTTTTGAGCAGATTGAAGGTTTGGGTTGGATTTTTGTAGATAGAGAGAGAGAGAGAGAGGGGGGTTATCTCTCAGCGCAGAGATTCTCTGGAGGGGAGAATGCTGTGTCTCCTAAACTTTTGTTTTGGAGTGAAATTTTATTTAATTTCCCACAGCTCATAATTTCATCTTTTATGGTAATTAACTTGCAGTTTGTTTACCAAAATGCCCCTCCTGAAGAAGAACAAAGTTGTCTTCAATCATAATAACCAAGATAGATTTCAAACTTTTTGGTTATAATCTTCTATCTGCTCATAATTAATAACTTGGTGGGCAATTTGGTGAGCCACCTTGGAACAAATGGTACCAAAAGACAACATAATTAATTAATTAATTAATGAAGTTTGAAGAGTGTGTTGAAGTGCAAAATAAATATACGTTTTCAAACTGACATGTACATAAGCAAAGTACAATTTGAATTTTACTTCATACATAAACTTTTGAGGACTAATTTTGAGTGTTATTTGTAAACCCTTTTGTTTGTTAAGGAAACACATACAATACAAAGGAAATTTTATGAGAAGAATTTAACGTCCGACTCCAATTATATTCATCATGAATGATATTAGGTGAATTTCAAATCACTTAAAAACATCAATACTAAACAACGCATTCTTAGTTAAATAATGTGCAACACAATTAGCTTCCAGACGCGTGTATAACACCTGATGAAAACAACAGTGAAATTTATCCCCAAAAAAAAAAGTTTGACGACAATAATGAAGGTAGTTAGAGAATTTTTGAATTTTTGTTCTTTTTCCGTAGTAAACAAGGGTGTTATAGTCATTTTCAGGAAAACTTAAATGGATCCACATATACATGTCGGTTTTCAGTGAAAGACAAATTGTCGTGCTTCTTTTTCAAATGAAGAGTTAACCAAAGTTTTTGTTTGTTTTTGGGAAAGCTAAGATCTAACACATGGCTCAGTAATTCGAGGCAGAAGAGTCATCCAAAAGAGAATAATTATCAGTACAGCAGTAACTAGTAACTAGTAACTAGTAACAGTGATAGTACATTTTGAAATGGGTGGTAGGAGAGAAACTCTCATGCAACGGGAATAATACTTTTTGTTATTTTCGGTTAATAACATAATAATATATGAGATCATTTTGTTGCGTGTCATTATGTTACTGGCCGGGGATACCAAAATAGTAATTCCCCCATTACAAGTAAGTTTTGCTATTTGGCAGTTGTAGTACATTAGTAATTAGTAACTTCAGACCCCAAAAAAAAACAAACAAACAAACTAGTAACATGGATTAAATATTGGGAAAGTGCATTATGATTATTTTCTTTTTAGTTTACCCTCTTTTAAAAAAGAGTGGTGATTTCCCCACTCATTTTTCTCCTATTTTATCCACTTACACTCCTTTTTTATAACTAAAAAAGGAGTATAATAAAAAAGGAGTGTAAGTGGATAAAATAGGAGTGGGAAAATCATTGCCCTTAAAAAAACCCTCATTAACTTAGCTCTAGTCGCCACCACCCTTACCTCCTTTAGGGGTGGTGGCCTCCTTCCCTACCCCTCTCCTTCCTTTCCCTTGCCTCTTCTCTACCTGTCCTTCCTCTCCCTTCCTCTCTGTTCCCCCCCTCTGTTGAGATTGTTTACCTATTTTTTGGCTAGTTTTCGCTTGGCTAAGCTGGTGATTCTTGTAGTTTTGTGGCCTTTGGGAATCTTTGGTGAGTTTGGTGTTTATGGTTTCTTGAGTTGTAATAATTGCATCAAGTCTTTGTGAGTTGGGTGTTTATTTGTAGTATAATCTCTACTTGTGAGAGTTTTAAAGTTGTAGTGGTAGTTTTAGGCACTGTAGTTCATGTCTGACTTGTTCATGCTTGCAGTTTTTATGCAAAAATTTCTTTGGCCTTATGTGGCTATTAGTGGAGATACACCTTATGCTCTTAATGTTGCCGATGTGTTTTATGTATTTGGATTAACCCTACATGGTTACTATACTTTCATCTTTATATTAACCCTTTATGGATATTTTTAATAGCCCTTATAACTTATGGTCTTTGTACCTAATTTATAAATACAATTATCACTTTTCTTTAGTAAAAAAATTGTGTAAATAAAAAAAACTTTTAAAGCTTATTTTCTCTCTTTCCCTTCCCTTTCTTTTTGAGTTTGAGCTTTGAAATAAAGTGGACCATTCTCAAGGAGTTTATAAGAATTGAGATTTTAACTTATTCCACTACAACCCTATGGATTTAAAAGTATCAGTTATTTACATTAACACTCTCTCTGAGGTTTCAAATTGTTTTTATAAAACCCCTTCCGTTGATTTCCATCTAAAAATTACTAATGTCATAAAAATAAAAAATAAAAATCTCCATATAACAAAGTTAACTTCAAATACTGCACATACATATCTAATCATTGACGTTCTAATCTTTTTTATGACATCATCAATTTTTAGACGGAAAATTAGCAAAAGAGGTTATGTGAAAACAATTTGACTAAATTCATTTTAAATTTGACACTTTTAAGCCTTCTCCAATCCATTTGGTCCTAAACCCAAATTTTCACCCTCTAAAAAGTAACTATTTGGGTTTTGCCCGAACTTAAACCGTTTTCCCCCCCCAACCCTTTAAACTCAAATTTTAAGTCCGCAATTTATTAAATTGTTTAAGAATAGTTTAAGCCTTTTTATTTTTATTTTTCATGGATAACTTTTCTTCATTTAATCTTTTTAAATAACTTCATAATTTAATTTTTTGAACAATTTGACCTAAAAAAATTGAAATTCCACAAATATAATTTATTTGAGAAATAGGTGGGTATTTATAGAGTTTGGAGTGAGGTTTGGGATTGAATATGATTTAGATTCATTTGAAATATTATTTTGACCTTTTGATTTAAATTTCAGTCGTTGAATCTTTTTTTTTACCGTTAAAACAGTTTAGATTTAATTTGGATTATTAATTTGAGTTACCGTTGGAATAAAATAAAAATAAAAATAAAAAGACACTGTTGCACAAGCATGCGACACCTGGAGCAACAGCATCTGCAACACAGCAGTTGCCGGCCCTCATTGCATGTGGGTCATGGCTCAGTGGGCTCAATCAAAAAATTTCCAGTTCACGCAATAGCTGGACTGGTATTCCGTCCAACTTTTGAGTTTTCCCAAATTTTGCCCCTTATTTTTTTTGAGTTGGGAGAGAAGTTGGGCTAAAATTTATGATATTTTGGGTTTGGTCAGCTGGGTTGGAGAGAGCCTTAGGCCCAGTGAAGCCCAAGGAGAACCAAAGAAATCCCCAACCCAGAAGAGGATCGATGAACATGAACTAATTAACTGGCTTCTCAATGTACCACACTTCGTCTCTCTCTTCCTTCCTAATCTTATACTCTCGTCAACTGGCGGGTGCTTGATAAGTGAATAAATAAATAAACTAATAAAGATTTGTCCCTGTGCCGAGGTTCCAACCGCCACAATGGCGCCTGTGAGAACGACAGGCGCTGTTGTCGCAGCAATCTCAGTGACCATGGCGTTGCTCTCTCTCTTCCTCTACAAGTCCAAGCCCTCCTCTAAAAAGCTACCCTCAAAGAAAAATCCCAGAAATGGCCTCCTTGGTGCCATTGGAAACACCCCTCTCATTCGCATCAACAGCCTCTCCGAGGCGACCGGTTGTGAAGTAAGTAAGCTTTTCTCGACTTTCTTCAACAACAAAAAATATCCTGGGTTTTCCTTTAATTTTAATTGTTACTCTAGCACTCATGGCTTTTATCAAACTCTTACTTTAACATATACATTTATCTTCTGGTTTTTGAACTATTTTTGTTGGTATCAATTACATGATTATGGGTTTTATCTAAATTTCCATTTTAGTGTAAATTTCATCTCCCTGTGATTGGAAAAGGTTTATTTCCATATTTTTTTGGGTGGTTTATTCATTTTGTTTTTGGGTTTGTTCAGATTCTTGGCAAGTGCGAATTTTTGAACCCAGGAGGGAGTGTAAAAGACAGAGTTGCTGTGAAAATCATTGAAGAGGTAAGCTTCTTTCGTTTCTTCTAGGATCTCAAGTGTTCTTCTTTGTTTTGGGGGTGGGGTGGGGGTTCTGTATTGGAAGTTAATTCCTAGAATATGTGTAATTGGTACCACTACATAGCTTAGAGAATAGATAATTCTCTGAAACGCAGAATTTGTTGAACGTATATAAGTTCACATAATTTCAACTCTGTTTCTTTTTCTTTTCCTTTTTTTCTTCCTTCCTGAGCATCTTGTTAATGCTTTTCGAACAGTCATACATTGTTGAAGAAACGAACTTTGGATTTACCGTGCTACTTTTGTTGTCAAATTATCCAAATATTAAGAATATACAAAGGTCCGTAAGTTTGGTATTGTACATATTTTCTCTGCGGGTGATACATATTTTGTAGCATTTAAGTTGACATAAGATTGTAGCTTCTGAATTGCTTTCGTTTTAATGAACTAGGCAAATTTATCTTTTGGATATTGTTCTTGCCTATTAGTAGTTTAGATAATCAGTTGCAATGCATTGTTGACCGTAATTGGTCGGTCTTTTGAGTCACCTGTGTTCTGGTTTTTGGTTCTATACAGGCTTTGGAATCTGGAGACCTTGCTCCAGGTGGAGTAGTCACTGAGGGGAGTGTTGGAAGCACAGCTATTAGCCTTGCTACTGTTGCTCCAGCTTATGGTTGCAAATGCCACGTGGTTATACCTGATGATGTTGCTATTGAGAAGGTATTTAGAGAATGCATTTTGGATTAGCAACATGGAGTAATGGACCATGTATCAGCTACAGGTACTTTTGGGGTGTCTGATATGAGCAAACACCAGAAACCCCCCAGTACCAAAAAGCATGACCTCCCTCCCACCAGTTTTTTTTCCTTTCAAAAATAAACATTATGTTCTGCTCTGTACTAAATTTTGCTTCTGTTGTGCCATCCTTTTCTCCAGTCTCAAATACTTGAAGCCCTGGGAGCCACTGTAGAAAGGGTAAGGCCAGTGTCAATCACACACAGAGACCACTTTGTCAATGTTGCTAAGCGACGGGCATCAGAAGCAAATGAGTTTGCATTAAAGCATGGAAAAGATGATGCGAATCAGAAGGGTGTTGCCAATGGCACCACCGAGAAGACTAATGGTTTCCAATATGATGAAGAGAAACAAAGTTTGTTTTCAAGGAATTGTACAGGTGGTTACTTTGCTGATCAGTTTGAAAATCTGGCAAACTTCCGGGCCCACTATGAGGCTACTGGGCCTGAGATTTGGGAACAGACTGGAGGAAATGTAGATGTATTTGTGGCAGGAGCAGGAACAGGTGGTACTCTGGCTGGTGTTTCTAATTTTCTCCAGGTCCACTACTTTTCCCATCTTAAATTGTTTTGTTCATCTTCTTTTTTTTTACCCTTTCTATTGAGAGGGGCGATAGCATACTAAACTCACACACACTACACGGATGCTAGGACTCGAACCCAAGACCTTGCCTGAGGGAGTAAATACTCCAAACCACTATACTAGTGGATCCTTTGCACATTGTTTTGTTCACCTTCTTTTAAAATATAGTTGTATTAATCAATGTTGTTTTGTGTTCAACAGGAAAGGAATTCAAACATTAAGTGCTTCCTAATAGATCCTCCTGGTTCTGGTTTATTCAATAAAGTTACGAGGGGAGTGATGTACACCAGAGAGGAGGCTGAAGGACAAAGGCTAAAGAATCCATTTGACACAATAACTGAAGGAATTGGAATCAATAGAATAACAAAGAATTTTATGATGGCAAAACTTGATGGGGCTTTCCGAGGCACAGATAAGGAAGCTGTTGAAATGTCCAGGTTGGTCCATACTTTTGTTCTCAGAAATCACATTTTCATAGTTCTTTCTTGATGCTGAGAGGTTCAGAAAATGGAAGTAGTTGAAAATGATTTTTTGTCAATATCCTCTATGATTCCTGGTTTGTGTCTAGTATATTTTCCTTTTCCAAATAATTAGTTAAACAAGTATTTTGAGTATGTTCAATCATATACCAGTTGATGTAAGATGGAAAATCCCACTTTCTTTCATTTGTTCGGTAATGTTCAAGCAAGAATGTTTTAGTTCTTAAGCATTTTATGCTTAAACCTCAGGTTTCTTATGAAGAATGACGGGCTGTTTTTGGGGAGTTCTTCAGCCATGAATTGTATTGGAGCAGTCCGAGCGGCACAGTCAATTGGTCCTGGTCACACAATTGTGACGATTTTGTGCGATAGTGGGATGAGACATCTGAGCAAATTTTTCAGTGCTGATTATCTATCTCAATATGGTTTGACACCTTCGGCTAGCGGATTAGAGTTCCTGGGTGTTGGATGAAATATGTACCTGCCAAGGGATTCTCCATTTTCCTCTACATTCATCCAAAGATAGAACCAGTAGCTAAGTTAATTTTTAGGGTTGGTTGCATAGATACAAGCCTTTATCCATCTGAAGGTTCTGAAATTTTGAAGATAGTAGTTTCTGAAGCAGCAACATTACAGCAGAATTACCACTCAATGGATATGTATTACAGTTATTTTATTACATTTTCCTAAGACTACATTATTTTTCACAGGCAAAAAGCATAATTTCATTAGAGACGATTATTTCTCTTACATTATCAATTTCGAGGCATTGTGCTCTTAACGAATTCTGTGGCTCTACAATTCCATCCTTTTTCTGTATATGCTACTATGCTAGTCTATCAACGTAATAGTCCCCCAGGCATTGTGCTCTTCACGAATTCTATGGCTCTACGCCATAATCATTTCTCTCTATAATCACTTTAAGTGATTTTGCATGATTATGCGGAGAAGTATCTACCATGTGCTTCTTCATAAAATAACTTAAAACCACTTCAAGCGATTATACGAAGAAGTTATTCTCCATAAAAATGATATTTTGGCCTATACAGAATCACTCCCAAACGAGTCCTAATACGTTATCAGCATTTGAAATTAGTTTGAAATTAGTTTTATTCTCATTCTGATAGACATTAAATTTTATGCTGGGAAATAGAACTATGTATATAGAGGATTCTTAAATTTTAATTGGGTTTGTATAAGGTTTCACAACATCTGTTTTGGGACTACAATCACCATTCATGATAGTCCCATTCTCAAGCCCCTTTTACCATCAACCAAACACATCCTAAATCCATCGATTCGAATACGTCACTGAGTTATTAGCTGAATCCATCGAGCCGCAATGTAGTAAAGTTATTAGCTTCGAATATGTCACTGAGCCACTCCGCTCAGCAGATTAACCCTGTATGTCGCTGACCCCCCCCCAAAAATGAAAACCAACCCTTGGTGGATCCAAGTGACACCGACCCGTTATCCTTCCACTGCTAAGAGCGGGAGGTAATCGTTGCTCTGTGAAGCCAGCCTAGAAACCCAGTGACCTGGAGCCTTCACTCGAGCCACAGGGTTCTAAGCCAGGAGTTTACAGAATTAAAACCTAGCACATAATATATATGCATACATTCTTGAGATGCCATGGACAAACAAATAATTGAATTCAAACAGCCAAATTCTTTTATGATAACTTCTGCAATAATCGTGAAAGCTTCAACTAAAATTTTATTGTCAAGATACATGGCCTCAAATGTCTCCAGAGATCCAAAAAGATCAAAAACCAAAAAATGGGTGCCAAATTCAAATATCTTGAATATTGTAAGATATCAGATACTCCAATCACTGGGTGTTCCACTTCTCAAATTGCGACTCATGGCAGTGAGGGTCTAGCCAATCCCTGTTAGAATCCTTTGCCATGCTGCTGCTTCCTTTCCCACCGCCCACAAGCTCTCGCAGATTCTCCACCTTGTTCTCTCGACCTGTCCCAGTACTTCTCCTATCTGCTTCCTTCAGTTTCTGCTTGAACTTCTGCTTACGGCTGGAAGCGTTTACCTCTTGCTGCTGCTTTGATTGCGAAGGGGGAGCCCCGTGCGGTCCTAAGTAGATCTTCTCTTCTCCTTTGGCCTGCAGAAAAGAAGACAACCTTCAATAAATAAGAAGTTGCAAGGTTTCAGAATTAAGACTTTATGAAGGCCATTAGGGTTCAAATGTGTTCTTTTTTCTTTTACTGCATACAAGGAACTAGCTAGATCACTTGCAACTGACCTTTGGAGATGGAGGTTTTGAGGCTTCTATTGTTGGAGCATCATGATTACTTTTATCTTGGTCTTCAATAACCAAGCTCGGAATCACAAATCCATCAGTGTCTAATGCAAGAAACAGTCATACATTAATGCCTAAACAATTAAATGCACATCAAATGAATTCAGAAGGTGTATTGCATTGCTGACACTAACAAATACATTACAATCAACCGTAATCTGTCACACAAACCCAATATGCAGTTCTGATATCGTTTGAAAAAATAATTTACAAGTATTTTTGGGTTATAGAAGCACTTCCAAGTGATTTTTCCCATGAAACACTTGGGTTTTTGATAAAAAATTCGGACATGCTTATGATCAAGTTATGAAGTATGATCACTTTAAGCCCAACACTTACCTGCATCTCGGATCAAACACTTTCCTCAAATTACACCAACCAGTAGTGACACAAAAGAAAAAACCCAGCTTATAATGCAACTGCAAGCCCATTCCCAGATCTTTAATACATAGACTGATATCAAAACCACAGTAACTGAGCCAAAATGGTACTCCTTAACGATATGGCATGAAAATTAGAAAATCCTATCAAGTAAATGAGCCAAGTTCGACCCCGCATTCATAACATTGTTGCAAATTCACAATCAGACCATTCACACCGACAGGAAGAGAAACAAAAAAGAAAATCATTCCAATTATGGTAGCAACACTCACAAGACAGAAAATAATCCCCAAGTTACTGATCCTGTAGGCAATCATGTAGCTAACCAATTCAAATTGCAATGCCAAACCCACATCTAATACTAACAAAGCTGCTTCTGGTTTCCATTTCGTAACAAAAATAAACATAACCAAATCATTCAGAAATCAATGCCTGAATGCACCAGAAACGTGCATAACACAATGAGTGGATTAGTCTAAGCTGATTTTAGCAAAACTACAAAAAACCCGCATAAATCAGGCAAAAAGATTCGAGCTTTTCTCGTTCTTTTTCACTTTTCAGAAAATTTTCTCAGTAACCAAACAAGGGAACTAGATGAAAAACAAAAAAGAGAGATGCCGAAGAGTCATACCCCACTCATCTTCTTCATCAAGAGGTTGAGTGGTTCGCACTGGAGAGGGGTCCATGGGACGCTGATGATCATGGATTTGACCAGCCACAGGGCACAAAAGCCCAGATCAAGATCAATCCAACAGCTCAAATCCAATGACCACAGACACAAATCCCGAGAAACCCAAGAGAAAACCTCCGTGTGTTGCTTGCGAGTGTACAAAGCCGAGCTTTTAGTTATGAGAAAACCTATGTAATGCCCCAATATGGAACATATATATCAATTTATGTGGATGGGGAAACAACTGAGCTAACTAAAGTTTTAGAACTCTAACCCTAAAAAGACTTTGCATTTTTCTCAAGTTGTTCTCTTTGGTTAGCTGAGGTAGGGCTAGAGGATCTTTTCGTCATTTCAGGGGTTGTTTGATTCGCTGTTGACTTTCTATTCGTTAATATGCTTCATTGGTGGTCCAGATTTGGTGAAAAAATTGTCGTGGCCTACAGTAAAGACGCGGGGAAGGGAACACAGATATTAAGTGGTAATAAAAAATTTGGGTTATCTATTCAAATGGTTTTCAAACTTATACCCGATTTATATTTTGGTATTTAAAATAAATTATTCGTTCAAATGGTCTATCAATTTTATATTATTCAGTCCATTAGTCCCATGGTCTAATTTTCTTTTAGATTTAACCAAATGTTAGGATAAATATGACATTTCATAATTAACAAATAAAATATAGTTAAAATAAATACAAAATTAGAAAAAATTGAAGAAAAAGAGAAAAAAAAATTCATGAGACCTAAACCCAGCGCCCCCTCCCTCAGATTTCTTCTCCCCCATTCCCCCACAGGCCTGATTGTTCATCACTCTCTAACAAACACACAAATTATGAATAAATGGGTGGTTATTTATATTCTTTTGCGAATGATTTTTTGATTTAGATTGATTTAATATTAACATTTTGGCCCTTAAATTTTTATTTTTTTTAAACGTTAGATTAGTCCAATACTCTCTATTTGAGCACACGTGATTTTAGGTTCAATTTTCGCACGAGTTATGTGACTCAGGTATGTTCATATCCTTCTTAAGTTATTTCAATAAGATAACGCTAATTGAAAAGAAATTACATGGATGATGTAGCTTAAAGCTTTTAAACAGTTAAATGATGAAGATGAGCTAGTTTTTTCCATGGTTGGCTTGGCTTGGTCAAAAAAAGTAACAAGAACACGACATAAGACTTTTAACCCAATATCATATAAGAAAATTTTGATCATGATTACAAGGGGTGCACGAGGACATTATTGGAGATCTCAAAAGGGGGAAATTTTCAAAATAGTAGGGAGGCTTGCTAATTGCAATTAACTTTTTATAAAAAAAGCATTTCTTTATTGGCCTAGTTACTCTCAGAGTTCAAATCAAACATATCTCAAAAGAAAGTTTTCTCTGTCTTTCTCATGATTTAAATAACTTTCATATGCGGTAATTGTAGTAACTTTTTGTTGCCCCATTAGTTAGAGATTCGGAATCACGAGCCTAACAGATAAAATATGATCATCTTATCTCGTTGCATAACCTACTACATATTTTTATATTAAAGGAATTGCAATATTAAAAAATGTTTCCATCCATTTTCTCTTTCTTTTTATATGTTTACAAAAAAATATGAAGAAGTGTAGGATGACGTTTTTGGAGTGTCAATAATAGCTAGTCACAAAGGACCATTATAATAACAGAGCTATTTAACATCAAAATTAAGACAATTTGCCTCTATTAACGATTATGCAGTATCGAAGAAACTCTAGCGTATGCATCCCAATTAAGATTGCAAACTCACAATGATAAAAATAGATAAAGCTTGAAAAAAAAAACCAAGTCATAACAATACATATACAACTCTCACAAATGAGAGGTGGAAAGCTCTCACAAAGGAAAGGTAAAAAATCTCACAAAAATAGAGGTAAAAAATATACAAAGAACCCAAAGAGTTTGTAAAGAAACTGTAAAAAGAATGGTAGTGGGGAAGAAGACATCCTAACTGTGTCAAAGGGGAAAAATAGATGCTATTAAAATGATTACCAAGATGTAAGTACTTGTTACAAAAAAATTATAACCAATGGTCATGAAGCAGGTAGATTATGGATGAATCTATCTATAGTTTTGCTTGCGAGAACGTGAAGGTAATGGATACCTGACAAAATGCAGCCAAATGGTCCCTGCCAGGAAATGGGCTTCCATCACAACATCAACATGCATATCTTTGAGATTCATAGCAGACAACAGAAAATGGGTCATAATTACAACTGTACTACTGCACATTTTCTTTATTTTTGGACTCCTGACAAATTTGTAGATTTAATGTATTTACATGATGACCAGCATTTATTTTTCACTATTCAGAAAGTTAGGTTTGAAACTTATCTCAGTTTGAATACGGGACAAAAAATTATGTATGTCGATCGTGTTGAGTGATAGAACAGTTCAATTAAAAATATATTACGTACTCAAATTTGATTATTAGTTTTTATAGTTTTTAAGGACATGCATTCTTTTAACTGCATTGTTCTCATACATTAGAAAAAGAAAATAAGCATGAAAAATTTCTTAGTTTGTTTGGGAGGAAAAAAAAAATCTCTTATTTGATGTTTGTTGTTTAGTGTGAAAATTGACTACCGAAAAGGGTGGTCTTCTAGGAGTACTTTTAACCCATGCTTTTGAGAGTATGCTCAATTTGATTGATGGGTTTTGTTTGGTAGCGTAGAAAAGGGAGAGAAAAGTCAAGTAATGCTCTTGGCTATATTTGGGGATATATTGATATATAAAATTTGGTTACGTGCCTTGTTCTGTCTTCCTGCTGAGGGTCTCATTCCCAGAGGTGCCATGTGGGGAGCAGAGATGAATTGCAATTGACAATATAAATGGGAGGCAGAGGACTTTGCTTTTCTCAAGAGAATCAACTTCCTCAGGTAATTACAGCTTTGACTGCTTTCATGTAAGAGAAAATCAGGAAGACTCTGTACATCTGTGCAGAAGGGTTTTGCATCTAAATACACTCTGAAAAAAACTCAGATTTTAGGTACAAGGAAAGTGACAGTCACAGGGAAGAAAAAAAAAAAAAAAAAAAAAAAAAAATAAACAGCAAGTGAAAGTTTGCAACTTGTTTTTCTTTTCCTTTTCCCCTCTAAAATCCACTTTTGCAACATTTTGGTGTCAATTTTTTTTCTCTTGCTAGTTTGGTTTGTGTTCTTATGTTCATAGATCTTGGTTTTCTAAGTTTCTGTGGGGTGATATAGAATCATTCAATTTGCTTTTTGTGCTTTTTGGTTCCCATTTCATGGATATGGATGAAATGGCTAAGAGTGAAGTACTCAATTCCTCGTTGTGTTTTTCTAGACCTTCACTGCTTTTTGCTGTCCTAATTCCTTCACTGCTTTGTATTGCTGTCCTAATTCCTTCTTTAGGTTTCATTTGCTTTCCGAGCTTTGAGTTCTTCCCTCTCCTTCTTACAATTTCAATTTTGATCCTGTCAACCATTTTTGTCCTCACAAACACAAATAAAAAGGTGATTTTGGATGAGAAACCAGTTGGGAATCTTCTCTGTGGCCAAGAAAATCTTCTGCATGATGGAGAGGGAATTAGAGAGCAGCTAGTTCAAGAAGTAGAAGATCAAAATGAGGTAGGGCATGAACTGCTTCCAACTGTGGAAACTGTCACACAAACTGCCCAGCAAAGTGAAAATGTTACAAATTATGACTACCAAGTTGAACATTCTGATGTTCCATCAGAGAGTGATGAACAATCAGTGCCAAGTGAGAATTTTGAGCTCAATTGGATGTGTTGTAACAATTTGGGTCTAAAAGTTGAGATATCTGATGGTTGTTCAGTCTCTGATGATGATGATGATAGCCTCATTGAGATCAATCTTCCAGCAAGTGAGCCAAAGGAAAAGCTGCAGTCAAATTTGCCAGACTCCATTTTCAGGCAACAAGGTCTGAGAGAGCACTTAGCAGATATCAATGAGGTGAATGAGGAAGACAACCTGATTGAGATTGACATTTCCATGGGCTCTATCAAGTGTCCAGGGTTTGAGATTGAAGCATGAGTTGCAAATAATTCAAGAGGTCAATAATTTTGGATACTTTGATCTATGAGTTTGCAGTTAGAAACTAGGGTTAGGATTTAGGCTAAAGTTTATCTTCCTTAACAAATTTATGTTTTTTTTATATTGAAAATATATCTTGGTATTTATTTGTCTTCAATTTCATAAGCACTGCTTTAAATGATACATAAAGTGGCATGGCAAATTGGTAACTCCGTTCCTCATTTTTCTTTAGGATAACCCTACAAATAATACCTCATTTTTGGCTTGAACCTGAGTCATGGAATTCTTTTTTATTCAAGCAATATCGACTCGAGGAGGAAAAAAATCGAACACATAATCTCAATTGCAAAGCCACACCACATGAACATTCATAGGCCTTTTCCATGTAGAATCCAAAGTCATGTGGTAAATTGAGTTTGGGCCTATGCTTCACGCAGCACCACCACTCTGTGTTGAAGCTGTGTTTTTGCAATTTCTCATCGAACTACATTTCACGAATGTTTTAATTACTTTTATTCAATTCTTGAGTAAAGTGATGATTGGAGTTGTGTATTTGCAATTTCTACTTAAATTTTATCTAAGACGTGGATTAGGGAGTTCATTGTAGATGCTCTTATGACTAGCCTATTTGAAGTTTAAAACTCATAAGAAGGTTGAAACTTGCAAGGATAGGCATATTAATACGACTCGAACAAACCTAGTTTGGTTTTTCAATTGTCTTGCAAAAACATGTGTCAAAATCTGAAAAGCTCAAGTGATCTTGATGTCTCAAAGGGAGATGTTAAATATAAAATGCTACATTTAGATTTGATGGCTTATATGACAATTTGATACTTTATAAATTTTTTAAGTTCACATGAAATATCAAAAAGTTTTTCTATTTAAACCCTGCTCTTCTCTTTGTTCACCCCATGTTTTAATTTCATTCTAACTTCTAATTCAAATTTTCACAATTTCTAAGAAAACCCCACTATCATCCCAAACTACCCCTAAATACGGGCCCAATAGAAGAAAAAAAATTAAAAAACTCATCAACTCACACCCCGCCATCTTGCCCCTCACCACTCTAAGTTCACCTTAATATCACATTACTTAAAGAGATAAAGACACTGTTGTCAAACTCAATTGACGACATACAAGCCACTATTTGCATATTATATTTAGGGTTTGTGAAGAAAAGATGAGAGTATAGTAGGTTTCTTAGATTGAAAGAAAAGAGTAATTTGACAATAAGGTGTAGAGGAGTTTATGTTTGGGCAATGATTTCCCCCACTCCTATTTTATCCACTTACACTCATTTTTTAGTTATAAAAAAGGAGTGTAAGTGGATATTTCTAAAACTTAATATGAAGAGTGGTGGGGTGTGTGTATAGATGTAATAGGATTAAGTATTAAATTGGATGACTTTTTTGTCTTTTTACATAATAATAAAACTTAAAAGCTTAATTATTCAAGTATTGGGGTGAACAAAGAAAAATGTGGGGTTTAAATAAAAAAAAAACTCTTTTATTATACTTTAAAATGTAAACAGGACATATATGAGAATAAAACATTAAAATAATAGTGGGGCTCAATGTTACAAATTATTAAAACAACATTTGGAATCAAGTTATATGAGATGTTCCTTAAAATTCATGTAAGATTTGATTATTCAGTTGGAAAAAGTTTTCTCATTCAATTCTTATCATTTTATATCTGCACGAGTAATTTAACATATCGATTAGAGATGCTAGTTTGTATTATAGAAAATCTTTAAAAGTCCACACTTTGTGAAACAAGTTAACTTGCAAAGGGAGCGAGCATTTCCATAGCTTTGCTAATGTGATTGTGTTTAACATTTACGATCATGTTCATCATCAACCAACCTTCTAAGTTTTGCATTAAATATGTGTAAGTATTCCTTTTATTTGGTTATTTTACTCTTAACACTAAATTTATACAGTTTGCATTACAAAATTTCCTGCTGAGGTAGTGGGCCCCACAGGCGCGACGAGTAACACCTCCAACTAAACGAATATCAAACAGCAGCCGTCGATTTTCTGTGTGCCATCTTAAACCAGATCTGGGCCGTGGATGCACTCCCGCAAATCGAACTTCGCTCTCACGTCTGACACACAAATCCGACGAGGCAGTTAACTGCATTTTAAATCCGGATTTGGAATCCGGACTATATAAATCCGAAGCATAATGAAAATTAAAAAAATGAAAAATAAAAAACGAACACGAAGCATATTGTTTTATTAGAGAGAGAGAGCCAAGCACTGAGAGTGGGACTCGAAGACTTTTTTTTCTAAGCTCCAAATCAACCTACAAAATTCAAATCTCTGTAAGTTTCGTACCCTAAACTATTTTTATTGAATTGCAATTGTCAATTGTTGCTTCTTTTTTCTGTTGTAGAATTTTTGTAAAAATATTTGTGGTGATTTATTTGGGCATAATTGTGGTGCAGAGCTTAGGGTTTCCAAATGTTTGTTGCAGCTCTCAAACTTTGAATTCTTGGTTGGTTTCTACTGATTACTGTGCAAAATTGTTCCTCTTTTTCATGGCTCTGTTTGGCTGCCGAGAAAGTTGCAAAATGAAGTGTGATTTGTAGTTTTGAATTTTCGCGTATTTTGACCCAAACTGATCTTAGTATATTTCCTTAAAAAAAAAAAAAAAAAAAAAAAAAAAAAAAAAAAAACCTTATGGCTTTGTGAAGCTGAGGCTTGGTTAAAGCAGTATAGAAGCTAAAGATTTGAAATTTGTTTCGCTTACTTTTTATCTCAGCTTTCTCAGCAAACGAAGGGAAAGATTTTTGGTGCTTATTTGGAATGCTTTTGTATTAAGTTTCAAAATTTTAAATTATATTTGATTTTTATCCTTTTGGGATCTGTGAAAGTTATGGACTTTGTTCAGCAGATGTAGTAAGGGCTTTCAATGTTGTGGGGACTGTTATTGTTATACTCCCCATGCCTCTTTCTCCGAAATTCGACTATTGTCCTTTGGAATGTTATTTGTCAGCTAAAAGTCAGCTTTATTTGCGGCATTTTCAAATGTAATGCATTTTATTTGAATACTTCTCCAAACGGATTGCATTCTCTTTGTTTGAAAGAATAGTAGTAACCCCTTAAATTTCTATGAGAGGTCTTTTTATTTTTATTTTTATGGTAATTTCATGCTCAGTGATACATGTGCTACATTTGTTTCAGGAGATAGTTATCTGATAAACTTTGGGACAAAGAATCTGCTTTAGATTAACTGAGAGTGGCTTGATCATGGGTGAGGAAGACACGGTGACCAATGGCACTGAAACAGTCGCGAATGGGACTAGCCAGTCAGGGAAAACCAGTGAAGATGTGACTGATAAAAAGGGAAGGAAAATGTCGGGGTAAAGGAAATGGATGTAGATAAGAAAGGTGACAAAAAAGCTGAAGTCGAGAAAATGGATGAAGACCTAGAGGCCAATGGATGCAAAGATGAAAAATTGAAAGAAGAAACAAAGGAATCCAAAGTTGAGGAAAAGAAAGAAGAAAATGGTCCAAATGAAGTTAAGATAGGTGATGAGAATGCTGAAGTTGAAAAAATGGATGAAGACCTAGAGGCTGATGGAAGCAGAGATGAAAAATTGAAAGAAGAAAAAGAGGAACTTAAAGTTGAGGAAATGGAAGAAGAAACTGGTCCGAATGATAAAAAGAGACCGAAGGAAGGACTGAAGAAAAGAGGGAATTTGAAGTGGAGGAGGACAAGGTAAAGAAGGAAGAAGAGAAGGCAGAAGAGGTGGAAGAAGAAAAAGAAGAAGAGAAAGAAGAAGAGAAAGAAGAAGAAAAGGAAGAAGAGAAGGAAGAAGAGATGGAAGAAGAAAAGGAAGAAGAAAAGGAAGAAGAGAAGGAAGAAGCGAGGGCAAAAGAAGCTAAGGTGGAGAAAGGGTCGAGGAAGCGTGGAAAAGGAAAGAGTGTGGAGAAAACTAAAGAGAAGAAAAAGGAAGTGGCAGAAAAGAAGGAGCCAGAGCAAAGGACTCCTGCTACTGATCGCCCTGTACGTGAGCGGAAATCAGTTGAAAGGCTGGTGGCATCTATTGAAAAAGATGCTGTCAGGGAATTCCAAATAGAAAAGGTCTTCTTTTTATTTGTTTTGTGGTCTAAAGATATCAGTTTCAGTTATCTATTGCTACGGATTATTTTGTTTATAGTCTTACCTTTAACATTGTAGGGGCGCGGTACACCATTGAAAGACATACCTAATGGTATGGCTTCTGCCCTATTGTTCTGTTATTTTTACACTACTGTTCATAAACCTCACTGTGGTTTTCTCTGTCAAAGTTAATCTTGTACAAGTTCTAATTTGTTTTGACATGATATGAAATCCAGTAATCCACTTGCATATTCTTTTCACTTTTAAAAATTCGTCTCAGTAGTTACCTGTTAGCCTTCTGTTCATTTTTACTGATCAAGTCATTCAATAGGGCTATGAAGGGGTCGGAGCTGTTAGGAATATATTTTCTTGTTTTGTATGCTGTGTGGGGTCTGGTGTTAATGAAGCTGGAATATGAACTATATGATATTCTAAATATTACTAGTGCCCCTTATTATGCCGTTCAAGCATAGAAGTTGTGTTGGAGTTAAGTGGCAGCCCTTTAAAATTTTTTTGAAGGCGTGACAGGGAGGGCTCTAAGGCCCAAGCCCTACTTTGGAATATGATGATGTTAGGCGTACATGGGATCTTGGGTAATTGGTTTTTATTGAGTTCAGTCAATATGGGGTATTGTTGTATGGTCTTTACTGCAGTAGCCAAGATTCCATTATGTATATAGTTTGTCTATTGGGTAAATATATAGTCCTATAATAACTAATGTTACTAAGTGTGGTGATTCATGTAGTGGGTAAATACGTGGTCCTTTAATAATTAATTTTGGTTCAATGCATCCATGGCCTCAACGTGTAGGTAGAAGTCACAAATCAGATTTAGTAGCCAGCCTAGTAGAGCTCTATATAAGGCTTGTGAACCCTTTTTGCTTTCAAAGAAATGAATGAATTTAGAGATTTTCCAGCAAGCACACGTTTCTCTTTAGGATTGTCTGATGCAACCTAACCCTAGGTGTGATGCCTTGGGCCTCTAAGAGTGATTCCTAGAATCTTACTGGTCTGATGCTAGTAGTTTCTATCCTTGCTTTGCTTACTTAAGGTTCCAGCGTTTTCTTATCTACCAACAATTTACAGCAACCAAAAGCCTAAAATAGCATTTATGGTGTGATGCTAGTAGTTTCTATCCTTGCCTTGCTCTCTTAAAATTACAGCTTTTCCTTATCTACCAACAATTTACAGCAACCAAAAGCCCAAAAGAGCATTTCCACGTTTTTTTCTTTTCTTTCTTGCTGTACCAAGTTGTTCAAATCATGTCAAAATATGAAAAGTTAGAGTGAGGCTGGAGTAAGTAGATTGTGACTACTACACCTGCGTTTAATTCTTTCATTTATAATAATGGAAATTTCATGTGCAGGTATTGGCAATTATACTTTTCTGTCTTGTTATAGATTCAGTTTTCTATGTTAATATCTAAGTGCCTTTTCCTGTTTATCCAGTTTTGCTTGGAAGAAATCCATATAGAACCCTTTCAAGTGATGTTTAGCATGAAAATGATTATTTGATAGAACCATGTCTCTTCCTTAGCCTTTTGGTTTCTCTACACCAATGCGTGAGACTAAATTGTTGTTGCTTTGATTCACAAGATCATAGTCTTACAATTTAAGAGTTGTTGAAGGTTCTTTACATTCAAATATATGGCAATGCAAACTTATGATGTTTGCCTTGTTCAAATTGTTCAGTGGCTTTCAAGTTGTCAAGAAGGAAAATGGATGATAGCTTAAAACTACTTCATACAATTCTTTTTGGAAGGAGAGGGAAGGTAATTCATTACTGTCAACTTCTTATTTGTTCTGTTGGATTACTTTTTCCACCACCCTACTGGGTAACGAGAATGTGTTGAGGATTCATATACAAAGTATATACTACAAAATTAAACTACACGTATAAAAGCTCTTGGAAGATTCTAAGCTAGTATTTCCTCATATGTGACTTTCATTTAATTTTGCAGGCACTTGAGGTCAAGAGTAATATATCCAGATTTTCTGGTTTTGTCTGGCGTGGAAATGAGGTAAAAGGATGCATAATGAAGAAACAAAATTAGATTTTCTTCTTGCATTTAAAATATCTTTGTATGGCATGTTTTAGTGCTTTTAGGAATAGTTTGTTATCACTCTATGTTGTCATTGTTGCAGGACAAGCAAAAGACTAAAGTAAAAGAGAAATTTGACAAGTGTAATAAAGAGAAGTTGTTGGAATTCTGTGATCTGCTCAACTTACCAATTTCCAAAGCTACTACTAGGAAGGTTTGTTAACATTCTGCTGCTGCTTCTGCCACCTGTTTCATTGGAATTTTGTCCCCGTCTTTCCATTTAATATGGTGAACCTTTTACTAAATTCACTACCTGACTGAAGTAGTGACTTTCTCACTGGTTGGAATGTTTCTTGATAGTTAATTAATTGACATTATGCACATTGTTCAATTTATACATAACTGCCTGCTCTGTGTTTCTATTCATATTTGCACAAGAAGTGATAATCTAACCGTGAGTGGACCTACAGATGCAAACAGTTGATCTGTTTTGCTTTATCTAATAAAAAAGAAAAGAAAAAAAGAGGTGATGCATCCTGGGATTATCTGGAACACTGGTTTTGGTTTTCATTTGAGAGCAGAGGAGGCATATATCAGAAATGAATTTTTAGCTCAATTTTAAAAACTAATTTTGGTATTGTCAAACTTGGAAGTGCAATTGCTTAAATGAGCTAAAATACAAATGCAGGAGGATATAGTTGCAAAGCTGATAGACTTTTTGGTGTCCCCTCATGCCACAACCACTTCGCTCCTTGCAGAAAAAGAGGTTTATTTACTTAGCTGCAAATATTTCCCCTTCGAGAGAATTGTTTTCTTGCACAGTAGGTTCACAATTTTTCATTTCCTGCTGAAATATCAGTCAAGTAAGGGCAAAAGCGCAAGAGGACAACTAAAGGAAGTTCATCAACATCTGGGGGCACAAATTCAAAGCGCTCAGCAAAGGTATTATTTTCTCATCCTGTAATCTCATAAGCAAAGTTGTGATTTGAGCATTAGTATTATTATCGTAACCTAATTGGTGCTTCATTTTTTGTGCTGTCTTACTGTAACTATAAAAGATTCTACCTAAAGTCAGCAAAAGTAGGCCTTTTTTCTTCCGGTTCGTATATATCTTTTGCATTTGGACAAGACTTTTTCTTTTCATTTTGGCGAATCTTGTGTCTTCTGGTGAACATTATCTGTTCCTTTGCCAAACTTGGTAGAGTGTCTTAGGGGTCCATTATTCCATGGCCTCAGCTGTGGGTAGAATGTGGCATCATTCTTTCAATATATGTGCCATTTCTTTGTTTAGCATTGGTGGATCTTAAGATAAGGACATATATGCACTATTTCCGAAGGCTTTTGTAGTCATGGTGATTTTTAGTGTAATTTCACCTTCAGAGGAGAGATTTATAAAGTAGTGTAAGAGTTTAACTAAAGAAGAAACATGCATGTGTACCTGTATAAGATTTTTTCTCTTGAATCCGTTTAGAGGGCTTCATACCCTTGATTGCTGTTTTTCTTATTTATTTGTAAAAAATTAATTTCTCTTGTAATTTTCCAGAATCGTAGAAAGAGTGACGATGATTCAAAATTGGACGACAAGAGTGCAGCAGATACAGAAGATGAGTCAGAAGAAGACGAGAAAGAAGATGAAGAAAATGTTGAGGAGGAAAATGAAAATGGTGTTCACGAAAACTCTGAGGATGAGACACCTGAGCATTCAGAAAGTGAGGAGAAACTTGATTCTTCAGATGATAGTGAAGAAATGGAAAAGCAAAAGCCAAGGAGAAAATCATCATCCAGAAAGAAGGGTTCTGCTAAAGCTCAAACTAAAAAGCCACAGGTTCTGCTAAATCTACACCACCACCTACTAAATCACCAAAGAAGTCATCATCAAAACGCACTCCGGTGGATGATGACAGCGATACGAGTCCAAAGGCATCCTCAAGGAAGAAGAAAAATGAGAAAGTCTCAAAAGTGCCAACTCCAACAAAATCTGCCTCAAAGGAAAAGCCTGGTACAAATCAGAATCTCTCCTTCACTTAGTTTTATTATTGTTGTTATCATCAACATCTTATATATTTTTGGTATTAACTTTTAAAGTAATTGTATACCTTTGTTGTGTTTTCGTCTATTTATGTATTAACGGAAAATGGTTTATCTGGTCAATTTTTTTTTAAGGATTTGATAACTTTATTGTTGAATACGTATGATTTTTATAAGCAATTGACTCTTGTGAATTCTTTCGTTATAGAGCATGAATTAGAGCTTTCTTCTGCCGCTTCATTCTAGTCAATATTACCAAGTGTTTTTGTTATTTGAAGGGAAAAAGGTTGTTAAAGGGAAGGACAAGACCAAGGAGGAAAAATTGAGGCCAAGTGACGACAAATTGAGAGATGCAATATGTCAAATTCTCAAAGAGGTTGACTTTAATACGGTAAGCGTAGAGTGTCAATATTGTCTACCAAAGTTGTTGTGGCATATTCTTGAATAAGCTGGTGAACATGGTTGTAAGGCGTGCTTACATGGTAAATACTGAGAACATTATAAATGTCAGAAATTAAAATGGAAGGTATCTGAAACAATTAGATTTCATGTTTATTTTACCATGGCATGTGTTAAGTAATGGTTTTTCTCATCCCACTGATGAGTTGTATTTTCTTGCAGGCTACTTTCACCGACATTCTGAAGCAACTTGGTGTGCATTCTCGTTATTGTTTTATTTAAATTTAAGACTATTTTTCTTTTGAACTTCTATGATATCTAATCGTTACTAGTTTGGCCTTGGCTTCTAAATGGTTCTTTTCAAAGAAATTTTGTAATATTTGTCCATGCTTTATTGATCTAGTAATTTGGTTAGAAACCTGGTGGCAATGATATGATATTTTTCATTAAAGTTGTTTGATTAAACCAAAACTCATCTTCGGGTTTTCTTATTGGGTGCCTTACTACCTGATATTGTCCTTTTTCAGCTCGGCAATTTGATACAGATCTCAGCCCGAGAAAGTCATCCATAAAGCTCATAATCCAGGAAGAGCTTACGAAATTAGCTGATGAGGCAGATGAAGAAGACGAAGAAGGGGGCCCAGAGAAAGATGAAACCGAGTCTGCCGGGCAAGAGGTGGAAGCCTGACCAGTAAGAAGGGTTATGACTGCATGGACGTAGTATAGGCCCTTTGTTTATGCCTTTTGTTTTCATAACTTATCTTAATCCTGCATGTACTATTTAGTCTGCCACAGTAAGCTGGCTGTAATTTGTTGTTGGTGCTCTGTTTGCTGGAAAGTAGACTAGTAAATTAAAACCAGTGGATGTGGAATTACCCCCGGTTTCTGCTGCCATGCAGGAAGGCAGTTTGTTATGTACACATTAACATAATTTGTAGCAATTTTACTATCTAATATAACCAGCCTTTTTCTGGATGACCATGAGTTGCCCCTTAATTCACTGCTTTCTTTAACATCCTGGTTGTCTGATATATATATATTTTTTTCTGAGCATCATTTGTGATCTGTGTACTCTATTTCCAACCGTGCCAGGTTTCTTTGCAGTAACTAAACAAATATAGAAGGAGATGAATGAGAACTTGTCACAATTGGTAAGTTTTCTCAGGTATTCTTCGGCGATAACTTTTGATGGCAAAAAGTTTTGGTTGTGGTTTTGTCAGCCACATGGCGTTACTAATTCATATGCCAAAAAATTTCTCATTAGTAGTTGTAGAAAATATGTAATATATAGTAGAAGAAAGCATCTTAAGCCTTATGATTTTGGGTTTGCATCAACTCGTACATTTGACGGATTCTTTTTGTTCTTCGCACAAAAGTTTGTCTGTTTTTTTTCTTTGTTGCATTTCTTTTTCCTTTCTTGGGCTAACTGGGTTCACCATCTGATGGCCCCTCTCCTGCTCCCTTTTTCCCCTATTTGGGACAGAAAGCTGACCCTTCTATTCTATTCACCACTTTAGGTGGCATCTTGAGGCCATATGAACATGCATGTGAATAATTCAGAACTAGGCTGCAACTAAATCGGGAACCGTTGCTTTACCCCATTATTTGCCTATTCTTTTTAATCACAATCAGTGTCCCAATGATTCTTGAATTGGCTAATTTTTTGTAAGGATGATTTCGTTATCAAATCATAAGTTCAAATAGTGTATTTTTTATTTTGCAATTTTCCCAGACTTTCCATTCCCCATCCTATATAGGTTGGATATTCCCCCAATTTTTTGTATTTGGCTTCTATTTTGACGATGAAAATTTTGGCACTGATTTTATTGGTTGCTAAAGAGAAAATGTGTTGCTGAGAAAAAAGTTAAAAAAAAAAGATAAAGAAGAACAAATGTACTGTAAATTTGTAGTAGTGATATATCGTCCAGCAGAAGACAAATTGCTCCACTTGTGAAGTGGAGCACTTCAACGTCCCATCATCAGAAAATAAACAAAGCATATAAGATAAGTAGTGGATGGCACATGATTTACTTACTAGTCGGGTTTAGACCACCGACTAATAATATTTTAAAGGCAATTTCAACATTAATTATTGTGTTAAGGATGTATTTGTTTGGATAATTATCTACACTTGGTACTGCAGTAGCCCTTTGGTCACCGGAATTTGAATTCTCATCTCTCTAATTTATATTTTAAATAGAATATTGCTTGTATAAAAAAAATGGTCTGAACTTTTAATTTCACTGTCTAATAAAAAAAAAAAAAAAAAAAAAAAAATCGTAGTCAACGGGGTCTAGCCCCTAGTGAAAAGGATTTTAATTTGCAAACTACTGATCTCAGATTCGAACCTCAATGACATATTAACGATGTGTATGAAAACCATCTTCCCAATATCACTTGCATCACAAAAATAAAAAGACTGTTACTATATGATTGTTAATCGTAATAGCTCTTGGATTTAACTTGTCGACTAACGAGCACCGGATGAGACACATCAATTTATTATTTAAAAAAAGATTACCGATCAATGTGTCACTTAAAAGAGTCATACATCATGCGCATGCCTCAATTTCTAAGGATGTTTCAGTTATTCACTAAGTAGGTTTAACTAAGATTATTTTCAACCTCAGTGTCAAATAAGTAAAAACAAAATTTGACAAAAATATTGAGATCAAAACAATGGCAGCCCAAACACAAAGCATATTCTATAATGAAGGGTCGGCGGTTGTAATGAAGATTTTTAATGTGAAGGTTTTGGTATTATCTTTAGTTGCCTCCACAGTCAGTGTGGTGACCAACACCCCCACCAGAATTGAGGTTGATGCTTTGCCCAGTAAAACACAAATCAAACAGTATTTTATTGACAAAATTTATTTAATTTTAAACATTTGATTATTTTGTCCCTCTAAAAACTCTTTGGGACCATAAACTAATGTTTATTCTAAATTTTCATCAGTGTCATGATTGAAAGAGACAATTTCTGAATGAGCTTCTTAGACTTGGAGGTGTCAAATGGGGATATGCTCGTGAAGCTGGAAGTCATTGAAGCCATAACATAAAATAATAAATCATGTTATGAACTTTATGACAAAAACAAAAGCAATAAGTCATGTTTAAAAAAATAAGTGTTTGTTGAAAATTCTCTTGTTACATATTAACAATTTAAATTATGAATTATTTATAGTGTTTTTGTTCGGCAGAAACTCAATGTGTCGTATGTTAAAGGAAGAAACGAAGGTAATATGAATGATTTTTTATTTTTCGAATTAAAGAGGATAAGTTATAAGGTGTTATTATATCATTTTGTGGGATTTGGATGGGACAAGTTTTCTTTCATCATCTATCTTAAATTTAGTGAAATTCAATTCAGTTCAATTTTAGACATCAAACGAGTTTAATATATTTTTTGGGTAATGATTTCCCCACTCTAATTGTATCCACTTACACTCATTTTTTAGTTATAAAATAGAGTGTAAGTGGATAAAATTGGAGTGGAGAAATCACCACTCTATTTTTTTACTAAAAGAAAAAAGCTTATGGTGTTTGGAAATGAACTTTTCTACAAAATATCATCAAATTTCACTGTGATATGACTCATCCACACTCTAACAAACACTCATATTTTTTAGTATTCTTTGTCATATTCAAACTATTGCCGCAAGCATGACATTTTATGGAAATAAAAACTTTCCAAAAAAAGTGAATCTATTGGCTCCTCACTCCACTCTCCCCCACTTTGCCACTTTGCTAGAAAAGTGCAAATAACACGTGTATAGATATTGTTTGCTCCCCTCTGTAGATTTTGTTTTTATTTATTAAAAACAATAAAAAGGGAAATGAGAAATACATTTAAAGTAAAATTGTAACAATGGTCCCTCAAATAAGACACCACTTTACTTTTTGTCCCTCAACTCATAAATTTGTTATAGTTATCATTCATTTAGATATCGCATTGCAGCACTCGTCCTTCCGTCAACTCCGTTCAAATTAAGGGCAAATTGGGAAATTCATATCAAAATATAAGGGCAAATAAGACTTTTACCTAGTCACCACCTCATTCTACCCAAACCCAACAACAACAACTCTCTCTCTCTCTCTCTCTCTCTCTCTCTCTCCCCAATGATCTTTTTGGGCTTTGTTCAGATTGTTCAATTGATTGAGATGACGAGGGGGTTGATGAACAGAGGGAGGAAGAAAATTAGAGAAGGAGAGAGTGGGTCGAGGTCGGAGTGGGTCTGTGGGTGAGGGTGGGTTGGTGGCGAATCTATGCGGTTTGGTCTATGAAGGGTGGCTGGAGGAGAGAGAGGTGGTTGTTGGGGCTAGGCTATGCTTATTAAGAACCCATCACATGAAAAGACATATATAGCCCTACTTTTCACGGAAAAGTTGACGGAGTTGACGGAAAGGATGAGTTCTGAAAGTCTAGACATAGTTAAAGCACCATCATAACAATTTTTGGAGATAAGGGACTAAAAGTAAAGTCAGGTCTTGAGAGACATTGGTACTTTTTTTTTTTTTTTTTTTTTTTTTTTTTTTTTTTTTTTTTTTTTCGTTAAACGTTATTCATATTAGGCAACACCTTACTCACATTAAGGGTAAACAACTTGGGCAAAAAGGCAAGGTGTTGCCCAAAAGTAACTTCATATTTTATGACTTAATTGTTGTAAAGTTTCTTGTTTAACTAACCTAAAAGTATTAAACACAGAATTTAACATTTATCTTTTTGGAGACCTCAAATCTATAAAATCAGAAGTGGTGATCGGTAAATGCATTAATAGTGGTGGTGGTGGTAACAGTGCCATCATTTGTCATGTTGATGGGTTGGTTGCTAGTGGTAGGACGACAAGGTTGGGGTGGGGGTGGTGATGGTGACAAAGGTGGAAGAGCTTGTGGTTGCAGTGGCAATGGTGATAGGGTGGTGGTAGCGACGAAGGTGATATGGGTGGTGGTTGCGGTGCAAATGGTGGTGAGGGTGGTGTTAGCAATAATGACAGTGCAAGAAGGTTGTGGTAGTAGAGGTCGTGGGGGGGTGTACTGATGGTGATGGCTATGGAAAATGTTCGTGACAATGATAGTGCACGTTCATGGCAGTGACATCCATGGCAATATGGTGGTAGTAGAGGTTGCGTTAACGACATCATACATGGTAGTTTTCTTTTCTTAAAACTCACACTAGCTTGAAATTTAAAAAGATACCTAGTTTGTTAAATTTAACATTGGACTTTTATGACTCCAATTCTTGTAACATCTCACATCGACTAAAGGAGAGGGGGTGATATGTCTTATATGTACATGCCCATCTCCATCTAACACAAGGCCTTTTGGGAGCTCACTGGCTTCGGAGTCATGAGAACTCCGAAGTTAAGCGAATTGGTGTATGTCAATTAAAAATTCTAACTATTCAAATTGCAAGTGTCATCATCCATTTGTATGAGGAAATTTAAAAGTTCTAAGAGCATTTCCAAAAGAGATTTAAAAGTTCTAAGAGCATATACTAGAGTTTTACATTCCACCACACATGTCAAATTAAAATATTATTTTATTACATTAGTATTGATTTGTTTATTAACATTTCGGTTGGAGTGAGTCTGCTATATTTTTTTCTACATGCTAAAAATGTCACGTTGGATTTTACATCTCACTTAGAGATGTTCTAAGGAGTTCAAATGGATAGAAATTAATGTCAAAAAATGTGTATAGTCTCTTATTTAGCTACTCTAAAAGTATAATAGATTTAAACAAAGAATTTAACATTTATATTTGTTTGGTGGTATGAGTGATGACAGTGGAATGGTGGTGGGGGTGGTGATGGTGGTGGAATGGTGGTGAGGGTGGGTAGTGGATGGTGGTAGAGATATCGACGGCCAAGATTGTGATCGGGGTGGTATATGGCATGATTCACAATCCTCTATGGCTGCACAATTTAACAAACCTCATAAAATATGAATAAATATGTATATAATACAAGATACTGACTAAAGCGTTGTTGGAAAAAAAAACATAATTATCGGTGAGAAAATGAAGAGGTAAGTTTGCGCCCCACAAAAAGTTGAATATCTTTTGAAAAAGGAAATCCAGGTCAGACCAACCACGTGCCGGATACCAAACCCGCGGTCCAGATCATCCACCTCAACCCATCCAACGGCTGTATTTCCGTCGGTGCGAACTCAACTCTTATCGGCAAATAACGGTCCACATTCATCCACGTGACCATAAGATAGGCGTTATTAACGCCATGATCCAACGGACCCAACTCATTCGCTCCCAAACCAACCCCCCCCCCTCTCTCTCTCTCTCATCCTAATTCCTCATAATTCAGCCAAAATTCAAACCCTTCCATTTTAAATTTTCATAATTTTCGGAATCTCATACTCTTCTTCTTCTTCTTCTTCCTCTGTCTCTCTTCTCACTGAATTTCAATTTCCATTTTTTTCCCTTAATTTCCAGGAATTCAAATTCTCAACAAAACAAAAAAAAATCCAAAATCCAAGTACTCACTCATTTCTTGCAAACTTGGAAGCTTCATTTTGCAATTCCTGGAAATTTCAGCTCGATTTGCAACTTCAAATTCTGGATTTTTTGATCGACGGCTTCAGCATGTGAAGTCAATTTCTGGATTTTTCTACCATAATTAGTAAAGGAAGTATTTTTTTTTAAAATTTTAAAATTTGAATAAAAAAGAGAAGAAAAGAAGAGCTTCTTCAATGGCGGACTCGGACAACGACTCGGGCGGAGCGCACACAAAATCAAACAGCGAGCTCTCACCTCGGGAACAGGACCGGCTGCTGCCGATAGCGAACGTGAGCCGGATCATGAAGAAGGCGCTGCCGGCGAACGCGAAGATCTCCAAGGACGCGAAGGAGACGGTGCAGGAGTGCGTGTCGGAGTTCATAAGCTTCATCACCGGCGAGGCCTCGGACAAGTGCCAGAGGGAGAAGCGGAAGACGATCAACGGCGATGATTTGCTCTGGGCGATGACGACGTTAGGGTTCGAGGAGTACGTGGAGCCTCTCAAGGTTTATCTGCAGAGGTTCAGGGAGATGGAGGGGGAGAAGAGCAGCGTGGCGGCGCGTGACAAGGACGCGAGTGGAGGTGGCGGGAATGGTGGGGTTGGGTACGAGAGTGGTGGTGGGAGTGGAGGAGCAGGGGTATATTGGCAGCAGCAACAACAGCAGCAACAGCAGCAGCAGCAGCATCAGCATCAGGGACACGTGTACGGTGGGAGCGGGTTTCATCAGATGGGTGTGAGTGGAGTTGGGTTGGGGAAGGGTGGGCCCGGATCTAACATGGGCAGACCCAGATAATTATAGTGGACTCTCTGCTCTCTGTGGCTAGTTGCTTTGGGTGTCCTTTTATAAATTATAATTTGATTGCTAATTAAAGTCTTTCTTAATTGAGGACAGTGTCTGTGTAGAACTCCTAGTTGTTACTTATTAGTGCTTTTGCTGAAGTGTTTTATTTTTATTTGTTACTAAAATAGTTTGTAATTTGGGATTATATAGAGAGAATAGAATTTGAGTAGATTGTGGTATAAATATTGTGATTTGAGTCAATCATATGAGTAGAGGAATTTTCTTTGGTTATACCCACTTTCCCTTGTTACTTTTTTTTAAAATCAATCTGGAGCGACGGATTCAAATCGAGATATCCTCCGGCACTGCACTGAAAAGAGAAATACCACTAGAGCTCGTTAGTATGGCATTTTGCTCTCTTATTGGCAAAAATGATGACTTTGTTGACCATAAAATCAATGAGAAGTCTAGCAAGCCATCATAGCCCCACTAATTGTATTGGATTTGACACTAGGTTCAAGCTTATTCTGCCCTCTTTCTCTGGATAAGGGTGAGAGGGTGGAATTGGATGGCTAAACGGTCAACTATCATTTCAACTTCGACTAAAGTAGGAGGCCTGTTTTAGACACATACAAACAAACAAAAAAACCAGTATGAGCTTGTAGAACTAGCCAACCAAACCAACGAATCTAGATTGCCAATAGTGGAAAAATACCTTAATTTGCATATTATTGGTCTCAAATTCAGATTTTCATGGCACATTGGCAGTGAGTGTAAGAATTTCCCCTCCCTCTTCCTAACTTTGGCCAAAAAAATAAAAAATAAAAAAGTTATAAAATATTCTCCCCACATAACTTCATCAAGAAGGTACTTATGTGCATCGCCGAATTATACTCAAACACTAACTTGAAATCTTAGAATTTGAGGCGTGTTCATGTTATAAAAATTATAGTTTTCCTTTTTCCGTAAAGCCAAATACAAAAACTTTATATTATAAGTAACATATAAATAAATTGGAAAGCTTTTAAGGTACAATGAAATTGAAGAAAAACAAATTGATAGGTAAGTAAAAGCAAAATAAATTATAAGAAGGTGAGCTTGGTACGGTGAAGCACGTCAAAGACGCTGTCCTAGAGCCTTTGTAACCTCCCTACGTGCAGGTACTGGCGGTCTATAAGACTCCAAGATACGACTCTTTGTACACAAACTCAAGATCCGCTATGAGCACGTTCATGAACGGATATAGTTATCCAAGTCACAGAACCATTGCCCAAAATAATAATATAAGTAGAGAAAGTATAAAAAGTAGAAGATGAGAGAATCAGATTGTGGTATGTGAAGTGTATTGTGGTTTTTTTTTCAAATGTGAAGGAAGAGTGGCCTTTTATAGGCATTCAATAACATGCAACATTCACCACATTAAACTAGAAAATTAAGGCATTCAATATAAAAATAAAACATGAAAATTAAATATTTATAACCCCCACAATAAATAAAATAAAACAGCTAAAATAATTAAATAAATCAAAACGGTTAAATTTTTAAACCTTTTTAAAATTCCAATAGTCCATTCATATTTGGCTCTCGGGAGGATCACTGTCTTTTGGTGATTGCACCTTTCGCATAAGGACCTATGATAGATAGTTGTTCCCATATATGTCCAAAGTAACAAATTCCAGCTTTGCTAAGTTTGCCATCTTCAAAAGAAAATGAGATGTATCATGATTTGCAATAATATGTTTGCACAGATTCGAGATCTGGTACATTAGGCCATTTCTTTTTTTCTTTTTTTTGTTGTTGAGAAATTCTATGATTGCATTCATAATTCAGTCAAAAAAGCCACTAGCCACAAAGGGCCAATACAAACTAGTCACAAAAGGGTCATTACATTAACGGAGTGGTCTAATATCAAAATTAAGGCAATTTGGTGAGTCTCCACTAACGATCAGGCAGGATCGAAGAAACTCTGGCATAGGCATTCCAACTAAGATTGCAAATTTAGAATAATAAAAAAGAGATAAAGCTTGAAAAAACCAAGCCATAACAATACAAATAAAACTCTCACAAAGGAGATATGAAAAGCTCTCACAAAGGAGAGATGAAAAACTCTCACAAAAGGAGAGGTGAAAACTACACAGAGAACCAAAGAGTCTCTGCAACTTATTCTAAACATAAAGAAATTGCAAAAAAGATGGTGGTGGAGATTCGACGCCGAAATGTAGGTGAAGATCCGACGCTGAGCCGCAGCCGCCTATAATGGTTGGATGAAAATCATAACAAAACTAAGACAAATAGGGAAAACCCTTTGTCTATGAAAATGGGGAAAGAGGTGAAAGGAGGAAGAGAAGAGGGGATAATTTCTTTCACAATAATAAAGTAAAGTAAAGTAACAAAATTAAATGACATATGGATAAAATATTATATATCGAATTTACCACATCACATTGGTATTTACATATGCTTAATTGCATCGTCCAAGTTGTGTAATTGTGACTTTTATATATCCAGTATATAATAAACTATTAAAATAAATAAACAGAAAGGTTAGTAGCATAAAAGAAATCATATGTTTTAGTAAGGGTCAGTGGTTAGTAATAATTATTACTAAGGGTCAACCTTTAATAATGGTTATTACTAAAGGAATTCCACTAGTAAGAATTATTGACAAATAAATATATATTACTATTAGGATGGGCTTTAAAATCACACCACCATTTTTATTACAATAATATATGTTACAATATGATGGACAATGGAACTACACCACCATAAAATAGTAGGATGAGGGATAATACGGCACCATTCTAAATTATAGTACGAAAAAATAAATTAAACAAACATGAATGAAACAACATAAAAATTACGAGGATACAAAAAAGAAAGTATGTATGTCGTCATAATAGTAAAGTGAGAGCAGAGATATGACGGAAAGAAGATAGAGAAATAACCATATAGTGTTTAACTGTGAAAATTTAGAGATAAAAAAGAGAGACTATCGTGTTGATAACGTGTTATAAAATAGACAAAGTGTGAGAATACCTCTAAATATTGGGGTGAGATTATATTTCGCTTTTATAGTATTACACTGATAGAACTTTCTCTCTGGTATCTTACTAAAAAAACTTTCTAACTTTTTGATTTCCCTCTCACTTTTCTCTTCTGATTGGTATGTTTTCTTTTCTTACTGAGACCCTGCTTTAATAAATGGAGATGTTACAACCACATTTGCTGCACCTATTCCTTAGGCTATACACAAAGTCTTCACATTCATTTACTTTTTTCTTTTCATTGCTTACTTGTGGGCTCCACATTGAATTTGAAATGTCGTCAGTGAGTGAGCAGAAACAAAGAAGTGAGTTCATAACCTTTGCTTTGTTATACATGACGGGGATTGAAACAAGCGCGCATCAAGCATTCATCAGATCCTCTGTTTGCATTTGTCTGTTACTACCTGTTACTATCTGCTGGACTTTTGTTATTTTACTCTTCCACTTTTTTTAATCCAATGACTTTGAATTTTTTTTCCTTTTAAATTTTTAATTCAATGACTAAAATGTGCAATATACCGGTGCATTGGATGTACCACCACTCCATCTTTGACCAAGTCCTACTCATTACTTTTGAGTGAGATTGATACTTCGTGCGTAGGGGTAAAATTCGAATCTTGGAGTTACAGTTTTACTACGCAAAAATCGAACCATTGCCGAAGTTATAGCGACAACCATATTTTTATTTCGACCAAAAAACAACAGGACAACAATGTTTTTATTTTTCCATTTCAAGGGAGGAGAAAGGTAAGAGTCGAACTATTGCCGGAGATACGAGAGAAGAGTGTTGGTGTAACCATGAGACCCCACCCATAGCCTACCGGTTTAAGTAGGAATGATGATCATATGGTTATGTTACAACTTACAGCTTACAAGTGAAGGTGGTAGAATTCCCAGATATTACAATTACAATTACCATGTCTGTAAGCATGCCAAATGATGTTTGCAAGAAAATCCCACCATAAGCAGAAGAAGAGCATTCAGAATAATAATTTAGCGGAGACAACAACTAAGCTCTTGGGGACTTGTGAGAGAGAGAGAAATAAGATGAACTCTGAAGAGAAGGGAGAGGGCATTATGAAAATGAATCCATTCAACAAAGAATTCACTATGTACAAGATATCATACACCAGCTCTTCCCTATGTACATGATAAGCTACTATACAATTTCTGGGTCTAAATAAATGCTTTAAAAGAATGGTTAATTTTCTACATCCTCACAAAAATTTGGCACAATCAGCATGGTGGGAAAGATGATACAACTACCCAAAACAAAACAAAAGAAGAAATGGGGGAAAGATGATACAACTAGCCAATCAGAACAAGGCACATGAGCAACATCCTCTGCTAAATCCTATTACAACAGTCAAATATCAGGTTCCAGAACAATCTACCACATTCCAGACTTCAGCAATTTCAAGCCATAACATTATCCACAAATCTATTTTGATCAAGTGCTATAATTAACTCAAACATAAAGGCAAAAGAAAGCTAAAACCAAAAGCAAGAGTTCGGCTTCTAAATCCAGCTAGATAAAGGGAAACGCCATGCATTGTCTCTTCAATGTAGAAGTTGGAGGTCCTATTTATCTCCAAAGCAACTCTGGGTTGTACTTCACAGCTTCAATTCTCACGATAGAGTGTCCTTCAAACTATTAGACAGTGAAAAGGTGACAGATATACAATAAGCATAAGCATCAGGAAACAATAAAATACTCTACTACATCACTACACAGCAGTATATTTAAGTTATAAAGGGTTAAATGATAAAAAGGACAATGCAGTATAGGGTAATACACACAGACACGAAAGTCAGTAAAAAGCAACCACGTCCTCAAAATCCAAGGATGGATCCCACACAGTTGGATCATAGTAGCAAGAAGAACTACTAGGTTCTATTCTATGTATTGGTCGACCATAGATATGAAGGACAGGTTTTCAACATAATTTACAACAAGTAGGGACATCGATAGAAGGTAATTATGGTTTGAGCTTTGCAAAGACTAGTCTGTTAATCCAAATCAAGTTGCTTCTACTGTATTTGTCCTGAGAAGACATTTGAACCGGTAAACCATTTCAAAGCAACAAAATGCACTGACAATATAAATGGCAGGTTTCCAAATCTCCAAGACTGGGTAAGATGACTGCTGGAGCCGTCTAGAATACCTTAAGGGAACATTGCACTTTCTGAAGGAAAAGCAATCTAGAATAGCATAGCAACCCTCGGCAAGGCCAACCAAGTTTTCTCTTGTTACTAAAAGCTATTTTAAAACAATAGAACACCGTCCACATAAGTTTCCAGGTCATTGTTTCATTTTCAATTTAGATCACTGAAGTATCCAAATAAGTTTAGCAGCCTTCAATTTTGGAAAGTCATTGAGGGGAGGAGGGTAGTTAATCAATGAAGAACATAGCCATCCTCTGATTCTAAGACACATACGTACCATACTTCAGTGCTCAAAGTTGAAACAACAATTTACCAAACCAAGACTTTCTTTTAATTTTTATTCTTTCTTTTTATGAGTCAAAGTCATCAGTGATTACCCATCTCTTCAACTCATACTATAATATATATATATATATATATTTTAGGAGAAACGATATATTAAAAAGGTGGATAAGGCATCCACAGGAACAACGAAGAACAAAAAAAAAAAAAAAAAAAAAAAAAAAAAAAAAAAAAAAAACGAACACAAGAAAAACAAGAAAAAGAAAAAAGAAACAATAAAAAAGGAGGACCAAATCCTAATTTCACCGCTGCCACCAAATCCAACAAAATGACGGTAGGAGAATAATCCAAAAAATCAGATACTATAATATATTTTGAATACGGCAGGATCATGAACATGAAAACTAGATATACTGAAAAATAACGGAAAATTGCAATTCAAAATCATAACTTATATAGTGTTAAAGTTATAAAGTTTATTTTTTTATTTTTTTATATAAAAACTAGATTAGATATAAACCATGGGCACCTATATATTTAGGGTACTGTTCTCTAGCAAGACAAAGCCTTTAATCAAGTGGAACCATGTTTGAATGCATAGTCCTGAGTGATAGTCTTAACACAGGAGATACCAAATGTATACATATACAAATTCACATATTTTCAATTGTGGTCATTGTCACTTATCACATTGACTTCACAGTGTGTAGATGACATCGTGGAAAACTGCACATCACTTATCACATTGACTTCACGGTGAGGTCAACACAATAAGGAATTGAGGGGTAGTCAAGCATCCGTTCCATACAAACAAATGTACTGTGTATATGTACACACACTAGTGGTAAGGGTAGTAGGTGTAAAGAGGAAAAGGATTCAAAAAAGCACAAAAATTCATGTTACAATATGTCATGAATGCTTGAAAACTTGGTGTAGAGCTGTATCATTTAGACTCTAATCATACACGTATTGTAATACGTCAAGTTCAGCCCAAATGACAAACATAGCATACAAATTGAAATCAACAGTCAAAATCCCTAGTAACCAAAACTATCATACCACAGATATACAAAAAAGGCAAAGTAAAAAAACTGATCAACAACAGTAAGAGGTATGGAGAGGTCAGAACAAGGGCATGAAAACCTCCCAAAACAAATAAACTTAGAACCAAAAACTGTACAAACAATGCACAAGAACATAACCGGTATACAAGAGTGGTGATGTTTGATAAAAGCATAAAACAAGTATGGCATATCCCAGACAGGCAAACGAACATTTATCAAACTTAAAACCACAGATGAAATTAAACTGAATTTTAAAAGGCTTACCTTTTTCCACATGAGAATTGAACTCTGCTCCTGCAAGACAGAAGCAATAAAAAAATCTAGACAATGACATGAGAGCAGCCATTGGATGAATCAAGGACCCAAAAACAACACTTGAAAGAGAGTCCACATAAGCATGGCGAACCAAAAGCCACCAAAAGTTTCTTTTACTCTATTCCATTTCTTTCTCAATGGAAAGTCATCAAAAGCAAGAAGCTGCAGAGCAGTTACTCGGAAGTAAGCCGCCGTCTCTTCCCATAATCAGCATCCCTTGATCTTGACCGACGGTTATCCTCTTGAGATACACGTGCCTTACTGTGAGTCCTCGATGACCTTCCCCGTTCCCATTCATCCTCATGTTCCGGTTCACGGTCTCTGTACTTATGATGATCAGTATATTTGTCTCGGTCTTCCCTGTACCTATCACGGTCCCGTTCTCGTTCCCGATCTCTATCACGATCACGATCTCGAGAACGTTCTCGGCCCCTATCACGCTCTCTGTCCCGTTCTCGACTAACATCACCATCATCACGATATCTTCGTTCTGACCAGTCATGGTCATGAGCCACATCTTTCTCTCTAGGCGCATCCCTGTCATATCCCTGATCCCTATCATCCCGATACCTTCTATCAGAAGATCCAGACCAGTCCCTCTCCGAACCTCTATCTTTCTCCTTTGTGGCATTTGGCCACCCGCCTCCTCTATCATGACTAACCTCACCATATTGATGGTCAGAAGCAGCTTCTTCACCATAACTAGACTCCCCAGCTCTCCCACCACCATGCTCTTCACCAGCCCATCCACCCATATTAGGATCAGACCACATTCCCATATTAGGCCCATCAACACCTGATGTTGGCATCATTCCCATTCCATTCATAGGCATCCCTCTGCCAAAAAATGCAGGATTCACATGAGGGGCTACTCCAGGCAGCCCAACACCCCCAACAGGTGGGAATGAAGACAAAATTCCAGAGAAAGGAGGCGTGGGAGCACCAGGAAAGCCTCCATAACTCCCCATTCTCCCCATTGGTGCACCAAAAGCTGGATCAAAACCCTGACCCATCATTTGCTGAGGGTGCAACAAAGGAGGGGTTGCACCAATACCTTGCCCAAACCCATTTCCACCATTCCCCATTATACCTCTGCCACCCATCCCACCACCTCTATTCCTCATTTGACCAACTGGTCCTCTATTTCCCATACCCTGAGCATTACCCCTCCCCCAATTACCTCTCCCGTAACCTCTATTGTTATCCCCACCTTGATAATTTCCCCCTGTCGCAATGTTACTCCCACCAGTTTTATTCCCAGCATCATTAGGCCCCCTCCTCCCACCAGTTTGAGGTACTGCAGTTTGGGATACCTGCTGGTTCCTATTTACTTGAGCCTCCCCCATTCTCTTAACACTATATGGTGATGCAAAAGCAACAACACATGGCCGCCCATTAAACACATGCCCATGCATCCCATCCTTGCAGGCTGTAGCAGCAACAGGATCAAAAAACTCAACCTGGCAGTATCCTTTTGACTTCCCACTTGCTTTCTCATCAAAAAACTTCACTTCCTTCACCGGTCCATACTTACATAACTCTGCCTCCAGCTCTGCATCTGTAGTCCACCAATGCAAATCACCCACAAATAATATCGTCCCACCTCCACCACCCCCGCCACCACCAAATCCTCCTCCTGGACCACTATTCCCACCAATCCCATTAACATTCCCACCTCCAATACCACCAGCTTGCCTCAACATGCCCTCATTTCCCACATTCCCAACAGCAGCAGCAGCATGTAATTGTTGCTGTTGCTGTTGCTGTTGAGGCTGTGGTTGATGTTGTTGTTGCAATTGTGGCGGCGGCTGCTGAGCAACAATCCCTTGAACCCCAGCACCACTATTATTTCCACTTTGCTGCTCAAACTCATTCAATTTGCCTGATGCTTGCCCTAATTCAACTCTAATCCCACCTCCTCCCCCAATGGGCCCCAAACCAACACTCCCTTTCACACCCACCTCGTTCCCTCTAAACCCTAGATTCTGGTTATTATTATTGTTATTATACCCAGAACCCCTAACCCCTCCGTCACCCCCTCCAGTACCCTCACCGCTACCGCCCCCAACACCCGGTATGGGAACACCGCGAGGTTCCGGGGCCGCAACCTCCGGCGACTCAATCTTTTTCTCCTCCACCACTTCATTTCTAAACCCTAATTCCTCGTTCTTTCGCATAGACTGATAAAACCCCTCGCCGACATTGACATCGTTGTAAAGGTCCTCATAATCATCGTCCTCTTCGGCCAAAAAACCGTCGTCGGCCACGGCCGAGATCGCCTCGTTACGGTGGAACTGATCGGCTCCGTCACCTTCATCCATTCTTCTCCGTTTTCTTCTCGGTCTTTGAAGGCCTAGGGTTTTCTATCTATCGTTTCGAGTGAGCAGTGAAAGTGTGTTCAGAAATCGAAAGGAAGCATTTTTATGATGCCAATGAAAGGAAAGACTGAAAAGAAAATGAAAGAAAAGATTGGGGTTGGAGATCTTACCAGGCAAAAGAGTCAGTGTGTTGTTGAGAGTTCGAGAAAGAAAACCCTAATCTGGGATTTCTGGAAACTTATGAGAGAGAGACCAGACAGGTGAATTTTCTGGTAATCTATCTTAATTCCAAAGTCCATTCCATGTCTCGCTAACTTGCGCCGTTGTGCGTCATGCTTAAGGATCTTTGAAAAAATAAATTAAAAAAGGAAAGAAATAACTTGCGTAATGCTTACTGTGGCTTTGTAAGGCTTTGGTTACGGTCTCGGTTTCGATAGTCATGATTTAACCAAATTTCCATTTGAGTTAGTTAGCTTTGATTATTATTTCCATGCCAAATTTCTAGTCCTTTTTATTCTTTCCAAATCCCAAATTAGTGGGTTGAAACATACACCACTACAGTTTTTTTTATATTTCTATTTTAACTTAAATCTAGCTTAATGAAAACCTAATAATATTGCAGTGGTAGGTTACGATTATAATAATATATGAGTTTTGGTACTCACCTTATGCGCGGTTAAATTTTCTGAGTTTTCATATATGCAATTCCGTTTTCGTTTCCGTTGTACTAGAGGCTACCTTCTACGGTGGTTTCCAGGTCTTGTTCTTAATCAATTGTTGTTGTTTCTACTTTGGGTGTACCTTCTTTGATTATGGAGGAAGGATCGTCAGGGGTTTTCTTTAAAAATCACCGTTTAACGAAGCGAGTTTGAGTTGGAGATGATTGTACCCCTGAGTGTGGTATGGATGATCAACCCAATCCCTCTCTGATGGAGCATTCGATGTCTGAATATGAACAAGGTCTTGTGCCGAATTCAACTTTTAGAGTTGAAAGTTTTCGTGACAAATTGATGAACAAGGTCAATTTGGGAGAAAACGTGGGAATTGATATATGTTCTCTTGATGCTGATTATGATGATTTAAATGATGTTGAAGATGTTCAATTTCTCATGGAGAATGTGGGCCAAGTGTTCAATTCTCTGATCGGGCTATGGATAGTTTATGTAAGCCTTGGAGAAATGCTCTGATTGTTAAATTGTTAGGTAAATCTCATACCTATAATTATCTCCATGCTAGATTACAACAGAAATGGAGTTTGAAAGGGGTACGGAAGTTGGTAGATCTGGTTAATGATTACTATGTGGTGAAATTTGATCTTGAAGAGGATCTAAACTTTGTACTGACTAGTTGTCCTTGGATTATCTTGGGACAATATTTGGTAATACAGAAATGGGGACCGGGTTTTTGCCTAGCCACTGCTCATATTACTTGTATGGTAGCGTGGCTCAGGGTCTTGGCTATTCAACTCGAGTGCTTTGACGTTGATCTTTGAAGCGGATTGGTAACTTGTTGGGCAAATTGTTAAAAATTGATTTGTTGACCACTGCATAGAATAGTGGTAAGTTTGCTAAGTTGTGTGTTGAGTTAGATTTAACTAAGCCTCTGGAGGCTTTTGTACAAATCAATCAAAGTTGGTACAACATTGAGTATGAAGGTTTGCCTGATATTTGTTACCATTGTGGAAGATATGGGCATAAACGAGAAAATTGTGAGTTGAGAGTTAAAGTGCTTGCTGATGTGAACATAGAGAGTAGGCTTCGTCAATAGAAGAGAATAATAAAAGAGAGTTAGTGGACTTTATTCAATATTTTAGAACTCGGGCTCGGTCCATCGGTTAGGCCTAAATGGGCTTCGACGAGCCGGGCCTAAAAAGCCCAACTGGGCCAGGGCCAAATGGGCTTAATAAAAAAACAAATTTGGAACATAGATGAAAATTGAAATTCATTCCATTCTTGTTAAAGTTTGAAAGGTTAGAACAAACCAAAATCTTCTTTTCAACTCCCAAGCTATGCAAAATCAAATTAGATTTACAGTGGCTGCCAAAATGATAACTTCTTCAATTCACTCACAATCTCATCAAAAGGATAACTTCAATTAAATGGCTGCCAAACCATTAAAGTATGATAATAAAAGTCCCAAGTCTAATACCGATAATACAATAAAAATCCAAGGTTTGGAAAAATAAAAGGTAGTCCTATTACATAACATTTCTACTTTCAAATTCAATGGTCTCATTTTCTGATTCACTACTAATGTCAACTTCACTGTGTGCCATCCAATTTGGTATTGATGCCTTAATGTTCATTAATTCTTCAGCTTGTTGCTCATTTTCTGCAGCATCTTGCTTTCTTGAATCTTCCAAGGCCCAAACTTTCAAGCAAATTAAAGCTTCAATTGTATTGGGACTCAAACTGGCCCACTTCTTGGATACAACTCTACCACCTGCACTAAAACATGATTCCGATTTTACAGTAGAAGCTGGAATAGTTAGCAAATCACGAGCCATAAGGGAAACAATAAGATATAGTGATTGATTGCTTTTCCTAGAAGATTAAATTGATTATCATCAGCAACCTCTATTGTTGGTAAATCAAGATAAAATTGTAACTCATAAGTGTTGGTGGAAGAAGAAGAAGAAGAAAAGGAAGATAGCTTAGCCCTTTTCAAGCTTTGCATAGAACTTCTCATAAGAGGGATAGATATAGAACTAGGAGTTTGGCTCAAGATGCTAGAAGTTACAATGATATTTTGCACATTTTGACATAGGGATGGCAACGGGTCAACTCGGGGGTGGGTATGCCATTCCCATACCCATTCCCGTTAAGCATTTTTCCCTCATCCCCACATTCATACCTGCAATATTCTAAACGGGGATACCCTATCCCCGCCTTCATTGGGGAACGGGTTCACCTACCCGCCCCATTATTGAAGAAAAACCAATAAAAAAACTACTTTTTTGAACGAGAAAAAAACACTATAAGCGCAAACATATGTATCAATCCAATTGTTATTAACTAAAAATCTAGACTGTGTAAAAAAATTAATACATATCAAAATTACACGTCCAAGACATGTTCATCATTATAGAGGTAGTCATCACACATCTCATGTCCAAGACATGTTCATCATTATAAAGGTAGTCATCACACATCTCAATCGCACAAAGTGATGTTTTCAACTTCTTCAGTGTAAGATCCCTAACACAAATAAAACAAAATGTAAATTTTACAATAATGTAGAGTAGGATATTAAACATCATTATCAATTATATAATATAATTCATATTTTTCCTCATTCTCAACATTATTATCAGATGTGCAACCCTGGGACAATGTTGTAGAGTTGGAACCTATTCACAATAAACATGAATAATTAGAAAATACTAAGTAACAATTACATTTAATAGTAAATTTATATAACATATTTTCAATACCTTTGATCTCATTCTATAGCCAATCTCGAGCACACATCAAGGCCTCCACAATTTTTGAATGAAGTTGATTATGATGGGGGCTTACAATTTTTCCACTAGTGCTAAATGCCAACTCTGAAGCAACTGTAGACACATGAATAGCCAAAATATCTCTAGCAATATCATGCAAAGTAGGATATTTGATGTCATTTGTTCTCCACCATGATAATATATCAAAATCAAGAGTCCTAGGTAAAAGAGACTCTTTCAAATAATGGTCTAGCTCTAATTTAACAAGCTAAACATTAGTTGTATTAGAAAGAAAAGATTCAAACTTGTGCATAGAGTTCCCAACTCCAACTTGATATGCCATCGATGAAGAGGTAGAAATTGAAGATTTAAAAAATTCATGAGTAATACTTGAATTAGACTTGGACTGATACTCTTTGACAATATCATAAGCCAATTTGGGTATCCTCTCAATTTCTAAGGAAGACTTCTCTTTATATATAAGAAGAAAATAAAACTTAATCAATGTCATCTTAAACCTTGGATCCAAAATAATTGCCAATCCCATCATGTCATGCATTGTATCCCAATATTTTTCATACTTTGTTACCAATTTTTAGGCCATCAATTTCACTTCATCTTGGTCAGACAAGAGCCAATCATAAATTGCCAACCTAATCTCACGAATGTGTGAAGAATAAAGGTTTGTTGTAGGATACTTGGTCCTAGAAAACAATTCAGTCACAATATAAAAAATTTGCAATTTTTCAACGATGATACTTGCCTTCGTCCAATCTTGCTTACTAGGAATAATTTTATATAGGGACTCATGTTGTCTCAAGCAAGGAAAATCATTTTTGTATATCATTGCCGTCTTAAGCATCAAATAGGTAGAGTTTCACATAGTTTTGCAATCTAGCTCTAATTGCTTAGTGCTCTCAATTTTCAATTGACGGGCTGCCTCAATAAATTTTTCTGATCTCTTTGGAGTGTTGACCAAAATGCAACACTAGAACGAAATTTCTCAATGCTAGTGTTGATAACATCCAAGCCATCCTTAACAATCAAGTTCAATATATGTGCACAATAACGCATGTGAAACAAACTTCCATCGAACAACAGTGAGCTAGAAATTTTTTCTAACAATGTTTCAATCATGGAATCATTAGTTGTGCAATTATTTACAGTCACAGTGGATAACTTACGATCAATGTTCCAATCTAGCAAACAATCCATCAAAGCACTAATAAGAGTCTTAGCTGTATGTGGACATGGCACATACATAAATCTAGTACAAAAAATAGAAGAAAAAAAGACAAATTGGGTGGTGGGGGCCCATATTGACTATCATGAGGTCTTTTCTTGTAGCTGGTATATTCATCGGTTTTTCCTTGATTCATTCTTTCATGAATTGTTGAAAATGAAAAAAAGTTCATTAAAATTCACGATCTAATAAATCAAATAATTCAAAATGCATTTACAATGAAAAATACGTTAAAAGTTTTATTTCAAAATTAAATAAATTACCTCACAAGTCGACTTTGCAAGTTCCAAGATTCATCAATGAAATGAGATGTGACGG